AAATGCTATAGTAGACTTTTAAACAGGTTGCCCTAAAGCTGCTACATCTAGAAACTAGCTGAAATTTCAAGAAGCTCTTCCTCTAAAGCCTCCTCTAACTAGTCTACATTCTATAAGTGCTCCTATAGTCTTCCTAAGCTTTCTCTCTACCCTACTACGAAACGAAAGCCGTGCCTTTTAAATAACTTAGAATCGTCGAGGTAGAGAACATTTAGACAGTAGCATAGAAATCGTGTCTAGTAAATTAGGTTGTAGTCTATGCTCGTCTTCTCCTATAATGGCCTAAACAGTTGGCTATATACGTCTAGTTAATGTAGGCTAGCTAATAGGAGCTGTGTCATTAATAGCATGCTCTTTAACCCATTAATGTAGCAGCTAAAGAACAACTAATCCATCATAGCTACTATCCTACATAGATAATCATCTTCCTATCCTAGCATTTAGCTATAGGCATAGATCTTACTTAGATCCCTCTCCTTAAAATGGGTAGTCTACCCTATACGCTTTAGCTAGTTTATAGTCTCATGCCTTAAGGCACTATCTACTAGAACCTTCTATAAGTTCTCCTACTACTCTTTTCCATGTGCCTACTACTCCTTAATATCATCGATTAATTAGCACTTTAGCTAGCCTCTTTTGTCAGTTACATCCTCTCCTACCTCCTTAGGTACATTTACATAGAAATAATGGATAGCATTCCTAAGAACTCTAAAGAACGTCTATAGTTTAACCCTAACCTAGTGTACTAGATCTTCCTTAGTCTACGTCTAATCATGCTCTTTGTTATAATGCACCTAAATGGCTTTCTAACTACTTATTAGGTATCTGCATTTTTCATAGTTCTTACATACAAATCCGTTGTAGATGGTAAGCCCATTAATTGCTAGAATTGAATTTCTTAGTCTAAAATGAAAATTATAATTTAGTAGCCGATTTATTTACAACCCTAAATATTCACTAACAATTGCTTTCTAAGTCTTTAAATCAACGTTGCTATACGTGTCTACTAGGTGCCTAGCTAAGTTTGTAATTATATACCTATAAGCCTTATATATTAAGGCCTAGTGCACATCGTCGTAGATCATCTAGTCTACTATTCTAAGAAACACGTTAGACCCTAATGACTAAGCCAATCCTATAACCCTAAGGATTTAAAGATGGTAGCTTAGGGTTAGCTTAGAGTAAGGTTTTCCTTACTCATAACGTCTTATATAGGACTGTAATTATGTATAGAGGTCTATTTAAAGTCTATGGACAGTCTATAAGCTTTATAGAATTTAATGGCTATAATAAAGGGGTAAATGATGTCTTAGTCTATTAGGGTAGTAATTAGGTGGTGGTATTTAGCACCCCTATTTTAGCGTTTACTAAATTTTATATAGGGAAATTAGCTGACTTAGCTGGTATTTAGGCCCGAATACCACTAGCCTCTTAGTTAGGATAGTCTTATTAAATTCTCCTTATCTTATAGTATTTATAAATATTTTTATATAAAATTAATAAATTTATTTCTAATGTTTCGTTTTTTAAAGATAACATTTAAATGTTCTAGCTTAGAATTTAAATATCTTAGAGATGAAATAAATTAGAAAATTAAAAATAAAAATTCTAAGAAGCTAAAAGTTTTGCCTACCTTAGGGGAGTCTAAATATATACTTATTTTAATTTTATATAAAGAAATGATAAAGTTATTAAGTTTATAAGTTTTTCTAAATTTCTAGTTACTAAGGCGACGGGGACGAGCGACAGAGTCTGAGGCGATAGGGATTCGTAATAGCAATAGAGGTAGTAAGGGAAAGTAACAGCGTCGGTAATAGCGAAGAAGAGCAACGCAACAGTGCTGTTGCAAAAGAACAAGGGGGTCGCAACAGTGTACCTTACCTATCGCGGATGCTACTACAAATGACTTAGCTATAACGAGAGGGAATATTAGTTATATAGCTACTCTATTCTATTCTATTTATATATTTTAAGCCTCATTATCCTTAAGATCTAGATACAGGTTGCTAAACACTGTTTAATTCTTAATTAGTAGAATCTCCACCTCTACTATAAATTCAAAGCTCATCGTCGTTAAAGAATGTTACTTGTATAAGCTAGGTATAGAGTTATATGCCTAACCCTATAGACACAGTATATTGTAAATTAGGCTCTAACGTTGTACTCTAGAAATGCAAGTATTGCATAAGCGAATATCAAATTTGTAGGGGAACTGCTTATATTAGGCGACATCTTAATAAGGAGCACTCTGTATTTAAAAGTGAAAGGCCTACAATTATTGCTCGACAGTTGAGTATCTAGACTGCAATTCAGCATGCACAAGAGTCTCAGTTAAAGCACCGTCGAGTCAATGTAGATATCAACTAGGGAGAGCTAAAGCAGCTTCTCATTCGTTAGACTGTAGGCAACTCTGTCTCCTTTCGTATAATTGAATCCTCTTAATTTCGAAACCTTCTCTACTTTCTGAATCTAAATATTAACAAAGCCCTTCCTATAAGCCACTCTACAATTCAAATCTAGACAGTTAAAGCGTACACTACAGAGAAAACTCGAGTACAACAAGCCTTGCAATGTGCCTAATCTAATGTTTAGTTTATAGTAGACCTTTAGACCTTAGTTAATAGTAAGGCATTAATGGGTATTATTAGTCACTACGTTGTAGATAATAGAGATTTACGAGAATTAGTACTTGCCTTTTATCCACTTCATGGTTAACATACAGGAGAGAATCAATCACAAGTCATTATAGAAGTTATTAAGGAGTACGGAATTGCCTTAAAAGTTGGATATTTCATAATGGATAATGTAGAAAACAATGAGACAATGATACGGGCACTTTCTTTCTGTAAGTTATTACTATTTTAACTTGATACTGTTTATTATTTACTAAAATGAACTAAAATGGCCTCTGCTCGACTCTGTACATTCCCCGTGATTCCCACCTAATGCGTCTGTAAGACTAGGCTATAGATGTGTCGTACTTGCTTAAATAACTATCTAAATAAACTAGTTCTATGTCAGAACGAAATCCTGCTCGTTTAACTCCCCCTTCATCTCCATCACAAGAGCTTCGGCATCCATGAACCCATGCAAATAAGATTCCCCAATAAACAAGTACTCTTGTCCTCGTTTTCTCACCACGACTGGCACGGTACAACCAAAGAGAACACATATAAAATCACCAGAGTGGGTATTATGTGGAACGGCACCAATATACCCGTTTCTAGTAATTGCGATACTTCTCTGTCTCATCCCGGCTTCGAAAGCATTAGAGGCTGTTGTCAGTATTTCCGCCCTCCTGGAGTTAGTAGCTTCGCCTAGGTTCATAAAAATCCTGATATCTTCTTTGCTAATGCGTTCTCTAGCGGATTTGCGACCACATAGCAAGGTTTGAGCATATGCATCAACAATGTAGTTGTCATGAGGTGATAGATTTGGCTCGATACTTTCGAGATAGAGAGCTTTTCCATCGGTCACGATGCTCTCTTTCGAGTCGCGATCTAGGGATTGAGTGTATTTGGACAAGTGGTCTGTTGCATCAAGATCCTTGGAAGAATCACCAAGTGAAGTCCAGTACTCGCTATACTTTTCAACTGCTGAAGATATGCCCTCCAAGCACGCCTTGACCTCGTTCGTTAACCCTCCCAAGTATTCTTCGGCTGCTCTGATGGTAGAATTCCACAAGCGTTCCGCATAACCAAATGGTTCACTATGCTGAAGTGGATCTGAGAGAACTGCTACCAAGTCTATACAAAGACCTACAGTCCGCAGGTGACTCCATGACTCATGGGTTACGGCAACATCCATCCTACTATATTTAGATCTATGGTGATGACCTGAGGAATTGTAGATACTGCTGCCTCCGTCGATGGCGACCAAAGGGCAAGGAGCCAGATTCTGGTCGAGGCTGTAGTCAGGAACCCACGAAGGAAGCTCATTTTGACGACCCAAGGTTTGCCAACTACATAGCGGATCGAGCGATTCCGACTGAGCGATGAAATGTAGAGCGGCATTGGCGTAAACTTCTCTGACAGACTTGGAGTAGTCAGGCTTGAGGTATACGTTCAACTTGTCGCCCATCAGCCCAAGCAACGAAAATATCTTGTCTCGTGGATCTGTTGCCCGTCTGTATCTGCATTCGCGAATTAAATCACGCAGAGGCTGGCGTTTTCTACCGTTCCAACCTTGCCGGATCTTCTCCATCCCTATGACATTTCGAATGCTTTTAACAGGCGCATGGAGAGTATAGTGCAAGTAGCATACGCAGCGGATGAGATTCGACCAGGAGACAGACTTTCCACCGGATGCGATAATAGTAGCATTGTCAGCTACTCCCAGCTCTTGAACCACCCACATCCTTTCAAACCATGTACAATTTTGAATGAAGACTCGATCGATCAAGTCCGCAACCTCAACAAAACTCTCGTTCTCAACTCTCTTCAGGTAGCGAGTCGGAGGCTTCCATTTCACAAACTTCTCGATCGTCTCTTGATGGAGTGAAAGTTCACCATCTTCTTCTTGAACCATTTCTGCCTTTTCATCCAGACCTGGTGGGTCCAGGATATCTAAAACCTCGATAATAGACTGTCCAAACCCAATTACCCCACGAGCTAGTGCTCCACTCGGAATCATGACAGCTTTCATAATCATCTCTTCGACATTATTGTCCATCGTGGGAGCATTTGGGAGAGAATCCACATCGCTAATAAAACTGCCTTCAGTAAGGTTAGAAATGAATCTTAGGCATCGCATCCAGTTCTCATTGCTTGGCCCTAGCCATATCTTCACATCTGCGGCGGAGTGGTATATTTCTCGCATCAGTAGTACTTGGGCTGATCTTTCAGCAAGATCATCTTGGTTTATACATATCGCGTCGGCCCAGATCCAGATGAACCCAAGGGAGGAGGGCTGTAGCTCTCGGAGCGCAGTGTAGAGGTTTTCTGTAATGCGGAGTCTTTTATCGTCAATTATTATATCATGGGTGCGTGTAGGATCTCCCCAAACGTATGACAGTGCAAAGAATGTAGGCAGTCGGGCACTTCGAATCATCCGCTGTGTACGAGAAAGCGTTGGGACCGGGAGGTTGTACTTTTTGAGCGACCCGACTAACAGTGGAGCGTTAATCCGTCTGAGAACATGTTTGGCATTAAATTCAACGGCTAAGAGACGTATTTCCGCTTCAGCACTACTGAGAGGGCTGTAAACATAATTGGGCATAGTCGGTTGGAACTCCACAAGGCCGGAAGGAGGTGGCGAGTCACTTGCCATCGTTAGCGATCACAGTCTATGTGATCGAGACTTTCGTAGCACCAAGTTGACTAAGTCGAATAATTTTAAAGATTATTTAGCCTGCGGGAAAATAGGGTTTGAGATGTGTGTTGTTGCTCTTTGCTGTACTTCAGAGTTTACGCCTCACCGCCACCTATGGGGTGGCAGCGCTTCAGTACCTAGGCACCAGCGTTGCTGCCGCCCTACCCATGGAAAGTTCGAGGAACCCCGCCCTTACGCCATATACGCACTCTTACGCCACATTCACGACATGTTACGCCACATACATAACTAGGCTTAAGAATAGTGGCTAAAAAAGTAGATTAATGCATATTAGTAAGCACTAAATCCTAACTTACAACTAAAACATTAGCGTTAATGCCCCCTCTCCTTAGACAGCATAACTCCTAAACTATATTATTTCCCTCTCTAAGTAATGTATTTTATAAGTAAACTAGTTACTAAAACACTAACAATGTGTTAACAAAAGTCAACTTATAGTAACACTAACTTAAGCTAAAACCTCTAATTAAGAGGGTAGGATACTTCTAGCTATTTAATTAATTAAACAAGGCTATATTAAAAGCATCTAAGTATAACGCTAGGTCTTAAACTATAAGACTTATAGAGGTTTTATTATATTAGTTTACTTAATAGAGGAGGTAGGGGATTAGACATAAAGGCTTTTATAAAACACATTACTAGTATATAATAAATACTTGTTACGGCTGAAACATGCAACCCATATGCCGCAAGATAGAATAATAAGGTAAAATAGCTTGCAGCTAATTGGCAGCAGGAAATGGACGTAGAGATTGTAGGTAGCTTAGTTAATGAGGGCACCTTTGGGAAAAGGTACCTTTCTTAGAAGGTACCCGGCAAAAGAAAGGTGCCTATTAGGAAAGGCACCTGTGTAGAGCAAGGTGCCTCCTTAAAAGGGCACCTATGGGAATCGGTACCTGCAATAAGTGTAGCACCTCTTATAGGACGTACACGTGATTGGATTAGTAGGAATAGTGAGAATAGTCAGAGAGTCTGCTATTCCAACTATTCCCTTTAGCACAACGCCACTATATAAGTAGATAGATAGTTCTTAGATAGGAGCTTCGTGCTCAACTCAATATAGTATTTTGTTATATACTGTAATGTGTTTTACGAAAGCCTTTGTGTCTGACCCCCTGCCTCCTCTGTTAAGTAAACCAACGTAACGAAACCTCTATGAGTCTTATAGTTTAAGACCCAGCGTTACAATACTATATTAAGTTAAGTATAAAGCTCCTATTTAAGAACTAACTATCTACTTATATAGAGGTGTTATACTAAAGGAAATAGTTAGAATAGTAAACTCTATTACTATTCTTACTATTCCTACTATTCTATTATATAGGGATCTTATAAGAAGGTGCTTATAAATAGTCTAGTACCTAGTAATAGTTAGGTACCTAGAAAGAGTTAGGTGCCTAATCTGTCTAGTACCTAGTAATTCTTAAGTAACTAGGAATTCTCTAGTACCTATAGAAGCAGGTGCCTAAGAAAACTCCGTTACCTAATGTTAACCCTACCTTAAGGGCGGCTAAACTGCTAACATGTTCATTACTACTATACTTAGGGCGTCGGTGATAGTGTCGCCGAAAACCCTAGCCGTAACACTACAGCGATGGTGCTGCTCTAGGGAAATATCGATGACGACCCTAATCGGTCCCGTGATAAAACCCCAACACCTAGAATTTAAGTCAATGTTATACATAGGCTTGCTAAGAGCGCATGTTTTAGATGCAACCTATGCGATTTTGAGAAAACATCAAAGTTAGTTTCGTAAACGCATGGTAAGTTATTATCGGTGTATTATTTTGTCGTCTCATCTTTGATTTTATCCCAGCCATTGATTTTGTTACGAGATCCCTATCGACTACAGATGATACCTAAATTTTCTGTTCATCCAGTCCGTCTCATCCAAACCCGTCTCGACCAAATGTTCCTCGGTGCTTCTCTCTGACCCTTTCACTTCTGGGTCGATATGCACCCCTTGCTCTCTATCCCTGCGCTTATTGTCCCAATCCATGTACTGCCTCAAAGCCAAGATGAATGCCGCAGAGAGCGCTAAGCACACTAGGATCCCCTCAAACGCACTTCCATACCGCGGCGCCTCGTGGGCAAAAAATAACTGCGGTCCGACAATATTCCCTACGCAGTATCCAATAAACATAATAGCTAACACCGTCGTCTTCTTTGTATAGCCGGCGACATCAGAGGCTATAATGGAAAAACTCAGAGGCATACCACCGGCATAGGCAGGGAACAGCCATATTCCTCCCAGACGTGCCCATTTGTTTGGCGTGGGCAGTGCGAACACCATCGCGCAGCCAGCTAGGGCAATGAGCTGCAGCACGGCAATGAGTATGCAGCGCGAGTACTTGAAGCGATGAGCGAGGTACGTGGACGACAGGACGTAGAAAAGGCCAAATGCAGAGCCAGGCATCCCAAGGAGGAGTGTGGTGAAAGTGTCAAAGCCGAAACCTTTTACGATGATGCCGCTAAAGCTGGTGAAGCCACCGTTAGGAATGTTTGAGCAAATAGTGTAGAAGAAGAGAAGCCAGGTCTTGGGATCGCGGAGGGCTTCGAGGAATTGGTCTTTCTTCCACTCGGTGGTCTTGAAGCTGTGTGCCTCTTGCTGTGGACGGCGGTGAGCGTAGGTGCGTTGGTCTGGTGTGAGGAAGCGGGCGTTGAGTGGAGAGTCTGGAAGGAAGATGAAGAGTACGATGCCCCAGACGAAGGTAATAAGGCCAAAGATGATGAACAGCCAGCGCCACGCTGAAATCGAAGAGTTTATGTGGCTGATACCATATGCTATCAGTCCGCCGAAGATAGAGGCAGTGGTATTTCCAGCGAACCATAAGCCGTGACGGGATGCGTGCTCGGAGGGTTTATACCAGAGGCCTGTTATCAAAGAGAATCCAGGCGAGATGGTGGATTCAAAAACGCCGAGAAGGAAGCGTAAAGCCATGAGGCCGCCGAAGTTCATAGCAGCGCCGTGGCAGATGAGGATGACTGCCCATAACAGAACGCAGACGGCGAGGAACTTTCCAAGAGGGAATTTTACGAAGGCAAGAGAGGCAGGGTAGGAGGCAATCAAGTAGCCGAAGTAGAATATCGAAGAGACCCACGAGTAGTCTGTTCCTTTTAAATGCTTCAAATGTGTTAATTTTCTGTGCATTGACTCTTACCAGCCGAAGGAGACTCACAGTATCTGCTTGGATTCCCAGAATTGCGGTATATCCCAATGTCGTCTTGTCGAAAAATTGAAGCATGTAGGAGATGAGAAGCAATGGCATGAGGCTTAAGAGGTGTAAGTGTCGAACGGTAAGTGTTTGTGAGCTTATAGATGAACTTACTTTCTGTCAATCTTTCGAACCAAAGCCTTTTCTTCGGCTGCAGTGATCAAAGTCGAATCTTCAAACTCGCCCTTACTTTCAGTTACGATCTGGCTTGCAGTATCAAGCTCTCCCTTCTCCATTGTGGTATTAATTTGGGAAAGCGATATGGAGATATTACTTTAAACAAGCAGCAGAATTTTCGCTTCGTTTAAGTGTGAGCATAAAAATATAGACAAGATAGCGATGAGATGCTTCATTATATAAGTGAACCTAGATTGGTATCTCGCTCTCAGATCCATCCACACCACATTATGAGCCGTGGCTTGCTTAGAATGGTCAAAGAGATACTCATTAACCGAAGCTTTTCCCACGACGGGAGGTGTGCTTGGGAAAGAAAGGCTTGAATCTCGGCGAAGTTAGGTCTTTAGCCTCGGTTTCTCCTTCAGATGAAAAGCGGATAGCCCCGATGTCAATCTATATCTTCGAGAGTAGTCGCTCGACTGTAATGGCGGTCGAGATTGCGGAGGCTCAATTTCCTAGAAAGATGATTGGTTGATGTAAGCGGTCGGCTTTTTCTGACCAATGATATTTCTTTGATCACCCCGCATTCCCCGCGTACCCCGCATTATTTGTCGCTGTTAGTGTCTTTTTACGATATCTCTAAGATAACGTGACTCCGACGACAATGACTCTGTCATCGCCTGTTTCCACGGCCTTGCAGCTGACCTTTCTTTAGGTTGATCTATACTCCTGTCATTAGTGTCTCCTGTCGTATATCCAGATGGACGAGATTCGTCGGCAAACCACCCCAGTAAGGTCCAAGAAAGGTATGCTTGATCCAGTTTGATTCTCGTACATGGCCTTCCTGTGGCCTTGCAGGCCTTTGAGCATTCAGGACTAGCTTTGAACTCCTCTACTTTCTGGGAGATACCGTCGTTTAGACGTCTTTTGCAATTGCAATTCGTTTCAACTCTTCTGTGTCAATACCTGCTATGCAACATCTGTTGACTCGAAAACGCTCAGGATGCCTCACCTGCCGGTCCAAGAAGGTCAAATGCGACGAACAAATATCAGCATGTGGTCGTTGTCGTCGCCTTGCTCTGAAATGTGAATGGGCTACAGCATCTCAGTCCCGAGGGAGAGATAAGGCGCGATCGAAACCGAGGCCGGCACCAAAGAAGATCTTACCAAACGTCCATTATGCTCACCTCGATATTGATGTCAATTATAGCAGAGGTACAACATCGGGAGAAATAACTGATGATGCTGGTATGCCTGCGGAAAGAATACTCGCTGCGAACGGAACGACAGGTATAGAAGAGTTTATTACCTATAGCGGGACGAACACTGCTGCAGCATTGGACGATTGGTATCAAGAGTTGGGATTCCCCTCAGATTTTCTTGATATTGGCAACTTTACTGCCCAGGCAAACCTTGACGAAAGTCCGTCAGAATCTTCTAGTGGACCCCTATTTCCTCTACAAGTTGACGCCAATGGCGAGTCATCTCTCGGTGCTTACGAGGAACATAGGGCAACCGTGTTATCTGCCCCATGGCTGGCAACCCTAACAAGTCCCTTGAACATTTTCAGCCCTGGCCTCTCCACGCAAAATATAGTTCTATCACCGTCCTTTGCACAAACGGCCGCTGAAACACAAGCGCTTCATTACTACAAAACACACTTCCCAACAATTATGGTGACGAAAAATGTGCGCTGGTCCACTCATATGGTTATGCTGCGCCATGGGTCGCAAACTCCGATGGTCATGCATCTTCTTATCGCCGCCTCTCTTATGAACTTGGGAGCGAGTCAACATTATGATGCTGATATCTGTTCTGCAGCGAGAGGACATTCTAGGGCAGGTGTCTACCTTCTCATAGAGGCCATGAATTCAAGCGCGGAGCCAGATTATTTGAATGTACTGACGGCATTCTTCTTCTTGTACAAATATATGGCTGAGCAGAAGAATACTAACGCAGATGCCATGATCCAATTCAGTCATGCTGTCTGTGAGTATGTCAAAAGGTACAACCTGGATACATTATGTACCAAGTCGTTACTGTCCTGTATATCCTCTACAGAAGTTACTGCTAGGGTTTGCCTACCCCGAGACAAACAAGAATGTCTCGCGCGGCTCATTGTCTGGATATTTTATGAAGATGTTGCCGCTAGCATTCGAGGACTTGGAGGCCTGCTAGCTAGCCATTTATGTGCTGAACCGGAACAGACTAATGAAATATATCAGTGTTCAACGACGAACCTAGAGTCAGCATGGGGCCCCGACTATCCAGAGAGTGAGATTGTCGACGATATCGAGAATGGACCGATTCTCAAGTTCCTCTATGAAGTTATGATGCTCTACACCGAAGTCAATGAAGTCTGTCGGTCGTCAATCCTTGTGGGCGATTCGGATACAATAGAAGCAAAGCTTATGAAGCTTGAAGAGGTCAGTAATATCCAGACCAGCTGTATAATGCGTCTAATAGCCATGTTAGCGTTCTAGATTTCTCTTCCGGCTTACCACTATCACGACTCAGCCACGCTCGCGTCTCATGATAAACGCGGATTACATGGTGTCGAACTTTTATGCCCTGCGCATCTACAAGTTCAGATGTTTTCACTGTAATGGCGTGTCTGCCATTACCCCACCAGAAGTTCAGTCTTCTCTAACTGCTATTCTCCAGATTGCTCAGCGCTCGTTTTCAGTGAAACAACAAAGTCAGATGATTGAACGCTTTCAGTGGCCCCTGTTTATAGCTGGAATTGAGACTTCTGATGGAATTCACAAGGAGTGGATTCGTACTAAATTAAAAAAGATGCGGCTTTCACGTGCATTCAAGAGAATATTGGAAATACAGGATAAGACTGGAAGGAGGGTTTCTATACCACTTGTTAGGCAAATTATGTGTGGCGAGGGGACTGCACTCACTGGTGGAGAACATCAGCCACTGCCATCTATGGTTGACGGCAGTGTGTGTTTTGGTCAACTTGTTGAGGGTGGAGCATAAAATGACAATGAGATAGGTTAATGTCTGCGAGGTAGGCGAGACGATCTCGGCACTTATGATAGAATGACCTCGAACCGAATCAAACGTCTTAATCTTACATTTGAAAACTTGAAAATGCGCATAAGTGTATAACGAATTCAGATTTTACGGACTCGAATGAGAACAGGTTGTTAATCCGCCTCTACTTCGGCACATGGTATTATAACTCACACTCTAGTCCGTTGTATGTGCCAAAGTGACCAACGGAGGATAGCATCATGCTATTCACGACGGCCTTCATTCCGTAGCCTTTTCGTTATCGCAACCCTGTAGTCCGCATTAATCCCGCATGCGACCAGCAAAATACACCATTTTAGGGTCGCGTAAATCGTCCAATCATGATGTAAACCGATCTCAAGTCAACAATGGACGTCGACCTCGTCGGCTCTCCTTTATTTATCTCAATGGCGACGTTACCTAGAAAGCAGCTTCCGCAATTGCCGATGATTTTCGACCTACTACTTGCCTTTAGAGTTTCGACCAATGGTTCAGACGAGACTAAATCATTCGACAGCCGACCAAATAGTCTTCGGATATGAAGACAAAGAGCGGACTAACCTAAGGTGAAGTCCGTTGGTTTGAAAAGTATAAATTATGAGGGTTTCTCAAGTATCAGTGCTTTCTCAATCAATTCATCATTGTCGAGCCTTGCATCCCTAGTTGTTATCGTCTCGAGACCTCTCATCAAATTCAGCATTACCATTGCCTACAAGTGCCATTTATATGCAATCGGTCCGAGATACAGAAACAATGAAACTAGTCGACTCTCCTATTATTGAAGGGACTGTTGGATTACGACAATCTACAGTCCTATCAAAAGATTCTTCAACGATCACAGACACTATTATTAACACAATCAATGGCTATGACTTCGAGCTGCGAGCAATTAACAAGAAGGTAAGTAGACAACCAAACCTAAGTGATCTATAAAAGTCTCATGCGAAGCAGATTTTCGATAACCCTGAGTTAGGTTACAAAGAATTCCAAGCCCATAATAACATCGTCGCCCTTCTCCACTCTCTCGGATTCGAAGTGACTCCCCACGCCTTCGGGGTCGCCACCTCATTTTCCTGTGAAGTCGGTACCGGCGGACGAGTCGTAGTTTACAACGCCGAATACGACGCTCTGCCGGGCATCGGACACGCCTGCGGTCACAACCTTATTGCCACATCTTCAATCGCCTCATTCCTCGGTCTCGCAGCCGCCCTGAAAGCCTCCAATCTCCCGGGACGCGTTCGCTTATACGGCACCCCTGCTGAAGAAGGTGGGGGAGGCAAGCTGAAGCTTATCGACGCCGGCGCTTATAAGGATGTCGATGCTTGCCTCATGGTGCACCCCGGCCCTCCACGCCCTGCGCCAAAGAGCCATGACGGCCATGGCTGCTGCGTGCCTACTGGACTGTCATACGGGACGTCCCTAGCGAACAAGAAATTCAATGTTACTTACACGGGACGCCCTGCGCATGCGGCGATGGCGCCGTATCAGGGACGAAATGCTCTAGATGCGGTGGTGCTGTCTTATAATGGAGTTAGCATGCTTAGACAGCAGACGAGGCCATATGATAGGATACATTCTGTTATTTTGGATGGGGGCAAAGTGCCGAATGTTATCACAAGTTTTACAAAGTCTGAGTATTATGTGCGGAGTGCGACGCTGAAAGAGGCTACCGCGTTAGAGAAAAGGGTTAAGGCGTGCCTAGACGGGGCGGCGACGGCGACGGGATGTGAGATTGAGTACGAGGTGTAAGTGCTCTCTTCTTTCCCTCTCCGGGGCAGATATGGCTATGACCTGACATGCAAACTGCCACAGTGAAAACGAGTACGCCGACCTTCGGCCAAACCGCACGATCTGCACTCTCTATGCAGAAGCCATGTCCCTACCATCTATCAACTCGCCCGTCACCTGCGACTTCTCCAACACCGAGCCTGGCCCAGGATCCACTGACCAGGGAAATGTCTCGTACGTCGTACCCTCCTTCCACGGCGGGTTTGCGATTCCGTGCCCGCCGGGGGCGTACAATCACACGCCGGGGTTCACCGCGTGTGCGGGTACGGACGAAGCGCATGACTTGGCTGTTGTAACCAGTAAGGGGATGGCGATTGCCGGATGGAAGGTGCTGAGTGAAGAAGCAGTCGCGGAGAAGATATGGGAGGACTTCGAGAAGGATAGAAGGGAGGTGGATGTTGAGCTTTAATAGAGTTAATTGCATTTATAACTTTAAAATATTCTATCTTAGAATTTAAATATCTTAAAGAGAAAATAAAATAGAAAATAGAAAATAGAAAATAGAAAAAAATATTTCTAAGAAGCTAAAAGTTTCGTTTACTTCTAAGGAGTTAAAAGATATTTTTTTAAAGTTTTTAAATCAAGAAATAAAAGACTTATTAAGTTTTTAATTTCTAGTAACTATAAGTAAGAAGATAGATAAGAGGAACGGGCGTGAAGGGGAACTACGAGAGAAACGGGCGCAAAGGGGAACTACGAGAGAAACGGGCGCAAAGGGGAACGACGAGAGGAACGGGCGTGACGGGGAACAACGAGAGGGACGGACGCGAAGGGGAATGGCGAGAGGAACGGATGCGACAGGGGATGGCAAGAGGAACGGACGCGACAGGGAACGGCAAGAGGAACGGACGCGACAGGGATGAGCGACAGTAGCTGTGGCTACATAGATTCGCGATGGAGACGGGCACTACGGGGAATAACGAAAGCAACGGACATAGCAGGGAACAGGGACAGTCGCAGAGGTGACGGGGATTTGCAACAGAGACGGGCACGGCAGGGGAACGGGGACTGGGACGGACACCGCAGGGAACAGAGAGAGCGACGGGCACGACGGGGAACAGCAGTAGACGCGACGGGGATTCGCAACAGTAGGGAATACGATGATGATGATGAGGAGAAGGCAGGGAATGCGACGACGAAGAGAACAGCAGGGGAATCGCAGGGAATCGAGGCGGTGGGGCGTGGGAACATATTATAAGAATTCCAAATGTAGCTTATGAAAAGTTATAACGAATCTAAGAACATAAGGGCGATAGACGCATGGCAACGAGGTACATGCGCACAAATCTTAAAACACTAATAACTTCTTTACTTATACAACAATCACTTCGCAAATGGCACTATTAAATTTGTCTTAAAAAGTAGTATCTTCGTCATTAATATAAGAAAAATGTAGTCGTCGCGCATTACGGCGCATTGATTTTCAAATTTTAGATTTTAGCTAGCATAGTAGGGAAAGCTACTGCTGCCACGGCAAGCGTCACCGAACTACACTACTACGAGTCACTCTGCGAAATACACTATGCATAAATCATACAAATAGTTTATTTTTACAATACAAATACAGAAGGTAATGCGCCTACTGCGCGATATAAAATCCCACCGACTGTGGGTTTGCACCTAAAGTTCGAAGGTGGGGTGGGAGCGGGAGCACCCGTGGCGCAGATGACCACCCCCCTGCCGCGCTCGACCTCTTTCAGCCAGGCTGCCGTAGGAATGTCTCCATTGTCAACTCCACAATTTGCAGAGAACCAGCCGCTGCAGATTTTGAGCATCCCGAAGAGGATCCCGTTGGCTGACCGCCAAACCCACGGGATGAGGAACATCCTCACCCCCGCCCCCGTAGGCTGGGGGGGTCACAACCGCGCTGTATCCATGCCGAGCTTCGCCGCAGGATTCTCCGAGCCCCTTCCCGCGGGGTTCTTCGCCCCTACCCGAAACACCTTAAGGGATGAGATCTCCTCGCTCATCGATGCTGAGTTCGGACCCGCCCCACGGGAAGATCGCATCAAAGATAAGACCTCCCCATGGGACGATGGCCTCGCGCCTCCAGCCGCTGAGAAGGCGACCTCGAACGTCTCTATGAGCGGGATGACGAACACTACGAGCTCTACGGAGCAGTTTCGCCGTGCTTTGGAACAGGACTACGTTCCAACGTCGCCGAGCTTTTCTGGACTTGATCTTCCTGCCGCAGAGCATCCCTCCCGCGAGCCAAGCCCCATGAGCATCGCACACCGGTCTAACTCTGTTGACGACGGCAGCAACACCGCGGGACCCTACGAGGGGACCTCCGTTGTCGACTTCGCGGATGAAGAATACGATGCCCGCGACACCGAGTCTGCTGACAACGCGCGTGATGCTAGGTTCCAGGACGCCTACAACAGGGCAATCTCTGCGGCCCGTGAGGCTTGCCGGCTTGCTAAGAGGACCCTCAACCTTGACGTTGCAGAACGCCGTATGGACGACCTCAACAGGGGGCTTACCGACATCATCAATGAGGAGTACGAGTCTATTAATGAACTCCGCCTCCTCATAGACGCCTAAATGAGCTCTGCATCCCACGGCACCACGGCGCGTTTTGTCCCACGGCATCACTAAGCGTTTGCTTCTCCGGCACTGTTCCTGTTTTTTTTTCTCCTCTTCCTGTTTCCCCCGTGGCGCTGTTCATTTTGCAACTTATCCTTGGCCTGCGGCACTATGTTTCTTCTCTGCTTCCGTGGCGCTCCTACGATCGCGACGTTTGTTTTGTTTTCCGCGAGCTAAGATCTGCCTACGGGCTTTATAGATTTCAAATTAAAAGAAACCAAAATCTTTATACAATGCTTCCCGTGATGTTTGTAGCTGCCTTCTGTGAATTATAATCTCGCTCCATTTGCGTAACACTTTGATTTAAAGGTAGGCTTTCACGGGAATCCTAGAGCAATCGCCCGTGGCAGGAGCAGATCATAGGAGTAGGCATTTTCATTTTCCGTCTCTAGGGCAGGCCATTACGGGGATTTCAAAGCAGGCTTCACGGGGTTTTATAAGCAGGCAGCCGTAGGATTACAAATGTTTGACCTGTGCATGAGAAACAGCGAAAACAACTAAGAAACAATTAAACAACGGAATCGCAGGCGTAACGGTTTTAATTGCCATATGTGTGTGAAGCAACGTATGCGATGGTAATTGGATGCGGCGTAGGGTGGGGACTGTGGACAAGAAAGTGAACAACAGAGATTGTGGACAACACCACGAACCATAGAGATTATGGACGGCACCATGAACAACAGGATTCTAGACGGAAGCCAGGACAAGCACATCGTTGACGTAGGCAACAGAGAAAAGAATTAAATTTGTCAGCCATAATTGCAGCCACGAGTAGCTGAGATTAAAATAATGAGAGTTGGGGATGGTAACTTCAATTCCATTCGTGAGTCGTTATGAATGAAATATCAAGAGTTGGTGATGGCGACTTCAATTCCAGTCGTAAGTCGTCATGAATGAATACCACAACAAGTTGGTCGTGTCTTCAGCATCATGAGCATGAGCGACAGGAAGTATAAATGTATTCGTGAGACATGAGAATCACAATAGTTGGCGATATCAATTACGAGGCGCTTGACATCGCGGGGATGGGTGGTTGGTGATGGCGACTTCAAAACAAGACTACAGGGATTAACAAAAAAAGTTATAACAAGTTGACATCCCACTCGACGGAAAATTAAACAACATCTTGGCATCATTTCCCCGCCGATCTATCCCCTCAACCCCGCAAACGCCATGTGGATAAACACCCAATTCGGCGTTCGGGGTAGATCCAGCCGGTCGAATATATAACATGCCTCAATAATGTCCCAAATCGCCAACCGCAACCATGCGTCTCTCCATCCTTCTGTTCGGCCTCGCGCAAGCCAAGTACATCGTGCCCGGTGGGAGATGGCACGACACCGACGGCAATCTGATAAACGCCCATGCCGGCGGCGTCACCGTCGACAAAGAGGGCAAGTTTTGGTGGTTTGGTGAATACAAGCCCCAGAACCAGGTGGAAGGCGGCGGCGTCTCCGTCTACAGCTCTGACGACCTCGCAACATGGGAGCATCACGGCCTAGCCCTCCAGCCCATCCCCGACCACCCATTCATCTCCCCGAAAAACATCATCCAGCGGCCAAAGGTGATCTACAGCGAGGAGCTCGACAAATATGAGGTAAGCCCCCGTCCTCTCCTTACTACCAATACTAACCCTCTAGATGTGGTGGCACGCCGATAATTCCTCGTACGGCCTCCTCCTCCAAGGATTAGCCACCTCCGACACCATCGGCGGACCATACACGTTCGTCGATGCGACTGCTCCCCTCGGAAACTGGTCTCAAGACTTTGGAATCTTCACTGATTACAAAGACGGCCGTTCTTACTCCCTCTACTCAAACGGAGACCGTAAGGAAGGGCGGGATGTTTACATCACGTCGATCAACGAGACTGGCACAGGCCTCGACGAGGTGATTCACCGTTTGTAAGTTCCCCTTCCCATCCAACAACCCCTCTAACATCTCAGCGACAAATTCGATCTCGAGGCACCCACGATCATCCAGACGGACAACAGCTACTATGCGTTGATGAGCCACAAGACCGGCTACCGTCCAAACAGTAAGTTCTCCATCAAGAACCGTACTCTCTAACATTCGTAGACGTCGTTGCTTTCCGAGCAGACTCTCTCTCCGGGCCGTGGTCTCAGCCATTCACCGTCGCCCCCCTAAACACGCGCACGTACAACTCGCAATCCGGATTCTCCTTGAAGATCAAGGGAAAGAAGGCAACTACGTATCTCTACCTCGGTGATCAGGTAAGACTCCCCCACCTCTCATCTTCCCCCGCTAACAGGACAGTGGGACTCCAACTCTCTCTGGGAAAGCCGATACATCTGGCTGCCAATGGACATCAACGACAAGAAGAAGACGCTCGACGTTGTTTGGCACGACGTCTACGACCTCGACGTGTATGTTCCCATCCCCTTCCAACGACCTTGCTAACCGCCACAGCAAATCCGGAGAATACAAGGCCATCAAAGGAAAAGAATATCGCGGAATCAACGCAAAGACAACCGGCAACGCCTTCAAGCAGGAAGCAGTGAGTCTCCCACCCCTCTCCCAAACAATGCTAATTTCCAGAACTTTGCAAGCGACAATGTCATCCTTGCGGGCATCTCCGGAAACGACAGCACCGTGACATTCGAAGGGATTGAAGGGTCAGGAAAGCCACAATGGGTTTCCTTCTACTATCAAAGTATGTCCCCCTCCACTATTCGAATTCTCCGCTGACAATCCAGACACCGACGATATGGGATTCGGCGATCAACGTAAGCCCATCACCCCCTCACCCATCCAAAACTAACTTTCGCAGCCGGTGGAAGCCCCGACCGTATTGGAGGTGCTTGGCAGCTTCGTCGCATCAGCAGTGTCGTCGTAAATGGCGACACCAAGAACGTGCAGACTCTGTACCAGAGAGATACGCACAAGGGCATCATTCTGTCCACTCCCCTCCAGCTGACCCTTCCAAAGGGGAAGAACAACAAGATCACGGTCGGCGGGCTATGGAATGGCTTCGACATCAAGGGCGCAGATTTAGATCGGATAGTTGTGTATCCAGCTGAGAAATAGATGACCACCAATGCAAGCTGCAGAATATGCAAAGTTCTCTTCGTAGGATAGATAATTACAACCATTTGTTTGCTGGCTAAAAGTCAAGTTCTGCGCCTAGATGTGAACTCATCTCTAAATAAAGTCTGCTGCCTGCATCAACGCATCAAACTCACGACAATACCGATTTTCCCCCTCAATCGCGAAGTCAAGATGGCAGGAACACAGCTTCATGATCTCGACCTCGGGAATGCTGTTCTCACATGGATGGTCAAAGACGGATTTTAGCTTTAGGAGAGCGTTGATGATTTTCGCAAGGTTGAGTGGTGAGGAAGTGAAAGTAGATTTTCGAATAGCAAATTGGGAAATTCCAAATTCCTACAGTAAAAAAACCCGCGTCAAAAATTCAGTCAAAATCCCTTAATCCCACCATTCTGCAATCATGCCCCATTCGGAGACACATTCTATCATGTATTTGCAAAGTTCATGTCACCTAGAAATGTATTCCAGGCTTCACGCGTTCCTGACGCTGTCCACTGGTCAACCGCTCTCGGGTAAACATATATCCATCTCGACGTCAACCCTGCAGGATGCTGGACATCTTTGTTCCATCCCACCAAAACTTTCGAGGTGCAACACGCCAGACAGATGTCTACGAAAGAAGACAGGAGACGCGTTGGCCTCTACCCGGATAACAGAGTTGCCCCTCTCCTGAAGACAGTGGGGGGGAGATCGACGGCAAGGAATGCGACTCAAAAAGCCACCACCACTTCAGCACGAGCAGCCACCGCCGGCAGCGATTCGAAAAGGCGAAAGACACTGCAACCAGTCGATGATTCAGATTCCGACGACTCGAACAATGGAGATATACGATCCCAATTCGATCGGGGAAGGCACAAATCCGAAAACAGTACGCTGAACACCAGAACTGAGGCCGAACCGGCGTATATCCCAGGGTCATACAAGGGAACCGCTTTCCGGGGAACCACAAGGAAGATTGGACAAGCCCGTGGCTCTAGGGAAGGGCCAGAAACGCAACGCCCAAAGAAGAGCAGCTCCAAACCGACGCCAGAGTTGAAGCCTAAATTCAAAACGTACGCGCCGATCGCCGCAAACCCTCCCCCGAAAAAGCCCGCATTCAACGATTATGGAGCTGGAAAGAAGCCAACTCCTCCATCGCCAGTGCAGAAGCCCACCTTTAAAACGTATGCACCGAGCACCGCCATCGAGAGCCTCCCAAAGCCAGCATTCAAAGACTACGGCCTTCGTGTGAAGCCAGGGAAGCCAGAGAAACCAAGGAAGCCAGAAAAGCCACAGAAGCCTAAGAAGCCAGAGAAGCCAGAGAAGCCAGTCTTCAATACCTACGGAGGAGCTTTGAAACCCCATTCCCGTGATTCCGACTCCGACGAACAAATATTTTTATCCTCCCAACTCCGCGATTTACTAGACGCCGACGAAGTAACGCCACCACCCACACACAACCCTGACGAGACAAAATGCCCCATGTGCGGCACCTACGTCCCGCTCTCCCTTCTCCTCGACTTCGCCGCCAGTTTTCCCTCCGTAGACCCCTTTGCCATGCGCATCCAAGTCCAATCCCGCTTCTGCAGCCATCACCGCCGACACACTGCAGCCTCTTCGGCCAACTACCCACCTATTGCTTGGACCGAACTTCCCTCGCGCGTTCGTGCCCACCTCCCATCCATCCGCGTCTTCCTCGACAACCCAGATTCAACCCCATCACATTACAGAGACCTCCTTGCAGAGGATATTGCGACCGGTCGCAACCGCACGCTCATGCAGAGCATCATGTCGGGCGCGGGTGGGAGGGTACGAGTGCCCGGGTATTATGGCCCTCGTGGTGCCCGGGTGATACAAGAGGAGATCCTTGACGTCTTATCCGGCGAACTGAGGGAAGCGGCCGTACGAGATGTAGTCGTCAGTGCGAGAGGAGTGGGAGTGTATGTTACTTCTGTGCTGGTTTTGGAGATTGGACTTTTACTTGTAATGGATGATTTGGGGGTGGGAAAGGAAGATGCAAGAGGGGTTATTGAAAAGAGTGCGGCATGGGGGACGCTCGTCAACGAGGAGCTTGACGAGGAGGTGCCGGAGGATGCAGAAGAGAGTGATGAGTTTGAAATGTAACCATATGACTAGATGATATCATAGAATTAGAGCTTCTGCGGAGCTTTTGCTTGGCAAATATAGCAGTGCTCGCTGTCAGATTATAATCTCTGCTCATGGTGCGAATCCCCCCAGACGCCAAATGCAAACGCCTGCTTGTTCACAGCACCACGTTGCTCATGGATCCCAACGACTACAACTATTCTCCTCCCTCACGTCATCGCCACCGTCTACAATGCTGACCACATCACTGTCTCTGTTTCTCACAGCACATTTTATAACTTCAAGTTTCTGCAACCATAAAAAATATAAATTCAATCCCTACACCCAACGCCCCCAAACCTCATCACATCACGGCTCGATATTATACTTCAACTTAATCCCCATCGCGGCCAACTCAACATCCAAATACTTCAACACCCCGGGAACAGCCACAACCGTCGTCTCTTCACCTCCCACCCACCTCTGCCCCTCTCCATCCTCCCACACCTCCCCATCCGCCACAAACCCATCAACCTTGACGGCACACCTCCTACACCTCACCACCCCCGTCCCCTTCTTCCTCGGCGCAAAGGCACTCACAGTCGGCTGCACCGACAGGAACGTCCCGCAGCCCTTGCACACCCATGAGCGCGCATAATCGGAGCAGTTCAGCAGACGGTCCTGCAGCAGGAAAGCTGTGCCGTGAGCAAGCAGCGAATCACGCTCCATCTCACCGACACGAATACCACCTCCCTTCTTACGACCCTTGATCGGCTGGCCGGTCAAGGCAGTGATCGGGCCCGTTGTACGCACTTGGAACTTGTCGTTCACCATGTGACGCAGACGCTGGTAGTAGACGAGACCAACATAGATGTCAGCGTGCAGCTCCTCGCCCGTAATGCCAGAGTACATCGGCTCGTTGCCGTGATAGTTGTAGCCGGCCTTCATCAGCTGGTGGCCAAAGTAGTTGCCGGCAGTATTCTCCTCGTCGAAGCGGAACGGCGTGGAATCCTGCGCCAGACCGTGCAGCGCACCGGCCTTACCAGCGAGCGACTCGACAAACATACCAATCGTCATACGCGACGGGAAAGCGTGGGGGTTGATGATGATATCAGGCTGCATTCCAGACTCGGAGAATGGCATGTCGCCAGCGGGCCACTTCTGCGAGCAGACACCCTTCTGACCGTGACGAGAGGAGAACTTGTCACCGATGGTGGGGGAACGAGGGACGCGGAATTTCACAGAGATCATCTGGGCCGGCTCATTGCCGTTCTCACTGCCAATCACGCGAACCTCCTCGACAAACGTCATCTCGCCCTCCTTGTACTTTTCAAAGTGCGTGATGCCGTCGCGGTTTACCAGCTTGCCGTTAGCGTCCGTGGTGACCGTGTGCCACGCGCAGACTGGGTCTCCCTCCTTGACGAGACGGCCGACAAATGGCAGACCATCCTCATCAATCAGGGCCTTCCACTCAGACTTGACAAGTCCGCCCGGTGCGAAACCAAACAGCTTGCTGACCTTCTTGGCCGATCTCGACTTCTGTCCCTCGTCCAGCTCGTACTTCTTCACCTTGTAGATGGTGCCATGAGCGAAGCCGCGCTCGTGCGCGGACTTGTTGATAATCATGGCGTCGTCCATGTCGTAGCCGGTGTATGAGATGACAGCAACGACGGCGTTGAAACCGTTGGGGAAGTTATCGAAACCATAATCGTTGTGTAGAGGAGCACGAACAATCGGCGTCTGTCCCGTTTGGAGACGATACGACTTGTTGTCGGTTCTGTAGCGGAGGGCTGTTCCTGGGGTACCCATGGTTTGCTTACCCATCTGACACTGGTACATGTTTCTGGGCGATTGGTTGAAGTCGGAGAAGGGCGTCATGTTGGCGAGGATGGAGAGGATGTTGGTGGGGTCGAATTCAACGTGGGTTGTCTCCCCCGATTCAATCTCTTGTTCGGTGACGGCAATCGACATGAATGGCTGCTCCAACGGACCAACCCAATCCTCCTTGTCGAGTGGAAGATACTTGACTGGTCTGATCATTCGCGAGGGGCCAGAGTAGAGGTATACACCAGGGTACTGTCCACCGTGCGAGGCTGGAACATAGGCAATCTCCAACTCGACAGGAACGTTGTTTGTTCCTTCAACCTTCCAGAATCGAAGCGTATCCGCGATCCGCAGAGACTGCTTCGGCGTACACCAACCCAGAATCTTTCCATCCAGCATGACGACAACACTCTCATCCGTGGAAGCAGACGAAAATCCAACCACACCGAGGTCGACAGCAAGTGATGGGAGAGCCCCCGCGTCCACGCCGTGTGTGAGAATCTTGCATTTGTGGGACAGATGGTTGAGGAGACCGCAGGGACTTCCATCGGGAGTGTGGACAGGGCATAGGAATCCCCAACTCTCCGGCAGCAGTTTGCGAACGGTTGTAGTCTTCAGCTGTGCGAAGAAACTACCTCTGTGAACCATGCGGAAATGACTGATGAAACGCAAAAAGTTGATCTTCTCAGCGACGACAGTGAACCCAGACGTCTGCTGCAAATCGAGACCTGTAGGACTGATCAGGTTTCCCGTGGACATGAAGTACTCCAGAGCTTGTCCAACGGCCTCGTTCGTCCTTCCAAAAATCTTGGTCGGGAAATCCTTCAAGAACTCGGGCGACGCGAAGTTGTTTGCTGGATTTCTCCTCGTATACTCGCGCAGACCCAGGCGAAGGGCAGTCGAGAGCCAGTCGTCCAGACGTTCCTTGATGATCATGCCGTAGAGGAACCCCCCAAGAAGGATTTCCTGGTTTTGAACCGCATCAGGGTTGTCCAGAGAGCAGTCGCCAGCAACCAGCGAGTACAGCTTTCGGATCATGAACAGCAGCATCTCGAACTTATCGGCGTCTTGTGCCTCGGTGACGTCCACATTACCCAGATGCGGCAGCACAATCTTGCGCAAGAATTCCGTGCCAACATCGTAATCAGACATGTTATCCGGAACCTGAAGTACAATCCTGAACTTCTCTCCCAAGTATGCCCTCGTTTTCGACTTTGTGTACAGGCCGTATGCTTTGTATGTGCGAAGCAGCAGCTCCACGCGGTCGGTCAAGAAGGTGTTATTCGCACCCTTGGAACCAGCGCCTCCCACAAGATCCTCGAAGATCTCCCTGTCGTTCGTCTCGACCAATGCCTTCATGATCATCATGACCGGCACCAAAAACTCATTCTTCCTCCACGAAAACCTGAATGTTACGTTTCCATCATCGAGGTAATGCAGCACATTCGTCTGCGAAGTCTGGTCAGGCCTGACAGATCGGATGAGTGTAGCGAATTTGGTATATGTCGGTCCACGTCCCTCAAACGAAGGTCGGATGATTGCCATTGGGAAATTGCGTCTGTTGACAATCAAGAGTCGGATAAGCTTCTCAATTCCGTTGACCACAAAGTATCCACCCAGCTCCTCCGATTCTTCCTTGCGGTCCACCAATAACGCGGGCGAGTTATTCTCGAGATGGCACTTGTTTGACTGGAACAAGTTAGCTTAAATCTTCTTGGAACGCTTCAAACATACCTTCAACATCAGCGGGATCTGTCCCAGCTCTCTGATAAACTCGACCGGATCTCCGCCGTTGATCCTGTACTCGAGCCTCGCGCTCATCTTCCCGCGGTACGTCACATGGCGCTCTCTGCACTCAGCCGGCATAATCTCTCTGTTCCTCGTCGAGAACTTGTTGCTCGCCGGCAGCATGGCCTTCTCGACAAACACCTCCTTTATCCTGACAGTGAGCTTGTTCTTGCCCGCGGGCCCAAGGCGCTCATCGCCATCGAGGTACGTCTTTGCGCCAATGTCCTTGAGACTCTGGGCGAGGAGCCCATCCTTTTCAAAAACGGCATTGAAAGAGTTGATATGCGGCTCAATAGCAGCCTGCAGCGCTGGGTATGCGCTGTGGTCTTGCGGGGGGTTGCGGAAAAGCTCTTCTCTCCGGAGAGTGTCGAATTCCGCCGACCATTTGGTGTTTGTGCCGCCTCTCTTCGTTTTTACGGGCGCCATTGTGGGTTCTATATGAATTGTTAGTATGATTCAATTACATTGCAAATTGCAGGATAAAAAATCACGGCAGCAGCAAAAACTTACATGGAGGCTCTCAATCTCTACCACAGCGTGCTTCCCTGCCGGCGTAATCATCAAAAAGTTCGAGGCTATCAAAATAAAATCTCCACTACCACCCCGCACGTGATTTATCGCTCTTATCGCCCGTGCCACTAACGCTAACCCCGATCAAGGGGGACCACCACGCTAACCCAAACACAGCATAGGCGCCGGGTCTCCCAAAGAAAGCTGGTGACTTCACTTCGCTTTCGCGCCCTTGGACTTGCAGCTTGCAGACGAACCTAGCACTGCAAAAATCCCCCGGCCTGTACACTGCCGCCTCAAACATTTACCGCCAGCATTGTCAGACCAGCCAGTATTCATAGGACGGCTGTGGAACTTGCTGCGGGCCTGCTTGTTTGAAGCCGCTGGCTGTTTGTCTAGACATTATTCCTGGTTGTGTGGGAACACCCGAGTGGATAGTCCCATCGTGTGCCTGAACCAGTGCCATCTTTCTACTCCCACGACTTCACCTACAGGCAGAAGCATACATCCGTCACAGGCGCAGGTACAGCAGTAGTAATCTTGATTCTATTCGAAGCCACGGTCTCTGTGCATTACGTCTATAGCTCTTGTTATCCGCGAGGAGAGGCGTCTGGCCTTGGGGTGTGTTGACACCGCGGAGCGAACTGTAGGAAGAGAGGATACAAAGCAAAGATGGCGGGGCTTTTTAAGAGACTCTATGATTACCTGCTGAGGTTATTCTGGTATGTATTGCCTATCGTTCGTAGACGCAGGTGAAGCGACGTTCACAGTACTGACGTTGCTGCGGCATGAAGGGCGACCGAGATGGACATCACCATGATCGGGCTTCAGAATGCAGGGAAGACCTCTCTTCTGCGGGTTCTGGCGGTAAGACACTATCCGATCGAGACCTGTGAATTATGCTAATCAATTTCTCTGCAGGGCGGCGAGTTCACAATCGAGTAAGTTCCCATCAATAAAGACGCGCGCAACGCGATCTCGAAAGCGATTCGGCGATGACGCACCAGTAAGAACCAAGCTGACCACTCGCGAAACAGCTCCATACCTACCGTCGGCTTCAACATGAAGCGAGTCCAAAAGGGCCATGTCACACTGAAATGCTGGGATCTGGGAGGCCAGCCGCGGTTCCGCTCGATGTGGGAGAGGTACTGTCGGGGCGTGAACGCCATAGTGTTCATTGTCGACTCAGTAGACAGCGCGGCTCTGCCCGTGGCGAAAGAGGAGCTGCACAATCTCTTGCAGAAGCCGGTGCTTGATGGCATTCCACTACTCGTGCTCGGGAACAAGTCGGATTTGGAGGGCAGCATATCAGTCGATGAGTTGATCGAGGCGCTCGACTTGACGGCCATATCCCATCGCGAAGTCAGCTGCTACAGGATCAGTGCGAAGGAGGAGACGAATCTCGATGCGGTGCTGCAGTGGCTGGTCGCCCGGTCGAGTAAGTAGGTAGTTCGCCACTCGTTCGAGCAGACTACGGACGATTTAACGACGTGACGGAAGATAAAAGTCCATGGTAGGTTGGCAACGACCTAAAATCCATGGCTGGCGGCGCATGCGATCTTTTTTTCAGCAGGCCCTCGCCTCTTCTTGTAATTCTCATATCCAGCAACATTTTGTGGCCCAGTTTTTTTTTTGGTCTGTTTATTATTCGTGTTTTCGGGCATCGGAGCAGATAGCGGCTCTCTGATTCTTCTTGTTCTTCTGTTTTGGGAACTGCGGATGGGTATATGGCATGGCTTGGTGTTCAACACGGGGTGGTTTCAGCGGCTTGTGCATTTTGCGTGCGTATGTTTGCCTCGTCGGTGGTATTTATTTTCGAGGAAGGTCGATTGTTACGATGGCTTCCGTGCAGAAGTGATTCCTATAATGTGTACGGGTATCTGCCCAAGTTTATCTGCTCAAGTTTATTCATAAGAGTGTTGCGCCAGAGGACAGTGAACGGATCTGCTTGTGAGACTCCAACCAGTGCAGACTCTCACTCTTATTGTGCCTGTCAGTCGCCTGTCAGTGCCACCTTGGACAATAATTGTGTAAGAGAAGAGAACGAAAGCAGGTGGAGGTGAAGTACAACTTTGAAATAGCATTCCAATCGCTCGCTGCATGGACTCGTTGATGCGCTGGCATCTGCAACCCAAACACCGCATCCTTGCTTGGCCCGCCGACAAGACCATGCGAGTTTGACCTTGGGGACGGGGTCAAGCGGGGGAGTGGCTACGGTTCTCAGGGCAGCACCCAGAATATAATGGGGGTCTAAAAAATGACAAGTTAAGGTTAATCAGGGCAAAGCATGACAATCATCTAGATATCACAATCTTCAATTCCCATAGTTTATGGCTTTCACATGCTTGATTGGCTGGCATTTGGGCGAATCGTTTGACTGCCGGTGTCTTCTGTTTTGGGTAAGGCGTTGATCGATATATGCATCATGACATGACGTATGCCTGATGTACCACGGAAGTATCTTGTAGCTCTGTCATGCCAATGAGGCAAAAGTTATGAGAGAAGCTGGATAGAAAATATTCCTATGAATACATAGTAAATTCCAATAATTCCGCATTGCCATCACAAACAATCTAAGCTATCAAAATAAGCATTAATCAAATCCCCTTTATCCCGAATAAATTCCAAGCCCAACCTCAGATACAGTCATCGCTTCCTACTCAGCCCTGTGCCACGGGGACTCCGTCAGTACATCGGCACAGGCCAGCTCCAAACCAGCTCAGCCACCAAACTAACTGGGTATCCAAGACATTTCCAAGGGAAGCAAGAAATACACATTACGACGACGACGACGACTCTCTCTTCTTCTTTCAATCCTCATCAAATATAATCCAGACGTCACAACGACATCTACCAGCTTCACTTTCGCTTCACATTATTCAACATCCATATCGCGGCGTTCTGTCTAATCAAGGACACATCGACTGATCCCTCTCTCAAAGTCACCTAGGAGGCAAAACTCAGCCACAGCGTCGCGTCGCATCTCTCGCCCCGTAACAGACTTTGAAGCACAGCTTCTCAATCCATCACGATGGCACCGGCGATATCACCGGCGCTGCTTGATTCCGTGCTCGATAAGCGACAGTATTACGGTTACGGATACAAGTTCGCACCCCTCCTCCCCACGGCCGCTACCACCCGGGCATACTAACACTCTACAGCAACGACTCGAACTGGAACCGCTGGGGACGCTGGGTCGCACTCGTCGTGATCGTCGGCTTCTTCCTCGTCCTCGCATTTGCTTGCTCGTAAGCTCCTTTCCCAAGTCTCCCAGTCAGCGTATAACCCCAACTAACACTCCCTCAGATGCGTCAACTCCCGCCGCCGTCGCCGTCAAGGTCTCGCACCACGCTACGGCACGGGGTGGCTCGCCGGAAAGCAAAATGGAGGCCAGCAGCATTACCAGAACAACTACTACCAGGGACAGCAGAGCGGATACAACTACGGTGGTGGAGCGGCACCAGCGCCTCCGTACAGCCCGCCGCAGCAGCAATATGGCCAGCAACAGCAGTATGGCGGGAATACGGATTACTATGGCGGGCAGCAGAGCGGGATTGAGCTCCAGCAGCCGCAGAGCTCGTACAACCCGCAGATAGGCCGTGAGCAGACCTACGAGCCTCCGACTGGGCCACCTCCAGGAAAGCAGGGTGATGGGATTATCAGATGATCTGGCCAGGTGCGGGGCGAAGAGAGTGGGCTGGTGAAGGGAGGATAAAGTGTTAATAAACTCACGCATGACACGGCATGGTTGGGCTGGGTATCTGGGGATCGGGGCGTTTTCATTTCGAGGGGTACTGTACATGTATTTGCGAGGGAAGGGATGGTATTTAAATGATTGCTTGGGGGGGTGGAAGAGGGTAATAACGAATCACTTCAAAATGAAATAGTCATGATATTTGCTGTCTTCGCTGAGCATTGTCTGCACAGAGCACTGTCTGGACAGAGCACACTCTCCACACTGACATGCGTGCCAAAATAATGCCCCCACGTTGCATGTTCCCCTCAAACAGTCGAAACGGTCGAAACCCCCGATCAAATCAAGTAGTCTGTTTTGAATAGTTATAAAACGTCCGGTCAACCAACAGACGGCCTCATGTCCACGGCCTGGTGTCCAACACGCAGCCTCCAGCTCCAGGTCAGCAAGCCACCAACAAGCGGCCGATTCCTGGGCGGTCGTTGATTCGAGTATAGAATTTGAGAATGATATTCGAGCCAGAATATCAACATTTCCTAACCTACTCCCCCTCTCCATATAAGCTTATCCTCATTTTCAACATTCACAATTTAACCTTCCCATCATCCTCGACACGTCAATGCAACTAACAAAACGTACTTGCATGGTGATATGACGATATTCCCTCCCGGCCTAACCCGACCCAGCCAAGCGCCGCGTGTCTCTCCTGCGCCCCTGACCGTGATGGCCCACCGTACTTTTTAGTAGTGAACTTCAGCACCCTTCTGGTACGGAATAGCGGAAATTCAGGGTACGCTTACACGCTCACAGGGCACTTTCAGGAAACTTTCAGGTCACTTTCAGGGACAGCCTCGTCAATGGTCCCTTGCAGTAGTCGGCCTCACCTCCTGAGTCGCGATCTGTTCCTCGTCGCTCTTTAAAATCCTGTTCTCTTGCATATTTATATATATAAATATAATATATCCAGTATCATTGTCATCACTGTGGCAAATCGTATACGAACAATCTACTTATATTAACCTCCTCGTCATCCGCATGAAATACGAAATCTCTCGTCTCCTCCCGCTCCTCTAGTGATCAACGCTCACCCGGCTACAGTCAGCAACCAAACCTTGCACAGCCCGCCTCCCACCCCCAACCCCCCATCGCTCCGCGTTTCAAGTCCGCCCGGTGGATTGGAATTTGCCGTGGGTTCGAGTGAGAGCGGGTAAGAGCAACGCTGTGGCGGTACAAGATCGTCGCCCGCCCAATTTCGACACTTGAAGAGTTGCCGAAGGCAGGAGAGAAAAAAGAAACTCGGGGTTTAGTTTCCCTGAGCCTGAGCATCGAACCACTTCACGATCCGCTGGTTCCAACGACGGCGTACAGCGACATACGACGGGCGCTGAGCAACAAGACTCGAGGAGGGATGGGTAGACTGGGCTGATTGCGACAACACCTTGCTTTCCTACGATTGTTCAACGACGACTTGACCCGAATCCGAAAAGCGAAACAAAGAATAAAACAGAAACAGAACAGAACACAAACAAACGAGGGTGCATTTGCACTCGGTCGAGTCGCGAGGATGCCGACAATCGATGTAGCCATGGCGCGCAGTGTGTCGCGGGAGATGCTTCTGGGATTACAAAACAGAGACCTTGCGGAGTCGGCGAACAATGTCAAGACGTCCTTTTCGAGTTGGGATAATTGTATGAAGGCCACATACTGCAAGTAAGCGCCGTCCACATAATCCCAAGACGAGTTCACGACTAATAACCCTAGATGGCCAATAATAGCCGCCATCATCGTGGGCGGACTCATCGTTCTGTCGGTCGTATGGTGTATCGTCCGCTGCTGTTGCTGCGGTATGTCATGCTGCTGCTCCTGCTTCAACTGCCTCAAGTGCTGTGGCAACTGCTGCGGCTGCTGCGACTCTCCCGACAAAAAACACAAACATCTCGACGAACCGTACTTCCCGCCGGCCTTCGCCCCTCACAGCGGATACAAGGCCCCAGACCCCATGATGTCTGGTGGTGGAGCTCCCGGTACCCCCTTCTCGCCCGCCCCGTCATACGCACGCTTTGAAACTGGACCAAACGGAATGGCTATCGACCCCCCCAAGCCCGTCAACGACGATGCACTCCCCCCGATGCCCAGCTGGGACTCAGCCGCCAAACGCCGTATCAGCATAGAAGATGAGCCCGGCGCAGTTGAGCTTGGCGAACTCGACCCGGTAACTGGACAACGAATGCCCCTTATGACAGGCGCTGCAGGCGCAGGCGCAATCTCTCGAACCAACAGCCCAGGAATTGGCACTGCATCCGCAGGAGCGAGTCCCTACGGCCACCCGAACGGCGGGGCAGGCGGATACATGTCACCTGGACCCAACGGCCGACCAAACGACCAGTTCTCGCGCAATAACTCGAATAATGGCTACGGAGGCGACCAAGGCCTCTCACCTATTGGACCCCCCGGGCAAGCTTACGGTGGACGCGGATACTCACCACAGAACCAGAACCAATTTATCGGCCAAGCGCAAGGGGGACCTGATGAGCAGTACGGAAATCACGCTATTGGGAACGCATATGGCGACGACAGACAATCGCCATACCCCGGAGATAATGGCGGTCCCCAGGGAGGTGCCTTTGGCGTAATGCCAGCACCTGGCTTCGGACAACATCAACGAAACGATAGCGGTCAGCGACCTTTCACTGCTGACCGCGCGCATGTACCTGCTGGTCCGTTAGGTGGTGGAGGATACAGCGGCAGCGACGAGTCGTATGCGAATGCGCCGCGCATGGGCAGCCCGCCAATACTATCGAATACGAGCGGTTACGGGCCCCGTGGCGGAAGCCCGCCACAGGGAGGCTACAGGGGCGCGACTCCAGTTGATTCATCAGGAGGATACAGGGGCGGAATGGGGATGCCGATGCCGATGCCGCAACGGGTTGATTCGCCGCAGGGAGGATACAGAGGGCCACCGCAACGAGTAGATTCGCCCCAAGGCTTCAGAGGGCCGCCGCAAGGGTTTGGAGGACCACCACCTCAGCAGAGGATGGGAAGCCCTGGACCAGGACGGGGTGGATTCGGGCAGGGCCCAGAGAGGAGAGGAAGTCCCGGACCGGGACCAGGAGGGTTTGGACAGGGTCCCGAGAGGAGAGGGAGTCCAGGGCCCGGACCGGGAGGGTTTGGACCGCCTAGACGGACTAACACGGGAGGGATGGGGAGCCCCGCACCACCGAGCTATGCTAGCCGGAGTCCAGGTGGTGGGAATGGAGGTGGTGGCGGTGGATATGGAGATAGGTGGTAGAGAGACGGGGAGGTTGAAGTGATGGGGAGGATGATGTAGATGATGGGGGAGTGATGTAAGTGAGATTGGTCACAACACACGGCACGGCACGGCACGACCGCTGGACGCGGCGGGATACCCTTTTCTTGTATATGTTTGTATATTCTAAGGTAGACGATAGGGATGGAGAGATATGTAAAATCTACCGTTACTTCTGTCAAACTTCTGTCAGTGTGTTGGAGCGTGTGGGTGATATATGTTGTTTCGGCACATATCCCGATTGAGCTGTGCTGCCGGAATTAGCGCTGTCTCCATGGGACTTTGACTTTGAGTTTGACTTTGGATGAGCTAGAGGGCGCATAATGGTAGTTCTACGGTGTTATTTGAAGGCTTTGGCAGGCTTACAGCAGGCATGTAACCTGCGACGTCTCATAAGGCGGGTTTGATGTTGAGCCGCTCGGGGAAGTGAACTATCTTGGACTGGTGTTGGTGATGGCGGGGTACGTACCGCGATGGATATAGATTTGCCTTGGCCTTCTCTTGTGACAGCGGCAATTTGTACCGTGCCGTCATAAATCCCGCGCATCTTCAGATTCATCATCGTCGGCTCCCAGCTTATCATTTTTACTTATTTATACTCTAGATGCTGTACTGACGATATAATCTCCATTCCTCATTCTGCCCATCACGGTGAGCCCAACACGTGAACACTCCCTGGCTGTAGTCAGCTATCTTCACTGGACTGTGGAAGATTATAGCCCCGTGCTGACACCCGCGCTAAGGTCCACTCATCCAATCACTTTGGCACCGCTCCGCCCCGCTGGCCGCCCTACGGCTCAGGACCCCTGGCCGAGTTGACGCAGGCCTTGGCTATTTTAGGATACCGAGAAGGATTCGGGGGCCAGGGGGAGGGATGATTTTTTTATGGGGGCTGAACGGAGAGGATTAGAGAAGAGAGAGGCAGAGGAAGAGGACGGGAGAGGACGAAGATGATTAGGAATGTGAAGGAGAGAAGGAGGAGAAGGAGCAGCAGGTCACCTATGAAGGGTTGATATAGCCTCGTCGACTAGGTGGATTTATAGATCCTCACCGTGACACGGCTGACGGTCAACACTGCGCCTCCAACCACAGCAAACCAATCTCACCTTCCCCCTTCCAACTCTGCCACCGCCAATCGAGCCGCGCGGATCCCCGGCCCCTTCCCTCGCGCGGTACCATCCTGCACCTACCCTGCACTACGCTGTACATAGGAGCGCCAACACTGTATTGGGAGGCACCAGGGCGCCTCAATGCACGGCCCCTGTCACAGCCAGCTGAAGGAGCAAGAATCGTGAGATTATGTCCTCTTCGCCCCAGCCCCAGTTGCCAGCCTTTTCCCTCATGGTCTGGAATCATCTGGTCAGGGTTCCCATCTCCTCGCACTCTCGAACCGCTGCCGGATCCGCGACGACGACGACGACGACGACGACAGAAGAACGACGACGATGAAGAAGCGTGCGCTGGAGAGCGACGTGAGAGCGATGGCCGCTGGCAACGCTGAGCGACAGGACGCAGCAGCGTTGCAAAATCCGACAAACGCCCAACTATCCTCAGATTCAGATCTCGAGGTAACTCTCTCACTCAATGATGCCAAACAGATGCCCTTCACGGGCACCACCATCGACAATGGGACGAAACTATTTGCCTCCGTCACAACCACGTCAGAGAAGATAGACATTGCACCCACACTCTACATCGCGGGCATCGAGCTCGTCGATATGAACGCGCCAACGGAAGCACCCCAGCATCTCTTGCGAAACTGTACGCTCTATCCCTCTCCCTCCTCCTTGCCAGACCGGTAACTAACATCCCCCCAGCCGCAGATTGCATCTACAATCCAGGGCTCGCTAAATGCAACATAAACACCGTACTGCAATACTCCCGCGACAACAAGGCCTTCCCTCTCGAACTCTTCCTCACCAACGCCAAGATCACCCTTGGACACAGATACACTGTCAACCTACGCTACTCAGATAAACCTACTCCACTCCCCGGTGATCTCGAGTCGGCCACCGCACAAAATGGCGCGGGTGGAGATCTCATCTTGTCCGCCGACGGCAAGCCCCCTACCGCCGACGACCCAAATGCAGCATCCACAACCTCAAGCTCAACCACAACCTCTTCCGGGCTCATCAACGGCGGGATCCCTAAGCCGACAGGGACATTGACCGAGTCGCCCGATTCAGCCACCGCGACGTCCACCACCGTACCCTCCTCAGCACCGCACTCGACACCGAGCAGCAAGGGGCTCAGCACAGGCGCGAAGGCGGGGATCGGAGTCGGTGTCGCTGCTGCGGTGTTGATCGTGATCGCCCTGCTGGTGGCATGGTGGGTTCGCCGGACACGGCGCGCGAGTACGCGGAATGGACGCGGGGCTGGGGAGAAGGAGAGCGTACTTGCTGCTGCTGCGCCGGGAGGAGCGGGAGAGTACAGAGATGCTGATGAGGCTGGGGGTGCGGTTGTGGGTGGGGCCGTGGGTGGAACTCCTGTGACCAGGAAGCCTGTTGGCGTGCCGGCGGTGACGAATGAGGCGGCGCTTGCTGATGCTGTGAGCCCTGCTTCGACGACTGTGGGTGTTGTGGGGGCGCAACATAGGGGTGCAGGAGGAGAAGGGGCGGCTCAGGAGTCGATGTTGAATGCCGAGGAGAGGGAGAGATGGGAGGAAGAAGAGAGAAGGCTGGATGAGGATATTGCTGAGGCCGAGAGGAGGCGACTCGGTGCGTAGATTTGGGGGTGTATATTTGTTGGATTTGAATCTATACCACAGTCAATCGTTTATACAGTCGTTTTTGCGAGATGAGATTTGAGATAATGCGGAGGGGAGCTTTGAGGCGATTTGAGGTAGATTGAAATACCAAAAAGATTTCTGTTCGTGTTTGTGTTCGGTTTCTGAACTGTAGAATGGGTGTGTCAGCTTATGAGAAGGGAAGGGGTGTGCGAGAACCTCTTGTAGGTAGGTTTGCTGGAAATGGCCGGTTCTCAACGGATAACGATGGTGGACTACCATTCATGCTTTCAAAAATGCACGGTAGCTCATCATGGAAGCCGATGTGATAGATCCATTGGCATGAAATGTTAATTTCAATCTCCCTCTTTATCTCCAAGAATGATGGCTCTCAACCCCGCTTTGTGCCTTTGTTCGAGGCAACCTTGATATTTCCGTTCCCCCGTTGCTCAAAATTCCACCCTGCTGCTGAACGACATCTATGCCAATCTTCATGCCGCTGCAAGCTGCTGTCAAAGGCTGATGTCGGTCTTGCCTTTTGAATTCTGATTTTTTCATTAATTCCTAGCCAGCTTCTCACAGGAGATGATGCTTTGTCGGAAATCATCATATCCTATGCCTCAGTTATGCCCCTTCCTTGTGACGGCTCCTCGCAGAGTTTGTCTGCTGCCTTCTGTGCCTCACGCACTCTCTATCTCAGTTTCTAGCATTTGCACCCTTCGTCAGCAATTGTAATTGTCAGCTTCCAAGCTGGCAATTCCAATTTCAAATCACGGTGCCAGCTTTCCCATAAAAACCGTCACAGGCAGCACCGTCATCAGTTCCCATGGCCAATTCCCCAGTCAACAGCTCATCACATTGCAAACAAGCACGTGAACACATAATTACAAAAGTAAACACATTAGTTCATAAAACCCACTCTGCAGGTCTTGAAGACCGAGCAGGCAAGGGGTTTCATTATCTACTGCTACAAATCCCCCGCCAACTCCTGTACTCCTACAACGCCGTCCCGCCGCCACCCACCCACAAACACCAACATACTCATACACGCCCGCCTGCCCCTAATTCCCCCACAAGCTTATCCTCCCCTTTTTCGCCTTCTTCTTCTCCTCTCGCTCCTTCTCCCGCCCACGCGCTTCCTCCTCCTTCATCCCGCCAAGGATATCATCGAACGTGCTCGGGCCGTTCCCAGGCGCCACGCCAGCCGAACTCACCCCAGACACCGAGCCAGCGCCACCGAAAGCTGACGTTGCGCGCGAGACGGGCCGGGAGGACATGTGCCGTGACGTCGGCCGTGATACCGAAAGAAGCTCGGCACCCAGACCGACGCCAGGCGGCGCACCAGCATCCCCAAAGAACTCCGCAGGTTGCCACTCCTCCCGTCCCGGCTGTTGCCGGCTCGGCGGGCGGCGCACCACAGTTGCCATGCTGTCATGGCGCAGCAGGTCGGGCGGGGGAGTGGCCGAGCTGAGGCGGCTGGGTCGGAGAGGCGGGGCTGGGAACTCAAACGTCGCGGGACTACCCGCAGGGCTGACCGGACTCCCACTACCGTCACGGGTCGACACGTCAACCGGCGCGAGGTAGGGGGAGTTGGCCAGAACCGGGCCGCCCTCTAACGCGGCGCGGGCCTGCAGAGGAGGCAGCCAGTCAGCGCCGGCCATCCAGCAGTGACTGCGGGTGTAGATTGCCTCTGCGGTGTTCTCAGCCGCATCAAAGGGATAGTCGCGCATGGTTCTTCCGTCTTGCCATGGAAGATGGCCGAGAGGGGGCTTGCACAGGAAGTACTCCACCCCTCCCGTGTAGCGAATACCCGGAGCGTCCATCACGAGAGGAGGCAGACACTGCAGGACGGCGTACAGGAAGATCCAGTATCCGAAGCGTTGGTCGCGGAGGTCACGGATCGACGATCCCGACGCCTGTTCGTCTTCGAACTCAGCATACTTGCGCAGGAAGGGCGTCTGAAGGCCCACGGAGACGTTGTGCGCCTTGGCGAGAACGAGGAGCTTTTCGAACGGGCGCAGGCGTCGGGTCTCGGCTGTGACTTGGGCTTTTGCGGAGCGCTTCGGGTGGCCGGCGTCGAGGGTGGTGGGGGTGGGGAGCTTGGGGAGGTCGAAGGGGATGGGAGGGGTGACGGGGATACTGGAGCGGTCGTGCTCGGACATGATCTTTCGGAGCGCCAGCAGCTCCAGCTGTCCCTGTGTCATGTCGTCCTCGCCCTTCACGTCTTCGACGTCTAGTGTCCGAGTCGTCAGGGCCTCGCGATCCACTAGGATATCGTAGAGTGCTGCGAGGTCGTCGTACAGGATCTTCAGGGCCAGGCGGTTAAGACCGGAGATTTGGAAGCCGCTCCTCTTTCCGCTCTTCGGAGGCCATGAGCCGTGCAGGTCCTTGTAGTATGACAGGACGAACGACCGAAATGCGACAAAGTGAGACCTCCATGCGGTGAATCTGACAGTCTTACTCTCCGCAGTGACCTTGGAGGCGGCAGTGCCGTTAAATATGTGGGGGAAGTCGAAATCTTGGAGTCGAGTCTTGATGGACTTTTGACGATGCTCGAGATCGAGGGCTTCTCGCTCGATTTTCGACTTTGTTGCGTCCGAGACCATTGCGAACAGCTTGTGTTCTCTGATCCCCTTGCAACCATAGGCACCAACGCAATGTATGAATCCTTCGCGATAAAGCTGTGCATGGCGCATCGCTTCGCCCATGATAACTCCTTGGAGCATCTTTTGGAACGATCCTCGTACGTCTTGCAGATTATAAATATCGTTATAGAAGGAAAACGCCGTTGTTATGACTCGTCCAAAATCCCCGCTGGACTCGTCGAGAAAGTCCACGTCGGCAAGGTGGCTCGCGATCCCAAGAAAGACCGAGATCTCAGTCGGGAATCTCATAGATGCAATCAGCGGCTTGTGAAGCAAAAATGCAATCAAGTTTCGTGCGGCGAGTAGACGATCAGTGTCGCTGCCTGCATCTTGCAGGTTCTGTGGAATCGTAAGTCTCGTGATTGGAAAGTATAGATGACCTTCTCTCGGCGTCTGGTTCGGTTTGGCCATCAAGTCGCCTTGGGCAAACCCGTCTGCGGACAGGTAAGCTGATAAATCTGCGGAAGGCCTTCGTTGGGGTAGATCGAAGTTGAAATCCAAGCGCTTCATCGCCTCGTCTGGCGCGTTCATGACTGCATCTTCTAGAATAGTAGGTTCTGGGTTCACTATGGTCGGGCTGGTTGGCATGTTGAAGCTGACCGGGCTAGCTATGCTGATAGGGCTGGTTGGGCTTTGACTGAAGGCAATGTTCATGAGCATCGCGGATGTTTCAATGACCCGCGATGGGATCTTGAACGACGGCTTATTTCCCGTTGGGAACAGGTATACGTTGACATCTGCCGTATCGTCCCAGAGCTCTGTCACCTTTAATTCGGTTAGCAACCTGCAGAGTATGTGGTTGTGAAATAATACTGACTCGTTCTCCGGAAAGCAGTGGCGCCAAGTTGTAGTCCACCTTGTTTGGTCCTCCAAGAACCCATGGTGCTGAACCAGCTGATGATGTAGGCCTTGACGAATCTCTTGATCGAGGCATGAAGGTCAGGCGGCTTCGTAGTTTCGATCTGTCCGAGCCTTCGCTATCTGACATGTATGAGGGTGGTGCCATCGTTGACATTGAACTTGCTGATGGTACGCGGTGTCCAGTGTCGAACAACGGAGGGTATTGCATCGGGGAGCCATCTCGTGTTTGTGGTCGGGATCCGGGTGAGCTGTCCCTCGAAGACAGGAATCGTGATTGTGACGACGCAGCGAATGGCGGAGTTGGTGGTGGTGGCATAGAATGTGGAGATGGTGACGGATCGCGGTTGATTCCCATCGAGTTGGCCTTTGCGAGCTTGCGTGGCTTCTGGGCGGGGTCGAATGTAGGTGCGGGGACCTCGAGCTCAGTCGTCGCGGTCTGAGGTCGCGGGCCCATCTTGCGGGAGAGAAGCCCGGGTTTGTCTGCATCCTTAGCTGCTGAAAATAGATTTGTAAAAGATAGAGAAAAGGTCCTGGAAAGATTGCCCAGTGATGAAAGCCCCTCGAGTGATTGCACTATCTCCGAGTCCTCGCTTGGGTCTGGAACTTCACTTGGGCCCGGAAGGTTCGCTTTCTCTCGTGGGGCCGGACTGTTCTGTGGGGTTGGCTTCTGCTGCTGCGGCGGCGTAATGCTGATGATGATGTCGTCGTTGCTGTCTGATACTTCAGGCCGACCATCAACACCAGCCAGTTCACTAAGCGTCAAGGAGGACGGACTACGTCGGAGACCTTTCCGAACTTTCGGGTCATACACAGGATGCGGCTTCAACAGTAACTGCCCTGCTGCGAGCCTACCCCAGTCTGCAAACGTTTCTGCGCAGGCCATCGGGGGAGTAGCAGCCTGGATGTTAATCTCGGGGACGCCAAGTGTGTCAGGAGTGGTTGGAGGCTCAGTCGCAGCAGCATCAGGAGATAGGAGCTCAGCCATAGCAGGAGGAGATGGGGGCTCACTCTTTGCCATCGCGTTGTTGGGAGCCTTGCTCGGCGTCGTGTTACGGCTTGATCAAAGTGAACGTTGTGTCGGATGGGGCATAGCAAACTTTCAGATCGAAGCGTAAACAACTTCAAGAGGTGCCCATACAAGCGTTAACAATCGGTGCCTCGCGAGGCACCGATTTTCACACGGCAGATCTAAGCGTTATAACGGCTAAGGGGGGGGATCGACTTTGCTGGCTGCAGCTGATGGTGAGTACTTGACATGCAGGCGCGTCTAGGATTGGTAAAAGATGTTCAAGAGGATGGCAATGTGACAATTGACCTGTTTCTGCTGGTTTCTGTCTTAACTGAAGAGATTTGTGTCACTACAGCGAAGGTGACAGCCATCCAGCCATCCGGCCGCCCTTATGACGTGTGTCTCGGAGTCCCAGGTACGAGAGGTAGCACTAAATGTTTTAATATGGGGCAGAATGTCTTGGATCTGGGATATATGCAAGATATGCAAGGCTCTTGGGAACATGTGGATAGGGAGTGTGGAAGGGCAGCAATTTAGCCCCTTACCGTTGCAGGAATGCGCTTGGCGTCTCATAGAAAAGTAGCGGCGGTGAGATGGAGATGCTAGTTGCCACTGCCGCCCCCCTAGACGCCATTGTTTGCTGCGGCTTTGTCTCAGTGGTGGCGAAACTCTACTTTTAGTTCAGTGATTCGCGTTCCCATGTCGTGGACAGCCACAGCCCAAGAATAACTCCAAGCATAAATTTATACCCGAGGTGTGCAGAGTTGAAACAGGAACTCCATAGTAGAATCAGGAACTGCGTTTTTGGTGGACGTTGATTTGCTAAAAGGGGCAAAAGATAAACACGAGGCGTCATCGGCTTGGCTGAGGTCGAATAGGCGACGGAGCGGTGGTTGACATTGAGTCGTATGCCGGCCCACTAACTACTATATTTATCCAATACCAAGCCGCTATGACAGAAGTGGCACACTTAAGGTTTGCATAGTGTGCATCAAAGTTGCTAGGAAATTTCCCAGTATCCGAGGATTATACGAGTGTTAGAATCTTAGGATCTTAGATTTCTGATTTGGTTTTTTCATGAGGAGTCTGAGATTCTAGATCTTGAACAGCCGGTGTTGGTGGAAACCTGTCAAAGGGACGAAAATAGAGAACACGAACACCAACACCAATCTAGGGAGTGAAATATGTTACCTTACATCACAGATGCAGGGGCAAGAGAGTGAGCAGGTTTATTACGCGGTAACTTAAATACAGGACACGCTTATATATATTTCTCTTAGGGCCCTTGGCCCCTTCATGACGGTTATCAGGCATAGATCTGTCATCTCTGTTTTGTGGGAAGGAGTTTGACGCACAGGTAAACAGGTGAAGATGGCAGTAAGGTTAAAGTTCAAACTGAGCGTCTAGACCACATCCATGTGCTTCTGGCCACTGAGTGTAACCTTTGTGCAAATAATCTCCATCAAACTATGCATTTCATAAGGTGTGGAACCCTAAATGCTGGGCAGTGGATGAGATTGTGTTGGCACTTTGATCGAGTTTTCTTTGTTATCGATAAATCGTATCACGTGACTTTTATCGCGTGACTATTGTACGTCACGTGCTCGCCAAGAAAATCGCGCTATCACCACGTGCCGCAAAATCGGCTGCCTAGTCGCTGAGTCAGCAATCTTCTAATCAGTTCCAATCACAATCGGAAGCTTAAATGGGTTTAGGTTGAACTGCGAGTGTGTCGTCGAATGTTCTCCGCAATTAATATGAGCGAATCGTGCGCCAAAGCCGTTCCCACTTCCTCTTCTCGACTCTCTCTCTCTTAACAACGTCTCTTACCAATCCACCCCCCAACCCCGCCATCAACGAATCCACCTCTCTCAAAATACCATCATCCATCAGTCCCTATAATCTCGTCGCCGAGCTATGAGTCGAGGCGGTAAACTTGCCCCCGAAGTCAATCGGTATGTGAAGTGCCATGTGCCCATCCACCACCACCCCCATCACCCCACCACCTGCCTCTACCCTGGCGATCTGACAGCGAGACCTCGAGGACCCCGCTAACTGTCATCACAGAGCTTTGTTCGTGAAGAATCTTAGGTACGATATATATTCGACTGTCGCAAGGCATGATGGCAGATGATGATCAGGCCATGGCGATGTGTAGTGGTGTGGCGCTGACGTGAATGTAGCTACAACGTTACCCCCGAGGAGTTGTTCGACCTCTTTGGCAAGTTCGGGCCTATCCGGTACGCATCTTCATCTGTATACAATAACGTCGATTGATACTGACTACGTGCTGCAGCCAAGTCCGCCAGGGCATTGCCAACAACACCAAGGGAACGGCGTTCGTCGTCTTCGAAGATGTCATGGATGCGAAGCAAGCCTGCGACAAATTAAACGGTTTCAACTTCCAGAGCCGCTATCTCGTCGGTATGTGTACGACCTTCAAATGCATCAGTTCAGCCACTTACCTGCCACAGTTCTATATCACCAGCCCGAGAAGATGAAGTCGAAAGAGGACCTAGAAGCCCGCAAGGAGAATTTAGAACAGCTGAAACGCCAGCACGGTATCGAATAACAAATAGACGGGCCGGTGAAAACAAATGCTGCGAAACAAGCGGCAGAGGTTTCCGCTGGCCCGTCTGGTCCTTCCAAGGCTCAGTCCGATGTCAATGATAAGGGAGATGATGGGGGCAAGGGTGCAGGTTCCAGTGGGCGTACAACTTTCTATTCTTCTTTGCGAACTTGGTTGGGACTTAAATTGCGGCGTTGAACGGATCTTTATGATGACTGGTATGACGGGGACGGGCGGTTCGTAGGCATGCTGGGCGTGGCTTTCGCTCAGCAGGATGGAGAGGGGGCAGGTGGCGCTGTCACTGATTCTTGGGCTGTATTCCTATGGCATCATGGCTTATCATGGCTTTTACCTGTAACCCCATAGGCTGCGGTCTTTACTGGACTCGCTTTGAACTCAATCACTATTTTCAGTTACTGGGCCGACTTACGCGTGACTGAAGTTGCCATTGTTGCTCGGCTTTCTATCGGTTCATGGGCCGACAATGACCGATATGCCCGTACTCAATCGCATAAATCGTAACTTTTGGGAGAATTTTTGTCTTCCAGGTCACGTATTGTACATTTCCTACAGTATACACACGAACTTGACGAATCTAACTACGAAAACTACAAATTATATCCTGCCTTTCCGGTCTCCCGCCTCCCTTCATTTTGCACCAGGCAAATATGATCATGGTGCAAATCGGCGAAACGATTCTCCGAAACTGTACCACAAGACGCTGACGCTATGACGATTTAGGTGGCCAAGCACCTGGGCCAGCCTTGGGATCTGGACTCTCTGGTCCATTTCAAAACCACTCAAACATAACACGACTCCTTCTTTCCGACGAACGATATTGTGGTCCATATCCTCCATGCCACGCAGTCCAGTGCCATTCGAACCCCCAGAACAGACTCGACGACATACACTCCCCATCGAAGACCAACTGAGAGGAGAGGTGGCTCGCCACTACGACTGAAACATCCCCACAAACCTGCTTCCACAACACCCTACGAACCTCCCTACATCACCCTGAACAGCAGCCTCCATCCCATCGAACCCTACCACCCAGCGCCCGGCGCTCGTCGCCACCATGGCCTTACCAACTACCACGCCGACCTCTCTCCTCGCCACGCTCGCCTCCTCCACCGCAGTGGCCACTGCAATGTCCGTCACCAAGAAGGGCGAATGCGAGCTCCTCGGCCCCTTTGCCCTGCTCGTACAGCTCGCGCTCGGCGGGCTGGCGCTGCTGGCGCTGGTGTTCAAGCGGTGGCGCGAGAGGCCGCAGCGGCCAGTCAAGGTGTGGGCGTTTGATGTGAGCAAGCAGGTTGTTGGGAGCGTGTTGCTGCATGCAGCGAATCTGGTGATGAGTATGCTGTCGAGTGGGCGGTTGAGCATGAAGGTGGAGGATGTAATCATCGAGGCGAGGGATGAGAGTGGGAGCGCGAGTGGAGATCCAAATCCGTGTAGTTTCTACTTTTTGAATCTACTCATCGATGTAAGTTGCCTTGGCGAAGTTTCAAACGAAACCATATACTAATACGCTATGCAGACTACCATTGGAATCCCAATTCTCATCTTCTTCCTCCACCTCCTCACACGCCTCTTCCTCCTCACATCCCTCGGCGAGCCGCCGCAATCCATCGAGTCTGGCAACTACGGCTCACCACCCCGCGCGAAGTGGTGGGCGAAGCAGTCGCTCATTTACTTCCTCGGACTCCTGAGCATGAAATTCATCGTGCTCCTCATATTCATATTCCTCCCCTGGATCTCGCACGTCGGGGACTGGGCTCTGCGGTGGACCGAGGGCAACGAGAAGCTACAGGTCTTCTTCGTCATGCTCTTCTTCCCAGTCGTGATGAACGCTACACAGTATTACATCATTGATACGTTTATCAAGGGCAGGCTCGAGGGGGTAGAGGGGGGACGAGTCGTCGAGGACCCAGTCGACAGCGATGACGAGGGTGGTAATGAAGCGGATGGACTGCTCGCTGCCGAGGTAGAAGTGGTAAAGAAGAAGAGGAAGACCTCAAATGATGTCGCGGATAGTGGGAGTGGTGGGAGCGGTCGCAGCGAGGCCGTCCAGGCGAAGCTGCTGACTGAGAGCGAGGAAGGGGGTGAGGATGCAGATGAGAGGGTCTGGCTTACACAGGATCAGCGTGATGAGCGGCGGTGAAGTTTCATTACGACTGGATAACACCAGCGCTCCAGCTTCTTATGTGTAGCCCCTCTCCTGCAATTCCACTCTTTTGATTTTTCGCATGCATGTTTGTTTTGGGGGTCAGGTTGCTAGAGATGACAATGCATCTTTTTTTTTGGTTCCTTGCAAGGAGTCTGGGGTGGGATTTAGTGTTGATTTGGGAGGCTTACGGTGGGATGGGAGTAAGATGAGGATGTATATATCTCCACGCATGCATAGCCACAGTTGTCAAGAGCGATATACGGAGCGACACGCAAGACAGTCAGAATACTAGTACTAGATACCAAATATGACAAAATATCACAAGAAATGGGGTTTCAGTGTAGGTCATGGGATTTAAATAATTCGTGGCGCGTGACACGCAAAAATAACAATATTGATATTTAAAAAACTAGAAATTAAATCGGAAGGTGACATTTTTGAGAATAAGGGGTTTGTTGTCATAAAATTACTGCGAGCAGTGAATTTTAGCAGCAATATTGTATGCGGTAGAGAAAAATGGGGGTAATATGGGGGTAATGGGGAGGTTTTGAGAGAGTAAAATGGGGGTAATAGGGAGGTTTTGAGGGGGTAATGAGAATGCCATCCCTTGCACCAAACGTGTCTCTTAGAAGCCGTGCGTAGCCGTGTGCGCGGGGTAAGACGGGGGTTGGACCGTTCTGTGATGCGCCATCCTGCATGGAATTCCGCTAACCGGCAGGGGTTCGCGTGCACTCGATAAGGATCTCGATAAGACCCCAAAACTTAAATAAATGCCCCTCCTCCTCCCGTCATACACTTTACTTCTCTCCATCACCACGCTCTTCATATCTTCACTCTTATATATATCAGAAATCTAGCCACAACCTCCATACAGATATGGCTCCACCAAGTGCGATTGATATCCGTGGCCTGACTGATACTGAGGCGTTGATCTACCCCAACCCATTGACCGTCAATGAGGTGACTGAGCGTCGGGCCAAGGCTGGCAAGCTCATTGCGGGTGTGGCCGCTGGAACGAGCAGCGATCTCTTCAAGAGCAAGGTATGTGCTAAATTCCCTTTCATCTCACACACAATTCATTATGCTGACCGTACAAGTCCAATGGCAAACTCGCCAAGCGATTCGATCGTGAGTCAACCGACCCGTGAAGAACAAACGAACCACGCTGACTTATAAGACCTCATTAGTGAAGAGAGCAAGTCCCGCGGGACATCGTCGTTGAAGGCCGCTGCCAAGTTTCTATCCACCCCCGGCATAATATCTCTGGGGGGTGGCCTGCCATGCAGTGAATACTTTCCAATCCAGGATCTCTCCATGACGGTGCCAGTGGCGCCAGATTTCTCAGAAGAGGGCACCCGAAAGTCCGGTGTCGTTGTGACGACGGGCAAATACGATACCACACAGGGCGATGGGACGTACGATCTGTCGATCTGTCTGAACTACGGCCAAGGCACTGGGTCCGCCCAGCTGCTGCGCTTCGTCGTCGAGCACACCGAGATGGCACACAGCCCGCCTTACAAGGATTGGCAGTGTGCCTTGAGCGTTGGGAGCACAATGTCTCTAGAACAAGCATACCGCATATTCACCGAGCGCGGGGATTACATTCTGTCTGAGGAGTACACGTTTGCCAGTGCCGTGGAGACTGCCCTCCCCCTCGGATGCAAGTTCATCGGGATCAAGATGGACTCGGAAGGACTGATGCCTACGGACATGGACGACATCCTCTCCAACTGGGACGTCAAGGCCCGAGGAGCACGCAAGCCACACCTGCTGTACACCGTCCCAACGGGCCAGAACCCCAGCGGCGCAACACAAAGCGTGGAGCGACGCAAGGAACTGTACAAGGTGTGCCAGAAGCACGACGTCTTCATCATCGAGGACGAGCCCTACTACTTCCTTCAGATGCAGCCATACACCGGCGCCGACGCACCGCCTGCAGCACCACCAGCCAGCAACGAGGAGTTCCTGCGTCTGCTCGTGCCTAGCTTGCTGAGCCTGGATACCGACGGCCGCGTCATGCGTCTCGACTCCTTCTCCAAGGTAATTGCGCCCGGCACACGCACAGGATGGGTCACAGCATCAGCGCAGATTGTCGAGCGTTTCATCCGACACAACGAGTCGTCTGCGCAGAACCCCAGCGGGCTGTCGGCAATCACGCTGTACAAGCTGCTGGATGAGACGTGGGGCCATGACGGCTACCTTCAGTGGTTGCGCCACCTGCGTGTCGAGTACACGGCCCGCCGTGACGCCCTCCTCTTGGCCTGCGAGAAGTTCCTACCAAAGGATATAATCACGTGGACTCCCCCTGCTGCGGGCATGTTCGTGAGTCACCCTCTTTCCTTCTTCTTGTACTTCGCATAATACATTCGTGTGAACCCCTCATTTCCCAATCCGTTACCCAATTCCTTACGTAACCCTGCCGTGTCCCGCTGGAGCACATTCCCCGCATCACCCTTCCCGCATTCCTATTTATTTACACCAACGCTAACCTCCTACCCAGCTCTGGCTCGAAGTTGACCTCGCCAACCACCCCCACGCGGCGACCAAGTCAGTCCTAGAGATCGAGGACGAGATGTTCCTGGCGTGCGTGGAGAAGGGCGTGTTGCTGTCAAAGGGCTCGTGGTTCCTCGGGGACAAGACCAAGGAGCCGACGCAGCTGTTCCTCCGAGCGACATTTGCGGCAGCGACGGCGGAGAAGATGGAGCAGGCGATTGAGAGGGTTGGGGTTGCGGTGAGGGATGCTTTTGGTGTTAAGGCGTGAAGTGTTGGTTAGAAGCAGACTCGAAATGTCGTTGGTTACTGACGGGCTGCGAAGTGGTGGCATTGGTGGTGGCAGATGGACGCGCGACGGTGCATCTACCTATCTCTTTTGGTGCAAAGCTGCGGTGGTGCAGGAGTTCAGCATACTATAACCCGGTTTTGGTGCGGTCCTTGGGAGATGAATCTATCAAAGATGAGAAATTTGGAGCAAGGGTGTTGCGATTTATTGGTGGGTAGAATGGGGATATATAGCATTAAAATAACAGGTAATACATGAACTACAAATGTTTCAAAGAAGCTGTTGTGGGTGGCTAGAAGTCATGAACACCGCACCCCGTGAATGCGGAAGTGCCCCCCTCATAAGAGAGAGCATCATAATATCCTATTCCGTCTTGTGATACTTGTGTATTCGTGCCAATCGAGGGTTACTTATAAAAGCCTGTGATTTCTTCTCATTCCCAACATCTAAAATCCACCTCTACCCGCCCCACATATTCCTACCAACTTGCAATCTACCAACATGAAGCTTTCAATTGCTCTCTTAACCACCCTCGCCGCCCTCGGAGCAGCAAACCCCCTTCAACAACTTGAAAAACAATGTCAAGGTGAAGGATCGCTTTGCGCCGCGCGCTTTCGTTGCTGTGCAGGATTAAGATGCGAAGTAAGTTCGTTCGCGCTTGGCATGCTAACATACTTATCAACCCCTAGGGGTTTGATAATCCATTCATTGGGGAGTGCGTCAAAAATTAACAAACTGCTCCCTCTGTCTTCTGAAAGAGTTCATGGAATTTGATGCTTCTAGCCGTTGTATGGAGTTCTCTACCAGAGTTTAAGCTCGGCCGGCTAGAAGTGAGTTCTGTCTTTATCGTGAGATGACGATTTCATTCTTGGCACATTTGCGAATTGCTGCTGGACAGGGCCCGGTTGAACTGTTTGTAACAGTAGATCGACGAGAATAGCAAAAACATGGATATCCCTATCGTTTTCCTGACTTGTGCATACAACATCAAGGGATAGATTATGGATATCTGCCGAAGACCCTGGATATCAAAAACAGCGGCAAGGACCCCGATTGTGCGGGAGAGACCCTCCTCCGAAGACCCCAATTCCGTTTTCAGAGCGTCCCGTTCCGCGCACCAGACGACGACAGCATGAGACATATCAAAGGTCAGACCAGACGCCCCTTTAAATGGATGTATAATTTATAAACCAACGACAAATGACAAAAACATGGATATCCCTATCTTTTAGCACGCATAACCCATCGAACTGCGGCATCCGCACGGTCAACCCCCCCACCCCACTTCCTTCAACTCTCCCAACACCCCTCTACCGCTGCCTCAACACCTCCTCTAAAAACTGCTCAAAGCTCAACGTCACAAACCCATCCCTATCATCATCATAGCGCTTAAACGCATCCGTCATCCTCTTAAGCGTAATACACGCCTGGACGAACAAATCAAAGCTCAAACTCCCCTTCCTCCCCTTATCAAACGCCCTGAACAAGAACCCCACAAACCCCTCACTCAACCTATACCCGAAGGCCACCAGCGCGTCCCTGAACTCGTCGAGGCTGATGTTTCCAGAGCGATCGGCGTCGAAGCGGTCGAAGAGGGTGCGCCAGGAGGCGAGGAAGGACCAGAGGCCGCAGAACTCGCCGAACTCGATGGTGCCGCTGCGGGAGGTGTCGAACATGCGAATCATGAGGGCGACGGTGTGGGGGTCGAAGGCGGTCCAGTCGCCGTTTACGAGGGCGGCAGAGAGCTCGGATTCGGAGAGGTGGCCGCTGGCTGTTTTTTTTTGTTAGTTTTGCTGTTCTCCCTTCCATTCCCCTCGCGCATTTGCTAGCGGTGACGCCGTGAAAATTCAATTGTGAGAGCGGGAGCAGGGGACGTACAATCTTTATCCACCGCCCTAAACAGCGGCAACAAATTCGGATCCTCCCCTGTCATCGCCGGACTCGCCGGTCCCCGATGTCCACGTGCATCCCTCGCATCCCTCGCATCCCTACCATCCCTCCGATCCTGCGGCGGACTCTGTCCATACGTAAAGTTCCCCGTCGGCTGGCTTACCGGCCCCATTGACCCACCACCACCCCCACCCCCGCCGCCGCTGAATTGGTGACGGTCGTCGCGAGGGCTGGGGATGGGACGGCTGCTGCTGCTTCCGCTACCACTGCCGCTGAAGCTCCCGCTGCTGCCGGAGGGACGGTAGTCGCGGTCGTCGCGGGGGAGGGGGGGAGCGGGCTTGTCGTAGTGGTGAGAGGGGGAGTGGCGGGGTGGGGGGTGGGAGTATTGTTTTTGGATGTTGAGGGGGGGAGGGGATTGGGCGGGGGCGGTGGGTGTGCGTTTCTTTGAGTTGCTGTTAGCTAGGGTCATGAAAGTTGGGTGGATTGGGGGGAGGTACTCGTTCTGGCTCTGCGAATCTGGATGGGAAGAGAGGAGTTAGCAAGTTTTTTTTTATAGAGAGTGGATAAACAGCTGGAACTGTTGGGTGACGTACGCAGGCAGTGCATCCGGGTTGAAGGAGCGGTTATACGCCATCTCTCCGTAAGTAGTCTTGTAATTCCTCGTGTTGACAGTCTACACTTCTCTTGTAGTGTTGTGTTGTGTATGAAAGATGGAAGGAGGACACAATGTTATCAAGGCTCTCTCCTCGGTTTCGGATGGATGTATTGTTGCGTCGTGGACCCCCTCCCTTTGCGCAAGGCTGAGGGGACGTGGTGGGGCTGGGGCTGGGCTGCGGCTGGGCGGCAAGTTTCAGGCGGGGCGGAGGAGAGTCCGCGCGCGCGGAGAGGGGGGAGGGAGGGGGGTTTAGCGAGGAACGTGGGTGTGTTGGGTGAGCAGGGGAGGGAGGGGAGTGAGGGGTGTGAATATCTGGTGGAGGGGATGGGTTTTGTAGTGTAAAATATGTGAATTATGAGATATTCACCATGACAATAGATGATGATAATGTGAGGTTATCCAGACTCACACCCAGAACACACACCCCAAAGGCCCGTCCCGTGACAGCTCAGCTCTCGCTGTTGTCATCGCTGTTGTCCCGCATCCAGCCGCCACCAACAAAATGTCGTGCCTGATAACAAGCCGATAAGCATCTTCCCCTCCAAACCACAACCCCGCCATCTCCGAATTTCCAGGAACTGCACGACAATCAACACCACCATGGCGACAGAACAAACTACTCCAGAGGCCTCTGAGGCATTCTGGCTATTTGGCTACGGGTTCGTCTTTCCCCTTCCTCCCATTCTGCTGTCGCTGCCCCGTCTCGATCCTGCTGAATAATCCACCAAACTGACCCCCGCGGCGCAGGAGTCTGATCTGGAAACCACCGCCACACTTTGGTATCCCTCTCCCCAATACCAATCCCAATCCCAATCCCAATCCCCTCCCCGCGATCATCACTGACGGCACCCAGACCAACGCCTAACCGGCTACATCACAAACTACGTCCGTCGCTTCTGGCAAGAATCCCACGACCACCGCGGCACGCCCTCGCACCCAGGTCGCGTCGTCACCCTCCTCACGCACGCGCACTGGTCTACGCTCGTCGATGTGCATGGTGCGCCTGAGAAGGTGTGGGGTGCTGCGTATCATATCCCTGCGAGTAAGGCGGCGGAGGTGAGGGATTATTTGGATATTAGGGAGATTAATGGGTATAGTATTGATTATGTGTCTTTTTATCCCTCGGAGGTGGGAGGGGGAAAGGAGGAGGAGGTGGTGCAGGGTGAAGAGGGGGAAGAGAGGGCGAAAACTATCAAAGCGCTTCTTTACATCGGGACGCCGGATAATCCGCAATTCACAGGCGCGCAAGACGTCGCCGAGTTAGCAGCGCGGATAGCGGTGTGTGAAGGCCCGAGTGGGAGGAATGCAGAGTATTTGTTTAATCTTGAGGAGGCGCTGGGGGGGTTGGGAGGGGATGAACATGTGTGTGATTTGGCGCGGAGGGTGAGGGGGGTTCTTGGGGTTGGGGTGGAGGAGGAGCCGAGGGGGAAGGGGGTGGGGAGGGGGGAGCATGATGAGGAGGAGGAGGTTGAGCGGTAGGGTGTTGGGGGCGGGAGGGGGTTGATGGGGGGTTAGATTGGTAGATTGGTAGAATGGGAATATAAATTGTAGACCTTTCCAGGCAGTTATTTGATGGACAGGCTGGTTGAATCTTCGGATACAGCAGCACATATCTTGTATACACAGATGTAACCACCAACTTTCAAAAATCCACAAGCACAGCACGCCCAGGAGTGTCTAATCCATCCAATCCTCCATTTCCCCGCGCTTTCAGACGATCAATCCAGTCATTCGGTCGGTGGTCAGTCTTGGACGTAAGGTTTTGAAGATTGTGGATGGGCGAGAAGTGTCCGCATTACTCGTAGCAAGGAAGGTGCGATCGAGAGAATGATAAACGAGGAAGGCGCGGCTGAGAGAGGGGTGATGGAGGAAGGCACACGACCCGGGGGAAGGTGCGATTGAGAGGAAGGAACTACCCACGCCTCTAGAGAGGGTAATGAGGCAGGAGCCATTGAGAGGGAAGGAGCCATTGAGAGGGAAGGAGCCATTGAGAGGGAAGGAGCCATTGAGAGGGAAGGAGCCATTGAGAGGGAGGAGCGATTGAAAAGAGAAGCCATTGGGAGGAAAGAGCCATTGCAAGGAAGGAACTACCCATGAACTTCCCCGCCACCAAAGCCTTCACCAGTTGCTCATTCACCAGTCACCAAAAAAAATCATATCTCACACACATAACCAAGGCAAAACGTCAAAGCACATCTGAAAGCAATTCCATTCCGAAATTATCCCCTCGCTCAAGACGAACTCAAGATCAAGCCGCGGGAACCCCTCCGAACAAAAAACTCCGAGCCAGAAGAGACAAGACAGACAGTTTCATAGCATAGCATAGCAAGCATAAGGCCGCGCGAACCGAAGCGCGAACACGCGCGCATAGTGTGTGGGGGGGTGGGTTTACCGACCGACCAACCGACCGACCGATGACGCCAGAGAAAGGCCAACGCTCCATCCATCAACCGCTCCGCGATTCCCGCTGCTGTGCTCCCTAGCCGACGACGATCATCTTAGGATGATGTGAAGTCGGGAGGGAGGAGCATGCCGGGGTGCTGGATTTACCAGCGGCCACCGCCGCCGCCGCCCTGCTGGTCCTGGCCACCGTAGCCGCCTTGGCCGCCACCTCCGTAGCCTGTGAGAGAAAAGTTAGTTGGAGTAGATAAGAGGGGATCGTGAATTGACGTACCACCCTGACCGCCACCACCACCGTTGTAGCCGCCGCCCTGGCCGCCACCGTAGCCACCGCCGCCGCCGTTGTAGCCACCGCCACCCTCACGTCCACCGTAGCCGCCCTGGCCGCCACCGTAGCCACCACCACCGCCTCCGCGGGACTGGTAACCACCGCCGCCGCCACGGCCACCGCCGAAGCCACCACCACCACCTCCAGCACCGCGCTCGGAAGCTTTGTCGACACGGATGGTGCGTCCATCGAACCTGGAGATTTATTAGCACGTGAAGTGAGGTGAATGGGTGTAATTGGGACATACTCGATGTTGTTCATGGCAGCAATGGCAGCGTCAGCATCAGCCTCCTGGCCGTAACGGACGAATCCGAAACCACGGCTGCGGCCGGTATCGCGGTCCTTGACAACGACCTATAGAGCAAATGGTCAGGTGGGTTCTGCGCGAGAAGTGTGGGATGAGAGGTGAACGTACAGCCTCCTCAACGGCGCCGAACTCCTCGAACTTGGTGCGGAGAGCAGCCTCATCCGTGTGCCACGCAAGGCCTCTGTGTCAATTGTCAGTGGTGAGGTCAATGTGGGGAGGGGGGTCGTCTGCGCCGAAGCGCGGACTGGAATGCAGAGAAACTTACCCAATAAAGAGCTTAGACATGATGATTGAGTTGTTGAGTAATCCCGGATCTGGCAAGAAAAAGTCTCAATTTCCACGCGCATCGCAATAAGAGGTTCATGATGAAGGTTTCATGAGGTCGTCGTCGGATTAGGACGGATGAAGGACAGAACGCAGGACAGGACAGGACAGTAACGGGAGGATCAAGGAAAAAGATACATCAGGGCAGAACAGCGACAGGTGGTCTCTCTCTCCGCGAAGAGAGAGCGACGACTGAACGGAGTTGAGGGTGTAGGTGAGTTTTTGAACGATGAGGACGGTGAGGTCAAGATGATTCAATTGAATTGAGGACTCTGAGGGACCAAATGATCCGATAGAAGATGATATTCAAGTCATGATGATGATTGATGATGATGATGGCACACGCAAACGGAGAAGATTCTGAACGAACATGAGAGGAACTATGTCGGTCGAGTCGAGATCGGATAGATCGCGGGGTATTGTACTTGGTTATTCTGGTTGAACAACTGAAAGGACAGTCGGTTGTTGATTATGAGAGAAGAAGAATTGAGGTGGAAGAACGAGACCAGGAAGGTATCGTCGCAAAAAAGTGGTGGATCGAAGAAGATGATGTAGATGGAAGGAGGAAGGAGGAAGAAGAAGTAGGATAAGTAGGATAAAGTAGTGGTTGGATTGTAGTAGGATTGGGGAGAGGTGGGAGGTGGGAGGTAGCTGTGATGGGGTGGGTGGAGTGGAGGGGAGTAGCAGCAGAGGTACAGTAGATGGGAAGGTGGAGGGGGGGGGGGTGGGGGGAGGGGTGTTGGTTTGGTGTGGAGGGGGGACAAAGAGGACAAAGAGGACAAAGAAGACTAAAAGAGGGGTGTGGATGTGGATTGGGTGGGTGTGGATGGAAGAGACTGCCCCTCAATTGTGAAGCTAGACTGAATATGGGGCGGTAGGGGTTGGTAGGGGTGGGTGTGTGTAGATGGTAGGGGGGTAGGGGGAGGTAGAGGGGAGGTAGAGGGAGGGTAGCGTCAGGTAGTGAGATGGAGGTGATATTGGCGAAGGAATTGGTTGGGGAGGAGGATCTAGAGGAACTCTGGGTGTGTTGGTAGTGTGGTAAGTAAGTGTCTGGGTGTGCTGGTAGTATGGTAAGTGTAAGTGTAAGTGTCTGGGTGTGTTGGTAGTATGGTAAGTGTGTGTAAGTAGTGGATTCTTACTGACTTCTGTCCATTGACTACATCTACTCCGTGCGTACAATACATCTTGGAGCGTGGCCGTGGTGGCTGGTTGTTGGTGATGGAAGGAAAGAGAAGAGAGCAGCAGGTACGCGCATGTATGGAGGAGCATATGTATGGAGCATATGTATGGAGCATATGTATGGTATGGTTCAGTATGGAGCCGGGAAAGGGCTGACGTGCGACGGGAAAGAGGCATGTATGCTGTATGTACCCTCCCTTTCGATGCGGCCAGGGAGACTACCGATCACATAGCCAAGCCGTGCCAGATATACGAGAGAGATGTACGAGAGATGCGCCAGAGATGCACCAGAGATGTACGACCGATGTATGGATGTAGTAGTATGCGCAAGTAAGATATATATGGGGAATTGACGGGGAAGCAGGACCAGGACGGGGAATATGTGATGCGCATTGTATCGTATTGTATTGCGTCTTTCATGTGTTTATACGCGTGGATGTGCGTGTATACGTCGTTGATTATGTCTGACTGATGTTTAGTTTAGGTGAAATGCCCCATCACATACCACAGTACATACCGCAGCTCAGTTATGGCGACATATCACACATTCTAGCCGACTCCTGGCCGACTTCTGGCTAATTCCTGGCAGACTCCCGACTGGCGACGACCAACTTTCTTACTCCTCGGCAGGACACTGTGGCCATTGGCATAGCTGGCTAGTATGTATGTATGGATTGGATATGGCATATGTACTGTATATCCCATGCTCGCCCAAACATGCGACCGGTATGCAGCCATGCTTGCTTGCCTGCTTAGGGTGAGCATGGCCAGGCCAGTCGATCGTGGTTCTCTCCACAGTATTTATTATACTCGGTACTGTATACTGTAAAGTGTTTCGTCGGTGCAGAGATTTATACAAGATCTACTCAATGCACACACGCCCGCCTACTTACACGCCTACTACCGCAATGTGTCTCATCCAATCCATGCACACCGGTCTGCTCTGTCTGTTCTAGTCTGCTGGTCTGCTCTAGTCTGTTTATCTAGTCTGCTCTGTCTGTCCAGTCTAACCATCAAGGTAGAAAGACCATCAAAGTAAACACATATACATCCCCAAACCACACCCTTCTACCTCCTCCCTCACACCTTGATAGGTACTGACGCAAGTACCCTCCCATGTATCCCGTAAGTATCGACTTTCTGGGAATAGTTCGGTGCGCGATAAGTGGGCGATAAGTTGCGCGATAACTTAGCGATCTCTGAGCTAAACGGCAGCTTCTTAGTGAGGGGCATATCTTATCGAAAAATAATAAAAAACTGGGACCTGTGGGATCTAGCACGGAGTATAGCAAATGCCAACTAACCCACCTGCCATGGCACAACTTCACAGGCCGACGACGACGACGATTACTATTTATTGTTTGATCTGCTCCTCCTCTTTTATGCATATATCCAACATTTGGCGCATAGCACACAATCCCACCAGCATCACCACTACCATTCCACCAACATCATTGACGTAATCCCACATTCCAAACCACAATACCACCTCACCACACCCTCTCCTGCCCTCTGCTTCTCTCTCCTACCTACCATCCGTCGCGATGCCTCACCTTACCATGGCTCACCTCATCATGCCTTACCATCCTCATCCTCATCCTCACCCTTCGCTCCTTCCCTCACCTCACTCACCATCACTCCTTCCCTCCCGTCTCCTCACCTCACCCACCATCGCCCTTTCCATCCCGTCTCCCCACCCCTCCTCTCCTGCCGAACCGAACCGACATCCAACATCACCACCACCACCCCCAAACACCGCGCGGCACTCAACACCCACTCCGCACTCCAACACCCGCTCCCCTCTACCGCCGCACCTCCCCTTCAAACAACCACCTTCCCTCCTCCTCCGCCCGTACTAACCACATTCCCTCCTCCTGCACGCCTCTCCTGCACCCCGTCCCCATGCATCCTCCCCGTCCGTCTCGGCCCCCATCTCCCCCCGTCCCCGTCCCGTAAGACATCAACCCCACCACCCACCACTACCACACCCTGTACCTCAGCCAGCCTTCTCCTGTCTCTGCCCTCCTGAAATGGGACTGGGTGAGCTGCAGCGCGACGGGTACCGTGAGGAGGCCAGCCAACCCGTGAGCCCGTTCGCGGAGGGAGTGGTCTGAGGGCCCCTGCATGGTCCACGGGGAGGACAACAGGACTGTCTCCTTTTTGGTGTAGCGTAGGACAGTAGCCAGATAACCAAATAACCAACTTTACCGTATCTGTTTCTGTATAAGGTGGTGGTGCATAAATCACCCCCGAACACACACGCTTTGTACGATACACCCACTCACGAACGGTGGGGGGAACGTCGCGGCGGTGTGGGTCTCACAGCATAGCTCCGTTGTAGCTCAGAGGCGCTAGGGATGGATGCAGATAGGCTGCAGATGGGTACGGCCGGTTGTGAAACCTTTTAAACCTACAGAGGAGCGCTGCAAGCTCCTGCTTTGCTCGACCTCCTTCCTTCACCCCACGTGTTTGATCTTTCAGGAGTTTGGTGGTGGTGTGGTAGTGGGTGTTTCGTACTTTTTAATTTTGTGCGCGTTTGATATTGGTCATGTGATTAAGGGTCATGTGATGGGGGTAGTTGCTATTTCTACTCTCCTTAACCTTTCTGAAGTAATTCACATTTTATTCATATATTTGAATGGGCAATTTGGTAATTCTGATCTCTCCCTCTCTCTTCCTCCTAAATTCATCTGTCCTTCTCTTTTTTTTCACGTCATTTTCTCTCTCTCCAACTCTCTCCCCCCACTTCTGCGCCCATGTCTCAAAAAGGAAACAGCCCGTGACTGTGTGCCTGCCTTAACTTGAAGCTCGCCATACAGAACTTCCCAATGCCTCACAGCGATCTTGCTTCTGCATCTCTGGCTCAGCACACAACGGTAATATGACAGCTTTCCTTTAACCCCCGCCGTCCCGAAACCGGGTCTCTGCTCTGGAGAGTCTACAAACTCTTCCCATTCTCACTAAGTACACTCCCATTTCATTCATACACCCCCATTCTCCCCCCGATCTCCTCCTGTCGATTCATCAATGGACGACCACCGGTCTCGGAAACGGCGGCGCCATGGCCGCCAAGCGGAATCCACTCCCCGCTATGCAGCTGAGCGGTGGAAACCGGCCGATCCAGCGGACATCGGATGCGACAGTCCTGCACGGCGGGGTGGGAGAGACGCTGCCGAGACACGAGTCACATCTCACATTAAGGCGCCGGAGAATGGATATGTCTACGATTGGTTGGCGGATGTTGCGACGGAAGGACTGCCGCAAACGCAATCTCCTGCATGTGAGCAATACAACAACGGGCAGACTTCTCAACAGTTTGTCAGAGGACTGACTTTGATGTTCTGTAGATTGCCCTCCAATCGTTTTGCCTCAGACACGGGGGGTTAGATATGCTTCTCTCGAACGATTCGAAGAAACTGTCGCAGACGAAAGAACCCACAGAGAAAAAAGGCGTGATTCATCCGATTCCTCATTGATCCAACCAGCGTACGAGAGGGAAGAGCTGCCACCACGAGAGAAGACGATTGGTCAAGTTACTAGTGAGGATCAGAATAGACATTTTTCTAAGAAAGCTAAGAAACACAGGCAGCCTGTTTCGTCAACCACAGACGACAGCCAACCTGAGTCTGATCAACCACAACACAAAGAAACGTTTGAGAAGAGGGGTCGTCACAAGACAAAAGAAGACCGTTATGAGTCCAAGAAGGCGAGGAAGCATGCTGACGAGGATGACAGACCGGCGAAGAAGAAGACTATCAAAGTGAAAAGGGGCTATGCTACGAAAGCGTCCAAGAAGGCGGGGGAAGATCTGATAAATGGATTCAGACCGAAGAATGTGTCGCAGGATCGGTTGACGGTATGCAGCCTCAAAATACAATTCCATGGATATTACTAATTTCTGGCAGATTCGTCCTGGTACAGGCATATTCAAGAATGGCCGAGCGTCATCTCCTTCTCGCAATCGTGGCTGTAAGTATGACAGGCAAATTTGTCATTTCCCTGCTAATTTGTGATGACAGTGCCTGATTTGGCGTTTTCGGAGATGCAATTCTTGAAGCAATCAAACCGGAAGCCTCCTGAAAGCGAAAATGAGGTGATTATCTCCAAGTCAGGCCAGAAAACTAAGCGTGAGAGGGAGAGGGCAAGAAATGAGATTTCCAACTATTTTGTACCTGTCCGACAAGCTCTCCAGGAAGCCAATATTAACCATAGAAGAGACAGCTCCATTCTCCCTTCAGATGCAGGCAAAACTGAAGCCACTTCTATTGTCAGAGGACATCATTCTCACCCTCACGTATCCCCGGACAAGGATCAAAGGAACGAGATGGTGCTATATGATGGCTTCACCACGATAAGGCCGAGTCCTCAAAAGTTCACTCTCCCCAAGCCAAAACTTGACCAGATATTTGTCCCACGGAATACTACGGCTTCAAGCAAATCGACGAGTTACTGTACTTGGTCAGAATCAGTTAGGTCTCCAATCGTGCGTGCCAAAGCTATGCTGGCAGATGCATCTCGGGATAAAAGAGGGATGTCGCCAACTTCTCGTCAGCGGATTCCGGTTCGGGCTGATATGTACAAAGAAGTTGGGTTACAGGCAGAGCTGGACTCAGATGTGGATTCACCATATAATCCAGCATTGCGGAGGATGCACCGTGATGACGATGATATCCAAGTTGTTATGAGCAGGCAAATTAAGCCAGCCAAGGATTTGTCCGTTCGTGATTTCAACGACCAGAATCACACAGAATGCCAGGACGAGGACAGAATTCATCAGTTCCAAGCCGACAGGGCAGTTCTTCATGATTGTGAGCCTCACAGGGGTTCTAAACGGCCGCACAAAGACGATTTGGGGGGGCACGTCGAGTCATTGCACACGAGAATTCCTGTTGATCCAAATAATGACGCAGACCATGCTAAACAAATAGTGATAGAGCAATGCCCTCAAACTGACAAGGACGCAGTTGGTCGAACTGATGGTTCTGTTCTTCCAGCCCTGCCAGACGCCGACCTTGATGTGCAATACATCATGTCCCGAGCTGTGCGTGCTCAGCAAGCATACATCAAACGGCGGTCGACTCCAAAAGTTGCAGTCGAAGAAACTCGAGGCACTTCTGATGTTCGAGCTCCAGCTGCGGATGTACCAAACACTGAGGATTCTGGTGCTTTGAAGGGAAATGCTGAGTCTCTCGAGGTTGGACTAGCAGACCCAAACAGGGAGAACGAGGCAGGACTTATGTTATCGGGACTCGATGATGACAGGCAAAATGAGATCGCCAACCAACCAGGGCAAGGTCAGTTGTGTGGCACTGAGCCCGAGTCTAATTTGCCAGTCCATGGGCAAACCCAGAGTGAATATCTCTACACTGCTGGGTATCAACCAAATGTGCCTGATGATGACAGGACCGGCGAGCATGATTCACATCAAACCGAGAATATTGCTACGTCTGGACAAATTGTACGGCCACAGTTAATGATTCCCACGCGTGGATTCTCTACAAGAGCGGTCCATGTACCACCAGTTCAATCACGAACTATATCCCCACTGGAGACTATGGAGCCGATTTATGCTCGGCAGCTTCAAAATCAAGCATTTGATGCGCAGGAAGGGCAGCATGAGTTATATGCTACAGAAGAACAAGGGCAGGGTGGCATTTTCTTGTACGAGGGTGGCCAGTGGGAGAGAGAACCCGTGGACGCTGAGGCTCAAGAATACAATCCCACCGAGATAGAGGACGGGCAAGTTAACTACGGTGATATGTACGAGGGACAACAGGATGGGATAGATCTTATCGACGAAAGCATGTACTACGAGGAAGAGTTGCCGTTTGGTTCGGAAGCGCAGATTCACAATGCAGCCGACGATATGCTTTTCTACACTCCAGGAAGCCGGCCTGGCGCAGAATATCAATGGATGCCGAGGCAGCGAACGTATTTCAGTGCTGTCGCGAATCAAGCGCCTGGCCTTGGGTCATGGGAGAGGATGCAGCAGACAGCTGCTGTTCCTCGGGAACTGACGATGCAGTTCTGGCGGCCGTGGAAGGGGTATTGAATGGTTTGTTTTAATTCTGTTTACTTTTAGCGTGCGCCTGTAGTATTTCACCAGTAAGTATATATAAGCGGTAACCCAGGGAATATGAATTGATTTCCTCCTCTGGCTAAAAATGTAAATTTTAATCCCAGTCTGTCGCATAAACCACATTTGATGTTGAAATGCCCACACCCCTGTCAGTCTGTACCTGACCCCTGTCAACAGCCACGGATTCTGCCACCCGCGCCCTCCTCACCGCCTTCACGCGCGGCTCTTGGCTTGGCTACTTCGTGATTGACGGAGACGGAAGCTCCACGTATTTGTCCCTTCCGGCGTCATCAACCAACCAACCAAGCTCTCGCGCGCGCAACGATTTTTTTGCCAACGACGACGATACGATTGCGATTAAATACTCGAGTGAAGGAAGAAGATAGGAAAGTGGGAAGAAGGGGGATAGATACGAAAGAAGGAAACGAGGGAAGAAAGAAAGGAAGGAAGGGAGAGCTGCTGAAGCTATGGAGTCGTCTACACAACCTGGGCAGCTTAGCTGGCGGCTGAGCGCGCATCCGATTACGTTGTTGTGGTTTTTGGGGTTTAGGATATGTACGTCCCTCCTTTATTCTCTTCCCCTCCCCCCTCTCCCATTTGCGCAGTACTTCGCCCGTCGCAGCTCTGTTGCACCGGCGATGGGGGATTAGGGCGCTGCGATCGATGTCCATGGGATTGGGATTAATGCTAATAATCGGATCAACAGCCTCCCTCCTAGTCTACCTCTTTGGCCTCCTCTTCACCTCCAACTTCGTCCTAATCTTCATAATCACCATCCTCCTCCTAGCCGCCGACTTCTACTACCTCAAGAACATCGCCGGTCGTCGCCTGGTGGGTTTAAGATGGTGGAACGAAGTCGATGTGTCGACGGGGGACTCGCAGTGGGTTTTTGAGAGTGCGGATCCGGCGACTAAGGTTGTGAATGCGACGGATAGTAGGTTCTTTTGGTTGGCGATGTATGCGCAGCCTTGTTTGTGGGTGGGGTTGGCGATTTTGGCGGTGGTGAGGTTTGAGTTTATTTGGTTGACGCTTGTTGGTACGTTTGTCCCTTTCTTTCTGTCTTGGTGTGGTGTGGGTGGTGTGGACTTGGGGATTTGGATGGTGGATAGGGAATGAACACTGGGGACTGGGGACGAATGATATACTGACAAACAACAGTCATCGCACTCGTCCTCACAATCACGAATACCCTCGCCTTCTCGCGCTGTGACAAGTTCAGCCACGCTTCGAATCTGGCGGGTAGCGCGCTCTACTCAGGTGGATTGGCGAGGAATCTTGCTGGTGGGATGATGAGCCGTTTCCTGGGGGGGAGATCGTGAGGGATGGTTTGAGGGTTGGGATTTGTGGGGTGATGGAGGGGGGGTTATGGGTAGGAAGGGATGAATATGGGAATGAGGGAGACGGTGGAAGGGGGTGCTGTATCATAGATTACTGGCTGGGGTGGGAGAGTTGGCTGGGAAGCTGCGCTTTGGTGGCGTTTTTAGCTAGTGTGCTTGATGCACGGTATACTATTGTATGATTCTTTTTGAAGGATGTGTGTTTTGTGTGTGTTGAGGGGTGGTTTGAGGTTGTTGGTTGTGTTGGTGTGTTTGTGAGTGAGCTGGTTGAGGTTTGATGGTGGAGTGTTGCTGTGAAGATGAAATGGGGGTTTCTGTGGCTTGTGGGCTGCAGTTACACCGGAAAGGAGTCAATTCTCTGACTTTTAACTACAAATTTCATCATATTTTGGTATCTTGCATATCTCATTACACCCTCCATCACGGAGAAAACGCTCCATCCTTCCCACACCAACCGCCCCATCCCTAATTAAACCCCAAACCGCTCCGTCTCCTCCTACTCCTACTCCCACCCCCACCCTCATCATCCTCCATATCCTTCTCCTTCCCCTTCCCCTTCTGCTCCCCCCTCCCCTTTTCCGTCGTCCAATTCCGCATACTAAACACCCTCTTCAACCTCGATATCTTCTTCTCATCCATCGGGCCCTCGTCTTCCGAATCCTCTTCCGCTTCCGAGACCGCAGGAGGGCTGGTAGCAGGCGCGTCTTCGTCGTCTAGGGTTCGGGAGAAGGGTGATGCGAGTTTTAGTCCTGCGGGTGGCAGATCCCAGGTCTCGATTTCGTCGAGGGTAATGGAGGCGTCGATGGGTATTTGAGGTCCTAGTCCTGGGTAGGGGGGGTGGCTGGGAACCTCGTCATCGTCGTGGTCTGGGGTCGCTTCTGGGTCCCAGAGCGGCACAGGAGATGGTGGGTCTGGTGTATCAAATGGGCTGGGTCCAGGAGCAACGTCGTGCTCCGTTCTGTGCCTAGGAGCGTCGGTCCCGCTAATCGGTCTCTTAGCGGCGGCGCGTCGTGCGGCTGCCAGCCTGTCTCCTATCCTTGGCTCGGGACGGGGAAGCGTCGGACGGGTGGTGGGATTCGTGGTTTGGGGAGGGGTGTCGATGGTGCTGTCAGAGATGGGGTTCCATTCGTAGTTGCGAGGCGTGCTCTCCTGAGTGACGCGGATCTTTCTGGGGCGGGAGACGTGGGAGCTGAGGCGCTCAGACATGCTGCGGACTAACCCCTTTGTTTCGCGGGATTCTCCTGATCGAGGTTCGCTGGCATCGAACAGTCGGGAGTTGTGGTTTATGACAGTAACATCGCGGTCGGTGGGCTTCTCTACTTCGTTCTGGTGCTTGGTCTCTTGAACTAAGGAGTGCATTGCATCGAGAAAACTAAGGGTCTCTGGGCGTATCGACTGATCTGGAGATCCGTCGTCCTTGTCCTCATCGTCTCGGTCCGATGGCGTGGAAGACGTACCAAACTCAATGGTAGACACATCTGAACGATCGTTGTCGGGGTCAAGGGGTGAGCGGGATGGCACAGGAGGTGAGCTGGGTGCGGGACCGACGTCGTGCATTGTAGTGTGGTCATGAGGGGACGTCTGGCTCTCCAGTTGTTTAGCGGCGCGTGCGGCATCCCACTGTTGATTTTCAGCGACTACGGCTTCTAGCTTTGCTTTGGCACGGGCAAGCGCCCGACGGGCGGCGGTATTCTTAGCTTTAAGGAGGGTGTCATCAATAGGGGAGTTCTGGTTCTCCAGTTGGTTAACCAACGCGGCATCCCGCAATCGACTTTCAGCTATTGCGACGTCTAGCTTTGCACTGGCACGGGCAAGCGATCGACGGTTGAGGGCATCATCAGCTTCAAGGCGAGCTTCAACATCGGCGTCGTCCATGGGCTTCCTCCCTTCGTCGCGGTGAGTCGTCTCGAGGGCATCGTAGTTCAGGCCTGAGCCTATAAACTCTGGCCGCTGGGGAGAAGCCAGATACTCGACCAATCCTGTATCGATGTCTAATGAGTCGGCATCCGAATCATCGTCTGAGGTCATGGACTTGGCTGATGGCGGACGGGGAGATTCTGCTTCGTGCTCAGGTGCAAATCTGACCGAAGCTTTCGCTTCGCCATGGTTCGTTGTCCGGTGAGTGGTGGGATCCGTAGTTGGGGGAGGCACCTCGAATCCGCTGTCGTCGACGGGCTTCTTCCCGTCGTTTGGGTTCTGTGCCTCCTCTCCCTTAGATTCTGCCTCCAAATCCCTCGCCACAGTCGCCTTTCTATCTTGCATTTTTGACCAGGCCTCATATGTCTTTCGTCGTGCCTCAGCCCCATCATCGTCGACGCGCTTCTTCACGTCGTCGTGAGAGGTATGGCCCATGTTTTGGGGAACGGTAGACGGGTCTAACACGACATTGTTCCGGTGCGAGGGTGTGATCGACGAGGCCGAGGGACCTGGAGCATCGTCATAGGTGGGCTTTTCCTCATCGATTGAGTTATCCCGCGGCTTAAAGGGCATCCCCGCTTCGTAGAATAGCTCCCCCCCCAACTCTCTAACAGCCCCCTCCTTAATCGCCCACTCCAACAGCCCGCCTCCTTCCTCGGTCCATCCTCCCTCCTCCTCCCCCTTAGCTACCGCATCCCAATGCTTCGCCACATGTTCCATCCTCTCATCCCACGCCACGCTCCCCATCCAATTCCATTCCTCTATACACCCCGGCGCCGGACAGCGTATCTCCTGAATAAGGCTCCTGCCCGGCTGTTCCCCCCTCTTCGCCAGCGCCGCTACATGATCACCCGGGACCTCGTGCACCCACTTCAGATGTCCCTCGAGGAGGTCATCCGTGTCAAATAGGGGCCTAGGGCACGGTTTGAGAGGGCATTTCCAGTAGACGAAGCCCATGTGATTGTTAGCGACATGGCGCTTCCAATAGTCCTTTAAAGTGAACACTGAGGAACAACCGGCGAAGGCAAAGGTGCATGGGAATGTGGTTGTAGTGATAGGTGCGGTGGAGGTAGTGCGGGAAGAATGAGGGTTGAAATAGGCAGAGGATGAAAGGGGTGGGCGAGCAGAGTAATTATTTCTTGGTAATCTTTTGTTATCGATTTTCGCGGATTGGTGGGAAGCGTTGGTGTTGCGCTCCGTGGCGGGCGAGGTGTCCATACTGCTTCGGGGAATCGTATGCGGGTTTAGAACAACATCGTCGTCAAAGACAGACGAAGTGGCGGATGATGGTCGGAGGGGGTCTCCAGGTACGTCCTCAGTGCCAGGCTCATCCTCGTCCCGTGGTTCCCTCATGGTTATGTTGTCGGCCTTGTACAGCCCGATGTCCGGCACTCTCCAACCGCGCTCGTCGTCAGCTTCATCCTTCTTACGGTCCTCCGTTGAGGAGCCAGCGATGGTGTGAGGCTCAGGGTTAGGTAACGGTGTTCCCCCCATCTCTTTAATTGCGTCTGTAATGTTCGCTGGTTGCTCTTTGGCTATAAACCCAACATGCATATTAGTTGATATAAATCGAACATCCCTTATAACCCCCTGTACAAACTCTTCTGCTGGTAGTCTATTTTTAAATCGCGGTACTACCATATTTCTAGGCCGGGAAAGCTTTCCGTCTTCATCTATAGTAGGTTCTTCCTCTTTAAGGATTTTGTCGACCTTTCGGGCAATTTCTAAGCATGATATAAGTCTCTGCTTTAAGGCTTTTAGGGTAGCGTCGTCTAGTTCATGTTCCTTGACTTCAGATGTCTTAAGGAAGCCGAGAACTGATTCCAAACGTTTAGCTTCCTCGAGGAATGCTTCGGGTGGGTCAATGAAACTGTGGAGGGCGTCCCATTTTTGTTGTATTCCGTCAGCTACAACTTTCAGAAGTTCGATGAAAGCGAGCGTCTGCTCCAAATTAATTTCATGTCTAGTCGGTATACGCGGCTGCTCTAGCATCGGCGCGCCTTTGCCCTCGCGCCTCTCGCGCACGTCGCCACCCTCTTCCATTATATCTGCTCGTGAAGCTAAGAGGGCAGCCGAGCTTCCAACTTCAACCTCATCTTCGTGCAAGAAGTTCATGATGGATGACCAGGACTGGTCGTCCGTCAGGAGCTTCTTCTCTGCCCTGGCTAGCCGACTCATCAGCTCTGGCCTATCCTTATCATACCCATGATCCTTCATAGTACTGCTCAGCAGCCTCAGAAACAGCGCCACATGTGGATATAGCAGATTCTTCCACGAGTCATCCCCTTGCAGCTTCCCCTTCTGTAGTGACTTAACCGCATTCGAGTAAAATATCAACACCAAGTCCTCCACACGCCTGTCCTTCTCCATGCGCCTCCTAAACGCCGCCTCTGTGAACGCCGTATACGCTTCCGCAAAGCTCCTCTTCACTGCCGGATCACTATACCCCGGCAACCGCTCCTTCATCGTAAGCACGCCCGTCATCCGCTTCTCCAGCGCCCCCATAAAGCCATGCGGCAGCAGCTGGGCACTTTTTAACGACCCGACCCTAGGCGAGAAGCCACCCCTTTCCTCAAAAGGCTCACTTGCCGGGGTTATCGCCTCGGGGCTAAGAATCAGGGGATCTATCTTCGTTCCGCGCGCGTCGCCGGGAATTTTCTCCTTTTGGAGGTCATGACTCTCCTGTTGAGTCTGTCGCAGCTGTGCTAGCTTGCGTTTGTAAGAGCGCTCAAACTCCGAGTTATTGCCCTCATCATCTCCATCAGACACATCCTCCTCAGGCTCTGGCGATGGTGGCGGTATGCGTTTGATTCTCCTCTCGTCGCGTGCATCGTCTTCAACTCCTCGTGCAGCTTAGTAGTGTTAGTGAATTTCTACAAAGGCTGACAAACAAGGGATAATGAACTCACCGCGAATCTTCGCTGTTGCATCAGCATATGCCTGTATCTCCTCTTTACTCAATACTCTCAGCACAATCACGAAGTCATCTCTAGCCTCGTATCTCTCCCTACCATCGTCTAGCGCTTCGGGATTCACAAGGAGACGGTTTATCTTTGTCCAGCGTGCATCTGGCGGGGGTGCTCCTTCGGCACGCGATGGACGAACATACATCCCGTCATTTAGCTCGTCTCTAAGAAACGCGACACCCTCACGGGTGGGGCTTGGGTCCTCAGGGAACTTGTTGCGGCCGGTCTTGAGAATACCCTTGATGGGGCGTTCATCAATTATGACTGGGCCATTAATCGGTGTATAGCGTGTAGTATCGGCGGAGTCACGTTGACTAGCAATTAATTTAGACAGCTCTGATGTTTCATGTCCCACTTTGGAACCATCTTCTAGGCCTATGTCCTGTATATTGTTGGTATCCTGAGAGTTCTTGGGCGATTCTGGTCTCTGTTCCTGCTCGTCATCGCTAGATAATCCGCTGCTGGATCTCGCGTTGTCAGCAGTGAGCGTGTGAGATTCTATAGATAGAGGGGAGATCAGTTCGTCTTGGTCGCGTCCGTTTTTGCGCAGGCGGCCTCTCGCATGGAGCTCAAGTGTATGATTTATTTCCTCTTCAACGCTCTGGCCGGAAGATACTAGCCGCAATTTATCCTCTCGGTACTGTTTTTTGCTACCCCAGCCTAATGTTTTTTGACTAACCAGGCCTAATCGAGTACTTTTCTTATATCTGTCTAAGAAAGTCGAGGCGTCTTCGAATAGCCGCTGGCATCTCGTATCAATTTGCTCAATAAATAGAACGATAGAGGGATCCAGGACGCCCTCTCGTAGCATAGCGATGAGTCTCGTAATAGATACGCATATGCCTGGGAATATCCGCTTTAGTATAACTAGTGCGTTTGACTTGACCTTGCCTTCGGTAGCTATATCCTGCAATCGTTGTTGGATCGGCTGGGCTTTAGTTAACAACGAAGTTAGAGTAGCGATTAGAAAAGGGGCACTATCTCGTGTCGGCGATACGCCATCCTCAGCCGGTTTAGATGTTTCAAATTTATTGAGATCCATCGTCGAAAGAATAGAACTTGTTCTGTTAACTATACTGTCTGGGCTGCTATCTCGTATCGGAGAAGTAGCCTCTTCAGCTGAATCGGATGTTCGGGATCTGTCAAGGTCCATCGTCGAGAGCCTAGGACCTGTCCTGTTGACCACGCTGTCTGGACTACTATCTCGTGAGGGAGAGAGTTCTCCATCTGCTTGGTTTCGTTCGCGTCCATCTTCTAGGCCTTGGTTGGAAAAACCAGCATCCATACCAAGCCTAGGGTGGGAGGAATCCAATGCAAAGTCAACTGCATATTCCTGAAGAATGCTGTCCAATCTTTCCATTTGGAATATAAGCTCCGATGCACACTCTTGGAAGTCGTCTCCGTCGTCTGAGGCCACGAATTCCTTTAATTCTGTCAAAAGCCTTGGAATAGTTTTAAAAACTGCTTTAAATTGGAGATCGACGTTGAGCTTATCCAATATCTCAGTCGGTAAGTTCACAATGCTTATCATCTGACGGTGTAATTTGTCGACACCAGGAAAATATGCGTCACTGAAAACTGTCGACGAAATTCCTTGTGTCATCTTGACAAGCGTTTCAATTTCAGCTTTCTTGTCCTCGCTAGCAAATGCGTAAGATATGTCTGAAACTTCTGACTGGTCAGACCTGGCAATTGCGTGGTCAGAGATATTGGAGTTCTCAGGAGATTCTTCGTTTTCGTTGCCTTCAACATCTCTAGGCAATGCAAATGCCGCAAACCGCTCTAGATGATTTGCCAGGTGATTTTCCAGGCCATATGACGAACCGGCGTCCACGAAACAGATTGGGCATATTGTCCTGGAGTCAGGCCGAACAGTCTCGCAGATGGCGAGCAAATCGTCTAGGCCCATTCGCTGTAGAGACTCATGGTTTTCAGCCAATAGATGCCGCTTTAAATCATCTTGCGTTAAGAAGTGTGTCGAAGCATGCTCCGGACATTGCCAAGCTTTTTGGTGGGTGCGTTCATGGTTCAGCCATTCCTGTTTGGTTGCAAAGAGCTCATCCGGCTGTTGACAATGTTTATGAGTGCACATATAGGGCCTTAGATCCCGTAGCAAGTGTGTCCTAACTCTGTCAGTGCGGCTCTAAACCTAGAAACTATATTAACTATACATACCTCCAAGCACGTGGCATCTGATAATGCGGAGGACATATCATTAAGCAATAGGGGCATTCGAAATCTTTGCCTTTCTTGATGTCTTTTGGCAACTTAGGAAATTCAATCCTGCTGCCATCCAGACCACGGGCAGTTGTAGCATATGAGGTAACAGACTGGTTACCATCAGGCACATTGGCCGGAGTAATGAAGAGGGTTGCAGTAGTTTCGGTGAGTGTGGTTTTAGGCCTAGAAGATTCCGTTTGAGCTTTGCCAATGACTGGCAACGAAGCACGCGGGCCGGCAACGGATTCCCTCATTTCATCTCCCTTAAGATGCACAGTTGGTGCGGGCTTAGGGATTTTCAAAATCTCCTTCTCAGCATGGAAACCAAGCTTTTTCCTATGATGCTTCCAATAAAGGAACTGTTGCCTTCTACGGGTTATACCCTGGGCAAGCCTTTTGATCATAGCCAGATCGCCATCGTCAAGAGTTGGACAGTTCGCATACTGATCCTGCGCATTTCGACGTAGCTGTGAAAACAGATCTTTCGTGAAGGCCAAGTCCACTGGAGCAAATTGTTGCACAACGTCAACTCCAGTCTCTTTGTCGATCAGCTTATAAGACAGAGCTTTCAATGATCTAGAGTGCGATGCCGGCGCTCGTATTGAACGAGACAGGCGATAAAGGTTGTCATTAATATTAGATAACGCAGACACTCGTCGACGCAGCTCGCTAGGGGCTAATTTCTCATCATCGCTGTCCGAGGAGCTGTCAGAGCTCGACTCGCTATCGCTAGACAACGAGGACGTGTCCGAGTCGTCCACGTGGCCCGCACGTGAAGATATTTGCGCTTCATATGGAAGTCTTGCGCCGGATAAGACTAGGCACACTATTTTCAAATTAGAAAAGCTAGCATTCGTTAGGAAGAGGGGACCTACTTTGATGGAGCTCTTGCTGTAATTCATTAAGGAGCTTCAGAGCCCCTTCCAGAACCAAAGGCGCATCACGAAGCCTGTAATCAAGCGAGCTGTGCCCTCTCGAAAGAGCGCCAATATTAGCCGCCCATAATCGAAATCTACCAAACTCGTCTTCGATATCAGCATCGGGAACTTGCGCCGCAAACTCCGGTTTCGCCGCCTGGAGGTGGCTCCGAAGAGCTCCAAATGCTTCCAGGCATGACGAGGTTGCGACATGCGCTTCCGAAGCCGACATGATTTCTCCTTGTCGTCAAGGCCGGCCTCCACTACTAGAGAGCTCCATAAACAGATCACAAGTATGGCAACAGAAGTCAGTTTTCAGCCGCGAGCGACGATGAAGTATTTTGGTAGTTGGAGGGGTTGCGTGGGATCAACAACCCTGTTGGTGCATGGACGCTTAGTTCAGCCGCAGCCTCATCTTGGATTGTGACCACGCACGAAAAACCCCACACTTCAACACTCAGTAGTAAACGACAGAATGACTCTTATTGACTCCTGTGTTCTGTCGCTGTTCTTGTAAGCCATTAGAGGTTGGCAGCGGCATCTAGCAGCCGTGCCAGCACCATGAGTGGTGTCGAGGTCGCCGGCATAATCCTTGCTGTTCTACCCCTCTTCATCTCCGCTCTCGAGAACTACGAGAATGGACTGGACCCCGTGCGGGCATTTTTTGAGTTCGACTCAGAATGGCCAAATCAGATCCGGAAGCTCCGGGACCAGCATATCAATTATAACCTCACGATGAAGGGTCTGCTCTTGTCCGTCGCTGATGGCGAGGATGTGGATGAGATGATATCTGATCCGGGCGGTGCCTGCTGGAAAAACATCGGCATGCAGATAAGGCTCGAGGAGAGACTGGATGAAGCGTACCAGGCATATCTTGATGCGATCAAGCATATAGAGGAAATCATGAAGACTATTGCGAAAGACCTCAAAATCGACCATGGTGATAGGGTAAGTTGAGCATTTCTCTCGTACGAATGTGGCTGATACAGATTCAAGACGACACGTGCGGACCTTCAATCGCTATTGATGAAGGCACCGCGAAAAGACAAACATTTTGAATTTGCGCGGCGTGTAAAGTTCGGCATGAAGCTCAAGAAATTTAAGAGGTTGCTTGACGATTTGGAAAGCGAGATTCGGAAGCTAGACCAATTCAACGACAAGACGGAACGGTTCGAGCCGTACCGGTCTGCTAAGCCAACGTCTATATTCAACCCGCCGCTCAATGATATTCGACAATATGCAAAAAACCTGTATGGAGTTTTGTGCGTCGGCGCTGGCTGCTCTCAATCTAAGCATCAGGCAAAGCTGCAGTTGGAGAAGAGATTGTACCCAAAACGTACGAAAGGTTCTTGGAAGCAATCAAAGGAGATCAACCAGAACACTCGGCCGTGCTTCAGGGTTTCTATGTATGCTTCTCGTTGGCAAGACGTCGAAGTTCAGATACTCGAAGCGGAATCTTCTGCTGACGAACAACGCTCAAATCAGCCCAAGCATGCCTCGCAACCACAAGGTGGTGGTTTACCCAGACCCAACTCTTCCACTGGGCCTGTGGCATTGTCGGCGGTGACAGGCAACAAAGGATTACAGTCAATTGAGGAGACCCATATCCTAGTCGAAAAGCAATCCACCATACATGGTATATCTACGAAGATGTTGATTTCTAGCAAAAAAGGAGTCGGGTATTCCATGAGCATGTCGGCTTCTGTTGGCCCTCTCCTTAACCAAAGTGCTAGCAAGGTCCAAAGCAGTATCATGAATGGCAAGTCGGTCAAGCCAGGCTCGAAGGCTGTCGGATGGGCCATGTCCGAAGCCCCGAAAATAACTCTCCATGAATTACCAATCCGCAACTCGAAACCGAACAGCCTGTTGGAGGTAATCGACATATGCTCGGCTATACGGAGATGTAAAACGAGAAAGATCTGTCTTGGGCTCTGTCTTGACCATGGCGGGACACTCCGCAGGGCACTTTCAATCCCACTACCGGAGAAACAAAGTGAAGAAAAGCCAGCCGAGGAGGTTCCCGAAAATGAAGCAACCAGCCTGAACAAGCTTCTGATGCCTGATCCGGATCATTATGGACATACTTTGTCTCGAAAAGACCGAATGTCTCTAGCACTGATACTAGCATCATCGTTTGTACAGCTAGAAGCCACACAGTGGATCCAAGAGTCATGGGGGAAAGAAGACATCGTCTTTGACCGGGCTCCAGATGCACCCAAAGACGGCTCCGTCGACCTCAGCAAGCCCTACATCCTACATTCCATCGAAAAACGCACAGCAGACAACAAAACCCGACCTATTGAGAAGTCGCGAAATTACAGCCTCTTAAGTCTTGGCATCCTCTTGCTTGAGTTATCAACCGGACAGTCTTTCGAGCAGCACTTGTCACGTATAAAGGGCAAAAGCGCTGCCAGCCTAGACCCCCCTGAAGAATCCATTGAGAGGCTCATGAAACTCTTAGAAGTCAAGAAATGGCTCCTAGCCGTTCAGGATGATTTATCCAGCGGATTCCATGGGGCAATCTGGCACTGTGTCAAAAGCTACTTCGACGAAGAATCTGGCAAGACTGAGGACGTCTACCGCCAAGGCGTGTTGGATCAAGTTGTCTTGCCGTTGCAGGAAGATCTACAGAGCTTCTTAGGCGCCAGAACTTAGTCACACCCAAGGGGAGTGGTCGAACGGTGGTTCAACTCCACCATCGGGGCTCCCGGTGGCAGCGTCTCTTTCCTACCTACCTAAGGAAACCAAAGACAACTACAACGCCTCTAGTAACAGTCAATAAATATCTTGCAAATAAATTTAGGTATAGCTACGCTGGGTATAAATATTTGACAAAATGCCTGGACAATTGCTCGGCAGAATACATATGGATGAAACGAAAATATCCAAACATGAATACGCCAAATGCGCCAACAGACAAACCCCCAAGAAACCACATATATCACCAAATCATCAACATCCTCACCTACCAGGATGACTCTCAAAATCTTCCTCGCTATCATAGGCCAGATGGAGGGCCTCTTCAGCGTCATCATCCTCCGCGCCTTCTATGCCGTCAGCTGCTTTAATCAACACACCTATCTTTTGCCCGTCTTTCCGCCCTCTATCCACGTCAATCCACACGAATATAAACCCTGGTGTGACGATTAAACAGAGCAGAAACCAAAACGACGGTCTAATACCGCCCGTTCGATCGACGATCATTCCAACTATCGCGGGTCCAAACACGCTGCTTCCCTTGTCTGTGATCGCATACAGAGCGTAAAACGCAGCTTCGTATCCAGGAGGGATCAGTTCGCCATAGAGACTTCGGCAATATGACGACAGTCCGCCGAGGACAAAGCCATAGAGGAGCCCGAGAGGGTACATCTCCCATGGCCTTGTGAGCGTGGAGAAGATTGGGATATAGTTGAGGAGGCCGTACAGCGGGATGAGAGAAAATAGGAATATGCAGGCGAGAATCGTATGCAATGGAGTCAGTTTAAGGTAGCGGGAGATGTGCGGCCATGTGAATGCTCCTATGAGACCCGCAATGGTGACGAGCACGGAGATCCCTGCCAACGCGAGAGGGGGCATGCCGAGCGAGGTTTTAGCGAAGAGAATTGAGACGCCAGATACGGTGGCGATGGCGTCAGATAGGAGGAACCACGATGCGAGGAAGAGGAGGACATCTGGTAGAGCGGGGGTAAGGCGGATAGTTCTATATAGCGACGCCCATGAGTGCTTGATATAGGTTAACCCTGAGGTAGCCATGTTCGTAGGCAGAGGTGGTCCTGGGCGAGGCCGGAGCCAGAGGGCGGCTGGTATCGTGAATACGAACCACCAAAGCCCGATAATGAAGAGGACGAGTCGGAGAGAAAATGTGGATGACCCCAGACCGAAAAGGATCAAGACTGATAATATTTGGACAAAAAGGGCGGCAGAATAGCTGATCCCGATACCTAGACTGGATATCTGAGTTGAGAGCTTAAGAGCGGTGGAGGTAGCTGGCACGGCCAGAGGGGTCGGATTTAGGAGGGCGCTTGTCGAATTTGTAAGACTGAGCGGTGGTTCGTCTTCAGCAATTGATTCTTCATCCTCTGTATATTGCTCGTCGGAGTTTAAATCCTCATCTTGTACTTCCGGGTGATGTCTGACCAGTAGTGGTAGAAAGGAGTTCAGTAGAACAAAGGATGCGCCCAAACATGTATTTGCGATGATGCCGAGTAGAGCACCTATCAGGTATACCGATGGGACAACAGGTAGGAAGAGCATCGTGGCAACAGCCCCTGTCCATGCAAATATCAAGAGCAGCCTCTTGCGATAATTGCCGTGGTCCGCGGCGCATGATATGGAGATAACAACGAGGAACTGAAACAGAACCGACATAGAAAACGAATACATCGCAAAGCTAGCAGTGTTGATTTCCATTCCAAGAAAGTATATGACGCATTGGTCTGGTTCGGGAACATGGTTCCCACGGGAAAATAACGAGGCTGCATTCCCAGTCGAGTTGGGATGGGTGGAAGTGGCGACGCAAGGAGTCGTTCTATCGGACAGCAGGACGCCATTCTCTCTTGCCAGTTGTTCGAGTGTGATAGGAACGAAAGACCCTAAAGATCAGAATTAGCAATCAGGTCCTTGCGAGTGAAGCGGTGAGAAAAGACACTCGACGAAGTGGAGAGGCGGGGAGACACTATATATTCCCAGCGCATTTCACGACGCATTATAACCCTCTAAATGAACACATTGACTCACCCATGCCGCAAATAACAAAGACCTCAGCTGCAAATCCGTATGCGTACCATCCTGCCAACTCGCGTTTGCTGGTCAACCTCGTATCTTCTCCAGCATACTGTGACCCCGCGCGCCGATGACCTCCTATATCTGAACCCATGGTTCTTTCGACGTCGGAGCTCGATCTCTCGTCATCTGCTTCAAAGGAAGATGAGTGTGAACGCAATGAATACTTTATGCTCGTTGTCGATTGTAGTCGTTCCGGAAGTGGTCGGCGCGTACGACGTTCGTTGGGCATATCGAGAGGTAGGCCACAGGTCAGCTAGCCATAAGCTTCAGCTGTCAGCCACAGGTGGATAACGGGGAAGCTTGGTGTAACAGCGCTTATCGTAATTCGTATATGCTGGAGCTGGTCAAATCCAAAACCTTCATATCAATACTTTTCGCTCATAAGATATGGTTGCATATATTGACATGAACATTAACCTTCAAGCTCATGATCATTGTTTCCAGTCGCGGTGGAGTTCAGGCGCTCACAAGACTCAGAGGCTCAGTGAGTGATCCACATACAAAAGTACCCGGAGAGATAATGGTCGGCAATGATCAGCGCTACCACATGGTCCATCCACGTGACGTCAATCGCGCTCGGAGGAGGCTCGCGGGCTCCGTCCATCTCGTCCCTCTCTTGTCGCCCGTGCCTCAAAGAACTGAGCCTGAATAATATCATGTAACAACACAAACCACAACGCTCAACAGCACCCATATCCACCCCTACGGACTCTGTCACTTCCTCTATACCATCTCCTTTGAAAGTGATTTCAACCTCAAAGCGAAAACTTTTCAGCATCCACCCCAAGGACACAGCCAATCCAGTGTCGAAATCGTGGTCCAAGGGCGCTGGGAACAGAGTTCCAAAGTCGCATCATCGCCAACGCATCGCACGCTTAGTTTCTACTTACGTGATTCTCTGAATCATAATCGCACGGTGGTTAGAGACCACTTTACAGGTCACTTCAGACGCAGATGCGAACTGAAGAACGGTGACAACACGCTCTCACGACAGCTTCAGCGGACGCCCTCGTCACGACCAATGCAGACGTCTTGGAAGCAGCCAAGATAGAGTCGCAAGTACAGCCCATATCGGGAGAGGATAGAGGTGGGGAGTTGCGCGACGGCGCTGGAGGGGCAGAGGCGCAAGTGGAAGGGAACATGCCCGGTGTCATAATGGAGAACGGTTATGGAACTGGGGCGCACACAAACCACGATAGAGATGGGGCCCCGAATAGACCGAATGGTGCAGTGCAAGCCTCGAGTCGACCTGCGGAAAAGACTGGCATGCCTGTCCACCAGCAACCACCGAATCAATCAGTACAACTGAACGGAGCGAACGGTGCGCCAATGACACAATCGGCAGGTCACCCAGCAGGATCAGTGTCAAAGGATGCCAATATCCAGACCAAAAGCACTCCTCCGGAGATAAACCACATCACTGAAGGATTCGAATCGCTACCAAACCTTCTCGCGAGATTAGCGCAAGTTACACACAACCAGCTGTCCGGAAAGTTGCTCGAGCTGGCTGGAATGAACATACAGCAGTCGCCCGATAATTCGAATGCTGTGAGCTTTGTAAGTGGTCCGGACGATAACTCTGCCGAAAACATAAAGAAGAAGGTCAATCTGCTCAAGTTTGCGGAAGGGGTACATTCGAATTGGACAAAGGCGCTTGTCATCACGCAGTGGAGTAGGATCGGCGAAGAAGTCAGTCGGGTTATAGACCTCAAAGCCCATTTAGATGAGCAGAAGCTCTACTATGATATCGCGGTACATGAGTTGAGCGAGGTCAAGAGAAGCTTGGTGCATGCGAGGTTACCCAACCCTGATCTGAGGACGGCTGTGGAGGTGCTGTCCACGGGAAAGGCGTCATGGATGCCAGACGTAAGTTGTTGCCCTGAAAGTCTTTATTATTGCTAACATGATATAGCTTGGTTACATTGAGCCCCCGCCGTTAACAGCAAAGGAGATCCTTCAATCATTACAGAACCTGAACACATTACTATCGATACGATTGAATCTACACGATTACGACAAGATACCCTACCACTTCAGAAGCTACACAATCAAATCTGGCCGCGTGACTTTCAGAGTCGAGGGAGAGTTCGAGGTCGATCTCACTATTGCCGATGAAGATCCTGAAAAGCAATTCTGGTTCATTGACTTCCGGTTTTTGTTTTCTCCGTCTCCCTCAGCCCTGACGGATCAGATGCGTTTCTCGTTAGAGGCGAAGGTCAACACGGTTCTGGAGAAGGATGGGTTGGCAGGATGCTACAAAGTTTTACACGATTTGACTCTAACACACAAGATATCCGAGCTCAGGCGGCAAGCTTATGAGATTGGCAGATCGAGATGGATTGACTCTTTAATGGTTGAGCCGTTACGGAGATCGCTTTCAATCCAGTACTGGGTCGATAGATATGGAAAAGACGGACCAAAGAGTTGGATTATCATTGGCGTTGTCAGTGGAAAGAAGAAGGGTGCCTACCCCGACGAAAAGGAGACAAGCCGGATTGGCATTCGCTGGTTCCGAGACTCGAAAGAGGTAAGGGATGTCGAAATACCTCTTGAACTCACTACCTTATCGGTGGAGGGGTTGTTGCGGTCTGTCATTACCATGCACGTTTCGCACATCCTGGAAAGCATGTACAAAAGCCTCCGAACAAAACCCCTATACGAGAACAGGGATCTCGTCTTGTCATTCAAGAAACCAACGGCGGCCGAACAAGAGCCGGAGCTCCACGTGCAGCTTACTTCTCAGTATAAAATCAACGTCATCGTTGAGTATATTACGGGGAAGTTTGCCATCAGTCCGTCATCGAGGCTCACAAGCCAGGCCGAATATAGGCTCAATAACCAGACCGTTGATCCAGCTTCGAATGGACACGAGTATATTGAGAACCTCCACTGCGTCCTGATATCGGAAGACACCGTGAACCGGGCTTATACCGTAGGCTGGTTGCCTGTCAGGAACCCTCGCCTACCACAAGACGAGTTAAAACCCTTCTTACCACGAGACACGCTGCAGCTGTCGTGGTTCAAGAAGCCTGGGTGGGATCCAAACTGGTACTTGGCTCTAAGCTCAGGCATGAGTGGGGAGCGTTGGTGGTTAATAGAGGTCACCAACGTCCCCGACGGACCCAGGCCGGCTGCAGATTCAATTGTACTTGAGGGGCCAACAGTCAGGAGCCACATCCAGCTGCCACTTAAATCTGTGTCCCCTGCTCCGACCTACGCATTCTTATCAAGCCTACATTTGCTCTCAACATCTATGATATCTTACTACACTAATATGCGAGCTCTGCATAGCCGCCGAGCGAAATTTATGCTTCGGAATCCCTCTAAAAGCTCGTTATCTTCTCGGCAAAGCCAGCCAGCTCTATATGTCATGCTGTCGACTTTATTGCCTTCAAAAAACAGATCGCCTCGGACAGGCAAGCCGTGGGCGAAAGACGTACTCAAGGTCTCGTTTCAAGGAATCGAAACGTTGGAGCAAAAAGAAGCGGCTACAAGTCCTGCTGGTGGCTCTAGCCAATCACCGTCGAATCCATCAACAGCCCCAAGCGGACCAATTGCCCCTCGACAATCAGAACCCGAAGAGGGTGCAATCATGATTGCAGAGGGCCATATGGAAACAGCCATCCCAGCAGGGCTTCTCGTCAAGCAACATGTCGATAAGGACATTGCATTCCATCCGTCAACCAGCGCTTTCGCCTTCCGCCTTCAGGCCAAGGTTGGAGAGCCCAGCATTACCCCTCTCATAGAGCGCCTTCAACGTGTTGAGCGACTTGTAGACTTCGTACAGGTCATCAACGCGCACCCAGACTCGCTGCACTGCGAAAGCGTCTCCTTAAGCCGACTCATATTCAGCTACGGCTGTGTACAAAGCCCAAGCCCCAACCAACCCAAAACAGAATCCCCACGATACCAAGCCATCATCGATTTCTCCAGTCAAACCACCAAACTTGAACTCCAACTCGAAGCCGGGAATCCACATATCCGCATCCTTGACCACCTCACCAAGATCCTCAACTCCCCACTCGGTCTCCATGGACTCGCCACCATCCTTCCCCTCACTCTCCCAGTTCTCCGTGCGCTTGATGCTGCAGAAGACTCATGGGAGGACATTCCAAGTAGCGAGTTGCAGATATTATGCCGCGCAGCTGACTGGTACGCCGTACGGTACATCCTGACGCCTCCCAGCGAAGGTGACAACAAAGCACCGCCGCCTCCAAAACGCATTGTTTTCGAAATCCGACTACATCGCCGCGGAAACGTGCCGTGGTGGTGTATGCGCCGCGACCAGAAGCATAACGCTGCAACCGTGGACCCACTGGATCTGGCCTTGAAGGAGAAGGTGTGGACTGGTAGTGAGAAGGGGGTCTGGATGGGTATGCAGTGTGCGGCTATTGCTCAGACTGGCGGCGCAGAGGCTATGGTTTTACGCGTCGATTCAGCTATGCGTGATCTGGCAAAAGATGGCACTGTATTTGCCAATGCTGCGCCCGGTGTGACGGGCGTGAAGGGCGAGGGAGGTGCTGCGGAGATGACTGATGTGCTGGGAAGCCAGAGTGGACAGATGCAAGCTCAAGTTGTGAATGCGCCGAACAAGGCCCAGCCACAACGCCCTCAGACAAAATCCCCGGTCCTCCAGAAGCAGGTGCAAAAGAAGGCCCAGGTGCCGCCGACCACCCAGCAACAGAGGACACAGGCGGCCTTGAATGAAGCGCAGCACCGGGCACAGTACCAAGCCCAGCAGCAAGCGAGGCAAAAGGAGATGCATCGGCAAGCTCAAATTCAAGCGCGGCAAGGACAGGGCCAGCAGAGGCCGAACCCGAATAACGCGAACGGGGGGAATGGGAATTCGGGGAAGCAGGATGCGATTGTAATAGACTAGGATTAATGAGGTGTTATTTGGGGGGTGTAATTGCGGGTGGGAGCAAGTTGCTTGTGTTTTTTTGGTAAATACCCGATGGCCGGTATTGGCGGGGTGCGATGCATGGAAATATGGGTGGGGGTTTTAGTTCCAGAGTTTTTTTTGCTCTGAAGGGGATAAATGAAAGTGAATATTTAATGATGAGTCTTTTATGAGGGGTTGTCAGGTGATGTGATTGATGCTTTTGTCATGATGTCGATCGTGGTTTCCTCATACCCGCTTATATGAGAAACGAGGCGTGTGTCTTATCCGGGCTCCCCCGTAGAGCTTATGTCCTGCTCTCTCCCCAAACACCTTTAACACTGCTCTGGATTAGATGCCAAGGAGTAACTCCGCGGAGCTCTTTATCTTGATCAATATCCAGCACTATGAGTTAGGGATTTTGGTGGTTAGCTCCCAAAATAGTACGATTTTGACGCTGATAGACCACTAATGAACACTTTTATTTAGAGCCTCAAGTAAAACATTCTTACCAAGCACAAATCCCGAATTACATGTCGACTTCCCATGTGGGACTAGCAAGGAAATTGTACTTTTGGAGACGGAGGATTTTGTAAATATGGATTTCCTTCTGGTTTTCTCACCTGCTAACTTATCATAGCCCGTGCAGTCTCCAGTCCATGTTATCGTCGCAGGCATCAATCCATCCGACCCAGATAGTATCGATATACCAGAGGATAACGTCCCAAGCACGGGTAATATCCCAGTCGAGCTCGAGAGTACCGATATACCGAGGGGAGACTTCCCAAACACGGATAACCCAGTCGAGCCCGAAGTAAACGTCCCAAACATGGATAATATCCCAGTCGAGCCCAAGAGTACCGATATACCGGGGGTAAACGCCATAAATACAGAAAATATCCCAGTCGAACCCGAACGATCCATCCTACAGCCTCTGACCCTCGCCACTACAACTATCGATGTCCTCGCCGGGACTCAAGTTCCAACCATCGATATCATCTTCAACAGCGCCGGCATAATGAACATCCAGGAATATACCCACAGGAGGGGAAGGATCGAGATGTACTTCTCCATAACCAACATCGGCTACTTTCTCTTCGCCTGTTTAATAGCGCCGCATCTTATTAAGCCAGCAGGCCACACCCCAAACGAGCCGATGCTTGTAACAAACGATAGGCGGCCGTTTCGCAAAAGGTCGACTATAGTATGGGCCGATCTGCGTTACGGCATTTTAGGAAAGGAAGAGGATGGCTGGTCGCCGATACGGAGATTTGGGGTATTCAAGAAGATGTCGCGTCGAATACCGGATGAAGAGTTAATCTTTTCAGATTGTGTGACAGAACTTCAGCGAGCGTGGACTTGGTATTGTTTTATACCGAGTCTTATGTTTGTGCTTCCCAGAGCTATCATTTACATGCTTGACTTGCTCGTGTTCGTTTGTCTTTCGATTCTTGTTGTTGCGGGTGTTACTCGTTTTATAGCACTTGTACAGGAGTTTTATAGGGATATCAACTGGGAGGCGTTGTAAGTTTCCCATTTCAGTGCGGATGGATATGAGCTAACTGGGTTTAGGATATGGGAATCATCTGGGGAAGTGTGATTGATTGTGTATCGGAGTTTACAGACGTCAAACTACAGCGTTGAGCGATGAAGATGGGAAGCGGAGTTGGTTGAGTGTTGGCCCTTGAAGCTCGGGGCCACAAAGCGACTTTTTTTTATACCTAGTATTCTCAAATAGAAAGTTTTTTAGGCTCATAAATCATAAGAGCTGCCAAGTTGATTTCCCTCCTGCCTATATTTTTGTATGGAAATAATTTCTATGCCAGTAGAAAATATTATGAGACTAAGCCATATAATGCCAAAAAAACAGATTATTTTCAAAATAAGGAAATATTATACTACAGTAGAAGGCGAATTGGGTGTCGCTGGTTTTTAAGTTAGTTTATTTTAGCGGGGTCCATTTCCAGACACTTGTGGCTGTGCAACCCTGCCTGCTTGTACTCTAAAGGTACCGCCCCTGGTTGTCTCGTAGAGCGGAGCCGAATCTTGCCGATCTACGCCTCACGCTCAAGTACAGTACACCTTCGGATGACCTACTGTACAGAATCGCTAGGGCGCTAAGTCAATGTCATTACCATACCATTTGTCGTACATATTTGCTCTGGTTTCCAATTAAAGCAGATTATCACATAATAATAAACTTTTATTGCTATTACTAAAAATTAGGACAGTAGTAGCCGCAGCGCAACCAACTTTTGACATAGAAATAAGTACAGATTAACTAGTCCCTGTCCATAATAGTGATTGTAAGACACTAGTTATAAGCCTTTTCTAACCCACTTAAGATTGAATTACCCTTGCCATTGGGAACGCGACTAGACAACTACAAATTTCTCCTCCCACAGTAAACTACGCGCAGACATTATCCTCTGAAAATTGTCATACGTCGTTGCAACTTCGTAGGATGTCGCCAATCCTGTACTGTAGTTTTAGGCGGCAAAACAAACGAGACCAGTTCCATCAAAAACAGGCCTTGCGCAGCAGGGGGGAAACTTTGCTCTAGTAGCAGGGCAAGTAGTAGTACTAGAGACTGCGTTTTGTTAGACAGTCCTCGTAAAGCTACTTCAGATTAACTTACCTTTGATGCAGTCCTGTCCAACCCCTGTAATAGAGAACAAACTCAACGAAACAAATTGTTTACAGCAAAATTTAATAGTAGTAGTAGGACAAGTTGGTGCTCTTGCTTCAAGATCTTCTACAGGAGCTGTAGTAGCTGCAGTAGCTAGTATAAATAGAGCTAAGATCTTATTAAAGTGCATAGTGAAATGTTTAGTAGTGCTGATGGGAAGGTTGTAGGTTAATTGGTTGTATGAAGATATGAACAAAAAAAAATCGAATGATATGATTATGAACAGCGAGGTCGCTTCTTATAGGCAAATCACGAGCTCTAAACAGAGTGCAACTCTTTTCAGCTATACAGTAGGAAATAGCTGAAGATTAGCTCTACAACCACGATCGGAGGAGGGTTGAAGATAGATCGGCTTGTTCCGGCCAACCACGATCGGAGGAGGGTTGAAGACAGATCGGCTTATTCCGTCTAACCACGATCGGAGGAGGGTTGAAGACAGATCGGCTTATTCCGTCTAACCACGATCGGAGGAGGGTTGAGGACAGATCGGCTTATTCCGTCTAACCACGATCGGAGGAGGGTTGAAGACAGATCAGCTTGCTCCGGCCAACCTCTGAGGCCATATGAATCCTCACGCTCTGTAGCAAATATTATATATAGTCCAGCTACTCGAGATTAGATCGAATTCGCGAATGGTCTAGACTACCCATCGAATATCAATGTTTGCAAATAGCGTAGACTACTTACGAAAGATAGCTGTAGTTTTTTTTACCACCCCCAACGTCTATATCCATCCCTTCCATCGCAGCCAGGCTCATCAACGAAAGCAAGTTGGTATGACTTATATTGCGACATCTTATGTAGATAGTAGTCTCGAAGGTCGGCATTCCGTTGTTGAGCGATACGATGGATCATTGTTCTCGTACAGCCGATTGATCGCAGGAACCGACCGAGCGGTCTTTCCGAAATCCTTTTGCGAAACTTACGATAGAGGAAATCCGCCATCTCAGATCGGTACAGGTAGGGCTGCTCAAGTATTAGATCACAGAGGGCTTTGTCCATGGCTGGTGTAATGCAGCTACGACGGCCGGCACGCTTTGCTCGTTGGATGGGCATTTCGAACTGCTTCAGGCGGATTCTCTGGACGGCGCGTACGCTGCACAAGGCTACTGAGGCTGTTAGCTTGGTTTTAAACCCTTCTTTAAGCAATATTTTGATCAAACTATGCTTCACAGCATCCAGTTGCGGCGCCATGATCGTGGCTGACACAAAGCGCTGACACGAGAGTGCTGACTCTGGTGGGTTTTAGAAGAAGATTGGGAGAGGGTGGAAGGAAAGCCAGTCTTGGGGTGAGCGGCCGATTTTACCTCTGTATCTGCAAAGCCACAACAAGCCGCTGGTCTACCCCACAGTTTCACAAATAAAGTTATCTAAAATTCCACGACACCCGATTCGCCTTCTACTGTACGTCCAGCTAAAATGAAAGTAAACATTAATTCACCATTTCCCGAACTTGATAATTAATAATTTCCGATCTACCGTTCCATCACTCCCCTACAAACACCTCTGATGAGTCAGTTATTTATTTCCCTGTACAGAAAGCCCGTCGTCGTCGTGAGAATCCCGCAGAAAGCCACTATCCCCACTAACGCCACACGCCACCGCCACACCCACTTATATTACCCCACCCGCAACGACACGCGGCTACGCCAGCCTTGCGCCAATGACAGAGCAACCCCTACCATAAGCTTCCAGAAGCATCAAGAACCCCCCCGAACGACACCGAGGCAGACGGAGAGTTGTCGTCAGCCCGCGTTCTGTCACTTTACTATGGTGTGAGTCTTTCTTTTCCGTTCTGGACTGGTGATGGACAGGGTAGGTAGGGATGGCGTGCGTATGTCGGTGGGTTTGTGGATGTGTATGGTGGAACTAGGGGGGCGCGGGAGGGGAGTTCGCCTCCGGGATGGGATGGCGTGGACAAGTTGTTACCTGTGTGGGTGCTGGGTATATATTCGGATGGTCTGCTGGTTTGTAGGTTCTTCTTTCTTTCATTATCATCTTCATCATCATCATCGGTTTTTTTATCTCTCCGATATCTCAGTCTACTACCAAAATCACCTATCCAACACACAAACTTCTCACATCATCAACACCAACAAACAAACAACCAACCATGGCCTACCCAAACAACCCCCTCTTCGAGCTCCTCCGCGCCCTCGACCCTCAACAAGCCAACCAACAAACCGCCGCTGAGCAACCTTCCGCCGCCCAGCCACAAGCACAAGGCGCTGAAGCCACCGGAGCCGCCCCAGAGCAACCACAACACCCCTTCGCAGCATTCGCCCCCTTCTTCCCCTTCCCCCAACAAGCACACCCGCACCCCCACCACGGCGGCGGCGGCAGACGAGGCGGTCCAGGCCGCCGCTGCGGTCCCCGCGGCGAGTGTCCCGCCATGAACCCCGAGGCGCGCGGCCCGCTCGACGCAGAAGCCGAGGGCCACGGTCCGCATCACGGACGCCACGGACACGGCGGCGGTCGTCATGGACGCGGAGGCTGGGGTCGTGAGCCGCCTGCTTATGCTGCCTTTGGCGGACAGGGAATGCCGTTTGATATCTCCGCTTTCGTGAATAGTCTTGCTTCGCACCCGATTGCGGAGGCGTTGAGGACTTGTGTTGATGAGGCTGCGCGCGCTGGTGGTGCGGCGGCGGATCCGAATACTGCGCCTGCGGAGGGGGAGGCGAGGGGTGCTGCTGATGAGAGTGATGCGTTTGCGCCGGCTGTTGATACCTTTTCCACTCCTACCGAGTATGTTCTCCACGTTGCGCTGCCGGGTGCTCGCAAGGAGGATGTTGGTGTGAACTGGGATGCTGAGAAGGGGGAGTTGAACATCGCTGGTGTTGTTTACCGCGCGGGCGATGAGGAGTTCATCGCTAGTTTGAAGACTGGGGAGAGGAGAGTTGGTGTTTTTGAGAGGAGTGTCAAGTTGCCGCTTGAGGGGGATGAGAAGGTGGAGGTTGATGGGGAGGAGATCAGTGCGAAGTTGGAGGATGGAGTTTTGGTTGTGAGAGTGGGCAAGGTGGTTAGGGAGGAGGCTTGGACGGATTTGAAGAGGGTTGAGGTGTTGTAGATGCTACAGCCTCTGGGAGTCTCTTATTGTTTTTCTTATAATAGGTTGTTGGAGTTGGATTTCTTTGGATAGGGTATATTGATAATAGAGAATAACTTAACTTGAGACTTGATGTTTTCAATTGCTACATCGTTAATTGTGACACCTTGTGACCCGCGACTACTTTGCACACCTCATCTCATTTGGGCCGCCACTTGCCAAGGGGTGAAACTTGATACGAATCAAACATAAAAAACGTAATATTCGAATTCCGAATCTCCTTCATCCAAAGGGTATTCAACCATCTCCCATTCCGTCATGCTAATCTTTCACTCGTAATATTCATCCATATGCACGCACAATCACAACGCCTTTTCCCACCCTCCCCACCACCACCATCTATCTACTCCACCTTCGCACTCTCCAACTTCTCCGCAACCTCCTCCACCACCCCCGTCCCCGTCCCCAACACGACCTCCTCCTTCACAGCCTCATTGTTGACCTCTACACTACCATCTTCCTGCGCCACAACAGCCACGCCGCCCTTGCGCGCCGCGGCAGCAGCAGCGCGCTTGGCGGGGTCGCCTTTGTCCTTCTTGACTTTTGTCTTTATCTTCTCGACTTTGATGATGGGGTAGGCCTTTGCCTCGATCTCTTGCCATTCTTTGTCTGCGGCGAACTCGGCGCGGATGGGGTCGAGGAGGGAGTTGAGGGCGGAGGTGAGGGAAGATTTGAGGAGTTGGGGGGTTAGCTGGGGAAATGTTAGTCGCTGGTCTCATATGACTGGGTCTCGAAGAAATTTGACACAAAAAGGGGTGGGGGGGGATAAACTCACAATATCCGCCTCATAATCCCTCTTCAACGCCTCCACATCCTCATAAACCAACGGCTCCCCCTCCCTCCTCTCCACCACATACTTGGCCGTCCCCCCACTCTTCAGCGCCACCGCGCGGAAGATAACATGTTCCACAAACGCAATCAGTCCATTCCCCTCCACCTTCCTCGGCACACACACCGCCTTCTTCAGCTTCTTCTCCACCCCCTTCGCGTCGTCAAGGAGATCAATCTTACTATCCGGATCACTCGCGCTCATCTTCGCCGCCTCCCCCAAGCCCGGGATCATCGTATTCATTAAGTGAGCACGCACTTTATATCCGATGCGCGGGAGGTTCTCCATGGCGAAGGTGAAGATCTTCCTCTGATCCACGCCGCCGAACTGCGCGTCGACATCGAGGTACTGCTCATCCAGCGCCTGCATGAGGGGGTAGATCAGCCCCCCCAGCGTCGGGTCGTCGGTCTGCTTCACCACCTCCGCGCCGGCCTTCTGGGCGACACTGATGCGCGTCACGCCTTCGAGCTTGAAGCGGTCCATGGTGTAGTCCTTGCCGAGCTGGTAGGAGCTTCCAAGGACGAATTCGAGGAGGGAGAGGTCCACGCCGACGGCGCGGAGGAGGGCTTTGATGAGGCGGCTGTAGTAGGCGGCGCGGAACTCGACGAGCTCGAGGGGGGCTTTCATGTTATCGAGGTAGCCGTGGATGTCAGCCAGGAGGATCTTGACGTGGCATCCTGCGTGGAGGAGCTCGGCGATCTTGATGATGGGGACGAAGTAGGCGCAGTGAGGGCGTCCCGTTGTCGCAGTACCCCAGTAGACTTTCAGCGCGCGCTTCTGGGTGAGGATCACATCGTCGATGAGTTCGGGGTTGAGGACTTCGGCGAGGTTGGATTTGATGAGGGCGATTGAGGCGGCGGGGTCCATGGTGGTGGTGGGGGTAGGGGCCGCCATTGTTGTGTGATGAGGCTGGGTGTGGAGGGAGAGGCTGGAAGGAAGGAAGGAAAGGAGAGAGCGATGTGGCGGCGCGAGGGGCGGGGTGGGTTAATTTTTGAGGTTTTGCGAGGGGGCGGGGCAATGGGTGATTTTGAGTCATGGAGCGAAGTGGGATGAGGGTCACGTGACATGGCGGGGTCGGGCACGGAGAAAACCCCTGAAGGATGAACGGTACCTGAGAGGGTTCTTGGCTTCAACATAAGTTAGATTGTTTGCGATAAAGGGTTCAATTTAATTTAACATATATGTAATTGAATAGCGGTATTAACTAACTTCATCCCCCCTCTTCGCATACCTGCCATAATGGTGAAACTGTCATGTCCAAGTAACCACCCAGCCCTCCCATAAACGCCTTCCGTCGTCAACCACCAACAAAGGAACAAAAAAAAACATACAAAAATCCCCTACAAATATCTCACACCCCCTCCAAACCCAAACTAATAAATCGGCCGCCCCTCCTGCCACCTCTGCTGCACAACCTCCGGCCCCCCATCCGTGCCACTAACCGGACTACTCGCCTCTCCAAACTCTCCCCAGCTAACCCGTCCACTCTTCCTCCTTTCCCTCTCCGCGACCTGTCCCGCAACAGCACCGATCCACTCCCACACCCTCGCGATCTCGCCGTTTCGATCTTGTCTTTGCGCCGAGCGCACGTTGGCGTTCATCTCGACGACGTTCCGGACTTTTTGCCATATGGCGTCGCGTTTCGTCAGCGAATGTTCGTCGCGGAGTACATCATCGCGCAGTTGCGAGATGGGGATATACGCCTCCGGACACGCCGCGGGGTCAATACTATGTCTCGCAGCCTGCTCCGCCAGGCGATCAAGGGTAAGCGAAATAAGTTCTGGGATCTTCGCCGAGATAGCTAGGTAAGACGAGTACTTCGACCGGGCGTAGAGGAGGATAGTTGCGACTAGCGCAAGAATTGCAATTTGGAGTCGATGTCTTGCCACTGCGAGTCTGAGGGATCGGCGGAGGGCGCAGGAAAGAGGGAGCGCTGAGAGGGAGCTGCTCGAAAGGCGGGGATGTCCTGGGGTGGTTGGTCTAGGGGGGAGGGGGGGGACCTGGTTAGTTCGGCGTCGTCAGATGGTTGTAGTACTAGTTGTGGATGGATGGATGGGTGAGGATTTGATATGGGCAATGAAAACAGACGAGGACGCCTACCACTTGGTAGGTGCTTCATCCGAATGAAATGTGGGAGTTGGGGCATAAAAAACAAAAACTGCATAAAAAATCAAGGGGGAAAAACTCACTCATCCCTAACAACCTCCACCTCCTCCCTCCCCATAATCTCCCCAATCGCCCCAGCCCACAACTCCTCAAACTCCGCCTGTCCCATCCCCCTCCTCCTCTTATCACTAACCCTCTTCTTCAGCTCCTCCTCCCCAATCTCCGGCTTCCTCACCACCTCCCCGCTCCCTCCCTCCTCTTTCGCACCACACTCAAACTTCGCCCTCCTCTGCCTCAACTCCGCCACCGCGCGGTCCGCGACGACTTTAATCCTCCTCACCTTCTCCCCATCCGGCTCGCACGTCGGCGGTAGCGGGACTACACCACCTAATGCAAGCGGGTGGGGGCGCAGGACGAAATCGGGCTCACATGCCGTCTCAAGCCTCTCATAGCAAAACGCATGTTGTGGGCAGGCTTCACACTCCGGTTCCGCCAGCGCAAGCGCCCAATCTGGCAAATGCTCGAGTTTGCTAGACACGATAGGTGCAGCGGGGCGACCGACGCCACAGTAGCCGACGGCCAATTTCTCCTGTCGGTACCAGGCTGCGTACCCGCCGAGCATGGTGAGGAAGACTACCCATAGGGGACCCTTGGCATTAAACCCACCACCCGAGGCTTTCTTCTTCGGCCGCCTCGCAACGGGTGCGGATGCCCGGCCAGCAGCGCGCTCAGTGTCAAGTTGCAGCTGCTCCTCCGGCGTGAACTCCTCGCTCGTCTCGACGGCATTATCATCAAAGTCGATAGAATGATCCATCGGCACGTGCGCGAGTTCGAACGTCGCGCTGGAGGGCGGGATAATCCCATCATCCGCGCGGGTTTGCGGGATATCAGCCGTGCGACGACGGGGCGTGGTGGCGCTGGACTTGCGCTTCGCAGGCGTCTCGTGGAGTGTCTTTCTGCGTCTCTCGCCGCTGGAGCTGCGGGAGGAGGAGATGGGGGAGGAGCCGCTTTGGAAGGGGTTATCGTGGCTGAATGCCGCGCCTTTGCGGGGGAAATCTTCATCCAGGTCTTCGGACTTGACAACAGGTGCTTCGCTCTTGCGGGTTTTGCGGACTGTGCGACGGATTGTGTCAGGCTCACTGGAGTCTTCTGTTGCGGCGCGAGCGTGCTTGGCGCTCGTGACGCGGGGGGTTTGTTTGACGGGTGATCGCGATCGCGTTCTCGCGCGTGGCTCCTCGGAGTCGAGCGTGTCCTCTCTTATCCTCGCCGATGGTTTCCTTGCGGATTTAGTCCGGCTGGCAGATGGAGGGGGGAGGATGGGTTGGTCATCTTCTTCTAAGGCACCTGCATCGTAGCGATCTGCGTTGGTGATCCCCTTGCTTGTGCGGCGTGCGCGGGCGCGGGCGGAGAGGATCTTGCGGGACTGGGGGAGGACTTTATCGGTGAAGATCTCGATGAGTTGGGGTTTCTTCGCGCCGGAGGGGTAGGGGATGTCGTGGGAGACGAGGATGGAGCGGAGGCGGGGGACGGTGAGGGTGGAGGGCTCGAAGTTGGATTGCAGGTAGTCGAGGCTCTCTTGGCTTTCGTCGTCGGACATGTTGGGCGTTTGTTGGCGGGATGTCCGGAGGTGAGGTGGATGTGAAGGGAAAGTGAGGCTGCTGGGAGATAACAAGTGTCCGGATGGTTTGGGTTCGCTCGGCAAGAATTGGGCTTTGTCCGCTGGGGGAATTGCGAGGGCTGCCTAATTTCCTTTGAAAGTTTCTTCTTCTCCAGGTGCAGTTTCAGACCTCTTTGTCTTGCCGATAGTGCCGGACTATGTCTTCAGAGCTCCAAAAACAGAAACTATGTACACAATCACTCCACAGTGTCGCAATCAAACAGAACCTCGAAGCGCGATGCTCACGGCGAGAACAGCTATGGCCTCCTTGTAATAGCGACCGGTTGTTAAGTCTGCGCGAGGTCAAAGCTTTGGCAGCCCGTTGATGATGGTCAACAGTGTGGTGTTGGAGTAATAGGGCTATCTGTCAACGATAGCAAATATAAATGGCGTCGTTGGCCCGAGAACGACGGGTGGGGAAGTCATCGCAGCTTCCGCCACAGTGGCGAATAAATGCTGCGCCACACGTTTTGAGTCCGTTTATCAGAGTCACTTTGAGACATTCCGTGGCGATACAGATTGTTTTCTAGAAGGAAGTTGGAATGTGCTACTTGTCGAAAGGCGACCTTGTATTTGGTGTATATGCGATAGCACTACTTTGACGAACTATTATGACCCTTGGGAAAGAGCCCTTGTTAAGATAATAAATATAGCAACTATCACAATCACTTTCACATAAATAAACTCGTGGTTTTGACTTTTACAATCCAATTCTTCTCCTCATAACCATTCATTAATCTATACCGCCGTCCCCTTTCGTAGTCTAATCTCTCGTAACCGTCGTCTTACAATACAATCCCTCATTCTGGCCTCCTCATCCCCATCTATTTTCCGCATCCATGCGCCAATAACCCCATCCCAATCCATCTATAGCCATCCCAAGTCCAGTCCAATACCAAAACGCTAATCAATGCCAACCAATCGCTAACCAATGCTCCCAAAAACGCTCAGTCGCTGCACAAAGATAATACTCATACAGAGGCAGTCCAGTCAGCCAGTCTCTCGCGAGACATCGCCTGCCTGCGTCAACTTTCCTCCACTCAGCAGCTCAACCAAGCCGCCGCAACAGCAAAAACAACACCGGCAGCGACACCAACGATGCTAGGTCTGCTCACAGCCCCGGCACCGATAGGCACAATCTTTCCATTACTAGCCACGACCCACCCGCTCGGCACGCCCTCCACCACAATAGTCTGGCTCGCCTCATCCGAGCTCGAGCCCAACCCCGCCGGCACACTCGGCGACAAGCTCGTCACAGCAGGGGCCTCATTCGTCGTAGCCGTCGCGCCCTTATTCGCTCCGATCTCCCCGCCGTTGGACACGATATCCGCCATATTCCCGCTATTCCCCTTATACTCGTATGAGGTGCCCGTGGAGTAATCCGTGATAGCGATGGAAGACACGACCATACTGAACGGTCCGAGCGAGAAATCCGTCGGTCCGCGCGCCCATGCGATGGTGCCAGGTGCGTTTGCGGGGTCGCCGCCAGACCAGCTGCCGAATTTGACTTGCATGGGTGATTGCGGGTATTGGTTCGTGTCTGCGTCGACGGCGTTGAGGACGCGGACGACGGAGCCGGAGATGGACCAGATGATCTGGGTGGCTGTCCACTCGATGTCGTAGGTGAGGAACTGGTTCTGGTTCTCGGCGGTCTGGTGGAAGGCGCCGCGGTTGTAGGTGGTTACTTGGCCTTTGCCGAAGTAGTTGGATTGGGCTTCGTTGGGGGTGGCGCCGAGCCATTCGAAGTCGATCTCGTCGGAGGTGTCGGAGACGAGGACGACGGAGCTGACGATGCCGGCGCCGGGGGCGGCTTTCATGGTTACGCTGACTTTGCCGAACATGATGTAGAAGCGGCTGTTTAGTTGGGGGGCGTTGCCCGAGGCGGCGACGCTGAGGTGCACGCCGTCGGATTCGTAGGTCGGGTTGCCTTGGGAGGTGAAGGAGTCGACGGCGCCTTGGGTGAAGTCGACGCTGATTGCTCGGCCTAGGGCTGGGTCTGGTGGGCAGGCTGGGGGGGTGTTAGTTGGTTTGGCTTGATGGTGATGGGGGGAGGTGGAGGAGGCTTACTGGTATGGAGAGGATCGCAGTTTGCGGTTGTCTGGGCAGTAGCTGGTGTTGATAGGAGAGATATGGATGCTGCTGCCAGCACGGCGGCGAGGTGTGAGAATTGCATGGTGAGGATTTGGTTGGTGGAATGAGTGGTAGCTTCGAGGGTGGTTGAGGTTGGAGTCGAGTAGGACAGAGAGCGAAGGTAGTGTAAATACCAACCTCGGTCAACAAGGGATGACAGCGGGTGAAGGCAGATCAAGATATTAGCCAAGGGATTGTAATATATTTCCTCGAATCAGTCTAGAATCCCTCTGGAATGTAAAAAAGTAGTAGTAGTAGTAAACTGGGTAAAGTAGGACAAGCAAAGCAAGGGTTAAGCCGTCTTTATGAGGTCCCCTCGTCTCTCTAATCCCAGCCACCTTTTCTCTCTCGTTCAGTAACCGACAAGGTAGCAAGGAAATAAAAGGGCGAAAAAGCGCGTCAGCTAAGGGTGGGGATTAGCATACGTGTTAATGTGTGATAAGCCTCAATGGAGGAGCAGAAATGAGTGGGAAGTGGATATTTTTTGCTAGTTTGGAAGCATGTTAGTGGTGTGTTGGTTGGTATAATAAAGATGGAGGTTGGTGATGTGAATGTTGACGCTTGGTGAGCTGGCTGGCGGTTGCTGTGGATGTTTTTTAGGTGGTGGCTGGGGAAGGTGTGGAGCTTACATAAGCGAGGTGGATGGGAAAGTTGAAGGGACCACCCATCCACCCACTAGTAGGGAGGCAGGCTTGCGCACGGACTATAGGTATTGTAAACACGTGACGGGGCTTAATCATCATGCAGCAACAATGGGCATTAATGGATGTACATTAATATACGTGGAACGGGGTGTAATTGTGTAATGGAAATTAAGTACCTCGAAGTAGCGGGTCGTTCGCTTCGACTTTCCCGCCCCCGCGAAAAAGAACGGCCGACACCGAGTACGGCAGGCATTTCAAGGGTGGATCTAGGTAGTCTGTGCTTTAGGAAACTGCAGTTAACAGTTCACAGTTAACAGAAGGATGGGACAGAGAAACACGTGATTGCAAGTGTATCGTATATCGTATATCGTATATATATTAACAGATGGAAGCTATCCATAGCACGTGACTGCGAATAGTTCCAGAGCGCCAATAACTCCTAGTTGTATTAGCGGACGGATGGTGGACGGACTGTGAACGGACTATCCACAGCTCTGGTCTCTGATCTCTGACAGCTCCAAGAGCTCTAACGGCTAACCGTCTCACCTAACATTTCTACTACAGCAGCAACTTCAGACGGCGCGAGGACCATTTCTAGCCATATCCGGGCCGTTACTCGACTCCTCTGATGCTACATTACCCGTCGACGTCGACATGGACATTCTGTGTAGCAAGCCACAGCAGGAGGATGATAATAACAAGTGACAGGACTCAACAAGTGACAGGACTCAACAAGTGACAGGACTCAACAAGTGACCACTCAACAAATACCACATACACATTTACACTCTTACAAAGATCCTACCACACAATAACACATACATAATACCACAGATACACACACTAGCACTCCCTACTCGGTATAGGTATAGGTATAACCAAACTTCTATCTGTGGCGCAGAACCGTGGCGCACCGCCACCGCCGGATTTAAGGGATGGATCCCTCTAGGGATAATAGATGGATAATCTAATAGACGGATGGATAAATAACGACGTACATGTCACTCCACCAGCAAACCCTTTTCTCCACCATTGGTATAATTTCTAGGGGTATAGGGTCCCTACTAAAGCTGGAGTTAACAGTTAATACTGATTTACAGTACCCTTCATACAGCATTTCACACTCAATTCAAGTTCATAGCGTTATCACCTGTAACCGTCGTAAATATATGTAAATAATATCCCAATCCAATGTACCTCTACTCCCACAATACTACTGTAAGGTACATGTGTCCTGTGCGTCTGGCCTGCATTCAACCCCCCCCCCCCGTACAAATTACCCCATAACACCCGTAGTGTAGTATCGGGCTTCTCTTTTACCCGCGACTACTCGAGTACAGAGCATGAGATGAGCACAGTACAGACAGAATATGAATACAATTACCCCCCATTTGCTCTGATCTGGCTCCTACAAATAATACAAGTAAAATCCTTTATATCGAACTTATCTTATTCACCGCATTAGGAACCGCAATCCCTCTCTCTCGTCGTCCCAGTCCAAGTCCAGTTGCAGCCCCGTCAAATACGCCAAAAAACCCCAATCCCCCCATACCCCAACAGCCACCACCACTCATTTACCACCAGTACGGGTCCCCATGTCCCCCATACATACTCTGCTCCATCCACCTGCCAATGCCCAGTACATCAACCTTCACATTCCTTTGTGCCAATAATTATACTCTTCACACCTTTCGTCGCCCATTTCCGTGCCAGCCATGATAATATTCCATAACCCACCACCAAACCGCTGCGACTAGATTAGCTCTTCATGACAAATAATTACATCTCGCTACTAGCTTAGAGCTTCCCGGCTCACCCAGGACCCGACCACCATGACGAGAAGAGAGGGTTCGTCATCGGCGAGGACCAGTTCCACGGCGAGCTCCAGATCCATCGACACCATCCATGCGCCCGTCCCGACACAACCTGTCAACGCCTCATTGTTCCGCTCGCCATCGCGCACCCGAACACCTATTCAGCTCAAGATAGCTAGGAAGGAAAAGTAAGTCAAGTCAAACCTCATCCTCCCTGCGCACGGCAGCCGCTGCTTGCACACCACCACCACCCACCCCCCTCGCGCGCTGCTGCCCCCAAACCGAAGCTTCAAGATTTTGGTCACAAAATCCCTTCCACCTGTCACATTCTGAGCATGGACTGATAATCTGCCGGGTGCCTGCACCCGCGTCCCTCAAAACAGGCTCGAAAACGAATCTCAAATCTCCCCAACCCAACTCACAGGCCCGCTGTCCGGTGATAGCACGACACCTTCTTCGAATGCTCCCGCCGCAGCCTCGTTCACCGCGTCGACCTCACCTCCACCCTCGAAGGAACACCGCCGATTAAGCAACGACTTCGCCAACTACCGCCGCGACCTCTCCGTGCTCGACACCTCAGGCGGTCGCATCCCGAGCATACAGCACAATCCGCCGTCCGCGGTGAGTCCGCGACAGTACAGCGCGCCGTGGATGTCGCCGACGACGCAGAATGGCGCGACGATGCCGACGAGTGCGTTCGGGACGAGTTTTTACGATGACTCGAGCGATAATCATTCGATGAACTCGCAGTTGTCGCCGAGTATGAGGCCGGGGACGTCGAGGACGTTTAGTGATCCCGAGGTGGAGGTAGGGCCGGATGATGAGAGGAGGCCGTCGCTGGCGAGTGTGGCGACGTCGGGGAGTAATGGGTCCAGGGGGAGTGTGGTTAGGACGGGGATACATAAGAAGTTACAGGGCTTCTTTGGGGAGGAGTATGGCTCGGATGTGAGTCTACCTGCGCAACAGCAGGCTGGGAAGGAGCAGAGGACGAATTCATATTCGAGGCATAGGGAACGGAAACCCTCATCCACGGCGGAGGCTAGAGATTCGTCTCCGGTGCCCAGCAGACCTCGAACTCCAGTACCCTCGAGCGACGTGGTGCCATTCTTGTACCAGGATTCAGTTGTGAGTACTTCAGTTTTTACTACATATTCAGATGAACATCACTGACAAACACAGGATATCTCAAGGTACGGCGAAGCGCCAGTTCGAACTAATCTCTCAGGTGTAGACAGAGAACGCTATATCGCAGAAGAACCACCCCAACCACCACCAAAACCATCAACAGCGCGAGCCCAAGCCTCAGCCAAAGTTCACCGAGTCGTCCACGGCCACCGCCACAACAAAAGCGACGAAGCCGCCAAAGCCGCCCGACCCTCAACTGCCAGGGAAGACATGGCATACTCGGGGAGAGAACGCCAGAACACCGGCACGGGCTCTGGTTCTGGTCCCTCGAGGCTACAACCACAACCGCAAAAGCGCGCACCAAGTCCAACACCCAGCTACACGAGCCAGAATACCATAGGCCAGACTTCGACGGGATCGACGATTACGATACCGGGACAGACAAAGAAGCCGGGGATCCTGGCGCGATTTAGACGGCCAAAGGACAAAGAGGAGCCGGCGTCGGGAATATTAAAGCATCTCCCAGGCTCTGTGAGGTCTTTCGCAGGGCCGAGCGGAGAAGCACAACCACAAGCCCCTTATGAACAGCCGCCTATGGACGCTTATGGTCGAGGCGACGGTAGTCTTGGATACGCTGCACCTCAAGAACCTCCTTTGCAAGCGTCAGGGAACGGTAGTGGTAACGGTGCGCCGTCGAGTGGTCGCCCACCCTCATCACGGCAGGGGGCGCGACAGGCGGCGTTTGGGAAACTGCCTTTTACCAAGAAAGCGAAACGGAATCGGATCCAGGAGGAACGCGAGCAAGCTGAGGCTCAGAGAGAGCGGAAGCGCACGGAGATGAACTCGAATCTCTTTAATTTCGACTCCGACCTGACGAATATGGAGGGTATATTGCAGAAGCCGCCGTCACATGAGCCGCTGGAGAGCGCGGTGCAAGGCAGTGAGCAAGAAGAGGTTGCAGTACCAGAATCGGGTGGAGGGCTGCTCGGCTGGAACGCCCCCGATAGTTGGGCAGTTAAGAAGGTCTCTGATTTGAACATGACGGGCCCTGAAGCCGATGAGACTGATATGCCGCGGAAGTTTGAGAAGTCGCAGCATCCGTACTGTATACGGATTTTCAAGGCGGATGGGACGTTTGCTACGTTGTCTGTGGACCTGTCTGCTACCGTTGCGGATGTCATTACGCAGTTTGGGAGGAAGACGCATATTACGGATAGTCTTGACAACTACCAGATCATCATGAAGAAGCATGCTTTGCAGCGGATTCTCAGCGCTGGCGAGAGGCCGGTTATTATCCAGAAGAGGCTTTTGGAGCAGGCGGGATACCAGGAGAAGGATGATATTGAGGATCTTGGGAGGGAGGACCAGACGTACCTTTGTCGATTCCTCTTTATTCCGCAGCGCGACAGTGGGTATGCGGCGATATCGCAGGATCTGGGCTTGAACAAATCGCAGAAGTTCAGTCATGTTGACTTGTCTGGGCGCAACCTCATCACCATCCCCATCGTGCTCTATTCGAAGGCGACGGAAATCATATCACTTAATCTCTCCCGCAACCTTTCTCTCGGACTGCCAAAGGACTTCATACAGTCGTGTATCAACCTCCGCGACATCAAGTATGTCAACAACGAGGCACACAAACTGCCGCAAAGTCTTGGGCGAGCCAGCCGACTCACAATCTTGGACGTCTCCAACAATCGGCTGGAGCAGTTGGAGCACGCGGAGCTGGACCGTCTGGCGGGGTTGATAAGTTTGAAGCTCGCAAACAACAGGCTGACGCATCTCCCGCCGTACTTTGCCATCTTCAAGCAACTCCGGACGCTGAATGTGTCGTCGAACTTTCTGGAATCGTTTCCAGAGTTCTTGTGTGACCTCCCTGGCTTGGTGGATTTGGATATGAGTTTCAATGCGGTTGACAAGCTGCCGAATGCGATTGGGAGGCTCACTAATTTGGAACGGTTTGTTATTACGAATAATCGCCTGTCTGGCTCATTGCCGGATACGTTTTCTCAGCTGTGCGATCTTAAGGAGGTGGATGTTCGGTATAATGCTCTATCGAGTATTGATGTTATAGCTGCCCTTCCGATGGTTGAGCAGATTTCTGCTGATCACAACTCCGTCTCTGTTTTTGAAGGGAGTTTCGATAAGATCCGAATCCTTCGCCTCAATTCAAATCCTGTCACAAGATTTGAGATCAAAAGCCCCGTCCCGACGCTGACAACGCTCGTTCTATCAAATGCCAAACTGGCACATATCGCAGACGGGTCGTTTGAGAGAATGCCAAACCTAGTCAAGCTCGTGCTCGACAAGAACCATTTCGTTTCTCTACCTCGACACATCGGGAAGCTCCGAAACCTAGAGCACTTCAGCATTGCCAGAAACGCCTTAAGCAGTCTCCCTCCCGAGATCGGCTGCCTAACCGAACTCCGCATCTTCGACGTCTCGCAGAACAACCTCAAGAAGCTCCCCCAAGAGATTTGGTGGGCGAGCAAACTCGAAACCCTCAACATCTCCGCCAACGTGCTCGCGCACTTCCCCAAGCCCAGTTCCCGGCCGCCGCAAATCCCGACAGATGCCCCCTCGGCGTCGGATCGACAGGGCTCGTTCTCGCAGGCCAGCACGCAGCCCGCGTCGAGGAATCCGAGTCGTGAGGAGATAGGGCCGCTGGAGGGGTTCGGGCAGCGGAGACCGAGTCAGACGCTGGGAGGGTTGCTGGCGGTGGGAAGCTCGCCGGTGCCGAGTCCCGGGGGGGGGATTAGGAATGATTCTATTATATCGATTTATGGGAAGGGTGGGAGGCAGGCGGCGGTTGTGTCGAGGACGGGGTCGTTGAGTACGCAGGAGACGGCTACGGCGTCGTCGTCGACGCCGACGAGGAAGGAGAGTAGCTTGTCTGCGAAGCTGGCGAATACGTTTGCGGTTACGCTGAAGAATCTTTATCTGGCTGATAATCAGCTTGATGATGATGTTTTTGATGAGCTTACCCTGCTTGGGGAGCTGAGGGTGCTGAATCTGTCGTATAATGACCTTAGCGATCTGCCGAGGAGGACGTTGAGGAGTTGGCCTCAGCTTGTGGAGTTGTATCTCTCGGGGAATGATCTTACTTCGTTGCCGTCGGATGATTTTGAGGATTACAGTCTTTTGCAGGTGTTGCATATTAACGGGAATAAGTTCCAGACGCTCCCAGCGGAGCTGGGCAAGGCGCATCGTCTTACGGTGCTGGATGTTGGTAGCAACTCGCTCAAATACAACGTCTCGAACTGGCCGTACGATTGGAACTGGAACTGCAATCCTAATCTCAAGTACCTCAACTTGTCGGGCAATAAGCGGTTGGAGATCAAGCCGAATATTACGTATGGTTCTAGGGGTGAGGATCGTGATGAGATGAGCTCGACGGATTTTAGTGCGCTGGTTAATCTGAGGATTCTGGGACTCATGGATGTCACACTGACTATCCCAACAATCCCCGACGAGACGGAGGATAGGAGAGTTCGTACCTCCGGCACGCTAGCCGGATCGATGGCCTACGGAATGGCAGACACACTCGGCCGCAACGAGCACCTCTCCATCATCGACCTCGTCGTCCCGCGCTTCAACTCCAACGAATCCGAGACGCTCTTGGGCATGTTCGACGGCCAAGCCGCCACGAGCGGCGGCTCAAAGGTAGCGAAATACCTGCACGAGAACTTCGTCCGCATCTTCAGCGACGAGATCAAGATGCTCAACCCCGCCATCCACGACACCCCCGTCGACGCCTTGCGTCGTGCGTTCCTATCGCTGAACAAGGAGCTCGCGTCTGGCGCGACGCAGTACGTGGAGGATCGCTCGCTGTTGTCGCATCGCGGGTCCTCACCGCCTGCTGTGCTGACGCAGGCGGATTTGAATTCGGGGGGTGTGGCGACGGTGATGTTCCTGGAGCAGATGGAGCTCTATGTCGCGAATGTGGGGGATGCGCAGGCGATGCTGATTCAGTCGGATGGGAGTCATCGTATTCTCACACGCAAGCACGATCCTGCTGAGCCGGCTGAACGGCAGAGGATTCGCGATGCGGGGGGGTGGGTGTCGAGACAGGGGAAGCTGAATGATATTATTGGTGTCTCGAGGGCGTTTGGGTATGTTCAGCTCCTGCCGGCTGTACAGGCCGCGCCGCATATTACGCAGATCACGCTCAAGGAGCAGGACGAGATGGTTATGATCGCCTCGAGCGAGCTGTGGGAGTACCTATCCCCCGAGCTGGTCGTCGACGTCGCTAGGTCGGAACGCAACGATCTCGTGCGCGCGGCGCAGCGGTTGCGCGATCTCGCTATGGCGTTTGGGGCCACGGGGAAGATTATGGTGATGATGATGGGGGTGAGTGATCAGAAGAGGCGGGATCGGATTAGGATGAATAGAGGCCCCAGCATGACGCTAGGACCGACGAGTGTCCTGGATGATGTGTACTTGCCTAATAAGCGGATTAAGCGCACGAAAGAAGCGGTGGAGGATTCGATGCTGAGGCGGTTGGAGGCGGAGGTGCAGGCGCCGGTGGGGGAGATTAGTATTGTGTTTACTGATATCAAGGGGTCGACTGCGCTGTGGGAGAATAACCAGAGTGCGATGCGCTCGGCTATCCGACTACACAATGAGGTTATGCGACGGCAGCTGCGGATTATCGGCGGCTACGAGGTCAAGACTGAGGGAGACGCGTTCATGGTCTCCTTCCCCACCGCGACGTCGGCCTTACTCTGGTGTTTCTCGGTACAATCGCAGTTACTGGAGATCCAATGGCCGTCCGAGATCCTGAACCACACGATCGGGAAGGAAGTCATCGACGCGGACAGCAACCTCATCTTCCGCGGCCTCTCCGTGCGCATGGGCGTCCACTTCGGGACTCCGGTGTGTGAACACGATCCCGTGACGAGGAGGATGGATTATTTCGGGCCGATGGTAAATAAGACGTCTCGTATCTCGTCTACCGCGGATGGGGGGCAGATTGCTGTTTCTGCGGATTTTATATCTGAGATCCAGCGCTGTCTGGAGAATTATAGCGAGACTGAGCGGGAGGGTGCGGCGGGGGCGGGAGGGGGTGTGGATGAGGAGATGGAGGATCCTGCTGCGGAGAGCATTAGGAGGGAGTTGAGGAGTTTGTCAAGTCAAGGGTTTGAAGTCAAACCTATGGGTGAGCGCAAGCTGAAGGGTCTCGAGAACCCGGAGTACATATACCTAATGTACCCCCACTCGCTCGCCGGGCGCATAGTGCAGCAACCCCTCCTCGGCTGCGACCTGGCCGAAGCAGCAGCGACGAAGATGAAAGAGGAAGCTGGTCGCGGCGCGGAGGAAGGGAACCTGAGGCTGACGTTTGAGCCGAAGGGGGATTTGTCGATTGACCCTGAGTCGATTTGGGGGCTTTGGAGGGCGAGTTTGAGGCTTGAGATGGTGTGTGATGGGTTTGAGGATGGGGTTTCTAAGCCGCTTTATGGGGCGCAGACAGAGTTGGTGGAGAAGTTGGCGACGAGGGGGAGGGATATGACTGATGAGTTGCTGGTGGCGTTTATGAGGAATTTGATTTTGAGGATTGAGGTGTGTATTTTCTTCATTTTTCCTTTCTTTTCTTTCTTTCCTTCCTTCCTACTTGCCTGCGCCTTTTTTTGGACGGGGGAGAGAGGGGGATGTGTGTAAGGACGCTTGGCTAACGAAAAGAAATAGGCATGCATAACCAACGTCTCCCTCCGCCGCGGCGTCGCAGCCACGAAGGACCATGTCGCCGCGGAAGCGGTGTCGGATTTCAAGAAGTATATTCGGCCGCTTGATGAGGTGCTGAATACGGTGGCGGAGCAGCAGAGGTTGGTGGAGAGGTATCGGGAGAGGTTTGGGGAGTTGGAGGTTGAGGAGGTGGGGGAGGGGGAGGGGGGGAAGGGGAAGAGGGTGAAGGGGGTTGTGGAGGAGGTTGTGGAGGAGGTTGAATGAGTGGGGAAGAAGGGGTGAGGGGGGAGATGGGGAAGGGGGGGGGGGTTTATGATGTACGACGATGATATCTTTATTCTGGCTGGCGGATTGCGGGCTGGTGGGATTGGGGTTTTTGCATATACAGGAGGTTTTTACCCCCGGCCTATGTAGATGGCTTGGGGCGGAGAATTGGCGTTTGTTGTTTTGGGGGGTTTGGGATAAGGAATTGGATTGGGGTGGGGGTTGTTATTTTATGGAGTCGAGGGAAGACTGGCTGGAACTCTGCTTGTCTGGGCTGGTTTGGTGCGTATTTGGTGGACGGTGATGCGATGGTTTGTTTGATGGAGTTGATAGATAGATACATAGTTGGAGGTGAGGGGGTTGGGAATATATTCTATTCTGTGCATTCTATTCCTCGTGTTCTGTGAACACCACGCCTTTCGTTCATTCGTTGGTTCGTGAGTAGTTCTCAAAAGGCCGTGGTTCATGAAAGCGGTGAGCCCAAAAGTCGAAATAAATCCGGCAGAAACATGATTACCGCCTCCATCAACCCTTGGAACCATAACCATGTGGAGCTCCAAGATACTAAAAACTATATTACTGTTCGTAGAAGAGCAATTATTTCCACCAACTTCATTCACCCTGATGAGGTTACCCTTCCCTCTCATCAGGCGCCCACGATGCCTCCCCCTCACCCGGCCCCATAACCGCCGCCGAACCCTCCTCACCCTCGCCATCGAGACCTCCTGCGACGACACCTCCGTCGCCATCCTCGAGAAGCAAAAGGCCAAGAGCACTCTACACTTTCATGACAAAGTCACCTCAGATAACCGCGCATTCCAAGGCGTCCACCCCCTCATCGCGCTAGAATCGCACCAGAAATCGCTTGCGCTGCTGGTTAACAGGGCGTTACGAAGCTTGCCGGAGAGGGAGGCTGGATCGGCTACTTGGGGGAATGCGGTGCAGATCCGTGGTGCGAAGGGGGAGGCGGATACGCTGAGGGAGAAGCCGGATTTCATCACCGTTACGAGGGGGCCGGGGATGCAGTCGAATCTCATGACGGGGTTAGATATGGCGAAGGGGTTGGCGGTGGCGTGGCAGGTTCCGGTGCTGGGCGTCAACCACATGCAAGCCCACGCCCTGACACCACGGCTTGTATCATCACTCAACGCATCCTCGGAATCAGCCGAATCACATCCCCGGTTCCCCTTTCTCTCTCTCCTGGTGTCGGGGGGGAATACGATGCTCGTTCACTCTAGTGATATAGTCTCGCACTCCATTCTTGCTGAGAAGACGGATATACCCGTCGGCAACGTGCTGGACAAGTGCGCGCGCGATATTCTGCCCAAGGCATTGCTGGAGAATGGGAAGAGCGTCATGTACGGTCCGATGTTAGAGGCATTCGCGTTCCCGAATGGGGCGAAGGACTACGATTATACCCCACCTGAAACACAGCGCGGTCTTAACACCATGAAGACGACCCAGTTTGGCTGGGCTATCAGACCGCCGCTGTCTGAAGACAAGTCATCGTCTATGGAGTTCTCATATTCGGGACTTGGCGCTATAATACGCCGTATTGTAGAGAGTAATCCAGAGATGTCAGATCCCGAGCGCCGACTCCTGGCGCAAGAGACGATGCGAGTCGCGTTTGAGCACTTGGCATCGCGGGTCCTCCTCGCTTTGGGGACGCCGGAGATGAAAGACATATCCACGCTCGTCGTGTCGGGGGGTGTGGCGTCGAACCAGTTTTTGAAGTATATGCTGCGGTCTCTTTTGGATAAGCGGGGATTCAAAGGCGTGGAGGTGGTGTTCCCGCCGATGAGTTTGTGTACGGATAATGCGGCTATGATTGCGTGGACGGGGATGGAGATGTGGGAGGCGGGGTGGAGGAGTGGGTTGGAGGTGAGGAGTTTGAAGAAGTGGGCTATTGACCCGGAGGCTGGTGATGGGGGGATTATGGGAGCGGAGGGATGGATAAGAGCGGATGATACCCAATTGTAGTATATATGTAAAATATAATGTCTTGTAATAATATACGAAGGTTGGTTGGATTCTTCATTGTGATCATCATACTGTGGTGCGGTGACTGCAAAGCTTCGGATTGTCCAATCCCTGGTATCATTCTCGTCGAGCATTCTCTAAGAGAATCTATGTTTGTGAGAGTGTATATTGTATCTCTATATTATATATTACACATCTAAACATCTAATCTAAACACACGGAAGAAACCAAAACTTGCAAAGGCTAACACTATCGGCAATTACCACTCATACGTCCCATACCTCCTCCCATACCCATACCTCCCATACCTCCCATACCTCCTCCCATACCCATACCTCCCATACCCATACCTCCCATACCCATACCTCCCCCATAACCCATACCGCCCATACCCATGCCGCCCATGCCGCCCATCGGGTACCCCATCCCCATACCCCCCACCCTTCTATACCCCCGTGCCCCAAACCTCGGTCCTCCTATAACAGTCGGTCCCATACCGGCATTCATAGACCGCCGGGGCAAAGTTGTCCGCGGATACACCGCTGGTCGCGTGCCGAGGAACGGACGGGGCCGCATAATCATTTCATCGTGGAGGCTTGAGCGAGGGCCGATGGGGAGACACATTGTTGATTTGGTTCTGTGTCAGACGGAGGAGGAGGAGGAGGAGGAGGAGGAGGCTTAGGTAAGTGCAGGTGCTGCCTCAGGGTAGTGAGACAAGTGTGTGTAGGTAGTGCGGTTTTCTTGATGGAGGGTGGACGAGAGATTTTAGATCGGATGAAATAGGTAAGTTGATAATGGGGAATGTATATACTCAAGCACTTTTGTGAGTCGATGATTCATGACATAACCGGTTCCAAGTCTTATAAGTAGTGTTTATGTTTCTCACGGCGGCTTATAACATGGGGTTTGCTGAGTCTTGGTGGGATTTGGATGGGGTTACTCGTGAGACGGCTGGCTTGTGTGCCATTGTCGCCAGTGTCCCTTATATGTGCAACTGATGCCGACGCATCCCTATCATGTAGTTATTCAAGCCTCAAAACTTATGATGCTATTGTGTATAAGCATATAATTCAGGGTTTTGAGGCGTTGCCAAACTGCCTGCCCGTACGCAGGATGACGTACGCTCCAGCCCAGAACCCAACCAATGATTAGTGCAACTTTGACAACATCATGATATCATCGTGCTTAGAGCTCCCCCACGATCATGCTACCCTTACAATAAAGCAAGGGTCGTGTGGACGATTACCTACTGGTAATTTTTTATCTCTTCGCACTCACTCTGGAATAATATATTCCTTCTAAAAAACAAACTTTTTCGTTCCGATTAACTAGCTACGAGATCGCCTAGCTTGTTGATATTTGATATTGACCCCCAAGGTACGCTTACTGTTTACTCACCGCGTGATTCAGTGCGGGGTTTTGATTCAGAGAAAGAAGGTGCTGACCACGTCGCAGTTGATAAACATATAACACACCCTGAGAACTGAGAATCCTCTTTTACAATGTAAGTCAACAATCCAAATTTCAATTTCTCAAGACATCATGTTCGGTCATCGCAAGTCTTGGAGCACCTCTTCCTCATCGGAATTCAAGTTATTTCCGCTGTGAGCCCTTGATATCTCACATTACTGCGCTTTTGCACGACGTAAAGCTAACGCCCAGCTTAGGAATAGAGCAGCACTCTCCATTCGCTCGGGCGGGAACAAGAACCAGGGCGGCTCCTCACAAGGGGGTTCGCGCCGTGGCTTCACCTTCTCCAGCCTGCGCGGAGCCGGCCAGCCTGAGCTGTCCAAGAGACTCTTCCGCCTCATCAAGACCCAGAACAACCTCATCGGCGCCTACGAAGCCGCCGGCAAAGAGCGTCTTTCCGTTGGCACACAGCTCTCCGACTGGGGCGAACAGACGGGCGATGATGCCATCTCCGAGCTTTCCGACAAGGTCGGTGTGTTGCTCAGTGAGTTGGGCGAGCAGGAGGATGTCTACGCGCACAACCTGGACGATGCCAGGTCTGTTTTGAAGACGATCCGAAACACGGAGAAGAGCGTCCAGCCGAGCAGGGACAACAGACAGAAGATCCAGGATGAGATTCACAAGCTCAAGATGAAGGAGCCAGAGAACACGCGACTGGTGGTCTTGGAGCAGGAGCTGGTTAGAGCAGAGGCGGAGAACCTGGTGGCCGAGGCCCAACTTACCAATATCGTATGTATACTGCATTATCAATTATCTGAATGCCTGCTAACACACCTCTAGACTCGCCAAAAGCTCAAGGAGGCTTACGCCGCGGAGTTCGCTGCCACCATCGAGCGCGCAGAGAAGCAGATCATTCTCGCCCGCCACGGCCGCCGCATGCTGAACCTCCTCGATGACACTCCAGTCATTCCAGGCGACACTCGTCCCCAGTTCGAGCACGTCGACCAAGCTCGCCAGATCCTCAACGACGCCGAGGAGGACTTGCGCGACTGGCGCCTTGAGGCCGAGGACGTTCCCGTTTCAAACCAGATTGATTCGAACCTGATGCCCACCAGTGTAAGAGCTGACACCAGCTATGAAGGCGAGGAAACTTTGCAGACTATCCCATCAGTCGATGAGAGCCGAACCCAAGGAGGCACCTACCTTCCCCACGGCACGACATTGGTGGGTGGAGGAAGCTCGAGCGGCGCAACGAACGGACAAGGCGGAGCTTCGAAGCCGAGGGCGACCTTTGTTGAGGATGTTGACACCCCTAATGTGACTAGAGAGAGAGCTGAGGTGGTTTGAATTTCATCAATAATGGGCGGTGGAGGAAGAAGATGGAGAGGGATGAAAGGGCGTTTGGAATGGAGAAGGCATCCTTCTTCGTGGGGACTCGGACTCGTTGCTTACGACCATATCACGAATGGTTTTAATTATTGTGCTGCTGTTTCCGTAGAGATAGTCTTTCTAGTAAGAAATTGTATATTATAAAATGAGCCAAAGTTCAAAGTTTAAAATTCCGTCGTTGAAGCTATCATCAACTAAGTCTCAAGTTCAGTCTAAATTCAGCATCCCTGTAAATCGTGCATCACATCACGTGATTCATGCAGCTGTGTTCGCGGTTACAGCATGCCTGTTGTGACGCGAGCTCTCGCCTGCCTAAGCTCCAGCAAGCCCATACCAACAACGCCCAACAAGACAAGCTCTCATCAACCTCACCACCACATCTCCATCACATAAACCACACCCGAAACCACATCCTCACGACAGATTGGAGGCACAGACGTCAAGATGGACTCTCTCGTCGCCCGCTACAGCAGGCCGATGTTCGCGAATGAGGGATACGCAAAGGAGCAGCAGGAGGAGCTGGAGCTGGTCCAGGAGGTGCCAGCGTTAAGTCTGAAGTTCGCCATGCCGCCCGTTGCGCAAGTGAGTTTATATCCACTCTCTCCCTTCACACGGTTTCCTTGAAATCAAGCCACCTCCAGACGTTGGAACGACGGAATGCTGACATTACAACCGTAGCCGTCATCATGGCTCCGCGCGGCAACAGACGATTACTCCAACCCCAACTGCCCCATCAAGATCGCTCACGGCACAACGACGCTGGCTTTCAGGTTCCAGGGCGGTATTATTGTGGCGACGGATTCGAGAGCTACGGCTGGGAACTGGATTGCCTCGCAGACAGTGAAGAAGGTTATCGAGATCAACAGCAGCTTGTTAGGCACGATGGCTGGTGGCGCAGCCGTAAGTTCCCTCAGTCCCTCAATCCCCTTCCTCCCCAGACGATCGATCCCAGGACCAGAACTGACGAATCCCCCAACAGGACTGCCAATACTGGCTCGCCTACCTAGGCATGCAATGCCGCCTCCACGAGCTCCGCCAAAAGCGCCGCATCACCGTCGCCGCCGCCTCCAAGATCCTCGCCAACATAGTCTACAGCTACAAAGGCATGGGCCTCTCCATGGGCACCATGTGCGCGGGCGTGACCCCCTCCGAAGGCCCCGCTCTTTACTACATCGACTCCGACGGCACGCGGTTGGCGGGCAACCTGTTCTGCGTCGGCTCTGGACAGACGTTCGCGTACGGTGTGCTGGATGCGGAGTACAGATACGATTTAACCGAGGAGGAGGCGCTGGAGCTGGGACGACGCAGTATTCTTGCCGCGACGCATAGGGATGCGTATTCGGGTGGGTATATTAATTTGTATCATGTTAAGGAGGAGGGCTGGGTCAAGCATGGGTTCAACGATACGAATCCGATTTTCTGGAAGACGAAGTTGGAGAAGGGCGAGTTCTCGAATGTGACGAGTGAGTTGGTTTGAGGGGCGGTGGTACGATAGGTGTGTGCTGTGTTTCCGATGGGATGGGGTGGGAATGGGGACGTGGGGAGTGGGATGGGATGGGGAGGATAATAACCGGAGAAAGGAGTACGATAGTAGCTTTTTTGCATCAAGATATTGGCGGGAAGTTCGGGGCTTTGCATGACGGAAGACTGAGTCGGAGACCGTTCGAGAGGGGGGAAGGGGACGGGGACGGGGACGGGGGACTCGTGTGTATTTTAGCTGTCGTGGGCGCGAGGAATAGAGAGTTACTTTGATCTACCCGTCAACCGCTGCCATTCTGCCGCTCATGTTCATGCATGTTATGACACTTATATTCTACACCACGGCCTATTTACAGATATATCATCCCCTTCCGCCGCATCACCCACCCCATCCTTCCTAACCCCCCCTCCTACCCCCTCCATTCCCAACCCCCCTAACACTCCACTCCTCCCACCTCACCCCCTCCACCTCATCTTCCCCCTCCCACCCCCCCGCCACCCCAGCCCACCCCCTCACAAGCCCCCTCCAATAACACGCCTCCGCCGCCTGCCCCCCCATCCCTCCCAACAGCACCTCTTCCCTTCCCCGCCTCGCTATCCCCTCCGCCACCTCTGGGTTTGCTCTCAACCATATAATCGTGTCTTCTAGATCCGACCAATCCGGTTTCACGAAGATGATGTTCGCTTCGGAGGGGGGGTAGGAGGGCCATTCGGGGTGAGAGGTAGGGGGGGAGGGGAGGGTGGGTGAGTAGAGAGGGCGCAGGAGGTGGGTGGTGGGTTGGAGGTAGGTTGGGGGGGGAGTAATCAGCACAGAGGCGCAAGCTTGGTGGAAGGCGAGGCGGCCGGAGTATGTTACGCCCTGGGTGGGTTAGTTGACATTTTTTTTAATCCTTTGCTCACTTTTAGAGAAAAAAAAGGGGGCGATACGTACATCAGTGTAGATGATATACTTATACCTACAAAACTCCTCAATCCGAATCTCATTCCCCTTCTCCACCACCACCCCAGTAGTAGCATTCTTCACTTCCGCCCTTCCAGCTTCTATATCCGCCCACTCCTTCCCTTTCGCCACTTTCACCAAATTCTTACGCAGGTCTTTATTCCCAATCGGACTAAACCACACCGTCCCCCTCCAAACCGCCTTATCGATCTTCTCCCTCCACCTCGCCTCCCTCTCTATCCCCGCTATCCGATCGAGCACGGCGTCAAACGGGCCCACGAGGGGGTTCGGCCACGTCCAGTGCGAGAAATGGGGCATGGGCCAGTGGTTCTGGGCAGGGGAGGAGGGGGTGATGGCGGGGCGGGCGAAGGACCAGGAGCCAGTGCGGGGGGTGTCGGAGACGGTTAGGGAGAAGGTTGTTGGGGGGAGGGGGGTGGGGGAGGTGAGGATGGCGCGGTAGAGTTGGGAGAGGACGGCGAAGCGGTACTGGGGTTGTTTAGTCTCGGTTTTTGGAGATGGAGCGTGCTGGTGGAAGTGGAGGGGGGGGAGGCTTACGCGAACGGCGTCTTTGGACATATCATTTTCGCGCTGGGCGAAGATGATGTATAGCTGGATAACATGCAGTTAGCCTAGCTTTCTATGTGGGACGATGTATGTGAGAAATGAATGAACAAACTCACCTTCCCATCTTTTATCCTCCCCCTCACAGGCCCGAGTGAGTTCTCGGGATCATACGTATCCTGCACGAACTTCCCCCTCGCAACAGCATCATCGACTTCCTTCAGCAGCCCTGGGAACGCAGTCCTGCATTGTTCCTCCGTCAATGAGCGGGAGCGCAGGGTCTCTTCGGATGGGTAGTGGTTTGCTCTACTGGTGGAGTAGTTTGGGACAGCTATTTGGAAACTGACGGAGGAGCGGAGGGTATAGAGGATGAAGAGGATAAGAACGCCAAAGAGAAAGATGTGGGAGAAGGAAAAGACCATGCTTGAGGCTATGAGGGCCATTGCATCGCCAGTCTACGCCCCGGAGGGACATCTGAGGAGGTATACTGCACCGTGTGAGAAGGAAGTCATTGAGACTGGACATGGTGGCCATAATAACCAACTGCGCAGTCCGTCCAGAGAGGAAAGCTCAATGTAACCACCACCTCGACATCCCCAAGTGACCAACCAGCAAGGTATGCCCCCATACCCATCCTCCGCACCATCTCAGTCACCCCTCCAAATCGAGAAGTTAACCATTCACGGAACCAAACCTCCACCTCCTCCCGGGCCGTCAAACTCTCACATCCCTGACCCTCTCCTCTAGCATTATCAGCACCAGTTGTGTTGCTGTGCTATGCTCAACGAGGTATCAAAGCGGGGTTCGGGGGGGTTTAATCAAAAAATAAATGAAATTCCACGCAGCGCAAATGAAATAACCCGCGTCCGTGTGTAGATTTCGAATGCTTGTTATTTTGCCGTTTCATGCAGCTAAACTAAGCTGGTCTTCTTGGGCCGTTCTGCTCCAGGCCCCTTGAAGGGAATCCTGGGGAAATACGGGTAGTGGTTTCCGACGACGCGGGGGAGGTGGAAGTAGTGTACTTCTCCATAGTTGTAGCAAACTAATACTCCTATGCAAAAATACAGCCAAGAAAGAACAGCATCACCTTCTCTACAGACACAGCTATCTCCTATCACCCATCAACCTCATCCTCTCGATGCGTATATATAAAAATAAAAGACAAAAAAACAACAAAAAGATAATCCTAAGATATTGCGTGTTGCAACTGCCGTGAATCGAACACGAACCTCCACCTTGGAAGGGTGGAATCCTAACCATTGGACCACAGAAGCGGATTTGTTTTTGATGTACTGAGCTTGCCTATTGTGGATTATAAATGAGGGACGGAGTAAAAATGGACCGTACCAAAAGCAAAAGAGTAAAATTAATACGTCAGTCGGTTTGCCCACCAGACGTCATCAGAGAGTCTTTTATCGATTATCCGTACACAGAAACCTGGTCGTCGCCAAACACACAAAAACAGCACTCGCCTCGCCTCGCCTATCCCCATCGCCAAATCCTCGTCCTCCATATAAAAAATTAGCAAAAAAAATATACCCAAAAAAGGCAAAAAAACATCAAAAAGAACAGGTCGTACCCGGGCTCGAACCGGGGATTCGGGAAAATTGTTTATATGTATACACATAATCAAAGTGTTTAATCCAATTTTGAAATTGAATCCGAATCAAAATCCCACGTGCTAACCACTACACTATACAACCAGTGGATATAACCGAGGACCAGTATTGAGGATTATATAGGTGATTGTGATGCCTGAGGACGCTCAAGGGACAGTTACAGGGAAACGAACGTTGGCGAGATATGGGATTAACCCTTTCTTTCTCACAGTGGCACTACTTCAAAGTTTGCAACTATAAAATGTTTGAAAGTAATGTATTGTATTGTATAACAATCCCATTATCCATAACTACACCCGTATCTCCCACAACTTAATCTTCCCCTGCTCATTCGCAATAGCCAAAAGCGAGCTCGACTGATTAAACGCCACCGCGCTCACCCTCCCCAACGGCGTCTGCCCAGTCGGCCAATTCCTATAAACCGTGCAGCTGGGGAGATGAATCAACCTCAGCGCATCCCTCTTCCACTTGCTAGAAATGACCAATAACTGTCCATCCGGGCTGATCTCCAAACAACTCGTCGGCGTCGTCAATTGCTTGAACACCCTCGTCGGCTCTGGTCGATTCGGGATCTTCACCTCGCCCTTGTTCGTCCACGCCCGGCGGTCGTAGATGTTAACGATACCGCTCGATGACCCAATAACAACCCATCGATCACCACCAAGCTCTTTCTGCCCACTTCGTCCACCAAGAGTCAGTACCGAGGTGCCAACCGCGCCTTCGTCTTGCCAGAGCGCGATAAAGGATTTACTCTCAACGCTCCACTCTCCGACCTCACCGCCCTTCCCAGCAATCGTGAGACCTTCTCCATCTCTCCACCACGCGAAATCAGCAACACCATTCCGTCCCTCGATTCTTGCTGCGGCGATCCATTGGCACGTGTGCGCGTCTAGGATATTGACGATTCCACCTCCCTTCTTCGAGGAGCCGATCAAACCCATATAGCGCCCACACGGCGACAGCTTGAAGCGCTCCATACTGCGCTGCTCGTCCTTTTGCCCATAAACACTCGTGACCTTTGCAATATCGCCCGTTTCCAGATTCCAGCTATGGAAGTAGCGTCGACGACCAGAGAAGAAAATCTTATCGCCAGTAGGGCCGAGGAATGCGGTAGTGTGTAGAGGGGTAGATTTTATGTGAACGGAAGTGAGGAGGGGATTTGGAGTCGGAAGCGCATCTGGCGCAATGTGGTGGAGGTAGATGGTTGCTGCTGGCCCGGAGGAAAGGAGGACGGGGTGGATGGGGTGGAATTGGAGGGAGCTGATCGCGGATGGTTGGACCATGGGTATATCGCGAGTGCGCTGGATGTTTATGACTTCAGGGCGTAGCTTGCCGCGCTTGGAGTCCGCGGACGCGGTGATGAGGGAGTTGGAGCTGCGGAGGAGTTGTGCGAGGGGTTGGGCGGAGAGCGATTCGTCCATGTCCATGTCGTCGTCTGAGAGGGAGGAGCTGGATGAGGCGGAGGACCTGCGGCGGCGTTTGGAGGGCGGCTCGGAGGTGGAGGCCCAGTCGGGGACGGGGTTTAGGCGCTCGAATTGTCGCCTTAGTCGCTTTACGTACTCTGGTCCCGTCACCATGTCTTCTGCTTCGCTGACTCGTAACTTGCGTAGTCGAGGGTTTCCGGCTAGGGAGATGGTCAGCCTCTCGTCGTCGCTGTCTTGCCAGGCTGGCTCGTCGCCGTCGGATTGTTCGTCGTCTGATCCGGGGCGTGCTATTAAATCTCTATCGTTGACTTCCGAAGGGCCTGCATCCATAAAGAAAAGCTAGAATATATGTTAGCGGGGGTTATAAAAATCGGATGCGCCAAATAGTAATACCTCAGCATCATCGACGTCTTCCAGGTTTTCCCCCTCCTCTCCCTCCACATCCAATTGAGATTCATTATCTTCATTGTCCGCCTCAAGATCAAGATCCCCCATCGTTTCCTGCCCCAGCTGAGCCATAAACCCCGTATCGTCACCAAGCACCAATCTCGCGAGTTCATCCTCATCCTCCCCAGCGTCCATCATCTCCACGCTCTCATTGTCGCTCTGTTCCCCATTTTGCTGGGAGAACTCTGATTGCGCCTGCTTCTCCACGGACTTTTGATCGCCGGACGATTTCTTTGAGCGTTGTCGTGCCATTATTTTCTGGTGGTACTTGGCGTCGCAGCGGCAGCACTGCTTTCTAACTTTTTTTATGATTTTCCGTAAAGATAAAAGACATGGAGATCGGCGCTAGAATTCGATTGGTCCGTGCGCGACCAGCGACGAAATATTCTGAACCACTTACCACTCATGGGGTTACAGCAGTAACAATTCAGTTTTGATAAATTCATGTGCTACGCATATTTTCACTTATTTATTGAAACGGTTTCTATGTCTATAATACTATAAGCGAAATTGCTTGTTGAGAATGGTATATTGGAATGGAAGTGATTGGACTAAATTATCCAAAGTCCCTCTATCTCTACTCCGTTGTTATACACTATGTACCGGCCACCCAGCAGCCTGGTTATACACGCTATCGTACATTAACTGGCCTTTTTCCAGCTCCCTACAACTGCCATCGCCTCCTTCCCACCATCTCGTACCCTCGAGTCTCCCAGGACATCCGATAGACATCTCCACGGATCTCTCCCACCACCCCACCTCAGAACGCTCTCCTTCATCCTCTCCCCCCTTTCCCTATCAATACTTGCCCCGTCCTGTCCACCCTGGAACACCACCTTCCAGATCCGATCTGCTAGGACTTGATCAAATAAGTAGCTGTAATAGGTACTACCGTAGCCGCTGAGATGCCCGAAGAAACCCTGCCAGCTCGTCCCTTCTGGGTCCTGTGGTAACATCGCATGCTGCCTCTGGATCTCGTGGAACACTTGCGTGGAATCAAATGACTTATCAAGCGGTGCCTCCGAGTGGTATGCTTGATCAAGCATCGCGAGGATGATTTGGGACTCGGTCTCCACGCCGCTGAACTGCTTATCAACCGCAAGTTTTTCCTCCACAAGTCGGTATGGGAGGGGTTGGTCAGTCTCATAATGCCTGGCAAAGAGACTGAGAACAGTAGGATCAGCCGCGAAGTGTTCCATAAGTACAGACGGCAACTCGGCGAAATCGGTGGCACAACGAGTACCAGAGACTTCTTGTAGCGAGGTGCGGCCTAGGATAGAGTGAATTGCATGGCCCATTTCATGGAAGAGGGTTTGCACCTCGCTGAAGCTGAGGAGACTGGCTTTAGCTGATGTGCGGAAATCGCAGATAAGCGCGATGGTAGGGAGTTGCCTCAGAGAGCCAGAGGCACGCGAGGTAGCCATGCCGTCGTTGGCAGCCTCCTCAGCCGAGGCAAAGATGCGGTCGTGGGAAACGGCAGCTTCTTGAACCTCCTCTTCTGCAATTTCACGCGAACAACGGAGTGTGAAATGTGCCGGGTTAGGCGACTTTCCAGGTCGTGAAAAGAGGTCACAGTAGAGCACAGCGACGTGTCCGTCAGTCTCTGAGATCACATCGAGGCGGCGCACATCGTTGTTCCATGCTTCTCCGTGAACGGTTTCTCGAGGTGCAAATCGAATGCCATAAAGTCTTGTAAACAAACGGGACAAACCTTGCATGACGGTCCCAAGGGAAAAGTACGCCGACAGAAAGTCGGGGTTCCGAGATTTGGAGCGCATGGACGATCGCAGCTGGGACATGTAAAAATCCTTGTCCCAAGGTTGCAGCCTAGCAGATGTGCCATTTGTATGCCTGTCTTTAAGTTGCTGTAGTTGATCAACCTCCTGCTTCGCCTTTGGCTTGTTCCCTTCGGACAAGGCGCTCAAGAATTGATTGACAGACTCTGGGGACTTCGCCATCTTATCCCCTAGAGCTAGATGTCCATAGCTTTCGTATTGAGTGAGCTTCGCCAATTGTGCTCTCTTTCTCATCAAGTCATCGAGTCGCCGAATCTGTGCAGGGGAGGACGTCCTATTTGCAAGAAACAGATCTCTCCGTACGCTTTCATCTTGGACGGATCTGATGGCTGCAATGGAAATGTCACTGTGCGTTGGTACCACAGCAGATCCCCACCTCGTGACACTCCTTACTAGGAGGGGATCCATTCCTTTGAGCTTGCCACTTGAGAATTGTAGTTCTCGCTGTGCTGGCTCCATGGACTCCACGAAATCATGACCAATTTCACTAATTTCCTGCGATAATCGTACGAACTTTTCTCGAATCGCTTTTGGTAGGGCGATGGCCGATTTTGTGAAATCCTTCTTGAGGGCTTGTGCAACAACCATCTCCTCTTCTGTCCATGTTGCTGTAATTTCCGGGTCGGCCATAGCTATCCCCAGCTGCTCATTAAGCCCCGTTGTCGTGTTCAGAACGTTCATAAACTCAAACATCATAGAGTGAGCTTGCGAGGCAGCGTATTGTATCCTCTCGTCGGGGTGTGTAGCTCGGACAAAGTCTGAGAGATCGATAACCCGGCATAGCATATCACTCAGTCTATCCAAATCTCTGGCGATGCTTTGATATTCATGCTTCGATGATGCATTCAGCACCTTGCTCACAATTCGTTTCGCCTTCTGAAGATTTGCATCGGCAAACCGTTCGAATCCTTTGGCATTGACAAGATATCTATTCTGGAAGAGCCCTATATTGTGCCCTTTCGCGCCGGCTTTGGACGAGGAAGAGAATTCCTTCCAAAAGTCCTTCGAGTCAAATATCTGCCTGAGAGTCCTCTCATCGTGAAGTGCTCCTGGAGCTGAATTGTCGACTGGTTTTGGTCGTGATTCGCGATCGATATATTGTGTTGCCGTACTATATTGCAGGCGCGTCTGGGCTCTGTATCGGTTTGAAATGCATTTTGCACATACCCACGGGCGATTACGTGCTACCGTAAACATACTCTTCTCCTCTCGCTCACATAAACATGAAAATATACAAGAAATTCGATATAGAACCCAGCGCCGTCGTTTGGTTCCCGGTTCTGGAAATAAGGTTTATACGCGCCGCCGCTTTAAGAACTATCCGATAGCGCATACTTCCGCGATCTGCCGCTGCCGCGACCAAGCTTCTGAGCCGACATCAGACATTTCTTCAACTGGTCAATTGAGTGTTTACGCCAGGTTCAATTCAAGCGATGTCTTTCTCTCCGCTCCTGCGATCGGTAAGAATAATTGAACAATTCATATCGACAAGAGCTAACTGGTTATAGAGGGCAATTGCACCCGCAGCCACTGCTTTGGTGGGCGCGGCTGCCATCCTCTATCCCAAAACCACTCTCCATGCCGAGGAGGTTAGATCAGAAGACGTATGGTATTCGCCTGGAATATATGTATCACAATGCTAATAATGTACAGTCCAAGCGGAAATCGATATACGATGACGAGCCGACAGCCCCCGCATCAACAGGCGCCGAGTCGTCTTCGCTCGTGACAGCTACCCGTCAGGCGCAGAAGTCACGCCAGTCACCTACCGACCAACTTGCTGTCCAAATTGGCAAGACTCGTCTGTTCATCCACGCACATGTCGCCGCTGCCGAGGATAAGATCAACTCGGCGATGGACTCCCTCTTAGCCCTCGAGAACAACTTCACAAGCACGATCGCTTCTTTGGCGCCATCGCGTGCGTCCGGCGAGAGGATCATGCCCGGTGCTGTATACGTGCTTGTTGCCGCCATGGCTGGTAGCATTGCCACCCGCAACCGCAGCATACTTCTCAGAGGGTCCGCCCCTCTAGCAATCGGTGTTGCGGCCGGCTGGGTCGTTCTCCCGGTAACCATGCGCAACGTCAGCGACTTGCTGTGGAAGTACGAGCAAAAGTTCCCAGCTTTGGCCAATGGGCACTTGAAGGCGAAATCTGGCATTGAGCGTGCGATTTATATGACAAGGGTGCACACAGAGCAGGCGGTTAGAGTTGTTGACGAGAAGGTCGGCGAGGGAAGGGAAGCGGTTGAGGGATGGGTGAGCAAAGGGAAATAAATGAGCTGCGGTATGAGTCGAGCTACTGTACAAAACTTCCCTTTTTGTTTAAGATATAAAATAAAGCATTAGAAATCACGTCAGTATGGAATCATCTGTTAGAACTCACGGCCGTTCTCAAGCCGAGTCCGCTGGTGAATTTTGCTCAAACAACAAGCCACAATTAACATTATCCTGTAGGGTTTTTGCTAACAACCTCACTCTCAAATATACAAACACCAACACTAGTCGTCTGCCCACAACATGATTCTCCTGTCAAAACCGGATTCATGGTTCGTCATGGGCTATCAAAGGAGGGACTGGGGGACCGATTCCCTGTTCTGGGTTAAGCAATTGTCCTACTCCTATAGCCGTCCTAATTCTCTGCACGTTGACTAGCTTTCCGAGGAGATTCGCTTCTTTCCGCTCGCTGTGGTAGTCGGTAGGAGTCAACTGACTGTCTAAGCCAATATATGGCGGCATGTCAAGTTGATATGCAGCTGGGATCAAATACCCATACGGGTTGACTCCTCTATGACTATCAGGGCCCCTGTTTCTGTGCTCTGGTTTTTCGATTTGGCTGACACCTCCATCACCGTCAGGCCTGCTGTTTCCGTTGTCTGGATTTTCGATTTTGCTGACGGCTTCATTACCAACTGTCCCCTCGTCTCCATTGTCTGGTTTTTCAGTTTGACTGACAGCTTCATCATTAACTGGCCCCCCGTTTCCACTGTCCGATTTTCCAATTTGGCTGACACCTCCATCACCATCAGGCGCCCTGTTTCCTATGCGTGGGTTTTCGATTTGGCTGAGGATAACGCAGTATCGGGCTTCACAGCTATCCGGCGTATATTCTCGGTTGCTAATGTTCTTTGCACGCGATTCCTTTGTCATCTGGCGTGAAATTCGGGGCCAGAAGGCCAGTATCTCGAAGCCGTAGCGGGCTCTTATTCCAGGAGGCGTGGCATATGGGATTTGCTCGAGGAGAAGACTGTCTTCCGCGCCTGTCCAGGGGCTATCTGTGTCTGGGATGCTGTACCTCGGATTTTGATATTGCCCTTCGGGATAAAGAGGGTGTGGGCTGCCATGAATATACTTGCTGGGCGCGTGGTGGTAGTGGTGGAGCGTTCTATGGCTATCGGGTTCGTTATTTGGAAGCGTAGGTAGCATGATTAAACGCTCCTCCTGACAGGCCTGTTCCAGCCGGTCCAGCTCTCGTCGGACGAGCTCCTGCCGGACGGGCTCCCACCAGGCGGGCTCTAGCCGGGCTTGCTCTACTCGGGCTTGCCCCTGCTGGGCTTCCATTGTGATTAGTAGAATATTAATGTAACTCATATAAATTCTTGTGTATTTATGTTGGATTGTTTGAACCAAAAGAGGTAAAACGAACTGCTGTCTTAGTTTGATGTCCTGAAAATAAATCTATAGAGGGAAGGAGCGATGTTGAGTCGAAGACTTAGTGTAAGTGATATAATATGAAGTATATGAAATGAAAACGGCCAACAAATGACCGCCTGGAATGGTTGGAGCACTAAGAGTAATAGAGGGTTTCAAGTCCATGATGATATATATAATCATGAGAGCTATTTTGATAACTCAGTTGTATTTAATATTACCTTCTGCCGGCCTAATCCGCCCAGAATTTAAACCCCAAGGCTTGTGTTAGAGCCTTGGGACTTGTAAAATCTAATAGTTGTCAACCTGGAACGTTCCACAGTTTGTCCCCATCTCAAGACTTGTCTTCCATCTTCCTCCTTTCCATTACTTTCAGCACATCCGCCGCGCTATTAGCATCACCCTTCCTCTTCTTCGGCCCACGCTTCCTCTTAGCCTTCCCATCGCGTCCACCTTCATCCCCATCATCGTCACCGCCCCAATTAGAAAGCTTGATCTTCTCATCGCCAAAGTCCTCCTCATCAGCAAACCTGCTGCTGCCAAATCCCATGTCAATATCATCAGCATCGCGATCCTGCGATTGAAGCATCTTCTGAAGCTTTGTCTCGCGCGCCGCGTCTTCTTCTGACTTGGCTTCCTTGACTTGACCCCCGATTTGCGACGCCTTTTTCAATGCAGCCAGAATCGTAGCATCTCCAAGAGCGGGCTTGGCGGAGGTTTTGGATGTCGTTGCCGTCTCGCCGAAATAATTCCTTGCTTTGACAACAGCTTTGGGTCGTGGAGGCGGTGGCATAGACAGCTTATCAAGTGAAGCCTTCTCCTCTTCAGGGGTTTGACTCGGACTCGGGACATCCTTGCTCGGTGCCTTCGCAATTTCGCCATCTTCGGCCTCGACCTCGGAATCCACATCATCCTCTAAGCCAGCGAGAGGATCATAGTCGTCTCCAGCATCATCGAAAATGTCAAAGTCCTCATCTTCTTCAATCGTTGGGGTCGGTATATCAGGAACCTCCATTCCGAGCGGTGCTGCATCTTTATCCGGCATTAACAAGGCATGCTTCTCTTCTTTTGGTTGTTCCACCTGCACCCGTCTAACCTTTCGCTTCTCATTCCCATGCTCATCCACAGTTATAAGCACTTCTCTCCCTCTTTCATCCCTTTCGATCCTTGGCTCGGCCCTTGAAGCGCCCACCTTCTTAAACTTCGTACCGAGTGAAGGTCCAGCCTTCGCTTTCGCCTCTGCCCTTGCGGCCTTCAGTTCAGCCAATATCTGATCTCTATTCCTCTTCTTTCCAGGAACTAAAGATGCCCTTGCCATCTCTCCGTGCTTAGCCACCTTCTCCCGGGCCACAGGGACAATCTCTTTCTCTTCCAGCTTTTCAAACTCGTCGTCGACGTCAACCTCATCTTCTTCCGTTTCCGCACTTTCATTCGATTTCCCTTGCAGCACATCTTCACCCCTTCTAACCCTCTCCAATAACTTGTAGTCGAGCCCCTTCATCAAATGCACACTGTTCACATCCCCACCAATAATCTCATCTCGCAGCTTCTCAAAGGTCGCTTGGTCGATTTGTTGTAACTTCATCATCTCCTCCAGTGCCTTGACTCTTTCCGCCTTCTCATCCTCCACCTCAGACTCTCGCATTTGTGTTCGATCAACATATCCACTTGCGAGTTTTGCGCCTTTCGGTGCGGCAACCGATCGGAATTTCTTCGTAGGCTGCTGCCCAGAGGCTTCTCGCTGGCGCTCTGCAAGTTGTCGCGCGAAATCGTTGCCTCCGGAGGTGGCCACAGATCGGCTAAAAGGGACTGTTAGTTCTCATTCTGGTATATAGGTAAGAGGGGGGGACATACGGTGTCATAGGTATGCTTGAACGCATCCGTGAACCAAGGGCTGTCGCGCCACCATCGCGGCGTGGGGTGGCGCCGAGTGTCGCCTTATTATCGCCATTAAGACTCTGCCGCGCAGGAGTATCAAGTACCAGCTTCCGAAACTGCTGATTGTTCATGGTGACGGTTGTTGCAAGAGAGTGTAGAGGGTTTGGGTTGTGGCAATGGAGTGCAGCACCAGTTCACATCAGCGGCGATGCGAGGCTGCGCTTTGATGGCGAGGCTGTCGACTTAAATTTTGGTGCTCACCACTTATCAGCTCATCCCTATCTATCGAAAATCTAATGGTAGAATTCCTCCCTCTTATTTTGATTCTGGGTAACTGGCCTATTGAAAAGTTGAACTGCAATATAATAAATTATAGCTCTGATCGTGAGTTTCTATTGATCTATAGTTCTGAAAAATACTCAATACAACAATGAGTTTTATGAACAATTCCCACATCAATTCTTGCCCACAGCATTTATCGCATCTGCCTTCTCCAAACAATCCTCAATAACTCTCCAAAAGTTCTGCACATCGAGACTTCTCGGAATCTTCACTCCCTCTTGCCCCGGCGGCAAAAGCGTGGCGATCGTCCTCCCCGTTTCCGTCTTCCCCTCCAGAGCTTCAGCGTGAGTACCCTCCGTGATAACCTTCACGTTAAACCTCTCACGTCTACCCTGTTGTCCCTCCTCATAGTCGTATAACGCTATGGCGTATTCAGTGCCTTCAAACATTGCTGCTACTGCAATTGGATCATGGAGGGGTGGCCCTTCTGACAATCCGAAAACTTTGTCGTATGTTTCGGCGAAGAAGCATAGTAATTCAACCAGCATAGTTCGGAGAACTGATGGGGTTGAATCAGAAGGGCCTTTCTTTCCATAATGCAATAGTTTGATAACGTCTTTATTGGCGAGGACCTGGTGAGAGACATCTAGAGGGATAAGAGTGGTCTTAGCTGCCAACTCAGGGAGGTCGAATATAGTTGCTGCTGCCTCGGGGTCTACAACTATATTGAATTCTACCCGGTGTCAGTAAATAAAAATCAACGTTCAAGTAACTCACCTGCATAAGGAGTCCAATTCCCGTATCGTTCAGTGCTACCCACCTTGCCCATCGGTGCAGCAGTAAACCCACCACCAATAGCGCCTCCCATGATAGAAAGGCCTTTAAGATGCCCAACTACAGCTGGGTACTTCATAACCAGCCTGGCAACATTTGTTAATGTGCCCGTTGCCACGAGCCAGCAGGTGTTTGGGGGTGTTGCAAGTATGGCTTTGGCCATGGCATCAACTGCTTCAATCGACAAATCCGCTGGTCGAGCTGGCGTTGGAAGCAGGTCAGTTCCAGCTAGCCCGGATTCACCTGGGAAATTTGTTAGCAGCTATACCTTGAGATCCAGCGAAGCGTTTCTATGCCGAATATTACATACCATGAATAGCATCAGCATGGACGGCAGGCCGAACCAGCGGCTTGCTTGCCCCTCTGTAAACCGGGATATCTGGTTTCCCAATAGCCGTCAAAACACTCCCTGCGTTTGCCGTCGTGTTGACTAAGGCTGCATTTCCATGAACGGTACTTATGCCCAAAAGATCTGCGGCTGGATGATGAGCTGCTAGTAAAATAGCGAAGGCATCCTATAAATGGTGGTTAGCAATTAGTCGCGGGTTGAGATGTCCATATGTCCTAGAGTCAAGGTTTCCAGCACTCGAGGGCGGCAAAGATTGGTCTATCATGCACAGAATTTGGCACGAAGACGCGCCACCGTCTAATAGACAGGTGTTGTCAAGCAATAAGGGGGACAAACATCATGACCTTACAATATTAGCCACAGCATCCGTAACTTGATAGAAAAAACTTTACCAGGATCGCAGTCTAGCCATACAGGTATTTTATTGGTTAACGTCATCTGAACAGCGAATATTCAAAAAAGGAGCCGCCGGGCTGTTGCTTTGGACGATATTGAATCCCTGATATCCGGACTCCAGAGCGTGGGGTACAAATGGGCCAACCCCGCGATCTGTTTACGTAGGCCAAATAGCGGTTCCACTTTTTTGGGCTTATATTCACTTTTTGGCTATTTTAATTTATAGATTGACATTTCATGATTATTGTACTGCCAATTGCATGCGAATGCGAAATTTTAGGGAGTTGAAGATGATTTATTTGATTGTGTTGTAATGCAAAATGGAAGTTGTGATCAAAGCGTAAATTCTTGAGAGATAAAATAATATATGGAAATAAATACAAGAAACTATTTTAGCAGTTGATATAAATAAACAAAACAATTATATGTATCAATATTAATACACAAATTTTATTTACTGTCCAGTACCAGAGTTCATGTAGCCGCTTCAAATTAAGAAAAATAAAATACAAACACAAATACACGTCGAGTATCAATACCGACTGATCCCCACCTACCAATCCTTCACTTCATGTCTGTCATCATGTTCAACACCTCCAGCAGCCCCCCTAGCATTTTTAATCTCCCACTCAAACTCCTTTAACGCCCTGAGCTCGCTCCCAACAAATAGTCCTCCGATCAAACCATCAATTACCCCAGCGCTCAAACCCAATGTGGATAGCAGCATGAGCAAGAAGGACACAAAGTTCCTCGGAGACCACCATATGGCAATAAGACAGCCGATGGAGATGACAAGAGACCCAATAAAGTGGTACAATCTCCATCGCCGCTGCTTCCCTTCTCGGAGCGTGTAGGAATAGATCATTTCCAATATCTCATCATATGTCGAGGGCGGGAGATACGAAACACTCAAAGACCTATACTTCTCGGATCCACTTTCTGTATGGCCATGTGTGACCGGTGGGCTGGAAAGCGCCACATTACTCTCCTGACCTGCAATACCACTCCATCGGAGTGTAGCTCCGACCGAAAAATGATCACTGAGAGAGCATTGAAATGTAGGATGCGGCTCCGTCATGCCAACATAAGCAGACTCCACTACCCACGCCCCAGCCTCTCCGTGCCTCTTCCCATCACCTGCAAAGATGTAATCAAGTCGCTTGGCCTTTGGATCGCTAGTACTGAGCGGTATGGTAATGGCAGGTTTCCCCGGGCCCAACTTTTGCTGCTTTTCCTTGCTCCATCTCCACGTATTCAGCACACTGTCACAGGTAATACCGTTTTCGCTCAGGTTCATCGCAGCAGTTGGGACGCCTCGCATCCTGGCTTTCTCACTCTTGTCGATCGCTGCTCCTAGACTAGAATCTGGGTGCAGTGCCCGCCATACGTCTTGGACAGGTGCATGTGACGTGACTAGGCGATGGGCTAATGAGAGTGGAATCATATTAAAGTCTCCCAGAGCTATGGCAAGGTGACCGCGGTCTGCTGCCCCTCGGATGAGTTTTGCAATTTCCCATGCCTGAGCGGTCCTGTGGCAAATATAGGAGTCATGTGGCTCGACTTCGTAAGGAGCATGGAGCTGGGACCGTGTTAGTAGGTTGATAAACAAGGAAGGGGATAGACTGTACATGAGTTGTAAACACTTCGACAATATCCTTAGGACCTGAACCTATGCGAATTCTTGCGCAGGCAACACCCTTTCCGACGTACCAATCTCCCCTGAAAAATGCAGTTGGCCGCCCATTAAGTCGATATGGCACCATGGAACTCTCCTCTATGGGCCATTTTGACAATATGGCAAGACCTGCTCCAAAGATTCCACCGTAGTACAATTTACCATATGGCAATATATGGCGAGTTTCCTTTCGGATCGCTACATAGTCCTCGTGGGTCCAGAGTTCTTGGAGCCCAACGATTTGAGGTGTAGGCTCGGCGGTGACAATACGCTTCCCAATTTCCAAAAGCCGCTCATGTTGAAGCGTCGAGATATACTTGAGCCCCCAGCAGTTGAGGGTTAATATGTGAAGCTCCTCAGGCGTGGAAGCCATTTCGACAGCTATGCTTGGAAGTGGCGTTGGCTGATATGGGATATATGGTGGCATAAGACCTTTCAAGAGCAATTGCTGTTTCTTCTTCAAATCAGTAGAAAGGCTTATTGCTGGCAATAGTTTAGATAAACAAAATAACTGAAGAAAGTAACGGGGCTCTGGAATACAAACTTGCGAAGATATGGCACGGGATTTGGAGTCTGGAGTACGTTGCGAGAACATGGCCTCGACGCGCCAAGAAGGTCATAGCTCCGCCCCGCCAACGCCACCCACCTTCAACAAACTTTCGAACGTCATCCAAGTTGCTGGCTATGAAGGAAGTCACCAACACGCTTTTATCTATTATCCTTATATTTTTTGAGAATATGTATAGGAGACACATCGGATTGAATGTAGATACTGATAATTATATCTTGGGATCTCTCTCTCCTATTTACTTTTTCGTGTATTACGCTCCAATGAAGTTAATTTGTATGATAATCACAATCATTGGCTTTCTCAAAGATTCCTCGTCCAATAGGCTTTATATGAGACATTTTTTTAAATTTTACTTTTAGCTAATAATAATCATTGAAGCAGGTTCATCTATCTAACCCAACTCCCAGCCCAGCCTTCACTCGTTGCCGCATGAAAGCTGTCCATTTAGTCTCTCATCTCTCATATTTATATAATTATATAAACTGCACTCCGATACACCCCGTTCCAACCCACAAACTAACTATATAGTTTCCCATCCTCCATTGTTGATATCCTGTTCCAGCTTCCGGCTAATTACACTGGGAATTCCGTGCTGAAGCCACGTGTTCCTCAATAATGCATCATAACGCTTCTGATGGAGGTGAAGCTGTCGTCCATGGCGGAGACCTGGATCAACCTCGCCGAATTTGTCAATGTACGGTGCCACCATCCAGCTGCCAGAGTTATGATGTAGGTAAAAGACTGTGCACTTCCGAATATTAATGAAGAGGCCAATGTGAATTTGGCACCTAAAGCACGTTACTAATGTTTCACAAAAATGTATGCGGACACTACTTACTTCCTCATGTGCTGTTGTGCACCACCAATCTTGGCAGAAGGTTTGCCTCTCGTCTTGGGTTCTTCTTTCAGGCAGCACATTGCTTGACCGCAAAAGATTGTACCGCAGAATAAACAAAGCATGGGGTCTGTAAGATCTTTGCCGGTGGTCGGGCAGCGTCCTTTCATTGTCTCCTCCATCAGCGTATCGTAGTTCTTGGGCAATCCGATAAGCTCGAAAATGGTAGGATGAGAAACAGAGATGTCTTTGGCCTTTTGGTCGGATTTTCCCTCTTCGGGAGTATTCTTTGTTTGCCAAGCGAAGTGGGCATGAATCCACCCCCAAATAATGTGTTGCGTGGTGGAGATATCATCGTATGACAAGTTATCGTCATTGTCAATGATATCGTCTATCTTGGCTGTGCTCTTTTGGCCAATAAGGTCACATATCTCGTCAAACGAAGGCAGTCGTAGGGCCTCAGAAAGACGTCCCAACTCATCATCAGAATTATGGGGGAAGAAGCTGTTGAAATCCGTCCCATATCGAATATACAGTAACAGAGATGCTTTGCGGAGGAACACAAGAGCGTACTTCTTCACGAATTCCTTGCAGTCATCAATGCCGCTGAAGCACTCTTGATCAAATCCTTCCAACTTATCATCGGACTCTTCGAAGGGCTGCGCATTGCCCAAGCCTAGCATAACCCTGTGCCTCATATCTAGCTTTGTGATATATGAGCAAGCACGTTGGAACGAGTTATCCTCTTGAGCTTCCTGGTCATTGAGAAGGCCAGCCCAAGACAGCCACTTCGCGGCGGGTGTGTTGCGTGCCATGGCCAAAACCACCTTGACAATCTCCGCAACGTAGCAAAGACGTAAAATATGCATAATATCAAGGTCGAGAACCGGAGCCAAGCAGAGCGATGTTTCCGTGAGGAAGTTGAAAATGTCACAGTTGAACAACGGATAGTGGTCTCTCTCCTCAGAATGCGACCTCAATGCTTGAGGGTATCCGCAGAAAAGCTGTTCAAGTTGGCGATCATAGGCATTCGTGAATGCAGCTGCTGTCGGGTTGTTGCCGTCGTTCTTCAACCCTCCAATGGCTACGTAAGAAGCCGCCGTCTCTGAAAGAATTCGTAAATGAGTCAGGCTCTGTTGTGGAACCTTCTCTATGAAAGTTGAACCGCTCTCTGAATCAACGCCGCGCTGCAGGATTTCTACGGCGGAAATCGAGAACCCAAGAGCCTGGGCCACAGTGTCCCCTGCGTAAAAGGCGTCTGCGCCTTCTGGACGCGGCTCTGGAATCTCCCGACTAATCAACTTGTTTCTCACTATGGTGTCGGACAGGCGACGGAATATGCTGACGAGTTCTATCAACCCATGATCGGCAGTGCTGGTTTGTGGCGGGGTAACGTTTGGTAGCTCAAGAGCGGCATCAGGAGGGAATGCGCCCGGCAGTCTTCGCATTGGCGCTCTGTTTGCCTGCAGTATGTTAAGGGCGTTATCTGGTAGAGATATTGGAGACGAAGGTACAGCCTCCCACGCTTCGTCTAGATTAGGCATTTTGCTTGACAACGACTGGACTACATTTTCTTGGATGTAGTTAAGAAACATGTCTCGGTAACGAGACCCAGGAAACTCTCCGTCACCAAGTGGTGCAGCGCTCTTTTCCTGCCTTTTAACGGCAGAGGGCAGAAGGGAATCAAGCCACTCGTCATATGGCGCAGAAGTATTTACAAGTCCCGGATACGACTCCTCTTTCCCACGCCAAATGATTGGAAGGAACGCATTGCCTTGGGCTTTGCATAGTGGGCAGACAAACTCGTTGAGGTCAAGCCTCTCGGGATGGTGTCTAGCGATCTGATGACTCTGTCGTCGGGACGAAGCCTCGTAATATAACTCGAAGCACTTGTAATGCATAATGTGTCCGCAGCCAACGGACACTGGGCCAAGCTTCATAGATTTCGAGGGGAAGCCCTTGCCTATCGTCTGTCTCTCACTAAGAACCTCCTGACCATTGGTAGCAATTTTGTGCACAACATGCCTGTTCTGACCGGAAACGCCAAATGGCCTGATTGCCTCAGCAGAACGGTCAAGGTTAGCAGGCACGCTCGCAACTTCTTTGACAAAATCTTGATCCGAGAAGTCTGTTTGACGCAGAATACCACTCTCTTCCATCATAGCGAAAGTACCATATGGCTTATTGTCATTCGTATCTTCTTGGCAAAGAATGCAGTTGCCAGACGGATATTGCCAGTTGTTCTTACGCTCTTCAGCTTGCACGTCCATATCCTCGTCGCTTAAATCTTCTTGGGCCCAGTCGGCGTCACCTTGATTGCTGAGGAAGTTCTTTTGTTGTTGCTGGAACTGAGCCATGACCTTTGCTTGCCTCTCAAGTGCTGCTTTCTTCTTCTTATCCCGCTCCTCATCTGGATTCGCGATGGCTGGAGATGCTGTGGATACTCTGTCAACAGAAGCTCCAAGTTTTGCAAAGGCACTCTCAAAGCCCCGAGGCCTCTTTTGCCTCATTCTCTTCAAAACCAGGCTAATTTTAGGATGGCAGGATTTAAATGCCTCTCTGGTTGACATAATTTCCAAGATGGAAACTATAGTCTTCGCATGAGGTGCATCATTCATGAAATTGCTCCTCGCATTCCTTGTCAACGCAATGTAAACGAAGGATTGGAGAGCCTCTTCCGACATGTCGTCTTCTTCAGTGTTATCTTCTGCAATTGAAACAAGGACCAAGTGCAAAACCACATGGAGGAAAGCCTCTACCCTTGTGGCAGGTACAGTTGGAGTGAGTTCCTGTGATTTCAAGGGATATAACAACGAGTAATAAATGATCTGAGCAAATATTCCAGTCTTCGTGAAAGCAGCCAAATCCGTGAAGATACCCGACTCGATAGGGCGAAGCTTCGATTCAAACACGACGTCGGCCGCTGGTCGTCCGGTTTTCTTGGATACCCAGTTGCGATACGCAGTTTCCGACTCTTCTCTTTGGTTTTTGTTATAGTGCGCAATGTAAGGGTCAATTTCTTTCAGAAATTGTTCTTGTAGTTCAAACGTTCCAACATCAGAGAGTCCCTCGGGCGCTTTGAATATCGTCATTTCGTCCAAGAGATCCTGGCATTCTTCTTGTTCTTGGAACTTATCCGGCAATTTGCTACAGATCTCTGAGAACGACAATGGTTTGAAGCAAAGGACATGCACAATATCGCGTCTCAGGGCAACCGTATGTGGGTTGGGCTCGGTCTCGATAGGAACCAACGACGTCCTATCGCAGAGCAATACAATGAGAAGGTGTATCATATCTTCTGCAACATCGAGTTGCTGTTGATGGTCTAGGACATCGGAGTTCTGTTCATAGATACCCTTCATCCACATTTCCAACCCGTATCTATCAATCATTGATGCCAATACACGACTCGGCGAGCAAATGACCATGGCGGTTTGTAGTAGGAATAAGTCTCGATGGTGAGTTACGTCTCGTTGGGTAACCCCTCGGTATGTGCCAGCCTGATGGCGAAGGCTCATACCATTGCGAACCCACATACTAGCCTTCATCTGCGCCAACCATGCGCAAACTCGAAGTGGATAGTCGAATGCTGCCATGAGTAAATCTTCCGAGTTATACTCGTTGGATGGCATAAGTCGCTGGCCCATAAGCTTTGGCTTTTGCATTAAGCCATCTTGAGTAAAAGTAAGTAGGTTTGAAAGCTCATCGCGAGACATGCTCTTGCCGCACTCAATGAGCCATGATAGCGTGTAATGCAGCGCATGATGGAAACTGATTGGCTGATCTTCGACGACGAACTTGATAACACTGTGTTCGCCAGTCTCCGAGGTATCAAACTCATAATCTGCAACTGTTTTGAACTTCACTTCTTCTTTAATCTCAGAGCCTTCAAACCGTCTACGCTCTAAGCCCAGCGAGTTTATGATGACTGTATTCGCTGAGAAACGAATGGCCCTAGAAATAGCAGACATATCTTCGCCCAGCTTCCACTTGAAAGACTCCGAGAACTGACGGCATAGGCGGTTGATCTCTCTAGTCACTAGAGAGGCGCTTATCCAAGCATCAGTCTCGTACTCGAGATGGTCGCCTACGGCTCTGACATTGGGACATATTCCTTGATGAAGCTTGACGAGGTCGAGGAATTGCATCATGTATCTCTCATCTGTTCGGAGCCTTTCATGAACATGTGGCGCATTGAAAAGATAGCGAAGATCCATGAAAAAGTGATACATCCGGCGGTTGGTCACAGAACCAGTCTCAAACTTGAGAACGGCATTCGGATTAATCTCAATTGGCGGCGCAACTTGCCTAGCGGTTAGGAACGTAAATAATATAGACATCAGATGTGTCAAGAAGTTCCCTCTCTCGACAATTTCTGACGTGATGGATGGCGTCGTGAGCATCTGCAACGAGATATTGATTATCGAGTAATCAGGCTCGCGATCAGCAATTAGATACAGCTGCGCCAAGAGAGTATATAACCCAGCAAAGCGAAGTCCCAGTACACGTTTAAACTCAGGGATTGTGACGACGGTAGAAATGTAAAGGTCACGGAGATCGACCCGAACCTTTTTCCACATCCGTAAGTCGAAGAGGATCATCCAGTCAAGTCTTACACGCTGCCAAAGATCTTCATGTAGCGGTATAGACTCCCTATCATTGAACGCTTCTGGTGTCTCAAGCCAGTATCTCGGTGGCCTTCCAACCTTCTCAGGTCTAGCATGCTTCGTACCTGGGGTTTTGGGGATATCCATATTGGCTTTGGCATAGATCGAAGATGTTATTAACGGCTCTGCCATATCCGAATCCGACGGAGTGGTTTCACGATCCATTAGAACTCTCTGGGTGTCTAAACCTGGAGGTGGCGGTGGTGGAGGAGGAGGCGGCGGCGGGTATCCAGCCATAGTGGCTTCATCTGCCTCTTGCGCTGATGCATCATCTGTCATCTCGACATCTCCATCTTGATCGCCACCCGCCTGTGCCTCAACTAGCATGACGTCCATAATTGTTTGAAGTTCTTCTTCGTCCACATCTTCACCCTCACTCAATTCACCTCCATCTCCGTCTTCGTCTTCGTCCTCCGAACTTTCTACTCCTGCTCGTTCAGCTTCCGCCATAGCGGCCTCCAGACGTATGATCTGTATATTCCGCGGCCCTAATAGCATCATTCTAGTTTCTTTTTCTTTTGCTTGGTCTTCAATTTCTAGGTCGTCAATACCGCTCTTGCCGATTTCTGCGTTGACAGCCTCACTTCCCGTTCGCCAAGATTTGAGCATTTCCTCGCATACAACGTGTCGTAGGATATTGTGGTCTCCACCGACGCTGCAGCCCGATATATCTCCAAGCCACTGTATAATTGTCCCGCACATCTGTTCCCGGAATGTATCCCGAGCAGAGCGGATGCTAACCGTAACTTTGATGTGCTCGATGACCTCCGCGACGGCAAGTAATTCGTTGATATCGAAACTGTACTTCACAATAGCCCGTCCCATGTCGTCAGTTTCGTAGGCTCGTTGCAACCCTTCCGCTACCCTGACTTTGCAGGCCCGAGAGACTTGCAGGCTAACCTCCTCCACCGTATGCTTTTCGTCATTCCACAATATCAGGGCGTACTCAATAGGCTCTTCGACTATATCCCCCCGGTAGTAAGGGGATGTGAGGCGGGACATTCGCTCATCGAGTTTGATGCTATCAACCGTTTTAGGGAGTCGTAGGTGTTCTGGCGAACAGGATATAACATCGCATACGTAGTCGAAAGCTCGGCCAATGGTCATCCGTATGCTTTCAATAAGTTCATCAGGCAGTCCAGACGCCTCTTTTGATTTCCCAGACCTTTTTGCTTCATGCTCGCTCTCGCTATGTATCGTGCAGTGAACATTGCGTTTCCATGCCTCAGGGTCGCCACAATCGCAGCAGCCGCTGTTTCCAGGGGATATGCTAATATACACCATGTGGCCCGTATGATCAGAAGAATCGTAGCATCTACTGCAAAGAACGCAGGTATCATCTGCGCTGCACGTCTTGCATCTGTATGTTGCCTCGCCACTCTTGAAGATATGACCGCAAGCCTTGCCCCTCGCCGCCTCTGTATATTCTGCTCCATCCACGGCGCCTTGAGCTCCCCGAAGCTCCCATTTCTCGTTTGGTGCAGGTTGACGTCCCTCAGGAAAGAAGAGTCGCATATACTTGTCCTGGCCGCCTGCTAAAGACCAGAAGAGGTTATAAAGAAGGTCGTTGCTTGCGGATTCGTCATAGCGGTTCTTCTTCACCCGCGGCAAGTCTCTAAAAAACTCGCAGAGCTGTCGCTCCTGTGTCGACATTCCAATCGCTGCCATCGATGCTATCCCATGTGCTTTATGGGCAGCTGCAGCTTCATTTCTTTGTGGTGTGGTGATGTTTTGTTTCCTCGTGGTTGCCACCAACATCTACGATAACGATAAGGAAGGGTTAGTGGGTGTTGGGCTCAAGCTGTTGTGTGCGTCACGACCTACGACACTCCTTGGCTTTAAATCACGGTATATTGCAGGAACAGAATGGCAAGTACGGTGTCAGAAAATAAATTCAGATCAGGCCTGTCGTGTATATAATATTCTCACTATATAGTCACTTTTCCCCAGGTCACAATAGTAAGAGGCGAAACTATGGCGTTTTGTAATGTTTCAGTCCAAATATTAGGTAAGCTGTCATTGAATTGGCCCGCCTGCCATTTGAGCCTCTGAGTGGCCGCATAAGTCCAAAGTCAGTATCACCATTCGGATCCCATGGGAGACGCAGATTTTGAGAAAGTTTGCCAATAGCGCAATGCAATATTTGTACATTCGATCCCCAGGTCTACTCGCTTCACAGTCTATTGTTCGCTATTATCGATTCCTTCCTTGCTTGTCCCCATTGGCTCGACTTTACTCCTCGTCGCCAGCCTCGACATACTTTGCGCGGATGTCCTTCCATTGTCTCTGTAAATGTTCATTAGTTACTGCCGTAGAATGCCCCGAGCGGTGTGGTAACATACGCCCTTGTTGATCTTATCCCAGAGCGAGTCGGTAACGGAGTCGAAGGTCCTGTCCATCCATTAGCAGCTGTTGTAATTCCCCGTCCACGTTCCACGGAGTGCTCACATCTCGAAAGCGAAAGCGCCAGCGAAGACCGTTCCGAGGAAGACATAATTCCTGCGGACGAAGAGGCTAGACGTGTGTTAGAAGAGGCGGTTCGATTCAATTGCCGGTTCGAGGGCATCGCGAGAGGGGGACTTGCTTGTAGAAGTTCTTTCCGATCTGTGGACAGAGTCATTAGCTATTGCTCAGTTATAAATCTGCGCGCGGATTAATACTCACAGCCGACATTGTGACGTTTGAAGCGTTGCGTTCAATTGGTTATGTGGACAAGAGAGGCTGTAGAAGCTGTTGTCGTGAAGATGTTCGGCCATTGACTTCTTTGCTTCCGGGTATTACCGGGCTTGTGATTGGCTGCTGATTAACACCACCACGATCGAACAGCGCAGCCTCATGGTCTAAAACTTTAGTTTGAAGATCAGGCACAACTATTCCGGACCAGTAAATATCGCAGCACAACAAAGAATTAAATACAAATTTCCATTGTATGCGTTCGCGCATGGTATAAGATACCATGCCGTCTGTTCCGACTCCCTCCAAAGCTGGGATTATCGAGGACGCATCTGGAGACCGCCACATTCCCTCGTCAACACGAGCCGACGGTTCCAAGCGCAAAGAAATCAAGATTAGGCCCGGTTATAAGCCTCCGGAGGATGTTGAAGTTTACAAGAACCAGACGGCTGCGGGCTTTCGGGCCAGGGGACAGGGTGGAGTACCCGGCGCAGCTGCATTGAAGAAGGAGGAACCGGAGTCCGCAGCTGCGAGCAATAAGAATTCGAAACGACGAGAGGCAAGAAGGAAGGCTGCTGCCACTGCGACGTCTTCAACCAATCCTGAGACGGAAGCCCGCACGGAAACAAACTGGAGACAACCCGCAACCAACCAACCTGAGGCCGCAGCGGAAGAGACAGTTGACCCAGAAGCTGAGCGAGAAAAGAAGGCACGGAACCTGAAGAAGAAGCTCAAGCAGGCAAAAGATCTGAAGGAAAAGAAGGAAGGTGGCGCGGCCTTGCTTCCGGAGCAATTTGCGAAGGTGATAAAGATCAACGAGCTTATCCGAGAGCTGGATGCCCTTGGTTTCGGTCCAGAAGGAGAACCCAAGGAAGTCGAGGCGAAGGCGGAAAAATGATTACTCTGAGTTTTAAATTACGGATGTTACATTCATGAGGGCGTTGGACATGTTTTGGCTGGGTTTCGGTGTTATAAACTGGGTTGGCGTCAAATGTTATAGACCACGATGAGCATGCAACCACACGTGGGTGTCAGTCTGGCCTAGATGTAGCTAATATTTCAATCGCTAAAGCAACTCATCCTTCGGCCTAGAAGGAAGTTCTTGCAGGGTATCATCTTCCATATTAACTTCAACATCCATCGATTCTCCAGCCGTGATCCGCTCCCCTGCATCCACGTCGACAAGCCCGTTTGTACCTCCTCCACCTTCTTTGCTTCCACCTCTGGCAGCACCTTCATCTTGGAAACCTCCCCTTCCCGTGGGTGAATCTTCCGACCTTGAGCCATGTTGCTTGTCCAATCCATTCAACAAGGAATTGGACGTTTCCTCATCGTCTTCATTGATCCATACTTTGATCTTCCTGTCTAGCCCACAGCTGACAATCCTGCCACTTGCTGGGTGCGTGTCGACGCTCAGCACAACTCCGTCGTGCGCATCAAGTTTCTGAAGAATCTCTTTACTCTTTGCGTCCCAAAAGACTATCTTTCCATCTTCGCTTCCAGACACAATAAAAGCCTCCGAGCCGTAAACACCGAATGCCCCGGAGATACTGTATCTTTTGTTCACGTGCCCCTGATAAGTCTTCTTGCAAAGGCCCGTCACGTAGTCCCAAAGCCGTATGCACCCATCGAGTGTCCACGCAAGAACATGTTTTCCATTTGGTGAGAACTTCACGCTCACAACACCAGCATTGTCTTCGTGCACTATTGTTCTTAGACATTGGCCAGATGCGGTATCCCATATCCGAATAAGTCCATCGCCAGCGCAAGAAACAACCAACGTCCCATCTCGAATGCAATCGACTCCAGCGACAGGGTCGGAGTGTGCTGGCAAGCTTCGCATTTGGCGCCCTGCGCGGACATCCCACAGAAAGACCGCTTCGTCGAATGACCCACTGACAAGCACATTCCCCTTGGGAGAAAATGCTATCGAATAAACGTAATTGTGGTGGCCTTTCCAAGGTTTTGGATGTGGTTTCCCGGTGGTCACGTCCCACAGCCGTATCGTCTTATCGTCAGAACCAGATGCAATAGTCTGTGAATCAGGGCTCCATGAAACCGTTGATATTCCGGCAAGGTGTCCTATCAATTCATGGACAAGATTGCCTGTTGATGCTTCCCATATCTTTATAGTTGCATCGGCAGAGGCACTTGCGATCCACTGTCCGTCTGGTGAGAACGCCACCTGCGAGATGCCTCTCTCATGGCCATCCAATTCGTATTTAAGCCTGTATCGAACTTGTGGTAATCGCTCCTCTCGATTTTTTAGATCTGCTTCTTCATTGTTGTCGTGGATCTCTGTCGAACTTGGTGTTTGAGAAGGCGATACAGATTCGGACTGGCTTTGGTGGTCATGATTGCTCTCAATATCCTCTTCGTCGGCGTAGAAAGTATGAGCTAACTCATCATGGCTTGGACTCCTATCATGACTGGATTCTGCGGCGGCTTTGCGCCGGCTTGTATTGCCTTTATTGGTGTTCAACCGCGAGTCCCTCCTTGCGGCTTGGTGATGTTCGTCGACATTTGCGGCAAGCTCATCTGGGGAGCTGTATCTCGGCGTAGCAGTACCATCGTTGGAAAGCCGTCGCCTCTTCACAGACCGGTCCGTATCCATAGGCGTGGTGGCGTATGAGTCGTCATCGGACATTGTGGGCGTTGCATTTGTAAATGTCGAGAAGAGGCTCAGCCTGATGCGTGCGGCGCGCTTCAAGCGAACGGTACCGCGTCTATGGCGCGACTAAGCGCGTTTACGGATATGCAGGTGCACCACTCAGCGAAAACAGCAACAATAAACGTGATGCATAATTAAAAAGCATCGGCAATGGATATTGATGATATTCTGAGAGAGGCGGACCCCGAGTATTACTCTACGCCTGGCGATGATGGGGATTTGGAGGCATTGACCAGGGCATGGGTAGCTGAACGCTCAGCTCCCGAGTTGTTGGAGTATGTACCATACATCGTGACTGCGCCCAAGAAATACCAAAACTGGATTCTAATGAATGATTAATAGTTGGCCATCTAACGGCCTGATCGAGAGAGCCAATGAGAAGATTCAAAGGCAAATCGAGAAGGTCGAAGTCATGACCGGCGATATGGACCCCAAGACAAATTTTGGTCTCATTATCATCCAAACAGAACTGGAGAGGTGGAAGTACTTGGTGCGGGGATTTTTGAGAGCAAGGCTTGCCAAGGTATATTTTGTTGTGTCTTTATTAACTTTTGATACTAAACCTCTTTGCAGATTGACAAGCACACACTTCACTATCTATCTTCGCCCTCTCTTAGATCACGGCTCTCGCCGTCGGAGATCTCATTTGCGACACGCCATCAAGCTCTTCTCCACGAGCATTATCTTTCGTCTTTCTTGCAGTCATTTCCTCCCCAATTGAGGAATCTAGATGATACTGCGGGTGGAATCAGTATGGTCGACGCTCCTGAACTTGACACAGCAGTCTTTATCAGGGCCCTGAAGGACTGTCTTGTTGGAACCCAAGGGGGAAATGCAGAAGATATGGTGGATGCTTTAGCTGGAGAAGTGCTGATTGCCAGGTGGGCGGATGTGAAACCTTTGGTGCTGAGCGGGGATGCGGAACTTGTTTGACCCAAATGAATTTCGATGCCTCCAAGAAAGGAGCAGCATGCGATTCCTGCAGTGGTTATGATATATTGTTCTCAGATGCTGCCTATAAGCGGGTTGTTTGATCACGTTTTGAGCAGGAAGGTACTATTCAATGCGGCGGGCCAAGGAGATTAGACTCTGGTCTCCACGTTGTAGTTTGAGATGGGCTAAATATATCAAAGGATTTGGAGCCCTGGCCTTAATCGGACAGAATAAACTGGCACTGTTACGGAACACGTCAAAGGTTGGAATGCCGGCGGGCAATGTGAGCCAGATCACGAGTTTTGAGTTTAAGGCGTTGAGAGAGTTATGGGGGATGACCAGTTAACGAGATCAAGATATACGGCTGTTATTGTTTGTCAATGTAGCCAGCTTGTAAAGAGACCTACTTGCGTTATGAGCTGGCAGTATATGGAAAGACTATAGAATGAATAAAAGTATATTGGAAAACTACAGAGTGAAAACGTAGCAGTTTTAACTGAGTATTGTTAGACTCTCTTGTTCAACATGCCAGTCGCAATCTCCAAGAGTCCCATGGTTGATATTCAGTCATCTGTGGGTTTCTATAAGCGCTTATCAAGCGAACTTCTTTGTTCTATGCATAATATTTATATATGAGAGCAGAAGGTAGGCAATTACTTGCAACCCTATGCCCGTCACAACCATGGCGGAACCAGCGAAGACCTTCACCGCGAGCTTTGGCGTGTTAATTGCGTCCCTTGGGTTAAAGAAAGGAGAACAAGCATACAATAAATGCAGAGCGAAGTTCTTCATGGACGCGATGAAGGTTGTCAACGACAAAGTTGCCAGTGGAGACCCAACAGCCAAACGACTTGAGGCTGAGTATGCAACACTTGTTGAAACCCGTGGATCGCAGAATCGTACTCCGAAAATGGATATCGCAAACAGCAATGGCCAACCCCAGGCGACTGAAGACCTGGAATCGAAATTCCAAGTGCTGGCTAATGCTGCAGGCATCCTTCCCGGCCAACCTTGTTACAAACGACTGCTCCGCAAATTTCTCACTGCAGAGTACGCTACAAACGCACAGGAATATTGTTTCAATGCGAGAAATGTCAAAGATAAGAATAAGACGTTCAAGTTTGAGGCTCTTGCACTTGTCTGTGGCCTGAAGTACGACAGCCCAAGTTACAACAAATCTTACAACGACTTCTTCCAGAAGAAAGGAATCTTGCTCATCAGAGCCATAAAATCCACAGCTTGGCCCGAGAGGTCCTCTTCTACCAAGAACATGTCGCAAGAACCTGCATCTTCTCGGCCTGACGATGAAAGTGCAACCATGAAGAGCCTACGAAACAAGCTCGCCGCAGCCCGACTTGATGGAGTCGTGTCAGAATCTGCTGCCCAAACGCTAGAAGCGGAAGCCAGATTTGAGGAACTCACCCTTTCCCTTGGACTCATCAAAGGAAGGAATAGCTACACAAACTATCGATGCCGATTTTTCGAATACGAATCCTCGAGAGACCACATTCTTAAATTGGGAGACGACATCGCCATGGAGAAACTGGAGATATTTGAAGAGAGTTGTGCCGCTCGCGGGTTACAGCAAGGAAGCAAGGAGTTCGGGACATTCAAAAAGCATTTTGATATCGAGAACAAAAATGACACCGAAACTTCGACTGATAGTTCGTTCTCCATGTGTGGGTTTACCTCGGCGGATGATGATTCCCAGTATGCTCTTCAATTCAAAGGCAGATCGCAAACGAGCAATGGAAACAATCTCCACTATGGTCAACCTGAGGGCAGAGTGGTGGGTGATCGACAGGCATCAGATAGAAAGCAGTCCAGACATGGAAATCGTGCTCTAAAAGATGGCGCTCCAAATAACGGCCCTCCAAAGAACGGTGCTCGGCAAGGTGGACCTCAGAAAGGCAGTGCTACAAAAGATGATGTTCCGAAAGGCGGTCCGCAAAAAGGCGGTCCTAACAAATCTCGTGCCGAAAAAGCGAAGGAGGAGTTTAATGCTTACTTTCCTGATACCAGCAAACTTGAAAACTGGCAGAAACTCTGCCGGGACCTTGGTATCAACCCCGTTCCCAACTCCATAAGACAGTGCAAAATGGTAAGCAATTTCTGGAACTTCGTTCGCGCCTTATTTTGGTGTGTTTTCTAATGCATAATAGGAAACGAAGAAGATTTATGTCAACATCTACCAATTCCTCCATCAGATTAGGACGGGGTTTCCCGCGACTCGGTTCCCCAGCCAGAAGGCATTGGCCAACTACTGTAATGGAGGGAACAAGAGAAAGTTCCCACGGGAAATTGCAAAGGAGAGAGGCGCACTTGCTGGATTGCTTCACTACCTCTATTAGAGAATGGTTCTTGGATAGGTCTAATGAAAAGCTGTGATAGGGCCTATCTGTTTTCCATTCGACCAGGCACAAATGGGACGGATGTTCAACAAATCTGTAGCTCGGTGAATTGCACTTGCAGGAGCACCAGTTGGTCATGTCCAGTCTTGGCTGAATACAATTGCACCAATTCATATCTCAACTTCTCATGAAAAGAATGATTTGTATGGGATATATATCTGTCTCAAGATTTCTTTCGTAATTATTTGCAGTGACATGCCCCAACCCATGTTTGGCCACCAATTATGCTTCCCACCGAATTTAAATCTAGAATGGCACAGGAAGCCTAGATATTCGGGTACCCCTTTTTGAAGTAGTTGATAGTAGGCTTCACTTCGTAGTTAACCAAAAATGCCGTTAATATGACCTGGACACGTAAGTGGTCATATGGCTTCCATTACTTTGACATTCAATCAGTAAGTTCTGCTTCCACACGAAGTCCACTACCTAGCCCTTTCCCAAGACCGTCGAAGAGATCAAGCAGTTTCCCAGTTTCTATCCAGAGACGTCCCAGTGGATTTGGTGTTATCCGAAGCTTGATGCCCGATTTCTTACCTTTCTTTCCGAGAGTGGTAGAATGGGTAGGGTTAAATCTGCAATATTGTTAAAAAAAGATATTCGAACAGAGGAACTTAACATACTTAATCAATTCTTTGAGTGACAGGGGATCAGTTGGATATGCTGGAGACACAGCAACCAGGAACCTCAAAATAGCACCCACGTAATCACAGAAAAAGGTGCCGTTCTTGCCAACTAAGAGTCTAAGGTTTTCAAGGATGGCTGAATCCGCTCGGCCAAGATCATTGCCCCATCTAGCACATAAAGTCAAGGCGATAATAGCTTGAACCTCATGTGTCAGCCCTGGAAGACTAGCGATGGATCCTGATATTGTGGTATGCAATGACCTCGTAGCATTCTGGTCGTCGGAATTGCCCAGATGAGTCCAGGTGTTCCGAACGACGTAATCAAGAAGTCCTGACGTAAATATGCTGGGGGTATCCTTGGGGAGGGCGCTCCTCACCAGTTTCACAGCAGCGCTTACAGAGGCATCTGTAACAGATTCTGAGCTACCAAGCAATAGAGGGAGAGGGTCCTGCTGCCTGAGAGAGGGCGATAGCTTCATATACAGAACACCATCTCTATTCCCACCACTGCAAAACGTGACTTGCTTTATCTTTGGCACTGCCTCAACAAGAGCCCCGACAACCATGGCAATGGCAGGGAATTGCTCGCGCCTGCGCTTGGACATTCCGAAGATCTTGCCATCTTTATCGTTCTCCTTGAGCATTGCCTCCCAATTTTCGAAGCTGGCGCCGGAAACCGAAAAGCCACCAATTCCTGGAATTGGATATGGCTGAATTTCGTGCGTGTGGCGAAGCATGCTTCCATAACCTCTAAAGCCCCCGCCGCAAAAGTATATTGAAATTCCCTCTTTGCTTTCAGCCTGCGCTCTAAGCCCTGCGAACTGTTTCTTCATTCCCTCAAAAGTGTCCCTCATTTGAGTCCTCAGCTGCTTTTGCGTTGTCCCCTCTTCTTCCACTCGCAGAGTAGCCGTTAATTTTGCAGCGCCGTAGGGCATACTCTTCGCGTTCTGCGCAGCCAGGGTTTCGTACCCATTGCTTTTCGAATCCAGGTATGTCATCTGCACACTCCCTCCACCAAGGTCCATAAATAGGCCATCTACGTGTTCGAACGCAGAGCGTGCCCCCATGGCACCAAACATGCTCTCCATAGCTGGGCTAAGTATCTGCACACCCAGCCCGCTTGCAGCATGAATCGCACCAACCATCTCATCCTGGTTCTTTGCAGTGCGCATAGCTTCTGTCGCAAAAACGCTGATCTGATTATCGGGGACTTTGTATTGTTTGCAGATGTAGGCGAATCTTGCTAGAGTCTTGGAGACCTTGTCGATAATCCCTGGGGAAAACACGAACGGCACAGAGCCGGGTTTGGACTCGTGGAGCGCATCGTACAGGGAGATTCCGGCGCGCTCGCGGTATATGCAAGGCAAGAGTCGTGAATTTGGCGGCGTGAGGTCTGATATGGAGAATCGAATGCCATTGCTATGTGGTTTTAGACATTTGAACCCGTCGAAGAATCCGAAGATGAGAAGGAGCGGGAAGGGCGTTACCTTCCCATGTCTACGAGGCCAAAGAGACCACAACCATCAGCGCTAAACTTCGCGAGTTTGGACTCGAAGTTGTCAATCGTGACAACCTCATCGCTTGAAAGAGCCATTATGAAGGGCGTAAAGTGTAAGGTTGTTGAGAAGAGAATGGTTCACGATGGCATCCCATTCATTTTTGCAAGTTGCCTTGGAACTGGGCACGGTCCGAACCCCGCGTTGGAGGGGTCAGAGTGGGGGTGGGGTGAGGAGTACCAAAACGATGACCAGCCACGTGCGGAACAGAACAAAAGGCGACTCTAAAAAATGAATTGGAAAGCAACATTTATTTAATATTGGGTTCGCTGTGACTATCCTCAACCATAGCTCACGTTGTATTGGTTAATGTGATATTCCATATATGCAGCATACTGCTCCCAAATCCACCCAGTCCCTGAACCTTCATCAAGACGGGCTGCGAACCACCCGCACCAGCAACCAGAACGTTCACCCCCTCACGCCCCAACAACGGTCCCGGCTACGCGCCCTATAACCAGAGTGTGCGCCGCTCATCGCTCCCCTTATAGCTCTCCTCGTCGCTATCCTTCCCCATTCCCCTCGCAAGTGAACTCTCCCATGCTGGTCCCCTTACGCGTAACAATGTCGATTAAACTAAAGTGGCTCCTATACTCCTATAATTGAGTGCCAGCGGGGGGTATCATTCCTTCTTTGCCTCATCCTCAAGCGTAAAATCAAAAATGCGGAACGCCGCCTTAAATGCCTCGACATCGCGTTTCTCTTCATCAACTGTCTGCTCACAATCTCTCCACTGCAGTCTCTTCTCCAGACCGAGCAACTTTGCAAGCACCTTTCGCCCGAATTGCAGATCGAATCTCATGGTGTCATCGAAGGGCATGGTGATGGTCTTTGATTGTCCTTGAGCGCCGTTTTCTTCCGATGGCGACCAAATCCACACCCGGAAAAAATCTCCTTCTCCCTCCCCAAGGCCAGGATCTCGATTTTGAAAAGAAGGGTACTTCATGTTTTCCGCTTCAACTTTAAAGGCTGCTTCAACCAATCCCTTCGAAACAAGCTCGGCCGGAACGGGAATAAACTGCCAGTGGGTATGAACACCATTCCCACGACTAATCTCAAACGTAACGGAACCAAGTTTGTCATCGCTCCTAGCTGCCACCATTTGCTGAAGTGACTTCTTGTAGTTGTTCATTTCCATGTATGTCTTTTGGCGCCCCTCTTGATCAATACGTGCCAATGTGGGCTCATGGCTCAATGGGATGATGAGGACATGAGCTGGAAAATCGAGGCCATTCGCCGCATTCGTTGACGACGTAGTCAGTGGACCCTTGGCGGTTGTGGTGTATGCATCTTCGCCGATAGAAGTTACGAGATGGGTGGCGAGATTCGGGTTCGATAGACAGAAAAAGCACGTATCTGGTCCTGGTGGGGGCTGTCTTTCTCTTCGGCCTCTTTTGTGACGATGGTGGTTTCCGTCATCCGTCGAAAATCGGGAGTAGGGTGCGGGGTCCAGCGCTGCTCGTTTCCTCCCTTCTGGTGCCTTCGTGGAGAAAGGCGAAGCCGTCACGCCAAGTGGAAGAGGGGCTGTGACATCTACTGTTGCTCGCAGATTAAAGGCAGAGATTGATTTCTGCTTGTTGGGGTTGCCGTGAGCGGCAAGGGATATGAATCTGGTGAGGGGTCGAAAATCAGGGGCGTCCTCGGTTGGCGTGTGGAAGAATGGCTCCCGCTCGTAGTAAAAGGTGGGCGATGACGAGAAATGGTACCTGGGCTTCAACTCCGCGGAAAGTTGTGAGATGTGGTCGTTGCCCGTTGGTTCAATCCCTGCCTCGGGAATTGGCACCTTGGAGCCAGTGCGAATAGAAGACGGCCAGGAAGCTGTCAATAATATATCGGCAGTGTTCGCTCCACGGAGAGCCTTGGCATCATCCACAGTATGGAACGGAAGGTACTGTTCTTTTGATAGGCCTCCAATGATTGTGTCATCCAATTGACCCCCAAGAGCAACGATTCGGACTCCTTCGGATGTTTTCGTTGTGCTTCGCTTTCCCAAGTAGTGAAGGTTTTCGCAGAGCTGGGATTCATTAGACATGGCCACATATCACTATTTAATCAGAATCGACTTACCTCGTCATCTTTTGTGAGTTTATCCACAATTCGCTGGGGAAACTGGCTCAATCCCACAGTGAAATATGTTGGGAGCGGCACGATGATCTTTCCGTCCAGCAAGTCCGTAACCTCATCATCGTCCTCGGCAAAAAGGTCCCCGGATATTATAGCGAAAGTGAAAGTGTTCTTAGCGTGCAATGTAGCGATTTTGGAAAAAGCTGATCGTAATTGCCCTTGGACTGCGCCGACAACAATACTATTCAGAAAAGGTGAGTTTATTGAGCCATGACGTATAAGTGAGGTTGGGGAGGTTTGCGTTCAACTGGGGGCAAACTTTGATAACAACTTACATTTTTGAAGCCATGTTGACCTGAACAATGGCTATGAAAGGATAACCAGAGTCATTGGAAGTGGAAAGCGTGTTTCGTGACGAGACCCTTTGGTGGAAGCTTGACATCAATAGCTCCGACGACGCTAGTGGTTTTAAGCCGGCAGAAACGCCAAGTGTAGCTCACCGCCTCAAAATTATTCAAATCGATAACATGGATATTCTCGATAAGATTTTAAGGTTCCTCTCACATCACCAACCAGAGTGACGACCAACAAAACCTACGGCGAAGATGCCGTCCACATCTTCTGGAAGGATTGTGAAGACTTCAAAAGGGAAGAAGGGAACGGCCCACTCAAAAAATCATAGATGGGAATCCTTCACCGCGAAGGTCTCGAAACTTAACTCTCTCGACCCTCTGCGACGAGTTCGCCGCCATGATCTCGACAGTGAAGATCTCGGGGCAACAACGTCTTATTTTAAGGCGGGGTTGGAACGATGGCAGGAACTCAATATGTCCGAGCGGTTCATACAGTTTTCATACGATGTAAGCCCGATGTGCGACAGCTTGCCGCAAATTCTACATTTCGAGGACAAAATCATGGACCTTCTGGTCAGCTTTTTGGAGGCAAAAGAAAGGGAATCGATTGAACCTTTACTTTCACTGTTGACCGACTTTGCCCATGACCTCGGTTTGCGCTTCGAAAAGTTCTATGCCCGGGCATTGTCGCTGGTTACAGACATCGCAGGGACCAAGCAGGATGTAGAGGTGATTGAATGGAGTTTTACCTGTTTGGCATTCCTGTTCAAATACCTATCAAAGCTGCTTGTGATGGACTTGCGCCCTACATACGACCTTATGGCTCCTCTACTTGGCAAGGAACGACAACAGCCACATATTGCTCGCTTTGCTGCCGAGGCGATGAGCTTTCTCATAAAAAAAGCAAGTGCGCCAGCTATTCGAGAAAAGGCACTGCCGGTCATAATATGTCACGCAAAGACTGACCTGGAAAAAACAATTGGAACTCGTGAATACGGGCTTTACTACCATGGTATCATGACCATGTTCGCCGAGTCGATGAAAGGCAACGGACTGTCGATCCACTCCTCGGCCCCTGCGACTTTGGACTCGATGTTCGCACAGTACAGTTACTCTGAAGAGACGGAGGAGACATATTGGGCCTGGGGAGATGTGATATGTGGTGTGTTGACTAGTCTTGTCCACCATACGAGTTCAGATACCTTGGGGGAGATAATCGACACTGTTCTCGCGCACTCCGAGGGAGTCGTCAAATCGTTCGAGAAATCACGAACTCCAGAGTCGTTTAAGCAGCTGATGCTGTCGTCGAAAGCTATAGGCGTGATTGGAGGTGTCCGAAAGGGATCGCGAGTTGCGAACTGGAAACCCTTCCTCTCCAGTATATCCGATATTTTACAAGCACTCTCCAGGACCACCGGGGCCTCATTTTACGATGATCACGACCGTATAATATGGGAATCCGTTATCTTAACTACATCTATGGCTCTTCAATACTCGCCCATGGATGCTTTAATACCTTACGCACCAAGGTTCTTGGATTCACTTGCTAGAGAGCCCATGGCCCGCTGGTTTTTGATGTTTTGTTCATACTTCACTAAGGTTGATGTTGAGCGCTTCCGAAGCATTATTATGCCATATTTTCAAAAATTCATTGTCACACATTGGTCCGACAAAGAAAATGAGGATACACTGTGTGTTCTCGTTCCCAAGATGGTTTCTTCGGGGGTATTCATTAGTAGCACCGGTGGTAAAGATGGCTTCAATATCCCGCAATCATGGCAAGATCAAATGGTGAGCAAGTTTGAAAGGCTCGAAGTATCACCATTTCCTGAGCAAGCATCTCCAACCTCATACGGCAGTGGCACAAAAACATGGCATGATCGTTGTCTACCAAGATACTACGCCTTATTATCGATAATGGATTGTACGACAGCCCATCCCTCGACAAATGCGAGAATTGCAGAAATACTCCAAAGAAAACTCAAACTTGCGCTGCGACCATCCTCAGCAATTGAACCCGAAGAATCAAGATTTATTGCTGGCCGCGGCTTTGAGGCATTTTCTCGCATGACAAAAGCTGCCGGAGAGGTGGATATTTCCTTGGAACCTCTTCTCAGAGCAGCGGCTCCCAGATATGCTCGCCTACCTGGATTTCTACATGCGCTGCTGTCATATTTGACGAGCTTGAAACAATCACCCTCCTACAAACCTGCTGCAGATACATGGTCTACAAATGGAAGCGAAGATGCAGACTCACTCATTGAAGCTCTAATACTCAATTTATCGACAAATTCTCACGATCTGCGGCTTCTTTCTCTCCGCCTTCTGGACCACTTATATACAGCCTCCACCAATGTTGCCTCCGACGCCATATCCACCATGATTTTGATCGAACAGACGCCGCTGGATTTGCAAACTGCTCGGTCCGCCTCTATGAATATCCGAAGGCTTGCTGCCCTCCACCGTACCCATGTATCTGACCGCATTTTATACCGAGCAATCCCACACTTTTGCTTCGGCATGCTTACTGTCAAATTCGCGCAACTCTGGGAAGACGCTTGCGCCGCGCTTTCCGAGATTGCCCAAACGGCCAAAGAGGAAGATGTTATTGCCGAAATCGTATTTAGTTGGTTGGAAGCTCCATCAGCATTGTGGGATGGATCAGCGCGGAATGTCGAACACGCTCAGAATTCTGGACTCACTGATTTCGAGTGTTCAAATTTGATAAATCTGCGGAAGCTTGCCTCTGAGGTTGAAACCGAGGCCAAGGATGCCCGAGACGTTATGATCCGGCAGTTTGAAGAATCGCAAGAACTTGTTGCTCCACAACCGCCTATGGCACGTGCTCAGGCACTGCGTGTTCTTGCCAGTGTTACGAGTATCGCTGAGCGCCGTTCACGCCAATTTATTCCCATGTTCCTTTCATGGGCGAATAAGGAGGGCGAGCCATATCAGTCAGATGAAGATCCTATCAACATAAGCAATTGGACGAGAAAAGATCAGAAATCTCAGCTAGATCTCTTACAGAAGTTCCACAACCCTAGAGTTCTGTTCAGGGCAACAGAAGTATTCGACGCTTTACTCGGCCTTCTGACAAATGGAGACCTAGAAATCCAGAAATCTGCCCTCAAAGCTATTCTAACATGGAAGATTCCTAGTGTTAGGCCTTATGAGGAGAACCTCTTGAATTTACTCGATGAGGCACGTTTTAAAGATGAGCTCACAATTCTTCTCCAGGGAGACTCCCGGATACAGTTTGAACATAGGCAGGAACTTATGCCAATCCTCCTACGCATTTTATATGGAAGAGCTATTTCAAAGAAAGGCGCAGCTAGCGGTCGACAGGGCATGTTAGCCACAAGGCTAACCATATTACGCAATCTGTCAGTGGAGGATATTGGGTCATTTTTGCAGATTGCCCTTGGGGAGCTGAAGGACATCGACGTTATAAGCCAGTCTCGAGATGAGCTATTTGACAAGGAGATACTAAGCGCCCGAAAGCAACTTGGTTTCATGAATATGATGGAAGGCACCTTGAAAGAGCTTGGCACAAAAATGTCGCCTTATACTAGCCAATTACTATCCGCGGTGCTCTACTGCTTGGTGTACTCATCTCGCCAGCTCCAACGCTCACCCGACTCTATCGACGACGAAGAAGACTTCACCAGCCAAACATCGTTGTTAAAATCTGTCCGCCAGACCGGATTTAAATGTCTTGTCTTGATGTTTACCAACGACTCCACTTTTGATTGGTCGCTGTATATGGACCTCATAATGAGCGAACTCATCAGCCCGCGGTTGGCGAAACTACCAATCGAAACTGCACAGAGTATTTCCGGGGTTTTGCAGCTTTTATATACCTGGTCGCTGTCACCGAAGACTGTTCTCTTCCTTGGTGAAGATGATCAAACCTTGGTCACTGTAGCGGAGTGTTTAGCTCAGCCAAAGTCCAAGGACCAGGTCCGACTGTTTGCCCTGAGTATTATTGACAACGTGGTCGGTATCGCCAAGAGCGACCTTCCTGAAAACGAAGATCTAACTGGCCGCGTTAAAACGTCCTTACTTTCCAAGAATATGGACTCCTTTTTGGTGCCTATTGGGGATGTTCTTAGACGACAGCAGGATATCAGCAAGGGCCTTCTCGAAGCCTGCGTTGAAACTATTTCTGGGCTTGCGCAATTCGTTACCCAATCTACGCAGGCACACAATCTCGTGGATATCACTACTTTCTTGCTTGACCAGCCGACCAGGAGAGTTAATCCCAAAACTAAGAGCGGACTTCTTTTGGTTCTGGAGCACTTTGTGCCACTGTACGATCTTCAAGATGACAGTGAGCTCAAGGACAGGGTCTATAATACTGTAACTTCGCTCTTTGGATTTTTCCGAGACAGAAGTAGTAGAGAAGTTCTATCCAGAGTTTTAATCGTCTACTCTCGAAAGGATCCTGTCCTTGAAGAAGTTGCAGAACTTTGCGTATCATTGAATTCGTTTGCTGAAGGACGACTGGACGAGCCGGATTATGATCGCCGACTTAAAGCATTCAATCTGATATCGGCGCCGAGGGAAAACCAATTTACTGCTCACCAGTGGCGCCCTCTGCTCTACAACTTCCTTTACTATATCAGACACGACGAAGAGTTCGGTGTTCTCTCCTCAAATTCGTCTGATGCGATTTGCAACTTCTTGGACAGCGCATCCAAAGCGACGGATGCCACCGAAAGTTCAACATTCTATGATATGTTGTCCTCCATTCTAGTGCCCGCCATTTTCACCGGCGCTCGTGAGGCATCTGAGATTATCCGCCGAGAGTATGTCAAGGTTATGGCGCATGTTGTAAAAACATACCCTGACTGGACGGAAGTCAATGATATGCATACCCTTCTTCGTGGCGATGATGAGCTTGAAGGTTCCTTCTTCAATAACATTCTGGCTGCTGGTAAGGGGAGACAATCGAACGCCTTGACTCAACTGTCAACGGCTTCAAAGGATGGACTTATAAGCAGTAAAAATACTGCTCACTTCTTCATCCCACTTCTTGAGCACTTCATTTTTGATAGAGCCGAAGGAAACGACGCGCACAACCTTGCTGCCGAGGCAACAACCTGCGTCGGCATTCTTGCAGAGTCATTGGACTGGCCTCAGTATCGTGCTATATTGCGCCGATTCACTGGATATATCGCCACTAAGCCAACCCTGGAGAAGCAAATTATACGCCTTCTCGGTAAGGTTATCGAGTCGCTGGCAGTCGCCGCAGACTCAAAGCACAGTATCGTCGATGCGGAAGCCAACGATACTGCGATGGAAGTTGACGACGCACCCACCAAGCCATCGCTTTCCACCCTTGCCAAGTCACTTCCGAAAGAGCAAAAGTTCTATGACGATTTGACAGGGAACATCTTGCCTCCACTGATCGACTACCTACACCATAAGGACGAAACTACCGTCAGTCTCCGTACTCCTGTTGCAGTCATCGCAGTTAGGGTTCTTAAACTACTCCCTCATGATCAAATGGCCGAAAAACTGCCCGCCGTTCTTACCGATATATGCCAAATTCTTCGAAGCAAAGCGCAAGAGGCTCGTGATATGACGCGCCAGACATTAACAGACATTTGCGTCTTGCTTGGGCCTTCTTGTTTTGGATTTGTGCTGAAAGAACTCAGAGGCGCTCTGGCTCGTGGATCTCAACTCCATGTTCTGTCCTACACAATGCATTCGATTTTGGTAGCTACAATCCCGCTTTACTCACCCGGCGACTTGGATTACTGCCTTCCTTCGATTGTGGCTATTATCATGGACGATATCTTTGGCATTACTGGTCAAGAGAAGGACGCAGAAGAATATGTCAGTAAGATGAAGGAAGTAAGGAGTAGCAAATCCCAGGATTCGATGGAGTTGATTGCGAAGACAGCAACTTTGAGCCGCCTTACAGATCTTGTCCGCCCTATCCAGGTCCTCCTGAAGGAAAAGTTGAACCTGAAGATGGTACGAAAAATCGACGAGCTTCTGAACCGAATTAGCTCGGGACTGTTGAAGAACAGCGCAGCGAAGAGCAGAGACAGCTTAATCTTCTGTTACGAAGTCATTCAGGATGTGTACAACAGCAACAAACCCCAAGCAAAGGTCAAGGAAGACTACCGCTTGAAGAAGTACTTGATCCAGAAAGGAGCGAAAAGAGGCAGCAACCAAGGTAGCACTACCGTCTACACCTATAAGTTGGTTCGCTTCGCTTTCGACGTATTGCGAGCGGTGTTAAAGAAGCATGATAACCTTCGCGTTGCATCGAATTTGACCGGATTCGTGCCAATCATTGGAGACGCCATTGTTCAAGGAGAAGAGGAAATCAAGATTTCTGCCTTCCGTTTACTTACAACGATTGTCAAGGTTCAGATGAAGGCGACGCATGATGGCAGCAACCTTTACAAGGTCGCTGCCGCTGAAGCTCTCAGGAGCATCAGTGCCTCTTCATCAACCACGTCCGACGTTTCTCAAGCTGGCCTGAAGCTTGTCTCTGTCATTCTCCGCGACAGAAACGATATTCCAATTAAAGATTCGGCCGTCGATGGGTTGCTTTCGAGGCTGAGGGAAGACATGACCGATCCAGAACGCCGCCATGTGACGTTCAATTTCTTGCGCGCCGTTTTGGATTCGAAGCTTGAAAGCGCCGTTGTTTACGATACAATGGACTATGTTGGGACAGTAATGGTGACGAACGATGATAAGGATACCAGAGACCTAGCTCGTGGTGCTTATTTCCAGTTCCTCCGCGAGTACCCGCAAAAGAAGAACAGATGGCAGAAGCAATTGGCATTCATTGTTGCCAATCTGAACTACGAGCGAGAGGGAGGCAGACTGTCTATTCTCGAAGTACTACACCTCTTACTCTCCAAGTCGTCGAACGATTTCATCCAGGAAGTCTCGGCAACTTGCTTCGTGCCCCTTGTTTTCGTTCTTGCCAACGACGACAGTGAGAAGTGCCGTATGGCAGCTGGCGAAATTATCAAGGAAATCTTCCGCAAAGCCGACAGCGAACACATCACCACGTTCTTGAACCTCCTGAGATCCTGGATCAGGCAAGAAGACAATACCGCAGTTCAACGTTTGGCTTTCCAAAGCTACGGCTTTTACTACGAAGCCCAAGACTCCCCGCCAGATAACGACGTGAATGAGCTACAAACTTGCATCCAGCACTCGTTAAAGAACTCAAATGGGACAGAGTCCGACTGGGAACTTCTCTACTCCGCTTTGCAATTAGCGACGACACTGTGTGACAAGTTTCCAGCACGACTTTTGGCTGCAGGTGCCGTTGATATGTGGGCTTCGATACGCACTTGCCTAACATATCCTCACGCATGGGTCAAACTATCTTCGGCAAAGTTGATGGGAGTATACTTCACTGACTTTGCACGCGCCAACATGGAGTCTGGGCTGTCCGAACTGCCATTGGTTGGATCTAAGGGCCTTTCTTTGGATGCAGACGACATTAGAGATCTCATCCGCCGAACTGCTAGCATGTTCAAGACTCCCGGGTTGACAGAGTTACTCGCCAATGAGATTGTCAAGAACTTGAACTTCCTGGGCCGTATCGCCGCATCCAGTTCCTTGAAATGGAAGAAACCGCAGGCAGACGACGATGTTTCTGACGACGAAGAAGAAGGAACCGTCCGCGAAGATGGGAAGAAGCTAACAGCTCTCAACTACATCTTTGGAAGAATATCTTTCATCCTACGACGTGAAAGCTCTCCGCCACGAGCAGCAGTTCTGGTCCCCAAGACTGCAGCTCTGAAGCTGTCTCAGATGCTTTGCGCCAAACTAGATGCCGAGACTCTGGCCCCTTGCCTTGCGACCATACTGTTGCCACTCCACAACTTGACCGATCGAAACATTCCAGTGCCATACTCCACAGATGATCTGTTCAAGTCCAACTATGAGAATATCAAGACCGAGTGCACGGAACTCATGGAGCAATTAAAAATCAAGTGTGGCACATCTATCTACACGGAGCAGCTACTTAAGGTCCGACAAGGCGTCAGAGAGCGCCGAGAGCAGCGTTCGAGTAAGCGCAAGATCGAAGCTGTTTCGGCGCCTGAGAAGTTTGGCAAGGATAAGCAGAAGAAGGTTGAGAGGAAGAAGGAGAGGAGGAAGGAGAAGGGAATGGAGCACAGAGATTTGCGAAGGGGCTTTTAATCTCTTGTATATAGGATGCTATGCGGTGTATGGAGTTATACATGCCGGGGTTTGGAGGCATGGCACATGATTGATATAGAGTTCATTATGTGGGTTTGTTAGTTGTTGCGATATATATGTAGTTCTATATCCTGACTATATTGTTGATTTATACAGCTTCTCGTACAAGTGTTATACAACCTATCTTACAAATCTATGTGTGACAACCTCCAATAATACTACATGCTGGGCATTATATGCCAATCGTGGATATATCGTGCCCCTATTCAAACAGTCGCCATCATCACCCGTGAAATTCGTGTCGCCTTATAGTTTCTCGGTAGGGGCTGCCACTTCTTGGACCTTTGCCCCCTCGCCCTCTCCCGTAGGCTTGGGCCTATCGGTTACAGTTCCATCGGCCCATATCTCAAAATCCCCATCCTCGCTCAACGTTCCCTTCTTAACCAGCTGGCCCTGCTCTCGGATTATATCCTCGATTGTCATTGATTTATCGCCAAAGATCTGCAGTTTCAAGTCAGCGTCGGTCACCATAATCAAATCATCTATAGCACATCCCCAAGCCGACATAAACAGGTAACATCCGAACTTACATTTAGATGGTCGCTAATAACGTGTCTGTTCTTGCACCCCGGGCAACTTATCAGCACGCTCCCCTTATGGTACCCCTGCTTCGAGACTCGATGTGTCGAGCGCGTGGAGCACGGCTTGCAGGTAAAGGTCATCTCATATGCAGGCTGATCGGCCGGGGCTTCTGTGGTTTTGCGAGGGATTTCGAAGGGTTTAATAGCGTTTCGTAGGCTGGGCGTGGCGAAGAAGTGGAGGGGCCGAGAGATGGGTTTCTGGAATACCGCTATCCTGGGGGCAGACTTAAAGTCTTGTAGGGCTATCCGCCGCAAAAGGCGAAAGGCGGCTTGTCGTGGTAACATATTTGGTTGTGGTGAGGTTGGCTGGCAACTTATTGTTGGTGCGGATGTTCGTGAGAAGTGAAATTCAACACCAAACCATTGGGATGACGTTTTGGGGAACAATAAAATGTGAACCTTAAACACTAGCGGTTCCTTACCCGCCAAGCCGCTAGTCCTTCAACTCCGTCCCTCCGAAAGTTACAGAAGTCGGCCGCATGGCTTCAAACGCTAGGATAAAGTATAATCCGAATCTTAGGCTTCTGGGGCCTGTCAAGAGGGAACCATGTTTACCATCTCGATATTAAGATCGATCTGCTTCTGTGGTCTATTGCCACTCTCACCGGGGCAACTTCACGACAGACGCACAAAGACCAGCTCCGTTGGCTGGCATTCTATGCTTTGGCTTCTGAATACTTCATCTGTGCAGAATGACCTTTGTGTGCCAAATCTTTGAGGATTCACTACCCCGCCACTAGATCAAGAGACTGTTGCGCAGTGCCCAAGTGACGGGAAATATCAATTTCGGACTTCACGGCCTGATTCGGAAACATGATTTCTGGCCGTGGTAGAGGTGGTAAAATCCGCCCACCAAGACGTGTAAGTTCACTTGTTGTTTATCTCACAAATTCATTCCTCAACGACTGCCCAAATTGAGGACTCACTGCCCCTCCACTGGAGCACGACACTGTTGCGCAAAGTGCCCAACTGTTGGGAAATATCAATTCCTGTCTTCACGGCCTGATTCAGAAACATGGCGTCTGCCCTTGACAAAGCAGTTGCTCAGGCTCTGAAGCTATCCCTAGCTGGATCGAGTGTAATGGGCAAAATTCACCTTTCTCGGTTTCCACACTTGTTACTTGGCTACACAGAGGCTAACTTTATCACAGCATGCCCTCGGTGGCAGGACCGACCAGGATGATTTTGAGTCAATTTGGAGCGCAATCTGTGTTGCCCTTCGGGAAATCCACACTCGAAATGCCTCCCAAATCTCATTCGAACAGCTCTATCGCCTAGCATACAAAATCGTCCTACAGAAGAACGGCGATAAGCTATATGAGCGTGTCAAGGAGTTTGAGGAACAGTGGTTTGCCGAAGAGGTCATGCCGAAGATCAGATCACTAATCACCAGAAACCATACCGGCTTGACCGTTGGCGGAGGGTCCAGCTCGACAGCAACCGAGAGGAGGATATCCGGTGAGAAGTTCCTGAAGGGGCTTAAGTCGTCGTGGGAAGATCACATTCTCTGCATGAACATGACAGGCGACGTTCTCATGTATATGGATCGTGTGTACTGTACGGACAATCGGAGGCCATCGATCTTCACCACTTGCATGGGGCTATTCAGAGACCATATCCTGCGCTCCAAGCTCGTTGAGTCTGACCTAGACCTCAGCACTTTTGACATCCTGAACTCTGTTCTCCTCGATATGATTCAAATGGAGCGCGAAGGCGACGTTATCGACAAGAATTTAGTCCGATCCTGCATGTACATGCTTGAGGGACTCTACGAAACCGATGAAGATGACGAGAACGAGAAACTGTATTTGACCGTCTTCGAGCCGAAGTTCTTGAACTCCAGCAGGGCATTCTATCAAAAAGAATGTATGATGCTATTGCGAGAATCGGATGCCGGCACCTGGCTTCGTCAGACTCAGAAACGCTTGATGGAAGAGGCTGACAGATGCAAAACTACGATTTCGCCATTGACTGCGCAGAAAATTGCGGAGGTCATTGATACTGAAATGATCGGAAGCCATTTGAACGAATTCATTCAATTGGAAAGCAGTGGTGTCAAGTCAATGATCATGAACGATCGATTTGATGAGCTTGCTCTTTTATACCAAAACATCTCTCGTATTGACCCGAAGAAAGCAGCCTTGCGCGATGCTCTACAGGGACGTGTGATGGAAATGGGCTGTGATATCAACAATACCATCGCCAATACCGATTTCTCTGAGAAGGCTCCGGTGGCTGAAGATGCCGACAAAGCTGCGAAGGGCAGAGTTCCACCGCCTAACCCGGCTGCTCAACAGACTGCGGCAGCCATCAGATGGGTTGACGAGGTGTTGCAGCTCAAGGACAAGTTTGAGAACATGTGGGAGAAGTGCTTCGAGAGCGACCTGATCTTGCAGACTGCGTTGACAAAGAGCTTCTCTGATTTCATCAACCTATTCGATCGCAGCTCCGAATACATTTCGCTGTTTGTCGATGTGAACCTGAAGAGCGGCATTAAAGGCAGAACCGAAGCTGAAGTGGACGCCGTCCTCGACAAGGCGACTACGTTGCTTCGTTACGTGCAGGACAAGGATATGTTCGAGCGCTACTACAAGAAACATCTCGCGCGCCGCCTGTTGCATGGCAAGTCGGAGAGTGCAGAAGTGGAGAAGCAAATGATTTCTCGCATGAAGCAGGAAGTTGGCAATTACTTCACCACTAAACTCGAAGGAATGTTCAAGGATATGACCATGTCAGAAGAACTGACTTCGAACTACCGAACCCACATTCAGGGTCTCGGCGAAAGGGACAGGAAGCAGATTGACCTTGGCATTAACGTCTTGACCACAAACCACTGGCCAATGGAGGTTATGGGTGCTGCGCAGGCACGCTCGGAAGACGGCCGTGTTCAGCAGTGCGTCTGGCCACCTGAAATCAAGCATTTGCAAGACAGCTTCACGAAGTTCTACATGAAGAAGCACAATGGACGTCAGCTGACCTGGCTCCCATTCAGCGGATCCGCCGACATCCGTTGCGTTTTCCCGAAGATCCCAGGCAAGGAAGGCATACTTGGCCGCGAGCGGAAGCATGAACTCACAGTTCCAACTCTCGGCATGATCGTCTTGTTGCTGTTCAATGACCTCGAGGAAGGCGAGTCTCTCTCGTTCGAGGAGATCAGAGAGCGTAGTCGCATCGAGTCGAAGGATCTCCAGCGCATTTTGCCTTGTCTTGCGATTTTACCAAAAGCCAAGGTCCTGAACAAGGATCCCCCTACGAAGAATCTCAAGCCTACTGATCGCTTTTCGTTCAATGCTGCGTTTACCAGCAAGTCGGTCAAGATCAAGGCTCCGACCGCTACGGGCATAAACAAGGTGGAGGGAACTGAGGAGCGAAAGCAGACGGAGAGTAAGAACGACGAGATGAGAGGTGGTGTGATCGAGGCTGCGATTGTTCGCATTATGAAGTAAGTTTAAAATTCTTTTTACTCCCATCTTTAACCACAGACATTATCCAAGCATTCACTCGCGTCAATCACCTACAGAATCCTTCCAAAACTCAGTCTCTACTCTACTAACACACAACTCCCAGGCAACGCAAGCAACTCGAGCACCAACAGCTCCTCACCGAAGTGATTACTCAACTCACCAGCCGCTTCCGCCCCGACCTCAACATGGTCAAGAAGCGAATCGAGAGTCTGATCGAGCGCGAATACCTGGAGCGCGTGGAGGATGTCGAGAGGCCAACATATAGATACCTGGCATGATTTTATGGGGATCAATGATCGGAGTTACGTGGCCATCTGCGCTGAAGGTTTGCGGTGCATTGCTCGGGCGTCGGCATCTGGGGTTTGGTGTTTGAGAGGTGGGTTGGGTTAGCATGGGGAACCTAGATATGACGGGGGTTGGGAGGAGCTCCTTAGGTTACTCTGTATGAGAACAATGAGATATATGACATGGGGAAGCAGATAGAGACCATAGGCCAAATTCTATGTTCCAGACTTCTTCAAACTAGCCTCGGTGGAGGTGCCTATTTCTCTGCATCTTCTTTTACCGTAGCCAGAAGCCGAACGACGCCGCTTGGTCTCCAATAACAGTACCGCGGCATAAACACGAGCGAGATAAATGCTTCCCCTATCCCAAACACAAACAAGCGCAGACTTCGTAAGCTTTCTCACGATTCATCCAGCTCGCGTGTCAACGCGACGTGAGAATCCCAGTCGTCATCCTCCCTGGTTCCGCGATCCCAATTATCAGCGCATGTCATATTCCGCACCTAGCTCACCTAGTTCACCCCAATACGATAATTTGGGAGATTTAACGGCACGGCCGCCTGTGTGCCGTGCGGGGAACACCAAAATCCACCAGAGGCGTCGCGGTACGTTTCCGCGCGACTCCAATTTTTTGGCATTTTAGGATGGTAGCAAGACTCTTGGAGGGGGAGCAGCTCCGCACGAGGCGCAGTAGAGCGGCCTAGAATCCGCGATATGAGTACTAGATTATTTATTTTCTGTGGATGGGGTTGGTAATTTGGGGGCTGAGATAGGAGGAGATGGATGCTGGTGAGGTCGTAAACTCTGGTTGTGGATCCGCTGTGTGGAGAATTTTATGGTTTATGTTGGGGTATGGGGAAGTGTCGTGCGGGGTATGACAGTGCATATCAAACTTCCCCGGTGGTTCGCCGAATGGATTCGTTATACCAACCAGACTATACCCAAATATGCTTACTACATGCTTCAAAGCAAGGGGGATTTTATTATGAATAATAATGCAACACACGCGGCAGTGAAGATCAACGCTTTTTAAACTCCAACAAGGCTAGACGCTCCCACGAACCTGCATAGTCTTATCCCCCCTCCCCCCAATCCACGTTCCCCCACAGTCTCCCCCGCAGTATCACAGCAGCGGGTTGCAGTTGCGGGACATGTCCGTTGTCGAAACATGGATTGTCGTCGCGCTACTGTGAGACATCGCCATACTAGTGGCTGGGATATTGGACTAACTACATGAACTACTGTAAGCATTGTGCAGTGTGGGGAAGTTGAGAGGGGGTAAAAAGGTGGGTGTTACCCCAGAGTCTCGGGTTTTTTTAATATAACTATTCTTCAAGGTCCCTCCTTACTTGGTTAAAGACTTGGGTGTGAGAAAGCTTCGTCGAAATTTCTATCACAAGTCCATAGCTGTGTGAAAGGTTTGCCGCGATGGCAACCTCGACTTCCCCACGACTAAGCCTATCCGATGTTGAAAAACTGCCAGCATCAGTAGCACACCATGAGACCTACGCCGATCTCCCTCCTATGGACCCAGTCGCCCTGAGGAAACTCACGCGCAAATGCGACTTACACGTCGTCCCACCGCTCTTCGTCCTCTTCCTCCTCGCCTTCCTCGACCGAACAAACATTGGGAATGCGAAAATCCAAGGCCTGGAAGCTGGTCTCGGCCTCTCGGGTCCTCAATATAACATCGCGTTGTTCATCTTCTTCGTGCCATACATCCTGTTCGAGGTGCCGAGTAATATCTTGCTGAAGAAGATTGCACCGAGCACATGGCTCTCGTCGATTATGTTTTTATGGGGTCAGCATATCCGGAGATTTTATACCAGCCCCTTCTGACATTATCAGGGATTGCGACGATGGGACAGGGGCTTATTAAGGACTTTGGTGGGATAGTTGGGATGAGGTTCGTGTTGGGGGTTTTCGAGGCTGGCTTGTTTCCAGGTAAGTCAATTGCCATTGCCTCATCGCTGAAAGACTTAATATTAATTCAAACAGGGTGCATCTACCTAATCTCGATGTATTACGAACGTTACGAGCTACAATGGCGACTTAGTCTATTTTTCTCCGCTAGCATCATCGCCGGTGCCTTCGGTGGGCTTCTGGCATATGGCTTGGTCAAGATGGACGGACTCGGCGGATACGAGGGGTTCAGATGGATTTTCATAATCGAGGGTCTAGCCACGGCAGTCATTGGCGCTCTCTCGAAGTTCTGGATTGTGGATTGGCCAGAGACTGCCAAGTTCCTCACCGATGAGGAGAGAGCCATGCTCATCCGCAAGCTTGCGGTTGATGTTGGTGATGCTCGCATGGACAGGTTGGATAGCAAGAGTATCAAGAGGACGTTGTTGGACTGGAAGATCTGGTGTGGGACCTTGTATGTTCCCCTTCCCCCAGACCGCAAGAGCAAGAGTGAGTGTACTGACTTTACTCCGTTTAGGATGTACATGGGCGCCCTCGTAACAGGCTACGCAACCTCCTTCTTCATCCCAACAATCATCAAGCAAATGCACTACACCGCTGCTCAATCCCAGCTGCGCGCAATCCCCATTTTCGTCGTCGCAGCAGCAGCCTGTCTCATGGTCGCCGTCGCCGCCGACCGACTTAAGCATCGCTACAGCTTCATCATCGCCGGCTGCCTCATCGGCATAGTTGGCTACGCCATCCTCCTCAACCTCGACAATGTGAACGTCGCCACCCGCTACATGGCAGCCTTCTTCATCACTACAGGCGGATTCATGGCACAGCCCGTTACCCTGGCCTGGCTGGCCAACCAGATGGGTGGGCACTACAAGCGCTCGATCGGGTCAGCGGTGCAGATTGGATTTGGGAATCTGGGTGGGATTGTGGCGTCGAATATCTTTTTGAAGAAGGAGGAGCCGCATTATCCTGTTGGGTTTGGGACGGCGTTGGGGTTCTTGGGGTTGACGATTATTACTTCGACGGTTTTTTACATTGGGTTGAAGTTGGAGAATAGGAAGAGGGAGGCGGGCGGGAGGGATTATAGGTATCAGGAGGAGGCGAGTGAGTTGACGAATATGGGAGATGACCACCCAAGCTTTAGGTTTACTTATTAGGCGGGTAATACCTAGTTTTGTTATCGAATTTTTGTTCCTTCCAAATCACCTGTCATTGTCGAGTTCTGTTCCTGCAGGTATGCTTGCTGTTGTTGCATCAATTTCTGTTCCTGCAGGAATACATGCTCCTGTATCGAATTTCCGCCTCTTTCGGAATACCTGCTGTCTATAACCGCTTTGACTTTGTTTCCAGCAGTAAACGGTCGACATTAGAATTCATCCGCCGGGTCATCTCAAGCACATGCGAACATATCCCCTATTATACCAGCTCGACCAACCCATTCGAAACACAGAAAGCGCAATGCATGACACAATTCAATGCGCCCCCCAAGACAATCGGCCTGAGCAAACACAAACTCCAGGCAAACTTTATATTAATGTCAGTGAAAGCTATGATAGAAAGCCCCGTTTACCGTTATGGATAATCGTCGGCTCGGTAAATTAGAATTCCCCCGCGTATTAAATCATTCCTGCATGGGTTAATCGGTCAATCGGTCAATGAAATGCCTCGGTTGGCAGCTCCACGTGAAGAAACCCCTCTTAAGTTCGTCCCGAAGTGGTCAGCTACGGTCAGCCGTTGGCGTCCTTATTCTAAGGGTCGTCATCCCTTATTTAATTCTGGAATCTTTGGGATTATATACATATACTTCATCTCTGAGATATACATTTCCTGTGAAATACAGGATCTATTTCACCTATCCCATTCCTAATTGACATATATACACTCATTCAACATGCCAGCCCACAAAGGATGGTTACCGCGCGAGGGTAAGTACCCATACCCCAGCCCAATTCCCGTGGTCGCATCCGCCCCCCGCGTTACCCCAGATTTCAAAATAGTGGCGGCAAACTGACATCTCCACCTCCCCAGGTTTCTCCTCTGAAGTACTCGGCTCCCTCATCAAGAAGACCCTCCTCAATCCCGCCCTCACCCTCCCCCTCGTCCTCCTCGCCCGCTACACAAAGCAAGGACAAAACCTGTCCATCCTCCACGAAACCGCCTTCTCGCGCCTCCAGATCGCCCTCGCCCTCGGCCTCATCCGCTATGCAAACAACTACCTCTCCCAAAAGGCCCTGGACAACTTCAAGTCAGACAAGTACATCTGGTCGCAGGAAGTCGTCCTCGTCACCGGTGGCGCTGGTGGAATCGGCGGCGCGATCGTCCGCATGCTCGCTGAGAAGGGCATCAAGGTCGTGGTGCTCGATGTCATTCCCATGACCTACGAAGCCAGTACGTTCCCCCCTGCCGCTTTTCCCGTTTTTCTCCTTCCATCATTTTCCTTTTTGCGCGCACCGGCCAGGCCTGGCCCCAGGATGAAATCTAGTCTGATCAGCATGTTCCGCGTGTAGAACTGACATTACCCTCAGCCGCCAACGTCCACTACTTCAAGTGCGACATCACCGACTCCGCGACCGTCGCGTCCGTCGCAGCCGAGATCCGCCGCACCGTCGGCAACCCCACCATTCTCGTGCTGAACGCCGGTGTCGCGCGCGGAAAGTCCATCTTAGAGGCCACAGAGAAGGACGTCAGGTTCACCTTCGACGTCAACTCCATCGCGCATTACATCCTGGCGAAGGAATTCCTGCCCAGCCTGATCGCGCGCGATCACGGGATGGTCGTCACGGTCGCGTCGATCGCGGCGTTTATTACGGTGCCGAGGATGGTGGATTACTCGGCCTCCAAGGCGGCGGCGATGTGCTTCCACGAGGGACTGGGAGCGGAGCTCGCGACGCTGTATAATGCGCCTAAGGTGCGCACGGTGATTGTGAACCAGGGGTACACCAAGACGCCTTTGTTCCAGGGCTACACTAACAGCTCGTCGTTCATGGTGCCGTCGCTGGAGGTGGACACTGTTGCTGAGGGCATCGTGAACCAGATCCTGTCGGGACACAGTGGGCAGCTTATTATGCCGGGGTTCACGAACATGTTGACTTACTTGAGGGGATTCCCGCATTGGTTCCAGAGGAGGACGAGGCATGACGGTGTGTCGATCATGGCGAAGTGGCATGGAAGACAGGTCATTGATGTGGAGAAGGAGTATGGTGTGAAGAAGGATATCAGCGCGTAAGTTGTGCTACGGGAGAACCGAGTCGAGGTCGTTGTGAGAACTGACCTGCTGCCCAGGTCGACTGTGTTGGTGGATAAGGAGGATTAATCGCCGTCGCCGTATATGGGATGGGAGGCAGAGGCACGTATTGAAATGTGATATGGAATGGGAGTTTAGGAACCTGCGGAAACGCATGGCTAACGCTTCGAGGTGGCTTTTCAAGGGTTTTCCTCGTTTATGAAGAGATGGAGCTTGTATCTATGTAACCTCTTGCTATGTGCAAATGATACCCGCACAATTTTGTATAAAGAAACTTATCTGTAATGAGCTTTCGTCTAGGGCTTGTGCTTGTGACTCTGTGATACCTCGATACAGTCAATCTTTGGGAAGGAGTTGCTACAGTTGACTGCATCATACTATCGGAATAATGAAGAAGAGAATTGCTGCTGTTGATAAGGCTATATACATTGTAAGTTTCCGCTGCGCCACCATCGTCCCAAAGCTAGCCATACCTGCCAAGTTAAAGATATCAGTATCTCCACACTCTACCTCCCATCATCATCTAAAAATCCAAATACCCTCTCTCCCCAACCCCCAAGCAGCAACAATCTACGCCCTCTTCCACCCTCACCAATATCTAAACAATACTACACCCCGCTCATATCCAACCCTCAAAAATAACTGAAGCCAATATCTCCATCCTTGCCAAAAACATCTCTCGTCCCCTCATCGATCTCCTCATCGCTACTCATAAACAGGCCACCACTGAAAGATTGAGCTAGTCCCTCAGATGATCCTTTGTGTAGGATCAATCTATTCTCCGTATTCCCTCGCACCTCCCCCTGTATGCCCATGCTGCTGTCAGGGCGCTCAATTTTCAGCGCCTTAGTGGCTCGGGGAGGAGTCGCGTTGTAAAGCTCTCCATCATCATAAAAAGGGTGTTTGAGATCCGAGGAATCGGGCCGTCTCCCCCCGATGACCCCCGGGGGGTGCGGCTGAAGATGGAACTCGGATTCGGGAATATACCCCCCACCTCCCCTCTCAGAAACCGGACCGCGATTCTCCCCCGAGCCAACAGCCCCTCCCCCCCTGCCAACCCCCAACCCTCCCAAAATCCCAACCTCCGATTCCAGGTTACCCTCCTCTCCTTCCTCATACGACTCCCCCAATCCCTCCCCCATCAGCCCGCTCTCACCCATCCCATCCCTCTCCCGTCCCTGCTCCACTCCAGCCCGAAACCCGGCTTCATACCCCTCCATCCTCGCTTCCCTCCTCACTCTCATCAGTTCCTGGAGATGACTTCTCAATAACCCGTCCTGCACATCGCCGATCTCCCGAATCGCTCTCTGCTGGCCCGCTACATCGCCTTCCGTGCGCGCTTGAGCGAGCTCGGCTTCCCTCGCGTCATCCGACTGCGCGGTGGCGATTTGCTGTTTTAGCCTCGCAACTTCTGAAGAATGATCCGTTGAGCGCTGTGATGCAAGCGCCGTGGAGATGCGGGCGAGAGAGGAGCTGAGGAAAGTGTGGTGCGAAGTTGCCGAAGCGAGGAGGGTGGTTGTGAGGCTAGTGACGGTTCGATCGTAGGCGCTTGTTAAATCGCGGTTGAGCGCGGCGAGGAGGGCTGGGATCGGGTCTTCAGTTTGTCCGTCGTCGGGATTTGGGGCCGTGGAAATCAGCGGGGTGGGTTGACTCGGGGTTGGTCTCTGGGCTGTGGTTGTGGCTCGGAGAGGGCGGTTGTTCAGGGACGGCGTGGGTGAGTCGCTGTCCCTGGTGTCGGGGAGGGGGGTGACCGAGAGCCAGTTTCTGTGGAGGGCTTCTTCGACTAGGCGGCAGTGTGCGGTTGTCCATTTTGAAGGGGCGTTCTGGGGGAAACGACGGAATTTGTCGGAGAAGTTCCATTTGTAGGCTCCTTTGCCGGAGGGGTTGTCATATAGGAGGTGGGTGTTTTGTTTTGAGCGGAAGCTGTAGCCGGTGGCGTTTTCTGGGGGGGGTTAGAGACATTCTCAAAAGTATGTATATTTGAGAAGCCTCGGAATAATACTTACTGATAAGAGTCCTCAGTCGTTCCATGACCCGTTGATAATGTCTTGACATTATACGGTCCCTATAACCTTTGGCGGGCGACTCTATAGTCTCCACAGTAGCTGGGGTGTCAGATCTTGGACGATAGTTGGATCTATCATTTTCTGCACCATTGCGAGAGCTAGTTGACGAGGCAGTCTTGTATGCACTTGAAGATGCGTCCGAATGATGCTCCTTAGCAAGATCAGGCTCCCACGCAACTGCAACCAGGTGCCCCTTTTGAAGTGCTGCAATGCAGTTCTGAGTCGCTAAATCATTCCAGTACTCGTGAGTCCTCGGTAACATAGACACTTGGTCATAGCTGTCGCCATTCGGGAACTGGGGGTATTTTGCGCTGAATTTCCACTGAAGCTTCAGGTTCTTGACGGTTGCTTGGGTTGCATCACTGTGGGCGTCCCACCATTTCGATCTTGCAGTTCCTACGAGAAGTTAGTAGCGCATCCTTCGAGGATTATATTCTGACATACCAGTTGCTGCTGCGATTTCAGCTTGCAACATCGTCAGCATATCGTTGTGGCTTTGCTGCAACTTCTGTGATGTTGAAGCTGTTGTGTGTGATATTGTCTGGCTGGTTCAGAGAGTTGAACAGGCTCATATGCCGGGCAACAAGAAGTATCTCTTTCGGCCAAAGAAATATATTTGGTGGTGAAAGATGAATGTGGAAAACATTATGGTGGCGTGAAACACATATGCTTGGTTTATGAATAGACTGGAGCCGGTAAAAAATGTGAATTCACTCCAAACCTTTATGCTGGGAAAGTGCACCAAAGAACATAAAGCAAAATGAAAAATAGTTTTGATGATATGAGCTTTCCCCACACTAAAGAAATGAACTTTCGGGGACAGTAATGGAAATTGGTGGTAGAATCTTGGAATCTCCATGCTAAATCCATTACACCTTGCCAATTATTTGAATATGGATTTAAATGGTATAACATCTTAACGACAAAGACGTCTAGAAGTTTCGTATAACTTATCATAAATTTCTCAGACACAAATTATTTTACACCTAATGTTTTATTTTCAACAATCCTTATCATTGCAGAGTTAAATATCTGAAATAAATAAATAACAAAGGACATATAAAACTGCCTTTATAAAATATAAGATTATTTGGTAAATAATGTTTGCTCGAAGTTCGGAGTGAGTTAGTTGAGTCGGGAGATACTCGTACTATATCGGGCGCTTAACGTTCAAGTTGAATTAAGGTATACGCTACGGTCATACGTTGTTCCAGTATACCCGCTCAGACCATGGATGATCAGGTTTAAGCCTCCAACATCAGGTGCTTAGCCAGCTGCCTGCATACAAATGTCTGGCCATGGAGATTCAAGGCTTTGTTGCTGGATTCCGAATATCAGCAATAAGGATACAAGACATTTCTGACCTTCAAAAGCTATAATTTGTTTGAGATTTCTTGTTAGAGCTTGTCTACAGGCCAGCTGAGTCCAGCCCATTAGGTGAACAGAGGTGCTGACGTCAGACTCCACTTTTCCATTTCGCTGAGCGACAATCAACCCGTGAAAGTGAGAGGAAAACATATAAAAATTTGATATATTGAATACCAGATTCTCGGGCGGTTCATTATGTTTATATTATATTCCCTTCTAGAAGAAATGAGGGCGGGATCTGCGGGGGCATGACTTTCCCATGGCGGTTTGGCCAGTCAAGGTAGCTCCCCGCTAAGTTAGCGCGCGCGACATTCCCAACCAGGTGCTGGAACCAAGTCACACACCGGCGCCCACTCCACAACTCAGCCACAACATATATACTCCGATATTATCTCTAAGTCGAGACTTACTGTGCCCTATATTGCCAATAAGCGACCGCTACTGCGACAAAACGATGTGCTCAGTCTCCCCTTAAGCTCTGGCGACATCGAAAGGCAAGCTCCGACCACAAATCGCTACGCCCCTTGAGACATGGAGCAGCCTACAGGCCAAGACGGGCGCGCGACTCGACCCTCGGCGTTCCAGGCCCCGAGGAAGAAGAGGAACCATAGGGGAGGGAAAAAGAAGCGCTCAACGAAGCAGCCGTTCGCATTGCCCGCCTCTGAAGAAGAAGATGTGTCTGCCGTCCTCGAGACCTCAGAAGATCGCAAAACTAAGCAAAGCACTGCGAGGTCCCCTTTGCAGAGGTCCACTTTGCACAGACTACAAGGGCGGAACTCGAGTAATACAAGCTTAGAGAGCGAGGCACTGCTCGATCACAGGTACGTTTATGGCATATTGTTTCCAACTGGAAGTTATGAGTCTAACAAAGTGAAGAGAGCAGAAGTTTATGCGGCCTCGAAGATCCTCGACATTACAGCATAATGCGTTTGATCAGTCAATCTACGAATCCCCCGGTTCCATCCGGCCACAATACACAAACCCCTTTGCCTCGCAAGAGAGCGGGCGTAGCCGCCAGTTGAAGCGTGGATACACCATGCCCAATGCCGAAGAGAACATGGACGAAGAGGCAGACGAGCGGACACCGATGCTTGCTACTTCTATGCCAAGAAGTGGATATGGAGGACAAAGTATGGGATCGGGACCCAAACCGAGCCGATATGGTCGAAATGGCAGCAGCTCGTCCGATATTAGGAAAGGAGTATCGAAATCGACCAGCCGAGAGGTGCCGGCGCCTCTTCCTTCTCAATCGTCTGGCGCTTACAACGTCAATTACCCACCTTCTGTTCCAGGAAGCCCTTCGATGAGCCCGGCCCATAAGCCGATGAGCTTTGGGGACATGCTAGGACGAGATGAATTCCCAAGTGATAGGGATCATTTTGAGGAAGAAGAAGAGGACGAGTATCATGACAGGGGCGAAACTACGCCCGATCGTCGGTCGGTGCATGGCTCGCTGGCCGAGAGACTAGAAAGACGCCCAACAGTGGCCGCAAGAGCAGAAGAAGATGTGTGCTTTCCTGCGGAAGCTATGTCGGAAATCACAGAAATTGCAGAGGAAGACGTTGCCGAACAGGAAGGCAGTATATTCCACCAAAATGTTCGACGCCGGCGTCCAAAGTGGCCAGATCTGGCTGTTCTTGATGAGTGGAGCAGAATTGAGAAGGAAGGGAGGAGTGAAGAGGCGCGAGCAAAGAGGATGGTTGAACCGCAGCTTATTGGAGGACGTCTGCGTCCCACCCACTCGCGGAATTGGCATCGGGTGGAGGAGGATGCTCCATACCGATTTACCTACTTCAACGAAGAATTCCCAAGCACCATCCACAGCCAGACGATTTCAGAACTCGAACAGCCTGGTCTAAGTTTCAAGGAGCTATTTATTCCTGACCGCCCCGAATTATGCGACTCGTCTGACGACGAAGAAGACGATCAGTACCCGGGGCTTCTGCCGTCAGAACAATACCAGATACGTACTCATTCAAATGGCAATAATAATATGGAATCTAGAGCAACAACTCGCCAAAGCTCGTATATGGATTTGAGCCCATGTTCAACTGTGCCCGACGATAGGCATTCTGAAAAAGCCTCAACTCCCGCTCAAAGGGGTAAACTAAGCTCTGCAAACACTATGAGCATCCCCGAATTATCGTTACCGCCACCACAAGATCCTCATGCAGCAGCAGCAGCCAAAGAAGCCACAACCGAGCAAACATCAGCCGGTACTAAGTCTCCAGAAGCCCCCAGAGAACGACCGAAGCGTTATGGGGACAGGCCAACGTGGTGGTTAGATGTATTCTCTCCATCCGAAGCGGAAATGAAAATCATAGCCAAGACCTTCGGTATTCATCCGCTTACCGCAGAAGACATTATGGTTCAAGAAGCGCGAGAGAAAGTGGAACTGTTCCGTAACTACTACTTTGTCAATTACCGGACGTTTGAGCAAGACATGAACAACGAAGACTTCCTCGAGCCTGTCAACATGTATGTCGTCGTTTTCCGCGAAGGAATCATCAGTTTCCACTTCTCGCTCACGCCGCATCCGGCAAACGTGCGGAGACGAATTCGTCAGTTGAAAGACTACCTAATCCTCTCCTCGGATTGGATTTCCTATGCCATCATCGACGATATTACCGATGTTTTTGCGCCGTTGATTCAAACTATCGAAGACGAAGTCGATGATATCGACGACGCGATTCTAATGTTACATTCCCCACCATCTGGCGACTCCACAGACGAGAAACGCTCCGAAGCAGGCGGGAAGACTGTAGAAAACGGCGCGGACATGCTTCGGCGTGTTGGAGATTGCAGGAAGAAGGTTATGGGTCTGTATCGGCTCCTCGGAAATAAAGCGGATGTGATTAAGGGCTTTGCGAAGAGATGTAATGAGCACTGGGATGTTGCACCGAGGAGCGAGATCGGGTTGTATTTGGGAGATATTCAGGATCATATTGTGACTATGACGGGGAACTTGAGTCACTATGAGAAGTACGCCCTCCTATTTTCTTATCTTGTTGACATGGCGCTAATTATAATAGGATTCTAGCACGCTCGCACGGCAACTACCTCGCGCAGATTAATATTCGCATGAACGAGCGGCAAGAGCAGACCGCTGACGTCCTTGGCAAATTGACGGTGCTGGGAACGATCGTGTTGCCCATGAATATTATAACTGGGTTGTGGGGAATGAACGTCTGGGTGCCTGGACAGAATGCAGAGAACAGTCTGACGTGGTTTTGGTGCATTACTGTCGGCTTATTGGTATTTGGGTTGAGTTGTTTCTTGATGGCGAGGACGCTCTACCGGATTGTATGAGCGGGTACAGCTATCATGGGGGGTTGAACATGCGAGCAGGGGTTCGATAGATACCTTATTATCGAGGCTTATTATCGAGGATGGATTTAAGCGTCTAGACGAGTGGGAGGCGGCTGGATATCCGGGTTTGTGCTGTTGGGTGTTGAAGGTTGGAGCATTTCTTGGATAGGATTGTTCTTGGGGTCCTTGGCGGGATTTAAATTGGTATATCACTATATACATCGATGATAAGATCTTATTTACTGGGATTTGGACTACACATGGCGATACGGCGTTTCATATGCCTGTCCATTGGTTAGAGGTGGTAGTATCCGAATATAAGACAAATTATGGAATTTGATAAAGCATGGCAAAAAGCTGCCCATCTAATATTTTGGTGAACAAGAAGATATACTATGATGACACTAGTGATCTTCATACATTTGAAAGCATAAAGTAGAATTTTAAACCAAAGATTTTATGTATTGATATATTTCTACTTTATAACCTCATTTTCAAGGTCGATGAGTTCCTCGCAGTCGATTTAAGGTACCCGCTAGGGACCCTTCTTATCCGTTCCGAAAGGTTCTACACACACCCCCACCAAACCCCACCATCAAGGCAACACTTCCAGCCCTTCCTCATCGCCATATACCCAGCATACTTTCAAATCCGCCAGCTTAAGATTCAATTCACTACCTCTACACCACTACACTAGACGACCGTCAAAATGCCACCACCAAGCCCTCTTGCCATTGCAACCTCCTCCCTCCAGCGGTTGGTGAAGGAAGAAGCGTCCTACTACAAAGAGCTCGAGAAGCAAGAGGCTCGCCTGAAGAAGATTGAGGAGAGCACTGAGGAGGATGAGAATAGGGAGTACACCCTGAAGCAAGAAGTGAGCCTACCCACCCCTCCCATCTATCCACTTGCCCCTCCTTCCCTCTTCCATTCTCAAAATACCATATCCCTGGCAAACCAGGACAGCTACACGTGACAGTAGAACAGTATTAACAACATAACAATAGAGAGCAGCTATCGAGGAGACCAAGGCTGTCTTCCCAACCCTCCAGCAGCGGATCGGGGATAACCTCGAGAAACTACGTGATCAGGTTGAGAAGGCGTTGGAGAACCCGGGGGAGAAAACCGAGGAGGAGGTTGTGAAGGCCAAGAGCGCGATTGAGAATGCGCAGAAGGCGTTGAAGGATGCTTCTGCGAAGGCATGAGATGGTCTGAAGATACGTGTGTGGGGTGGGGGATGAATGAAGATGTGGAGGTTGGGTAATATGTAGGGCGGAGGTTTATCACGAGGGTTTATGGGGGAACTGAGCATATTGGACGACGTGATCGGGTATTGCGCCAGGTAGTATACAACTAGCTACTATCTATACAAGCTGAGCGAGTTCTGCACTCCTTGGTATTATGTGGTATCCATCTTATCCTCACCACTACTTGACGAACTAGGCTCATGCACCGTAACCTTTGGAATCTCCACCTCCACTTCCTCTCCCTCCTCAACAGCACTATCCGCATCCGCCATAGGCGAATCAACACCCGCCTCCGCCATAACCGCATCACCCTCCTCAGCCATCTGCCTCCTCCTCTCCGACCCAGTAGGCGAAGGCGCACGACTCCCCGGCCTGCTTCCGCCGCGACTACCAGCACGACTACTCGCGCGACTGTTCGACCTCGAGTAACCATTCGACGCCGGCTTCAGATTCGAGCTCTTATACACATTATCCGCCTCTGTGCTCGCACCTCTCGTCGCTCTAGGCGTTAAAGCGCCATCCGGTCTCGGTGTAGCTTCTCCGCTGTCGTGTTTGGGTGTTTGTTCGCCTACTTCTCCATCTTCTTCACCAGCATCACCCATCCCCTCTCTGCGCTCTACTTCCTCTTTCTCGTCTCTGATGAGCCTTCGCAGCCTCACGCCCTCCTCGACGATACGACCGAACTGTTCGCGTCTCTCGGCCCACGTCTCGCCGTATTGTTCTCTCTCCTTCTCCAGCTCGCGGCACTCTTCTTCTAGCTTCTGCAGGTTTGCTGCTTGCTCTTCTCGTGTGCGCAGCATGCGGTTACTCGTGATTTTCTCTGCCAACTTATCGAACCCCTTCCGCTGATCCAGCGTCGCCCTCGCGCTCTCAAGCTTCACCCTAAGCTCAGCGGTATTATCCTTGACATCCTGCGCCGCCTCCAAAATCCTCAGTTTCTCCGCCGCATAGCGCTCACGCTCCCGCTCATTCGAGTTACGCAAGAACTGGAAACGGGCGATACTGCTGTCGAAAGCGGCGAAATCGAGGAGCACGTCTTCGTGGAACTGGCGGCGCTCGTCGAGCTGTTTTTGGTGCGTGGCTTCTTGCTCGGTGGCGGCTTCGGGGGTCGTGAGGGTGTCGGGGGGTGGGGTGAGAGGGGCGAGGGGAGTGGAGATGAGAGAGCCGGGGGCGAGGAGGCGTTTGGTGATGCGCTTGAAGGGTTTCTCTTCGATGTTGAGGATGCGGGTCTTGTGGAGTTCGTCTTCTTCGCGTTGGCCGAGGAGTTGGAAGGATGCCATTGTTGGTGTGTTTGACCTTGGTTGGTCTGGACGGTTGACGATGTTGAGTTCCGAATTGTGAGTTCCCTTCCACACTCGTTGTTGCGACGATTGACTGAAATTCAACTGAAGTTGTGGTTATAATCTGGAAATGCCACAGGCCTTCCGCCGCAAGGCTGAGATTGAAGCTTGACGCCAACCAATCCCTGTCGGCTCCACTCTCAACGCTAAACCATTTTCATATGAGCTGGGTCAACCTCAGCCTCGACTTTCCTATTGTGGTCCTATTGAACCCACCACGACAATAGAAGCGCTTCCTATTGAGAATATCACCACAATGTATCGCCTATCTTCAGAGGATAATTTCTTACTTGGCTCGCTGAAATATTACTCGTAACAGACCGTTATTTATTCATTGCTACTTGCACTTCTCGCACTTCTCGAACACTCACACTCGAAACAATCACTTTTTGACTTCGAACCACCAATATACTAAGGCACACTGCCTCTTCTTTTACACCCGAACCAACATATACCGAACCCAATACGAACCATGGCTTCCAAGGAAGAGGAAAATAGTGCCCATCGGGACCCGTTCAGCCTCCAGAGAATGTGTGAGAGGGCAGCTATCAGAAATATTAAAGGTATGGTTCAATAATGACGGCTATAGGATCTGTCAAGCTAATAAATCTTGAAGATATATACGATGTTGGCGGCATGTCATACAAAACCGTCAAACCAATCCTTGCCAGAATAAAAATCCCAGAGCAGCTCCGTCAAATCGAGCTTGCCTCTCCCCAAATCATCGGCGAAACAGTCGAACTCTGGGAGCGATTCATCCAGCGCGATGTCGAGAACTGGCGTGAGAAAAACTACCGCCCCAGCAATCCTGCAGACTGGCCAGCCGTCTACAGGAAGTACATGGATGAACAGAAGGCCAAAATCGACTACGATAAAGAGAAGCTCCGCCAGGCATTGGCCGGCATCAAGAAAGAACAGACCAACAACCTCAGCAAGAAGGTCGAAGCTCGATACATGCCAAAAATACCAAGAGACTCGCGTATGCGTGCAAATGATGGCGGAGTCCCGATTGTCGGTCGCGGCGGCAGATCTGGGAACCGTATTGGTGTTCCCGGTCGTCGCCTTCCGTCGGTGTCCGCAATCGGATATGCAGCGACAGGAGTCAAGAAGAGAGTCAACATCGTCGAGAAGGCCAGACGCGAGGCCGCTATGGCTATTGCAGCCCGTCGACAGGGTCAAGCCCATGTCCCTGACTTTCGGAGCCAAATCAGGAAGGCTCCAGCTGGGATGGTGAACGAGTATCGCAAGGCTGCTGAGGTTGAAAAGAAGAAGCTCAGCCCGCGCAATTCCCCAGTCGCTACTGGTATCCCCGTCCCAAACGCAGCCATGAAAGACCGCGAGGCACGACTTCGAGCTATCAAAGCGTCTGGTGCGAGGAAGCCACCAGTTCAAGAGCAAGTGCCTTACCTTGCACCTGCGCAAGTCCTCGACTTCAACACTCCGTCCGAGGACACCCACGCAAGCTCTGCAAACGATGACGATGACATCGAGAAGCTCTTTGGCGAATACCATGAGCGCCAGCTCAGCGCGACAGCTAAGCGCAAGCTACACGGAAACGATTACGCCGACCCATTCACCTACCGCCCTTCCCCAGTCAAACCACCGACTAAACGCACAACCGATATCCCGCCAGAGGAATGGGAAGCCCGATTGCAAGGGAGAAAGAGCGCCAGTCCGCCTGCGCGCTCCAGACAGTCATCCCCGAGTGGAGTCACGGAGCAGCCGAAGAATGCGAGTCCGATGAAGGGTCCACCAAAGAAGATTTTCAGGCGCCCACCTACGGATCCGTTCATGACGCCGAAGAGACCTCGCCGTGCTTAGTCTGTCTGTCTTGTCGTGTTTTGTTTTGCATTGTCTAGGGCGTTTGGGAGATTGGTATCAGGATAGGGGTATATACACATGTGGAAGCATTTGCAAGCATAAATCACGGAGGAGTATGGGGGTGGGGTATGGGTATATATGCATGTGAAAGCACTGGCACGTATAAAGGAGTTCAATTACTAGGGCGATAGATACCATACATACGATGCATGTTAATATGAAAGTTGATGAACTATTACCATGAATACTTCTCGTGCGGCCCCAAAGTATTTGTAGCGATTGAGCTGAAGCAGCCGCCTGCTAAGGTAGTGAGCTTTCTGTATGAAATGAATCGCATGAATAATTCTAGGAGGCACAAGCACGAACATTAGCAAAGCAAATCAACAGCTACATAGTGTGCCATATTGTGCTATATTAGATCTAATATCATAAACTTCATCAATCATTTACCGTCCCTATTTTGCCCATCTGTTCCACGTCTCACTTCCTTCCAACCCATCTCCTCCGCCACAAACCTCCCACCTCTTTTTACCATCCAGGAATCAACTCATTCAACGCCACCGATCCACCAGTCCCCTCCATTGTTATCCGCGGGGCCTCAGCACCAACAATGGGCAGTCTACTGACACCACCTTGGCCCAATCCCACCGCACCCAACGTCGCATCCAACAGTCCAGCCTGGACAAGCACGCTCGCCTGATCCCAGTGAAGCCTCTCGGACTCCAACTTCCCGCCAACAATCTTAACCACACTAACAAGCACAACTTCGATATACTTCCCAGTAGCTGGGACCCCCGGTAACAACCACGGGATTTCCTGGGTGTGAGTGAACGAGATCAACATCTCGTCGATGATCTTGTCGGAGCCAACTGTGCGGGAGAGAAGGGTAGTCCGCATGTTTGCCGGATTTGACGGGATAAAGAATTCATCGTAGAAGCGGTGGAGCTCGCCCTTGCCCACGCCGCCTGTTAGGGTGGGCATGTGGACTACGGAAGGGTGAGAGGTCATTGTTCCTATCGTCTCAGTGGCGTTGCGGGTGACGAACTCATCTGCGGATCTAGTGTTAGTGAAGAACAAAAGCGAGTGCTAGAGAGAGGGGGCATCTTACGAGCAAGATGGCGCTCCCATATATCCTCCAAGTCAACATCGATGCCGAATCCTCGCCTCACACAGTCTAATGCTCTGCTCCAGGCTAGACCGGACGCAATGTGATCGTATGTGTCCCTACCATGCTCGTCGAAGCCAGCGTGGGTTCCTTGGTACCAGAAGTGAGGGTATTTGGGTGCAAACTTTTGGTTTCCAGCGAGATGGACTTGAACGCGAAGCTCTTCAGGAGGGGTAGAGCCAGGACCTGGTATCGTGTAGGGGTAGAATGCTACGATGGCACAGAGTTTACCCGGAGCCTGAAACATTTTGGGCAACAGAACAGAAGCAGCTTCGCCGTATGCTATCTACTGTACGTTAGCAGATATATGTGGCAGGCAAAATGGTAAAAGGATGCTGAAATAGAGTGTAGAAGGCATAAAGAGAGCGGAGGGTGCCAACGAACGATTGCATAATTCTCTCCTGGCTCTAAATTGTCACCATGAGCTTCTACTGCGTATGTACTGGAGCGAGTGTCTCCATGTACGTGCTCGTAATGCACGTCAAAGCCTTCGCGCTTCCAGCGGTGGATGATTGCATGGTCGAAGGTATCGGAGGAGGCTGCAATAACCAGAAGCGGTTTGTTCGTCATGATGCTCTTGTTTATATCTCGCGGAGCTTGTTCCTCTAGATCTTGCGAGGATCTGCTCAGCCTCCTTGTGACACGCTTGAACATTGTTTAGCTGGTGGTGTGTGTTGGTGCAGCGTAACTTCGGGTGAGATAGCTATGTGAAAGCTATAGGCTTCAGGATTCACAATTGAATGGGCACGAGATGAACTTGATCCGTGGCTCAAAGGCAGCTACGATGGGAGAGTTGTTGCGAATGAAATGGGATTTGAGTGCAAGAACACTTGAGAGCCATTTCGAAATCTAGTGTCACATCGAGGAGATGACGTCTGCCACAGTACCCCGCGTGGAGCTATAATAAACGCTGAGGGAAGGGGGGGTTCTCCATCGAAATTGAACTATCTGGGAGCCTCCGCACTTGCTTTGTTCATAATTGCAAGTAAAGAGTAACCTAAGATTTTACGCCTTAAAGACATTTCCCCTTCTCATAGTTTTGCATCAAGACGTGCTCAGAAATTGTCTACAAGAATAACCTGGCGACGTCAAATCGTCATAAGTCGGCGCTTACCATTAACCGCGAGAAAGTACTGAGTACCTCCAGTGGGGTCCCGCACCACCTCTCGGCAGCCTCGCTGTGGATTATTGTCAGCCTGCTGCGCTCTCCCACAAGGCATTTTCCAACTCAGTGCGACTCATACAACTACACACTATCTGCCATATCACGCATACCTCTCGCCCAAGATGTTAATCAAGTAAGCCTCAATATACGAACGCCAGGAGAAAGCGGGAAGCCAAGGACTCAACTGACACACGATGCAGGGTCCGGACACTCACAGGGAAGGAGATCGAGTTAGATATCGAAAACGATTACAAGGTACTATTACGTGCTCTGCCTCCTTCCCACCGGTATCGTGTTGCGATACTCACGCCGTGATTTGGGCTCCCACCAAGCTAACGCCGTCTCAAGGTCTCCCAGATTAAGGAAAAGGTTGAGGAGAAGGAGGGGATTCCACCTGCGCAACAACGCCTGATTTACGGAGGCAAGCAAATGTATGTGTTCGGTCCTATGGATCCTGGGATAGACGGCGCTGCAGACAACATGCTGACAATGTAATGACATAGGGTTGACGACAAGACGGCTACTGAATACAACCTAGAAGGCGGCGCAACATTGCATCTGGTCCTTGCTCTTCGTGGTGGTAACTAAGATGCATTGCATGGAGGAGGGATAGCACTCTCTACTTGGCACAATGGTGAATGGACGTTGGATTGCGGAGAAGGAGGCGGAGTGAGCACGCTGCCAAAGCACGCTTCCACGAACGTAACCCAACGGCCGACCTTCAGACGAATATGAACAGATAATAGTCGATTATAAATAGAGCGGCTTTTTGACCAACTGACAAGTCTTATACATTTTGATATTTATACAGCAAGCGCTCAGAATACAGTGGAGATTTCCCTTCCGCTCTCACATTACTTCTTCGTCTTATCCTCGTAGCTCTCAGTAACATTCAGTCCCAATCCCTCGGAATCCAGGTACACCTTGTTCTTGCCACCAGCCTCTTGTAGGATCGTAGCGATCGCGCGTGCGTTCTCGATTCTCTTCAGGTCGACGTACGAGCGGCTCTTCTTGATGGCATCACCAATCAGCTCTGCGGAACGAGCCTCACCCTGGGCGCGGACAACCATGGCCTGCTTCTCTTGGCGGGCCTTGTCGACAACGAAGGCAGCACGCTGGGCTTCTTGTTGGGCGACCTGCTTGGCCTCGACGGCGGCAGTGAACTCGGGAGAGAAGGCGAGGTGCTAGGTTTCATCAGTACAAGAACAAGAAGCTAAGGTAGGGAAGAGTATGACATACAGTGAGGGAGACATCATCAAGCATGATGTTGAACTTGGCGGCTCTGATGGACAAGTTCTCTCTGACGAGACGGGCAACGTTCTCACGCTGGGTAATCAGCTGCGACGCGTTGAACTGTGCCACGACACTCTTCAACACCTCGTTGACGATAGATGGGAGAACTCTCTCGTCGTAATCGGTGCCTAATGTTCGGTAGATCTGGGGAAGGGCCTCGACTCTTGGCCTGGAAAGCACACGGCAGGTGATGTTGACCATTTGAAGATCCTTGGTGCCCGTAAGAGAGCCGATATTCCGTGGCTTCGCGCGGACGTCGAAATCTATGGGAGTCTCGAACCATGGGATCTTAATGTGTGTGCCTATGCAGAACCGGAAAGTCAGCGCGTGCTCGGATACTCAATCCCAATAGCTTCATAGGCATCGCCGGATGGACCACTGACCTTCAGCGTAGATCTCCTGCTTCACACCGCCCATTCTCGTGTACTTGATAGCACGATGACCACCGTCGACGTTGAAAAGCGCATTGTTTGCCAGCATAGCTCCACCTCCTAACAGGACCAGAAGTCCGAGTCCAGCTCCTGCACCTTTGGGGCCGGGGGCTCCGCCCTTCTTTTGCGCATTCTGCGCCATCTTGGTGAGCTGCGACCAAGCATCGCGGGCATTTGGAGGAAGCGACATAGTTGCGTATTGGAGAAGGTGTTGTGGGAAATTGGTGACCGGACACTGGATGTGGTTGAGCGTTGCTGGAGAATTGTTCGAGATGTCGACGGTACTCTCCCGATACGTACTAGCGTACTTTTACATCTCGGAATCTAAGCTAACCACCACAAAAGTTACGGCTACAGAGCAACGAAACCAGGTCTTTGTGTATTGTTGTGGAACAACGAACGGACATACTCAATCTCTTTACTCTTTTCATCACATTTGAAGCTGGGACTAAGATATTACTTGGGATCTGTAAAGGCGAAAGTCTTCATATAGTGAGAGTTATTGCAGATATACTCCATCTCGTCCCGTCTCCTCCAACCTTTGCGCATGAGGTGAACGTGAAGATCAACTTCCTCCAAGGCATTGAATTGGCCGTTGTATTTGACTAAAGGCTGTGCGATTCCTGTGGCCTCAGTTTTATCAAAAAGTCGCATCCCAGAAACAAACGACAGCACTTGCAGAGGTCCTTTACCTAAACCATCACCATGTCAACGAAGCCCCCGTCGAAGTCGGTATTCGTGGGCAACATTCCATACGGTATGGCTACATTTGCGCCTTGTGAATCGCATCTGCTAAGACGACAAATAGGCCTCACAGAAGAGCAGATAATAGACATATTCAGTAGCGCGGGCAAAGTTGTTAATTTCAGACTGGTGTATGATCGCGAAACTGGTCGTCCCAAAGGCTTCGGATTCGCAGAATACCCAGATTCAGGTAGGTCGCATGTTCTCTCAGAAGATGAGCAAGTACTGACGCCCGATCCACCAGACTCTGCAGCCTCAGCAGTGCGAAACCTCAATGACTACGAAATTATGAACCGCAAGCTCCGAGTCGACTTTTCCAACGATGGCGCCGAAGACGAGACAGTAAGGCTTTATTTGAATCATATCTGAATCGCATACTGATCGTTATAACAGTCTGCGCCCACTGGCTACCAACACCCACCTCTCCCACTGAACGGAGTGCCTGTTCCCCCTCCTGGCATGGCTCCTCCGAACGGCGCAAGCACTTTACCTCCTCTGCCACAAGGCATTGACCTTCCTCCGGGACTCACCTGCCCAGACTCGATATCCCGCACGCTCAATACACTTCCACCGTCGCAACTTCTAGATGTACTTTCCCAGATGAAGTCTCTCGTCACAACAGACCAAGGCAAAGCTATTGAACTCCTCCGCCAGGCCCCTCAACTCTCCTACGCGATATTCCAGGCCCTGCTTCTCATGGGTCTCGTCAGTACCGATTCTCTTGCCTCTGTAGTGGACGCTGCAGGACCACCTCCACAAACAGCCGGCGCGGCTCCAACTCAGGCGCCACCACCTCAGGGGCAGTACCCATCTGCTTCAGGCCCAGGATATGCGCCACCAAGTGGATACCCTGGCCCAGGGCAAATGGGCACTCCGCCTACTCATGGCATGCCATACCCACCACCACCACAACAAAGCTACCAACCACAAGCACCAGCAGCAGCTGCGCAGCCAGATGCTGATGCTTTAATCCAGCAAGTTCTAAGCATGCCGCAGGAGTTGATCGATCAGTTAGCGCCTGCAGAGAGAAACCAGCTGTTGGCATTGAGGGCTCAGTTCATGCCTAGGTAGTTTTTATAGTGCAAAGCTGGGTTGAATGAAGGCAAATGTTCATGGCGTTGGGCAATTGGAACAGGGCATGGTCTGGGGCGTTGGATGTATGGGTGGGTTGGGAAGATATCAGCGTTGTCTGTTACTCATTGGGGTAAATATTACAGATTTATTACCTCTTCATGTAACTATATGAAAGATATCATGGTTCAGCTTCAGTTGGTGTTTTGGCATAATAGCTCGTTCATACTCGTGATTCGCAAACCAACAAAATAATTCACGTAATTAGAATCTACCACTACTTTCCTTGCCCAATATCATGAACAGCCAGGTAAAATCAACTTCTATAATACCGTGGGAAGGAGACGACGGACACTCAATCCTCTTCCCTTGTGTTTGGACAGTAATTTCATGTGACGTAATCAGTCATGTGACTGCGTGTTTCCGGCGCGTCTTCCGAACAACTTCAAGGTGGCGACAGGACTTATCCCACTTAAGAACGTTGTTCAAATTATCTCACATGCGCAGTGGAATATGAACAGAAACAAAGTAACTCACCCAATAACCAAAGCGATGATCTGAGGATTTCGTAGGCCCATGATGGGTTCCAGGCTGGAGAAGAACTCCAAGGCGACGCATAAACGCATCGCAGAGCATACCTTCAACACCGAAGAAGGCGAGGAATACACAGGCTCTGATTTCGGTGGATTTTCCGAGTACTTTCGTCGCAAGAAGATCAAGCTTCAAAATCTTGATGCGGACCTCAGGGCGCAATCTCCAGATAAGCCACCAATCTTCAGAGGCATAGTGGCCCATGTCAATGGATATACGCAGCCTTCGCTGAACGATTTGCACAAATTGATCGTCACTCACGGAGGCGGCTTCGTGCAGTATCTTGATGGAAAGACGTCAGCGACGCATATTATTGCGGCGAACTTGACGCCGAAGAAGGCGATTGAGTTTCGGAATTACAGGATCGTTAAGCCAGCGTGGATAGTGGATAGTGTGGCGAATGGCAAGGTGCTACCATGGCAGAGTTATAAAGTCCTGGATGAAGGGGTAGGCCAAAAGACGTTGGGGTTTGAAAAGGGGAGGGTTGTGAATAAAGTGGAAGCCAGACAGAAGGGTTATATGGACCAAATGAAGACTAGCTGGTATAACAGCCAAGTTCAGAATATTGCGGATGAGATTGACGATGAGGAGGAGGTATTGGATGTTAAAAGTACGAGGCGGACAAGTGATGGCAAGACGACATATACACATTCACAGGGTTCCCATCATCACTCACAACGTCTTGCTCACACCAAACCCAACGATGACGAAATCACAGATGAGCCCGATAATGAACTCAAGTTATCAAACACAGAGAGCTTTGATCTTACGTCTTCATTGGAGGATGCTCTAAATGCTGCAGATTATAACGTTGTGACTTCAGAATCCACAAAGATGGAATCAGCGAAACAATCTCCCTCCGTCGATGCGATGGAGCAAGTATATGATGAAACCACTGAAGTTCGCGAATCCACCACTGCCTTGTCCTCTCCTCAAGGCCGCAAGAGATCACACTCTGTCGAGACTACTTTGGCCAGTAAAGGAGAGAAGCCGGTCACAGCAGAAGAACACAACGCCCTGCTATTAGCTGACCCGAAAATCAGACAGTCGTCTACCGCAAATCCTGATTTCTTAAAGCAGTTCTACTCGGAATCAAGGCTTCATCATCTATCAACATGGAAAGCTGAACTCAAATCTAAATTTCAACAGATGGCCTCTGAACAAACACTTTCCCAAAAGAATAGGCTGAAACGGAAACCCGTTTCTCGACGATATGTGATGCACGTGGATTTCGATAGCTTTTTCTGTGCGGTGTCTCTTCTGGCTGCCCCAGAATATGTCGACAAACCAGCAGTTGTGGCGCATGGCAGTGGTAGTGGATCTGAAATTGCAAGTTGCAATTACCCTGCGCGAGATTTCGGCGTCAAAAATGGCATGTGGATGAAGCAAGCACAGAAGTTATGTCCAGATATCAAGGTTTTACCGTACGACTTCCCAGCCTACGAAGATGCGAGTAAGAAATTCTACGACGCTATTCTTAGCATAGGGGGAGTGGTTCAAAGTGTAAGCATTGATGAGGCTTTAATCGACATTTCGTCCCTGTGCCTTACTGCCGGCGAGTTTGGTGGTCTTGGCGGGAGTGAGGAATCCATACGACTGGAGCAGAAGAAGGCGGATGAAATCGGCCAATCGGTACGCAATAAGATCAAAGATGCTACAGGTTGCGCCGTATCTGTCGGTATTGGGTCCAACATCCTACTTGCTAAGGTTGCGCTTCGCAAGGCAAAACCAGCGGGTCAGTATCAGATCAAGCCAGAGGAAGTTCTGGATTTTATTGGCGAGCTTACTGTTCAAAATCTACCTGGTGTGGCTCACAGCATTGGTGGCAAGCTCGAGGAAATCGGTATCAAGTTTGTCAAAGACGTGAGGAATTCTACGAAAGACAGGCTTATGACCGTTTTGGGACCCAAGACAGGTGAAAAGATATGGGATTATTCACGCGGAATAGACCACACTGAGGTTGGGGAACTAATTACTCGAAAATCTGTCTCAGCGGAGGTCAACTGGGGAATTCGGTTCATAAATCAGCCGGAAGCGGAGGAGTTCGTGAAGAACCTCTGTGGAGAATTACATAAACGGCTCATGATTGAGGCAGTTAAAGGGCGACAACTCACGGTGAAGATTATGAGGAAGTCGGCAGATTCTCCTTTGGATCCTGCAAAGCACCTAGGTCACGGCAAATGCGATGTTTTCAACAAGAGTGTCAGTTTAGGTGTTGCCACAAATGCAGTTGAAATACTCGCAAAGGAAGCAATCTCACTTCTCCGTACTTTTGGGTTTTCTCCTGGGGAGCTGAGAGGACTTGGTGTTCAGATGACGAAGCTAGAACCGATAAAGCATTCAGTGGGTGGTCGACCTGATGGTAGCCAAAAAACGCTCTCATTCCCCAAACCTCCGGTCCCGAGGCCACCGCGCCATGAGATTTTAGATCCGATAGATGATCCAGAAACACCTCGAAAGTCTAAACCAACACCTAATCGACCTTATGCAGATATCGAAGACATCGACCCTGACAGCCCACTTAAGCCAAGAGCAACACCAGTCCATCCAGCTGCAGCAATTACGAGGGCAAATGCTGCCGATCCAAGTGCGGTGAAGCCTCTTAACTTGACTGGTACCCAGTTTATTCTTCCTACACAGGTTGACCCAGCCGTCTTGGCTGAGTTACCTTTGGATATTCGATCAAGACTACTGGCTCAGAGTAAGGTTACTACACCCTCGCTGGCTTCTCCGTGGAGCAATTTATCAAGGGCAGCTTCGGAGTCACGATCCAAGGCACCAACACCAGAGCCAAACTCTCCGTCGGCCAACTTAGTTCCTCCAGCTGCACCTCTTCCATCTCAGTTAGATCCAGAAGTCTTTGAATCACTACCTGAAGATGTTAAAGCTGAGGTTTTAGCTTCATATGGGTCCATTCGTGGCAACCTGCCTCAACAAAGGGTCGCTTCTCTGTCACCACGCAAGACAGGAAAGTCAAATTTACTCAAGAAGCCAACGACTCCGACCAAAAAGCATACAAGCTTATCTGTAAAGAGTCGACATAGCAAGAGCAACTCAAACTCATCACTAGTTCAATCCAATTTTTTCACTGGCCGCAAAGCCGAATCAAGCACACGGCCTGGCGATATCGCCAACGATGCAGATGCCATTGATCCAGATTTTCTGGCTGCGATTCCGGAAGACATGCGCGATGAGATAATTGCAGAGCACAAGCGAGTTCGCCTTGCCACCCGGTCTGGTCTTGTCGCACCGAGCAAAACCAAGAAGAGACCACCAGAGCTCCCTCAGGGCCAGCGCAAATTACAACTACCTCCACGGCCTCCGAAGCCAACGTTTACTACTGCAGACATATCAGTACTACCTGATCTACGGCAGACTATCAGTCAGTGGTACACTGAGTTCAGAAACGAGGGCCCGCATGAGGACGATGTCAAGGCCATGGAGCGGTACTTGAGACGGGTGGTGCTTGATGAGAAGGACATGGCAAAAGCCGTGTCTGTCGTAAAGTGGATGGTATGGCTAATCTATGATTCTGGCGGTGATGGGTTCCAGACGGAAATAGGAGAGAAGGGATGGAGGGACGCATTGGATGGGATAAAGGAGCACATCCAACAGGCCGTTTCGGAACGTGGAGTTGGGAGCATTGACTTCAACTTTTAGACTTTAACTTTTGCTACAGATTATGATACCCAGTTAAAAAAATATTTTCATCCGCATTACCCTAGTGTATATTTTTTCTCCAGTTCTCTGTTATATAAATTTATGCCGAATTAAATATGTGGGTTTCAGCTTCCATAGAATTCTATAATTGAGAAAATGTTGTCGTGGCAGGTTACCATGGTGAACACACTTCATTACGCAATTATTTTCATTATACTATTATAAACATTAACGGACCCGTTTCTCCACGATCTAGCTTGCTTTAAGTCATTTCCATGTTGTCCCCAAGCTCCTACAGACCGTCATCTTATGATCCAATATCACCGTGTCTGATATCGGCTGTGTTCACTTTGGTGGCTTTGTCAATGTTGACGTTAAATAGTGTCTTATAGACGAGAAAATATAGCAAATACGAAGGGAAGATAATTTTCTTTGATGGCAAAAATGATACTTTCAACTTTGGTTCAAAAATTTACAATCCAGACTCTGCGGGGCAATTGTGGATAATCACATGACCGTTGCCTGGTTACCAGGCAGATAAGGCTATCTTAGCGCCGGAGCCTCTCAAAAATTGTTTCCAGAAAGTTTTCGAGGCTCGTTAAGACCCTTCCACCTTTCCTCTTCCTTCACTCACCTCTACTCTCCCCCGTAACCTCTCAAAGTTCTATTTTTGTGATAGACTTCAATTCTTCAACCACCCACCACCCTACTTCAACTTTCCGTTTCACAAAATGCCTTCCCTTACTCCAGTGCGTATTCCCCATTGTCTCAAGATCAACATTCCAAGACTTTTGGGGTTGATCTTTGGTTTCGGCGAAGAGAGACTGATTTTTACTTCTAGGTTGCCTTCTACGGCCTTGAGGTGCCATGTGGCGATGAGATCATCCCCGCGGTCCCAGACTTCCCAGCAACTGTAAGTTGATATCCAAAAAACAAGCTATGCGCCGTTTGCTTGTACTCTGTTCAAGCCACGCCCATAGCTTCCCTATACCTATGGCCGCAAAACTAACTATCCATTCACAGTTCCGCATTACCATGGCTGCGATTGACCCAAGCGCACCAATTGACCCAGAGGCACCCAAGGGCAGCGTTGCGCGCGCAACTCTCAAGCTGATCCGCGAGCCGATTGGCCCCATGGATGATGAGGATGATTCGGAGGGTGATGACGATGATGAATACATGCGTGCTCTGCTTTCCGGACCGGACTCAGAGGAGGATGAGTCGGAGGAGGATGAGGAGGCTGGACCCAGCGACCCTGCCAAGTCGAAGAAGGCCCGCAAGCAGGCTGCCCTTGAGGAGCTTTTGGCCTCGATTGACAAGGACGATTCCGATGAGGATATGGAGGATGAGCCCAAGAAGGTGAAGGGTAAGGCCAAGGCCGCTGCTGAGGATGATGATGAGGAGAATTCCGATGAGGATGATGAGGAGGATATGGAGATTGAGGAGTTTGTTATCTGCACATTAGACGCAGAGAAGAACTTCCAGCAGGCTATCGACATCACCATTGGAGAGGATGAGCGTGTTTTCTTCAAGGTCACCGGAACCCACTCCATCCACCTTACCGGAAACTACCTCATTGCTGATGAGGATGAGGGACACAACCACCACCACCGTGTCTACGACTCCGAGGATGAGGATGACGAGGATGATGAGGACTACGACCTGTCCCCCGATGAGGATGAGCTCCTTGACGATGATGAGGAGAGCGATGAGTTGGACACTCTTGACGACCCCCGCGTCCTCGAGCTTGAGGACGATGAGGAGGTCCCCGCGCTTGTCACCAAGGCTGACAAGAAAGGAAAGAACAAGCGCGCCGCTGAGGAGCCAGCTGAGACTCTCGATGAGATCATGGAGAAGACCAGCACCAACGGCGAGAAGCTGAGCAAGAAGCAGCAAAAGAAGCTCAAGAACAACAAGGGTGAGGCTATCGCTTCCGAGGCCGCTGCCACCGACAAGGACGCCAAGAAGGTCCAATTCTCAAAGAACCTTGAGCTAGGCCCAACTGGATCCGAGGCCCCAAAGCCTGCTGCCAAGGGAAAGGCCGAGCTCGGCGTCAGGACCGTCAAGGGTGTCAAGGTTGACGACAAGAAGATTGGTTCCGGACCAGCTGCCAAGAAGGGCGACCGTGTCGGCATGCGCTACATCGGAAAGCTCACTGATGGCAAGGTCTTCGATGCCAACAAGAAAGGCAAGCCATTCAGCTTCAAGCTCGGTGCTGGAGAGGTCATCCAGGGCTGGGACTTCGGTATTGCCGGTATGCAGGTTGGTGGTGAGCGTCGTCTCACCGTCCCCGCAAACTTGGCATACGGATCCAAGTCGCTCCCAGGCATCCCGGCCAACAGCACTCTCGTCTTTGACGTCAAGATGTTGGAGATCAAGTAGACGACCGCACTTCAAAAGGCGGCCGTGGACAGTTGATCGACCACACGCCGTTTCAGAGATGATCTCAAGTAATTGGATCTCTTGCCACTAATGTAAAACTCGATAATGGCGCTGGTGCAACGTGTTCCAAGGGCAAATTTTCTTTTTAGTTCCGACACCTAGTCGGTGTGGTGTATTTTGCATCTGTCCCCGACCTGAGCAGTGGTTATGGCCCAGGTCTTTATAGACTTTGTGGATGTGGGGGATATGCTCATGGGATGATGGGGTTTGTGCATAATATGGCGTTTTTATCCAAAAATCATCTTTGCTTTTTTACAGAATTTTGCTCAATTTCCAATACGTAGAGCATCTAAATTGAATTGAAGTTGTCGTTAACTATGGATGGTACCAGATGATGTTGAGGTGCATGAGTTACTGTTGGTTTCGAGCTGCGTATGTGAGGCTGTGTATTCCAAGATGTATGTATGTGTAAGCGACTATTATCAACGCCGACTGCTTTTTTGGTATCCACTGTGGTTGTCTAGCTTGCCCGTGGTGGCAAGTGCCTGGCGTGGTCAAGTTGTCAAGAAGGAAGGCGCATCCGGTGATATGAGCGACAGCAACGTCGACCTCAAGTTTGCGTTCCATGCCTTCGCTTTGAATCAAGATGGGCGCCATTTTATGGCAGATATCTTAACCAAGACATACATTCTTTATTACATCTGTACTCCAGTGTTCATAGCCTATTGCGTTCTCCAGCTCCAGGCATGAAGCGAATTCGCAGCCAGGGCGATAGTCCTGGTGACTTCAAGATTTATGAAGACGAAGCCGAAGAACCTCTAGATCGCCGATCGAATACCCTTATATCCCCCAGCAAGGACAGTACTCCACGACCGTCGAAAATCCGTCGCCATGGTTCGAAAATCCTCTCCGTCCTACGCTCCCTGACAAACAGTGGTAAGAGTCCCACGAGTCCTTCCGTGAACAGCCCTCTTTCAGGCAAGACTTGCCCACCCCCAAGATTTTTCATCTCAATCTGACGAATATAGCCTCGAGTGCGAGCAATCTTGAATCCTCATCTCCTATATCCCCGCAGGTAGGCAATGTGGAACTCGCGAGAGAACTGGTTAAGAAGGTCTCGATGTCATTCAACAATATGCGTCCCTCCGTGCAACCACCCACCGTTGTCATTCGCTCGCCCAAGAGCCGGCCTAGTCTCTCACTTGAAAAAGGGGTGTTGGAGCTTACACCGGAAGTCTCGCCTTCGACAAGTGGAGAGGCAAGCGGAAATAGCGCTGGCAAGCAGTCTGCCCCAGCCAGGACGAATTCTACGGGCATGACGAGTCTAGATTCCAAGTTCTCCGCTGGAAAGATGCTATCGGGGCATTCGTCAAATACCGAAAACAAGAAGGCGGCAGTAACAAAACAACAGGTGGCGGAAGAGACGATTGTTAATAACAGCTTGATGCCTATTTCAGAGGTGGCGCAAGAGGTTATAATTGCCCCGGTTCCTGTTCCAAGTAAGCCTTATTCCAGTTTAATTTTTGATTCGGCTATGTATGCACTGTGGACTTTCAGATTGCAGCTTGATTGCACAATATCTCGGATTACTCTAACATAAAATATAGCCGTCATCACCGTCGAAAAGGCTGCTGCGGCAAAGATATTCTTCGAAACTCATTACAACGGATTACTTGCAAGCGGCCCAAGTCCTCGATCACTACGTCTCAGAGAGTTTGAGGGCGTACTTTACGAGAATTCAGCACATATGACCCACGCTGAAATGGTTGAACATCGCCGGGACTGGCTTCGCAGTGAGACTAACTACCTTCGCGAGATCCGTGTAATGAAGTCCAGGAACCACTTTCGCAAGCAGAAGGGAACGGATCCGATGGTTTCGCAGTATGAAATTGTGAAAGTGCTTGGCAAAGGAAGCTTTGGAGTTGTTCGTCTTGTCCGTGAAAAAGATGATGTCTTCAGCCCGTTCAGCTTCTTCGAGCCCAAGAAAAAAGAAGTTTACGCCATGAAAGTCATTCGGAAATCTGATATGCTACGGAACAGCCAAGAGGGGCATCTTCGTGCCGAGCGGGACTTTCTGGTTGCTTCAGAGGGGTCAAGATGGTGATTTCCCTTCCAGTTTAATAACGTGCACCGATCTAATGGTATACAGGGTTGTACCGCTCATTGCCAGCTTCCAAGATGCGAATAACCTTTACCTCATTATGGATTACATGCCGGGTGGAGACTTTTTGGGGCTCTTGATCCGTGACAACATTCTTTCTGAGGCAGTAACCAAATGGTATATTGCCGAAATGATACTTTGCATCGAAGAGGCTCATACACTCCGGTGGATTCACCGTGATATCAAGCCAGACAACTTCTTGATTTCTGCTTCTGGACACCTGAAAATTTCAGACTTTGGTCTAGCATTCGATGGGCATTGGTCCCATGACCAGTCTTTTTATAATAACCATAGGTACTCTTTGCTCACCAAGCTCGGTATCAACGTCGAAGGGGATTCCATCGATAAAAAGGATAGCCGGACAGTTGCAGTCGCCATGCAGCTTGCTCATGTTGTTATGGGCGGCAAAGATAAACACGAGAAGAAGTCTTCCGGCTCTGACGAGGGGATTCTTAATTGGCGAAATCGGAATGGTAACCGAACACTTGCCCGCAGTGTTGTTGGAACAAGCCAATATATGGCACCCGAAGTAGTCCGGGGTGAGCTTTACGATGCCAGATGTGACTGGTGGAGCGTTGCTGTCATTCTTTACGAGGTGAGGTGAGCTGTTACGTACAACCACACCGAATCTAACACACACACAGTGTCTCTATGGCCACACTCCGTTTCTTGCCGATGAAGGCGGAAGGGCTCAAACAAAACTAAATATTCTTGTAAGCCATTCCTCCGCAGGTTGATGACAGAGACCTAATATGAAACAGAGTCATCGGACCACATTTTCATTCCCAAGCAAACCCGCTGTCAGCAGCCGATGTCAGGATCTGATCAAACGAATGATTCAAGAGAAGGGGGAACGCCTTTGCTCTCGACGATATAAGGCGAGAGACTTGGTTTCGTCAAACAATCGTGACTATGCTGGCCGCTACGTTTACCCTGATGACGCAGAAGATATTAAGTCACACCGTTGGTTTAAAGATATCCTTTGGGACCGTATTCACATTATGACCCCGCCCTTTGTGCCAGCTATCAAATCCATTGATGACACCCACTACTTTGATGAAGAAGAGCCTATTTCCGACTTTAGCACCAGCGTTGACGATGCCGTGAATCTTACTCCACCCACGGACGACGAGCTTGACGCTGCACTTCGATGTTTCAATCGCGAAATTCAAATTTTAGCACGAGGATACGTGGGTAGTGCTTACGACTCCACCAAACTCCGTCGAATCGAGCGAGAAATCGAAGGATTTGTGATGGGCGAGGAGCAGAAAGAGTATCTTCGAGGCTTCGTGCGTGCATATGGTCGAAAAGAGAAGAAGAGGCCCAGGGATAGATTGCTCAGAGACGGAGAGTACAGGCAACGAGTTCTGGAATGTAGAAAGAGAGGCGCTTTCCTGGGATACAGCTGGAGAAGGATTCAGAAGAATAGTCTGAGGGATCTCAGCGAGAAGAAAGGCACTGGTGGCGGAATGGGACGCAACGGATTGGGAGCCGCAAAGGGGAAGGCCAAGGTATGGATGAGAGGAAGATTGAGCGTCAACTAGAGTCAAAAAGAGGGAAAACTTGTCAAGGTTGGCCTCTGGTGAGAGTCTGCGGAAGAGGTCTCAATGAAATTGATAGCAAGCCAGTCGGGTTTTGTGTTTTAGGAAAAGTAGTTATAGAATACGATTACCATTGTCTGAAACCCATAGTCAGGCGGAAATATCGTTGGTAGAGTGGCGTTTGTGGACATCCAATAAATGTCAGCGAAGGCTTCGACGCGACTTAATGCAGTAATATAATGTCAATGATGTGCCCTTGATGTGTCTTACGGCACTGCAGCTGGCCTGAGACATTCTACCCTTAGACTTACAAGCAAGTGAAACAAAATCGCCAACTTTCCAACCACAGAAAGAACAAAATCAAGAGTCTTGATGATAATTGCTTTTGGACGAGAGAAGGACCATTTAGCCTGGGGTTGTGTGACAAATAGACTGTGAATAAAATTACAGCAAACCTACACTCGCCCAAATCACCACCACAATTAAACCCCGGTCTAGCATTATTATCTTCTTCCTAAAATAACTTCAACTGCTAATGTAGGTCTACTATCTCCTACCCTATTTTAGACTGACAACCATATTACAGCACAATGAAACTCAGCCTCGATCGCTCTCCTCCTCCTGTCATAATCGAAGCACCTATCATAAGCCCCCAAGGACCCACTGCGGACAGCCTAGTTGGTGACCTACCGAACGATGCCACGGTTATTGTAGTGGAGCTTGTTATACAGCTGTAGCTGAGACATGCTACAACATTGTGTGATATCTACTGTTAGGCTGACTTGTTTGAGAAAGTGGCGCAGAAGTGCTAGCTACTCTACCATAGAGAGCGCAAAAGGAGAGAACCTTGAAGATCGTTGATTTATAGATGAGCGAAGCACTGTTCAATGAAGGTTTGTATGACATATAGATTGTGTACAAATGCACGACATAAACCCATGCACACACCATCGAACTCTCGTCAACAGACTACACTTGCCCAACTCACAACTCACAATCTCCTTCAACATAATCGCTAAGACCGCTACTACTATTAAACCTCGTCAACTATCACTACGATCTTCCTATAGTGTAGCTAGCTGAAACTAAGACACATTAAACAATATTTACTCTTCGGATACCTGCTTTAGAATAGTGGAACAAGGTGCTGGCTATCGTAGAGAGGGCAAAAAAATTAAACTTAACGGTCATTGATTTGTAATTAACTGAGGCGCTGTTTGAGGATCTGGATTATGTATAAAGGCACTACAGAAGTCTACTAAAAACCATACATCGCCTATACACTCTGCCAAACAACTTTAACAACCAAACCCTGTCAACTATTACCATCCTATTCTTACAACACCCTGACCACTAGCGTAAGCTTTATTGCCAACCATCCTTTATTCTAGTCCAACAATTTAGATCTTAATCATGCAACTCTAACTCGCCTCGCCCATCGCTCTTCTCCCCGTCATTCTCGCAGCACAGCTTCAAAGTCCCCAAGGTCTAGGCAATCTACGCGACAAGGTTGGCTCTGCTTGGGACATTAGTTCCCCCAGTATAGGCGCTGCGGTCATAAGCTTAGCCCCGTTTGACGGTGGGAAGAAATGATATTTTTCCTTGGCGGGCTATTGCATATTATCATCGTCGTAAAATTGCCACAAGTAACCGGATCTTCAATTATATTAGCTGCAAGAATCATCTTTCCCGTCTTCTATCATCATATCCATATCTTCTCCACACGTCATCATATGTATCCCTCCTATCGTAAAAACCCCCGCCACGACCCTCCTCTGCTATCTTCTCCTCCCGCATATACCTCTCCACCTCCCCATCCCTACTAATCTCAACCCAATTTCGTGTATTCCTCCCCCTCTCTTTTTCTTCCTTCCTCACTTCCACTCTCTCTCGTCTTGCCTTCTCCCTCGAATGTCTCTCTTCCCTCTCTTCTCTTTGCTTCTTCTCCTTATACTTGTCCCCAGCAAACAGCAACCCGACACCTCCCAAAGCCATCCCAGCAAGAGTCACAAGTATCTCATCATCCGTATGACCCTTCCCTTTGTGCTGTCCCTTTCCCTTCCCCCTATCCTTCCATTTATCCCCGGCCTTCACTGCCTGCTTTGCCAGAACACCTCCCACGGCTACACCCATCGCACCTCTCGCTACTGGGTCATCCATGAAGCGCTCAGCGATGCCTTCCGAGGAGCTGCTCCTGCTCCGGCTTCCTCTCCTGTCCCTACTCCCGCGCCTATCGTCTCCACGCCTTGACGCCCTTCGCGGCGCACGCTGTGACTGGCTCCTCCTTGTCATGAACCCCGGCCGCTGGGGAGGCGGAGAGGAAACGCGCACATGTCTCGGTTTTGGGGATGAGTCTTCCCTCATACCCGCGTCGCGCTGACGTCTCGATCTCTCTGCGTGGTTATCTCCACCTCTCGTGTCTTCGTGCTTCGATCTGCGGTCGTCGCGCTGGGAGCGGCGGGTATGGGCGTCAGCGGAGTGGTAGGGCGAGTCCGAATCTGAGTCTGGGGATCGAAAGCGGCGGTGGGGGTTATGTTCGGTATTTGTCCCGGTTTGGGTGTGTAGTTTTTCGGTGATGTAGGGGATGTCTTTCCCCATGGGTGAGATGAGTTTGTCGGGGAGCTTGTCGAAGTGTTTGTCGATTAGTTTGTCTGAGGCCGAGAGACCGAATCCGATGAGTTCAGCCATGCGTGGGTAGTTCTCTGGGCTGGCTTGAGTTGATGATGGAGTACGTGAGGTGGGTACAGTGGAGAGTAGGTCTGAGTGAGTGATATGTGCGGACTTTTGGTGTTTGTTTATAGAAATGAAAGTGAAATTGGATCTTCAGTGATATATGAACTAAGCAACTCTTGCATACTGCTGAGACGCTATATTCATGATGGCATAATTGCCACACAAGTGCCTTGTTCTAGATGCCATCATTGTGCATCCCTACCTACCCCCAGTTGGTCATTGAATCAAGTCAAAATGCCGATCTTCGCAGTAGACCCTCGACAAAAACAGCCAGACTGGTCCATGAACGTGTATTAAGTAAGTAGGGGACAGTGCTAAGCATTTATCCAATCGTGATGAAGCATTCTCACTTCTCGTTGGGGACCTTGGCGGGAAGCGGGAATGCCCCACCAATAAATGCCGCGGGGTACTTGGACCCTGGCACTATGACGACATACCCTCTAAATCAAGTAACAAAACATATTTGTTCCAATGTAAAAGGTTTAAATAAGTGCCACGATATCGTGCATGGTATCGTATTTCGTATTTGTCTCTAGTTAAAATAAATCCCGCAGTATAAGTCGTCATGGCAATGAACTATTTATATTTTGTCGATGCGACAAATGGTTGAACACTCTCACTCTACGAGTGTGTTTTCGGATGGGTGTGTATGGAGGTGGATGAGAGAAAAAAGTGGGAATTGGAAATCAAGAACCCGAGCCGTACCGCGTCGGCTAGCAGTCATCGGCACACCATGCGTCTTGTCCCGATCCGTGATTGGGAGTGCGGCTGATATGTCTTGGATGCGTTGATGGGGCCGGCACCGAAGCCGAGATGAGGTGTAAAAAATGCACGGAATAGACTCGGGGAAGAGCCGGGCCAACGACACGCCACCCTTTCTTGCCCATGCTTATGAATTAGATACGTGTGTAAATGTTGTAGGCGGTGAATGTGTCTTGGATGGACGGGCGAACAGTCTCTGGAGCCTAGATTAGAAAACCGCCCGGAAAAGTTCCCGGCGGCAGCCAAGCTGACAGCACGCCACTCCTTCCAGCCGTTCACTAGTAACTCCTCTTCCATGGCTACTCGCATAAGTAAATGTTTCACCTAGTAAATTCGTCGATTTGGTTGGTAACCGGCGCTCCGGAATTACGAGGCTGAGAGGCCGGCTTCTCCATCCTACTTCCCCGGTAGATCTGTGCATATAAAATCTGCAAACCTGCGAGGATCACACATTGTGGTGCCGCCTTGCATGAGACTTTTTTGCCTCCTCATCATCAGTCAGCCTCTTAAGATCGTCCAGGGGAGCGGACCAAATTGACTTCCCCGCCCCAGCGGTCAGCCTTTTTAAATCGTGCAGGGGTAGGGGAGACCAAATCTGCTCCCCACCCTAGGGCCATTGTTGCCAAAATGTGCAGAGGCAATTTTATTTTTCACCTTCCCTAGACTCATCGTTCCCAAAATGTTCGCGACGGGTGAAGGACGTGGCCACCCCAACTACGAATTTGTGGACACTTCCGCAACGTCCCATCCTTAATAGCTGCGTGTTATGATATTCCCCGTTTAAATGGACGAGTCAGTTTCAATTTCGAGTTGTGGATGCGTGTAACGTGTTTGAGGCGGGAAACGGGCAGCGCGTACACCAGCTCTTGCACACCCATGCAGGACAGGTAGGATAGGGATACTTTCTTGACACTGGACTGCATATGCATATGGTGCGTGTCGTGTTTTTTATGTTTTGTTTTACCAGGGCTGTAGTGTAGGAAAGTAAGATTTGTCCTGGAGGTCTTTGGCAGATCTGTTGCCCAGCCTTAGATCTACTACGTACTCGAGCAGTGTTGCGGGGCAGAGGGGTCGAGACTGAGGGCCTTGCCTATATTTTGTGGGCTGAGTGGGCCAATGGGGTTTAACTACGCGGCTCCTACGCGGCTCCAGCGCATACTCTGGTGCTGGCGCTGTTGTTATTGACACCATAATCTGCGACGGGAATAAAATCTCTGCACGTCACCTTCGCAGGTTCAATCTCCTGAGATGACACCGCCCCCTTTTTGAATTATCTCGCTTTCCAGGCGTGGTGGTGAGACAGATCGTGTGTCGGATGGTACACAACTGCCATGCACGCGGTTATTAGCCGCCCCCACGAGCCAGTGAAGAACTTGTCGTGCGCCAACCCAGCAGCTGGGATTCCTGCTCGGCGGACTGCATGGAGGTTCGTGAGATGAGCGAGTCGTTGTTGCTTCATTGTCATCTGCGGGGCTCCACATCGCTAAAATGCGCTGGCATACCACTGTGGCGGGATGCTACATCGCGAATGCCGCACTAAGTGCGGTCTGATCCGTCACTTTAGCACCACCTCGCCGAACAGGCTAGTCCCAATCCGCGGTATCACTTTCTAAGCGACCTCAGCTCCATCACTGTCGATAGCTTTTTGCCACCCTGATGGCCACATACAAACCCGCAGACTCCGGAAATGAGGATACGACTTTTGGATCTCTCACCGAGAGTGATGTGGGGCAATTAAGATGGCAAAAAACCAATAATGGTGGCCCAAAACGCACATCGCCTGTTTCGGTTGCGGCTCGATGACCGCCCTACGGTCACTGCTCAGAGCAGCCCCCCAAACGCACGGTCATGCCAGGCTCCCATTGACTCAGGGCTAGGGCTACCACAAGCAAGGTTACTGAAGACACTGCCGGTTTTGGGGAGGCTGCAGCATACCCGTTTGTTCTGTGATACTTTTGAAAACGCCATATTCGCCCCATCTAGTCCTACAGCGCGTACCGGGCCATTGGGAACAAGGAATATTTATCTACGGGAGCATCGAAATATGGTGTGACATACAGTCTTCAAACGAATGATTCCTGTGGAAAGGATTCTGGGGAGCCGTGGTGACCCTGATGTTTTGTGTCATTTCGTAGTTGTGCCTCACATCATTCATTATCCGTTATATATCATTGCAATTATTTTATTTATGGAATATTAACTTCTATCTGAGGCATAAAAAGCCTCCCCCAAAATATTAAAGATATTGTTGGCGTTGTGCTGTTGGCGTTGTGCTCGCTTCATCCATATTTATATCGGATTGGGCTGGACAGTATCTCGCCACACACATTCCCGAGAATCGAAAAGATCCAAAGTCGAACTTGTGCTGCTAAGCAGCGTCATATAGAATTGAATTTATGCCGGCAACGCTGTGCTGACATTTCACGATTGTTCGACTTCAGAAACAAGTTGATTGTTCGATGTGTCGTTCTCTGCCTACCCTCTATGCGATATGTCAGCGTTATCTTCAGTGCAGTGGTTATTCTGCCCCTCACCTCGTCTGTGTTGTCGAGCACATCATTTCTTATCTCTGCGAGGCTTCTTATTCCGGAGAGTAGTGTAGGGTTGGTCTGGCGAAGAAAGCCACTTCTGTAGCTCGGCTTCGCGCATTTCCAACTGTTCGTCCTTGGTCGTTTTGGTGTTGGCTACCATGATTCCGTAGGCCGTTATGCTGATATATGGTTCCGCACTAGCCAAGCAGACGTTAGTTGCTATGAATCTGACATTATTAGAGATTCAACGAATCTTGTTTTGTATGATAGGACACTTGTGAAGGGTAGGATAGATGAGCAGAGCGAGGTGTTACCTGATATATTGCGAGTCGCCTCCATGCACTGCACCCGTCGTCGTCGCGGAAGACATTGTAGCTTGCGAGAAACACAACTTCTATTGTGCAAATGTCTGTCGACTAACGAAGTCTCCCACCGAAATGTGTTTGAGTTGACTAGTCCATGATCAAGAGACGGGGGGAAAGAGGGACTTTATATCCGCCCCATACTGTCGACGTTTTTTCTCTCTTTCATCTCAACCTTCTGAAATCTTATCTAAGAGATACTCTCCTGGGTATTGCCCACTATTTCCACTCTCAAGCCAATAATGTCAAAGTAAATTAGCGCCGATGATGAGTCGGTTGAAAGCCTCATCCGAATTCGAGCCCGTATCGTCACAAATTATGAGACGGTGTGCTCCAATGTGCTCCAACTATCGACACGGCGTACTCGTAACTTACGGGTCAGCGCGTTATCGACGTGTAATCACTGCCAATGATTTTGTTCAAGGAGTATGGCCGAGTAAGACCAGCACGGTTACTTGCTTGATTAACCCTTGTCTCGATTGTGGTTTTCATAGAGCGTCCAGCCTTGGCATGAACCTGTCGAATGAACCTGCCGAATGAAACCATCGAATGAACCCCTCGAGTGGAGTCCATCAAATATACTTCGTGATGCGAACCCCGCGGCAACATTAGGAAGGGTGGAGCTCTATGTGGGCATATCTTATAAGAGTAACTCGGGCGGGGTGGCCAAAGTTATACCGCCTTTTGCGATTTAACAATCTGGTATCCTATTCTCGCATGACAGTACACGCTGTCACTCGTCGCGTGAATACCGACATGTAACGAGCAAAACGATAGAAGGTCTTACGCGCTTCAATGCGCAGCCTCACTTGTATCTGGACATGGTTGTATACCCTTGAAGAAAATCGGTTCCTTGGCCTGCGAAATTTTGACGGGAACTCGTCTTACCCCTCATTGTAATATCCGGTAAGTGGGGACTATAACTAGGTCAGCTTGTACGCGGGGCGCATCGGTGAGTATGAGGGGTATTAGATGTCTCAGGCCACCGATGTGGAATATAAGAAGCACAAAACGATCGATAGTTGTATATCAGTACATAGCGCTTGTTTCCACGTTCTACTCACATGAATGACAACGTTGGCTGCATATGCAGTAGTATAGGGGACTTAAGGATTCCACGAGAAAGACGAGTTAAAGGAGACTGACTACCTCTCCGGGGAGGGCGGTTAGGAACCCGGGATGATTGTATTCATTGATACTGAGATTTTGCTAGGGCGGATATCCGAGCTACATGCTTCATCTGTCGTGCCTCCATCAAAAGGGCATGGCATTTCAGAACTCAATTGCGTCAATGTGCGTCTCCACTTCCCATCGTCTTTTATCCCAGAGAAATATTCTCCTCTGCATAATAGCAAAGCTCCACATATCATGGATAAAGTAGTGGCCATCTCTTTCGGCTACTATAAATACATAGAGATAATAGCTAAATTTCATATGTATCTAATTTTAAGGCGTATCGGTATTCACAGCACCAAACATTGGTATCGACGCTACCGAAGGTTTGAATTTTGCATAATACGTGAGAAACCATATGCAATTATGCAGCATGTGGTATCAAATGATGCACAAAAATATTTCTTCTGTGTTATTCTACGCCTTCCGTGGGCACGGGCGCCAGAGGGGCGACCGGTGTAGGCGTGGTTCTAGGCGGCAGCAAATCATTACAGGTTATAGTTATATTTAGTAAAGTACCTAAACAGCTTGTCTTTGTGAGGTATTTCTCTTGTCTGTTCATATGTAGACTACATGGTTAATGGCACTTATAGGCTTGACTTAGTAGGGAGACCTTCACTTTACTGTGATTTAAGATCATTGTAAGACACTACTGCTACTTAGAATGTACCTCTCAAGTCGTAGATTATTAAATAAGCCTGTGCAACGAGAAGTAATTGAGTGGACTAATTGCTGTGTCTGTAAATCTTTTTCATGCCTATTACAGAAAATTTCCGTGCCCCTTTCTTTTCTCTTGGGGTACGGCGGTTAGTTTTCTCACTTCGCGTCTGCAACCCGGTGGGATTTAATATCAACTCAGCACCACCACAACTAAAAAAATCCATATTCAGCGACATACATTTAGCTCTGGCCTTTGGCCCCCTTTCTTTTCTCCTTATTCTTTAGCTAGCTATTTATTGCATGGGGTAAACTGTTGAGTGAACAAGCGGTGAAAGCAAAACAATATATACAGAAGACGAATTTGGTTGCCTCATCCCCCATTGAAAAAAAAAAACATACTGAACTTTTGCTATGGCTAAGGTGAGTCACCTGCCCCACCAGCGTCGCCTTTGAGGTTGCATGACAACCGGCCGAAGGTCGCAGATTGGTGGCCTTCACGTCCGCGTCGACGAAGGCTCCAATGCAGACTTCCTCTACTCCCAACGAAAAAATGTTGAGAAAAGGCGTAGGCTTTAGCGATTGTAGATACTCGTGGGTGGCCTAGGAAATGTCCGGCTTAGGGTAATCCTAGAGAAGTCGGGTGTTAGGAAATGTCACCGTTCTCTATGTTAACATCACATTGTTGGCTATCACACCGAAGGCCCATGGGTTATCACACTGTTAGCCTATCCGGCCACTTTACTATGATTAGCTCCGTGCTTCGCTCTTTCCTGTGTTCCCTCCATCATTACTGCCATCGCTTCTTCCCTCGCTCCTTCTTCGCTTCTTACTTCGCTTCAGCCCCCGCCCCTTCCCTCCCTCCTTCCTTCCCTCCTGCCACCGCACTATCCTCCGCATTTGGTCGCTTCTGTAACAGTATGCACTTCAGCACGATTTCGCGATAACTTTACGAAAACTGTGCATCTATCGTTTGTCCTTGCCCTTCAGGTTCCACTTCTTTGGTACCCTGGCAAGCCAATATACGAAGAAGGCGAAGCTGACGTTGAACAGAATGAACACCCACAAGATGCCGAAATTGCGCCAACTTTGGTCGTAGTGCATATCGAGCAGAGCAAGATACTGGTTGGTGTTGCCGAAAGGGCAAAACTCGCAATGAGCAGAACCTTCAGTGCTAGGCTGGAGGTAACCGCCCAAGGTTTTGAGGTACGGAGCAAGGTAGACGGAGCAGTTCTGTCCCGGAATGGCGTCGAATCGCAGCAGTTCGTTTGTTGCACACACGAGATCCGTGTCTGCGACCGCCGTCGTGAGCATGCCGGCTACCAAGTAGGTTAACGGCGATAGTCGGTACAAGAAAACCCAGAATCCTGGTAACTGGTCCTTCGTGGCTAGAACACCACAAAATACAAGTGCGAGCGAGAACAGGACATTGGTCAACGCGCCTCCGACCTCCGCCGAGCCAACGCCAGCAATTGTAGCGCTACCGAAAGTAGACGCATAAATCATGAATTGGAGGACGAAGAGGAACATTTGGAACCCTCGTATGGTGACCGAGTCAGTTGCTTCGGCATTACGATAAAGCCCCATCGGATAATACCAGCAGAAGAAGATGACTACTGCCATAGGCAGCGACCATATAAGTTCTACCAGTATGTTGGCAAGCATGAACGACTGCCAGGAATAAGACTTCGAAGGCCGTTCTCTCGCCTCGTACAGATCACGTTGTGTGACAAAACGAGGATGCGTTTGCTCTACGAGATTGGGCAGAATGCTGCCAACTTCAAGCAAGTCAGCGCTGATACTGCTCAGGAAATTCGGGTAACAGGAACTTACGCAAGAAAATGCCAAACATCTGGTTTTGTAACCCAGTCTGGCTGTTAGTCGCTTTGAAGAATGAGAAGCCAATGAACAATGAAGAGAACAGACACAACGCAAGCTTGCTGTAAACATAGCCGGGATCTCGCCAAGTTTGCTGGAAAATGCGTTTTGTTACTTCACAGGATTGTATAAAGAATGGCTGTGCAAACTCCTCGAATGCCTGTTTGGCGTCGGTGGTTATTTCTGAACTCGAATCATCGATATCCCGTTGACACTGCAACGTCCCCAGCTCGCTTTTGACGTCTTGGTATTCCTTGCTTGCACGCCATACGTGCGGCCAGTCGATGGTGGTTGAAGAACCTGGAGCCGCGCCAATAACTTCCAACATCCATTCCGCTGGATTCTGTGTTACACCACAAGGTGCTGCGCCGTTTTGCTCGAAGTAGCCAGTGAGTATTGAGGCATTGTTGCCGATGGGACCAAAGTATACGGGGTTTCCGCCCTTTGCGAGGAACAAGAGGCGGTCGAAACGCTGAAATAATATCGCAGAGGGTTGATGGATGGTACACAAGATCGCCTGACCATTCCTGGTCAACTTATCTAAGAGATCACAGATCGACCAGGACGTTTGGGAATCTAGGCCAGACGTTGGCTCATCGAGGAAAAGGAGAAGCTGTGGCCTTGCAGCAAGCTCTACGCCAATCGTGACGCGCTTCCGTTGTTCGACATTGAGACCTTCTCCGGGGACACCTACAACAGCATCTGCAAATGGCTGCATGTCAAGAAGTTCAATCACCTCATCCACATATGCCAGTCGATCCGCTCGTTTGATGTAGGCAGGCTGGCGGAGTAAGGCAGAGAAGGTGAGTGCTTCACGGACAGTCGACGTCTGTAGGTGCAGATCTTGCTGCTGGACGTATCCAGTTTTGCGTTGAAAGCTTGCATCTTTGGCGAGATCATTAACAAGCATATCGCCTCCGATTACTCCAACAGTTTTTCGTGAGGCAAGCACATCGAGTAGTGTAGTTTTGCCAGCGCCGGATTCGCCCATCAGAGCCGTAAGTGTTCCAGGCTTTACCCAGCCGTCTATCATGTTCAATAACCTACGACTTCCTCCTTTGGCCTTGATGTCATAGGTTATGTCGGACCAATGAAAGGTTGCAGTCTGTTTCTGAAGATGCAACTGTTCCCTGGGGGTGAGTTGATCCATGATGGCTTGCATTGGGATGCCAGATTCGCCCCTTTCAGTGTCGCTGCGTTGCTGCATACCGATCTCTCGTTCGAGTTTCCGGCGTTGGAACAGGAGCACTTCTCCTTGACTCTTCTTTGCTCGCACAGTCTCTGCGGACCAGACGTAGGTGATGAGGAAGAACACGAGGAAAGCGGCCATAATGCTGACGTTTCGCCACTTGTGGGAGTTATGGTAGCCAAAAGCGCTGGCGAGATAAACATCCCCATCAACCGTAGCCTGCCCAACAACAGAACCAATAGCAGAGCAGGCCCTATTAACCGCGGGCACATCGTCATAGAGGCCGCCAAATGGAACATAGGTGCTGCAAGTGAAGTTGCGGTTATGAAATTCGTTGGCCATGATAGCTTCAAAGCCGTAAGCCACAGGGTTGATAAAATTAATCCACCTTGCCCAGCCGACCATATATGTGGTCGGGATTACGAATCCAGCGTAGATAACAAGAGCAGTAATTATAAGTGCCGCAGGCGCCAGAGCCTGCTCCAACGTACGAGTCACGGAAGCGATCGTCCTAAACATCATTGACATAACAAGCGTGACAATAAACGAGACAAGAAGAAAGAAGAAAAGGGAGCCTGGTTCGCGCCTAAGGTTAGCCATGAAGTAAAGAACGAGGTTAAAGCAGATTGAGTTAATGATTTTATAAGGAAGATCCGTAATCATGCTTGCAAACGCCTCGGCTGATGGGTGATACAGTGCATATCTATCATGCTTTTCGACGATGGGCCGTTGGGCGTAGAGAACGATGATCTAATAATAAATCTTAGCGAAAGACCGCTCAATACGCCTTGAAGTCCACCTACCTCGAGCGCTGAGGCAAAAGCGTTTAGCAAAACGGCAAAGAACAGTAGAGCACCGCGCTGAAAGAAGCTCCCGGTAGTAGGCTGGAGATTATAAAACACAGATGAGACTACTAAGGCCATCAGAATATTGAAGAAAGCTGCCACGAGCGTTATGGACGGATCAGCCCTCAGCCTGGTGAAGCCGCGCCACAAGCATAAGCTGATCTGCTCGAGGTAGGCTAGGGTGAATGGTGACTTCCTTCGTTGACTACTTGCTTGCTGAGCCTTGCGGGACGCAGCAAACTCGTCGAGATGTTTGCCACCTATGGCAAATCGTTTTTCGTGTGCGTCAAGATCTTGCTTCAGTTGGTAATAATTGGAGCTGTTGTACCACCGGTCTGCAAAGTTATCTGGGGTTTGTGGAACGACATGTTCGTAACCTGCGCGAACTAAACGCTCTTGTGGGTTGGTCATGGATGTCAGAAAGTCGGCGTCTGTTTGGCGAGCGGGACAGTCAAAGCCCATATCAAGGAAGTATTGCTTAGCCTCGGTGGTCTTTCCGAAGAAAATTTGACGTCCTTCATACAAGAGCAAGACTTTGTCAAATAAGTCGTAGGTGGTTTGGGAAGCCTGATAGATAGAAACACAGGCCGTGGCGCCTAAGAGTTCTGTATTCATTCTAAGAGTCTTGGCGAATTCAATAGCATTTGCTGCATCGAGACCACGTGTGGAATTATCCCTGATCAATCGTAAGCTTTGTGGAGAGGGACAGCAATACGGCTGAACTTGTAGGCACTGTGCAAGTAAAATCGATGTAGTCTGGCAACTTGGCGACAAAACAGTGACAAAGGAAATTCAAGATGGGCAAGATTTGAAAAGGTTGGAAAGAATAGAGTTCAATACTGAGTCTGAGGAAGACTTACCAGCATTGTAGAGGAGCCTGCAACAGAATCGCCTCCGCAATGGTAACGCGCTTGCGTTCGCCGCCAGATACACCGCGAACAAAGTCATTTCCGACGTTGGTATCCATAGTATGTAGGATTCCAAAGGTGGCCATGACAACATCGCGCATGTGTTTGGCATAGACATCTTTTGAAACGCCACCTGGGATTTCACGGGGAGCACGCGCTCTAGCAGCAAAATAGAGCGTCTGCCCGACTGTAAGCTTTGGGAAGTGGACGTCATTTTCAGCTGTGTATATGGCCTCGCCCCTGAACTCGTTTTGCATCTGCTTTGCACTAATGCCTGTACAAATCGCGAGTTAGCTGACTTGGCAATTAAAAATGCCGGATGAGTTCACCTTGATAGTTTAAGTGTGACCTCTCATCAACGGTGAAGCCGTGAGTTTCGCCAGATATGGCTTTGAGAAATGTCGTACAGCCAGAACCGGGAGGACCCAGTACAACAAGCATCTCTCCGGCTTCTACTATCCCATCGAGACCTCTAAGAATCTCGATTTTTCTCTTTCCAGTTCCAAGATGCTTACGTACTAGACCGAGAGCTCCTAGCCAGACATTACCTACAGTTTGCTGATAGCCTGTAGGCACTCCAAAGCCGTAGGCATTGAGATCACGGAAGGCGACGCCAAGAGTCCTCTCTGCGTACTTTCCAGGATGTTTTGACCGAAGGGCAAGAACTGCTTTGGTCCAGGCTCTGGCTTCGAAAGCCGAGCCGTTTGGGTCGAGTGCGCTATTCTGTGGTGGTTGGAAAAGGTTGACATCTACAGTAAGACCAGTATTAGACGAACAACGCGGCATGTTCTTTGCAAGTTGCTGAACGTTATAATCGGGTTGAGTCTGTTGTTCTGCACCAGTTTTTCTGGACTCGTCTTCGATCAACTCGATAGAAGACCTTTGACTGCTGTATGGCCACCTTCCATCGCTTTGAGCAGGCACACTCGCGGTCCGTTGCGAAGCATCGCCGAATACCGATGTCGCCGGAGAAATCATGTTGGCGTCAAACCTGCGGACTCTACTGAGCAGGAGAAGGCCAACGCACGCAGACGTTCAAACGGACGAGCGAAGCTGCTAGATAGCAAGTCATGAGATGCAGCAAAGAATCAGACGGATGCATGGTAGACGTCACTCAGCTCAAGCAATATTAACAAGGTCACGTTTTTAGCACTACTCATTTGAATGCATGTGCTCACATGCTTCTGGGATTTGGGGGGGAGTGGGTAAACCTGTTATCGTAGCCATACTGCAACCTGCAGGCACGAGAATGCCGACCGGGAGCTAGATCTAGTGCGGTGCACCATCAGCGTCACCGCGTCCTCCTGTCTGTCCATGTGCATTAGCACCGGTTCAGGGGTAAATTATTCCTGATGATCCCGACTAGAGTGCCTGATGATCCCGACGCTAGTCTTACATCATAATTCAAACTTTACCGTGGTATGTGGAACATTGGCCTCGGGATCCATCCTGTACAGTATGGAGACTTTTCACATGCCCTTTTGCTTTAAACGTGTTGTTTCGTGGGGTAATCTGTGGGGTAATTCGCGGGGAAACAAAAATGTAGGTCAACATGCTGGACATCGGCCAACTGTTGTTTCACCCTAAGCTACCACGTTAGGAGCTTGCTTTGATGTCCGCATCAAGCACATGCTAAAGAGTCCTGTGTAGGGTGTCATATTTGCTAGACAAGTATTTAGACTCTGTCGTAATATTATATGTAGAAAGTTGATAATGCTGCCTTCACTGCTCGCTCCTCAATTCTCTTGACTTTGAGTCTCTCATATCTACAAGAACCACAATTATCATACGCGACCATGCATACAGACCCGCAGCCGCGACTGCATACTTCGGGGGTGACTTTCGTGCAGCCCGCGAAGCACATCAAGCCAATCCAATTCGATTGCTCTGCAGTCGAAAATCTATGTGCGCGAGTCCATCACTCCGTCGCTCTGTTCTTCCCGATCCGCAGCAGCGCAAATGTCGAGCAAATTTTCTACGACCTCAAACAAGGCTTGAGCCTTACGATGAATGAGCACCCCATCATCACTGGAACGCTTCGACAAGGCGATCGTGATGAGTTCAGCGTGGAGATCCCACCAGCGCCGCATGCTGGTGCCTACTTTCACTTCAGTGACACGAGCAACGACGCAGGATTTCCTTCTTTCGGCGAGCTACAGGAGTGCGGGTTTCCGTATGTGGATGGAGACCTTGATGGCCTCAAGGAGTTCCGTCCAGACCCCTTTCCTACGAGCGAAGACGGCCAACCGACGTTTGTGACCAAAATCTGCCATGTTCGCGGCGGCATCGTCTGGAGCGGCTCAATCTCTCATCTCATCAGCGATCTGGGGCTGGGCACCGCAGTCATGATAAGCTGGGCCAAATACACGAAAAAGGTCACCGAAGCAGCCGGAAAACCTTTAGCGATTCCCAGACAGTTGCCATGGCCCGACCGAAAGCGACTCCTGCCTGATGTCGAAAGTCTGCTCCAGATAGAAGAGATTGGAGCTCTAAACAAAAACTTGAAACCCTACACCGTGCTCGATCCTACAGATCCAGACAAGATGGTTAGCGACATGGGGAACGTTTTTGTCAAGGCACATGTCACCGAGGCAAACCCCGACCAGCTCGAGTATTTCTTAGAGCCAACGTCGGGCATCTGGAGATTTACGCCCTCCAAGCTCCAAGCCTTAACAGACGCCGTCAGACGCGTGGACCCCGGCGTAAAGCTATCCAATTTCGACATTGTGACGGCATTCATCTGGCAGAGGTTCTCCATGGCCAAAAGAGGCAACAGTCCCGGGAATGAGCCCCAGACTGCGCAGATCGTGACAGCGATTGACGTTCGCCGCAAGCTGAGCCCACCCTTGCCCGCGACGTACCTTGGCGCTTGTGTGGATCTAGTCAGGGTGTGCGCAGATCGCGAGGTGCTAGTGCCCCACCAGGATCCATGGAAGGGAATCTCGGGAATCGCAAAAAGAGTTCGGGAGTTCGGTACAGCCTGGAACGAAACAGACTACATGGAAATGCTGAAGGTTTCTCTCCGCACTCCAATGTGCCCGGGCCTAATTCCTAGAGGTCCAATCGATATGCTGGTAACTGAGCATTCCATGTTCGGTCTGGGCTTGCGGGCTGATTGGGGAGGTGAGCTTGGGCGGAGCGTCGCGTTTCGTGAGCCATACATTTCGCGCGAAACGCCGCAAGGCGAGGTTATCATTCTCCCAACACAGCCCAATGGCGACCTGGACGTCATTGTTAGTGCTGAAGAGATCGTCCTTGAGCGACTCATGGCAGACGTCGAGATGTCGATGGTGTGCAAGAATGTCTGCGTGCGACACAATGTGCTAGAGTCGTTTGCGTCAATGGCGACGAAGAAAGCAAAACTTTGAACATGCTCAGTACTGGCATTTCTTTTGACCAAATTTTGGGTAGCAGGCTATCTCATGGTGTGTAGCGATTTAAGCTTATGTTTGTATGTTTTAGTTTTCGCGGAGGAGTGTTGGAAATTACTGTAGTACTTACTTCTACCTATCAACCAACACAGCCCTGCAAATACCCAGGGCCATGACAGATTTTTATTTAAAATAAATATGAATTAATTATCTGACCCCTCTCAAAAAGGCAGCTACGCTTCAAGTAGCGGTTCATCCACATTGCTTGTAAGTTGATGTGCAGTGTCTCTGTTCCACAGGTAACCTCAAACATGTGATTAAGCATTGCGCCATTTTGGGTAATATGATGTTTATTGAAGCATAACAAGCTTGCACGAAAATTATTATATCATGCTTCCTTTCCTTAACTAGATATACATTTTGTGGCCATTCAACTTGGAATATTCATGTCCTCCTCTCGAACCAACGTGTAAAACCCTCGTCAGCGTCCAGCCTAGCAAGCGTGCTCGTCTCGTATTGCAGCATGACTTCCAGCCCTTTTCCATCACCCTTCCTAGGAGGAAACATGATACACCTGCCATCAGGTTTTCCCTCGATGTCGCCGATTTGCAGTCGGAACGCCTCACAGCAGCCGCCAAAACCAGCCCCAAAGTCTAATGCGGTGTAAGGTATCGATTGTAGGCACACAATGAGCATGTCTGGTCCAGGCCAGCGGTCGACATTCCAGGTTATTGAAGTTGTTTTCGGAAGCTGCGCCAACATGCCGGCGAGGCGTTGCACGGCTAGGGCATTTACGTTCTGAATAGCGGACCGCACGCGCTGCGTTGCAGATGGTAGGAAGTCCTTCGACGAGAACTCGGCGGTAGGCATGCGGGCTACAGCGTTCGGCTCACACATGTTTCCCCAGAAGTATTTGGGAACTATAGGGTTAGACATACGCGCGCGAGCATTAACGGTTATCGACAACTTTGCCTCTGGATATTTGTTCAAGTCAACGTTGCGCGCACGAACGACATGCAGCCACAGTAGGGAACTGATGGCTTCGCTACCAGAAGGTCTCAGGTTTGGTACTGCGATAGCATCTCTAAGCCGGTTGATGCGCTCCTCAGATATGTAGTAGATTGCGCATTTTAGGTCCGACAACGATGCGGCGTCATAATTAGTTGGATTCAAGAACTGTTCGCCGGGGCTGACGAGTCGCCAATCGGGCAGGTCTTCGAGCGAAGCGTGTATATCTGGCGTGATGATGGTAGCGCGGTCGGCGAAGACAATTGGAAGAGTGCTGGATTCAGGCTCAACGATATTACGGCAGTGCTTCGCCAGCGTTGCATTGCACAAGTATAAGCCCAAACCGTCACACACGGTGTGCTGAAAAGCGAGATATCGGATTAAAATGTATGCTGGAACACAAAGATCGTCTACGTACATGTAAAGCGCTCACAAGCAGTAAGCCTCCGGGAATCAGGTTGGCTTGCACCCTCAACGCCACCAAAGGCTTGTTCTTTTCATTAGGATTTATTCCATCTATGAGCGTGCGCCTTTCCAGCTTTTTATAGGGGAAATCAGCCTTTGCGAGGTCTTCAAAGCTTCCATGTGTCCATTCGTGTTTCAAGTGCTCGGCTGTATAGTCTTTAAACGTAAGACATGCGCCTGAATCTTCTAGATAACGCAGCTCGAGCTCCTCGCGGCTGTTGTTCCGAGGGACGACCGTCGTCGCAAGCTGTGGGATCTCTTGAACGGCACAGAGGATCATTCTTTGGAGACGCTTGATTATACTCGCAGTCGTGACGTCCGGTGCCAGGCGCAGACAAAAGAATGCGGTCATGTAACATCGTGGCGCAATCTGGTCTATGGGCCCCAAGTCAACCACCTGGCCGACCCATGAAGAAGCGGGTTTAACGACGGTTGTGATAGCGTCCATATTTGACTGAGACGCCTTTGGACGTTCAAAACCTCGATGCGCCGCCGCAAATATTTAAGAATCGCTCCAAGCATGAGTGTCTAGTGATAGACAGGTCGCGGCCAAAATTCATCATATGTCAGGTCCTTTGGCGTATAAGTCCCTGTAATTTAGTGCCATGTTGTTTCAGCCAGTCTAGTTAGCGTACAAAGCTCCCCTACTTTTACAGATTCGGGCATATATACGGATGTCACAGCACAAAGTCGTGTACCACGCCAGCTATTAGATTGCTTAGGGCTATGGCATAGCAACAACTGTCAGGTGTGAAAAGCCTCATTGAAAAAGGCCAAGCACTCCTTGCAGGAATTCTACGCTAGAGCCCGGAGCTTATTTAGCTTTGGTGGGGTGTGGCACAACTAGCGTGGGGTGTAAGACTCGGTACCCCGTACCCCGCTCGACCTCCGGCATTGCCCCTTTTTTAAAGATTTGGATGCCCTAAAGATATCCCTCATCCTTGCTTCAAATGGATTTTAGAGCCCGCAAGTGCATTTCCAAGATCTTGATCTGCACTAAGCAAGGATAATGATAACCTAGCAACGACTTTATTCGTCCCATTCAAGCAGTACACCGAGATGCTTACGCCATTTGCACATGCAAAGCAGATACGCCTCCTCTATCACACACGTCCAAAGTGGCATAAAGATCTTATGCGACTGCAATTCCGAGGTAAACAAGCCAAGATTTGTGAGGGGTGAATTTTCTTGCAACACATTGCATGTGATGTTTCAGCGAGATGCTATTACACGTTGTGGAAAAGGCAAAACAATCGGGAAGAACTCAAGGGCTGAGAGCGACCTATTCTTGAAACTATATTGTGTTTGATTTCCAATCGTGGCATCGTTCTGCGTCAGTGGTCAAATTCTTTAGTAACTTGGTTCAACATGGCAGCACCACCAACCAAGACCCTTGACGACCTGGATGGCATATGGACTTTGGTGCGCTTGTCACAAGATTCAATACTTCTCGTCATATCTCACGTGTAATAGAACAAGCGGTTATCCGATCCCTTTGACGAGGTTCTCGCCCTACAAGGCATTGGCTGGATCCTCCGAAAGGCCATAGGAATGGCATCTGTAACCGAACAAATCAGCCAAAGTAGTGATGAGCATGGTGTCGAGCATATTACCATCAATCAGACCATTACAGGCGGCATCAAGACAACTCCGGAGCATCGAGTTCACAACGACACCTGGGGAGAGGAGTACAGCGACCCCATTTTTGGCCAGTCGAGAAGCCGCCACCGGCGTGTCAGAATTTCTTCACTCAGGGAAGACGACCCGGTAGAAGGTTCACTGAAAAGGGGTTGGACGCAGGATGTCATTGAAGGAGATGAGCTCATTGACGGCATTGTCGAATCTCTTAATCATGACTGGGTTGCGAGATTAGCCTGCGGCTTTGAGGAGATCAAGGGTGAACGAAGATTCGTTCGTCGTACAGTAGTGACAAAAGGCGAGCAAGTGCGACAGTTAAGGATGGTGTTCGACTTCAAAGCCCCCCTTCCCAACAAGCAATAGCTGAACTTGCATTCTGTCGACTTGGACGTTCAGCTTCAAAGCTGGCTTGATCTTTGCGCTGGTTGCATAGTAATCAAAAAGTCTAGAAGGAATTCACTAAATATGCCAAGATACTTCCGTAGGACTTTATAATATTTAGCTACGTTACACTATGGCCCTTCGGACTACAGTGTGACATAAGTAAATAATTTTGTATTTACAAACCGTACTGAAGTGTTACCCTTTATGTGAAAACACGAGAGCAGAGTATAGATTATCAGAGGTTGACCTAGCATCAGGGGAAAGGCGAGGTTGTGTATTAACCCGTGATTAGGCTGCCCCATGGGTTACCAACCCCGGACCACAGATCACGGGTGGGTCTGAAGCCTTCAGCCCACGGTCCTCCATCGGTTTCTTGGCAAACGGCAGGTCAATACCTAAATAGTACGCCTACACGTTTTTTATAGAAAAAGGCACCTCATCATGTAATAGAATAGTAAGTAATATATAATGGTATATCCTATGTTCCCTTAGTATAGTGTTATATTTAACTAATAACGAGTCGTATTTATAAAATATTAAACAAATCCTATAATAAACTATGTTAAATATTTGCTATGTTATGTTAGAATAGTGTTATATTTATAGAATAAAGCCACTTCTTGTGGTTGCAGCTGCTTAATTTGCAGGACGCGGTTTCTGCTTTACCGCCCGTACACCTGGCTCCATGGGCTCTTGTGCTACGTCCCTACCTTACACCAGGAGAGTGGCTGAAGGGTGGTTCACATTCGCCGTCGGAGCTCCTTGTGTCATTGTAGCTCTCCTACCACAACGGATACCAAAACAACTACAAAGTTTCTTCTTTACCGCCTCGCAGGCCAACATCCGTTACTCTTCAAACAGTCCCTGGTTTATAATTCCTCTGGTCTGCTTTCTGGTTTCCGTTCCTGTATTTTCTATTTGTCCCAAGGTGCCACTGGCAACAATGATCATGATAGTCACGACATAATGGACCACCCAGTCGCTCAGATTAGCCACCTGTATAGATATCCTGCGGTCTCCTTGCCTACATTTAGCACCACCTTTTCCAAAAAGCTTGCCATCTCATGTCCTCAAACATGTTAGCTTGACGGGTCTTTATCTCCTAAAGCCATGATCTTAGTGACTATGCCTGCGGGCTCCTGCGTTATTTAAGCACCATAAGTTTATTGTTAAGTTGTCTATTATGTCCACTAAAGCAGTATTAAACCACTATTGATTTTCTAAGCTCTCTCTAAGTGCCTTTGAATCATCCCTCGATATAACTCCGCCCTCGGCGTCACGTCTTCAATACCAGCAATTTTTGCCTCGTCATCCCATCTCCTTAAACTCACCATCTCGTCCCTCAACGGGTCCTGTTCGAATGTGTCCAAGTCCTTCCCTTCGAATGGCCCTCCCTGGAACTTCAAACTTTGCTTCGACGCCTCCGACAATGCATCATAATACGACAAATCAACTGCTGTGAGATACCTGGATCTGTCAGCCCCAACTATGCACTCCCCCTCCCCCACTCATTCTCTTTCTAAATCACCCGGAGCAAAGCAAATAATAAAAACCGCTCACCTCTTCGCAGCCACGTGGCTCCCAACCAGCTTCGACACCTTGTCTCCAAACCCCAAGCCCTTCAAGTACTCCTCTCCAACCCTCTCATGTCCAACTCGACCAACAGAATACTCCCCCATTGACATCCTAACATCCTTTGCATCCTCTATAGGGAGGAACTGGCCAATGTCATGCAGTAGCGCTGCAAGTACGGTTTCATCATCGCTTCCTAATTGTGTCAGTTAGAACGAATGAGGAGTCGGCACATTGAAGTTATGTAGGGATAGGCGGCCGGAACTGCAACTTATACTCACCAGCTTCTGCAGCGGAGTGTGCGCATTGCAGACAGTGCTCGAGTTGACTGATGCTCTCACCGATGTAATCGCTGGTGCCGCGCTCGCAGAGGAGGCGGATGATCGCGTCGGCTGTTCCTCCAGGAGTAGTTGCCATTTTGTTTCGACTTTGCTCTTTGATGTAGAAGATGAGGAAGTATTTGTAATGTAAATAGAATTGTTGGGGATACTAAGTGTTTTTATTCGCGCAATTAATGAACTCTGGTCGTCTATGTTACAGGAAGGTGGGTTGAGTGGCTGGGAGCTAGCCAGGTTCTGGTTTATTACTCACACAGCGGAATCCACCCGCTTATGGCAACTCCCCCTACGTCCGAAACTCACGGTTAATCATGTTTGGCATTTCATTTGAATTCATCATGGCCTTCTATTTCTTTATTTTATTGTTTTCAAATTTGAAGTATAACCTAATATGATATGCATTAAAACTCTATCTGCTTCCCTGAATCAACGGTCAACATTGGGCTTCCAAAGCCATATCTAAGTGCACCCTCCTCGTACTTCATCCCCCCCTGTCTCTTGTGCGTAGCTGGCCACAGTTTGGCACGGTCAGCATAGTAATCATCATGCAAATCTCCTTCACTCTTGCAGTTATAAGTCGCATAAATAGCCTTGCGATCTGAGCTGCTTTTGTTGGCACCACTACGGTGTGCAAGGTAAGAGCCAAAGATGAGAATCTGGCCTGCAGCATATCATGATTAGCTAGACACTCCCAGAATTGAGTTCAGAATATACACACCGGCTTCCAGTTCGACGGGCAACCAAGTGTGGTCGCCTGCCCACGATGGCTCAATGCAGTTATCCGCCTTCGCGATGGGGACGTCCATCAGATGGCTACCTTCAACCACTTCGAGGCCGCCATTAGACATGTTCGACTCGTCCACGGAAACGAGTATCGTCAAATGCTTGATGTTCTTCACATGAGTGTATGCTGTGCTATCGATGTGTGGCGCGAATCCCCCGGAGCCGGCGAGCTTATAATTGACTGTGCCCCTTGGTTAGTTGCAGCCATCTTCCTCCTTCAGTGTCTTGGAACGTACTCTTCTCTTTGAAAAGCAGCATGTCCTCCCCAGCTAACTGGCAAAGTATTCCCAGAATCTTGTCTCCTCGGAGCAATCCATTGAAATCCGCATGGTAATTTGCATAGTTTTCCGTGCGGCATAGTACGGATTTTCCAGATTTGTTGACTTCTTCATATGGCATCCATGGGGTATCCTCGGTGCGGGGTAGATCATGAACTTCTTGAGCCCATTTCTGCAATTTTATAGTCTCATCACTAGATAGGACGTCTTTGAGAATCAGATAACCATTCTTCTCAAAAAATGCTCGTTGGTCGGAAGATATGCTATACGCCATATTTGCAGCAATTTCAAATGGGATTGATGTAGTTGGTTTGGTCATGATACGTGAGGTGCATGCTGTATGTGACTTATAAGACTCAAGTATCAAATCGCGGTATAAATCCGCTCGAGCCTCAACAGATTAAAACAGCCTACTTTACCCACAGAATTTCTCGTGTATATTTCTCATCCTTACTAGTTTATTTGGATGGTTACGTTTAAGATCACCAAGCTTTCGTATGCGCGGCCGTGGCTGCTACCCGAATTACCACGTGTTGGCTGTGTCTTTATGATCGACAGCGCTAAGATAACATAGTATCTTATTTTCGGACACTACATACCCCGAATTGACGCACTTTCGGACGAATCGCCGTAGTCGCCGGTATACAACCTGCTCTCTGTGTTCTAATTCTCGGACTTCTCGCCGTAGCGTACGCCCAAAGCTGCTAGGTTGCCGTACCCGAGACCCATAACTGCCATTCAGAGGACAAACATCAACCACGTTCTTTCAACCATGATCTTTCCACGTTACCCTTTAATCGTTTAACAGACAGGGGATGAAACTATTTGTGGCGTACGATGGCCATTTCCACGGGTCCGATATCCCCGTGTTTGGTGTAGGAAGTAGTGCGGGAGCTTCAAGGGAAGACACGTGCGGTATGGATATAGCTCTAGAAAAGTATAATCGTGGTGCCACGGCGAGAATTTCCATCAGTATTTCTATCGTCCTCGTCGCTCCTTCTTTTGCCATCTAGTCTTTTTTTCAGTTCACCTTGCTTGTCATACTGGAACACTTCAGTGTTAATTTCGCAATGGCACAAACTGAGAAAGCTCTTGAGGCGGAAAGTTCACCTGATACGAGCCCAGATTTGTCGGCGTCGTTTCAAGACGAGAAATACATTTCCCAAGAAGCATCTTCTCTTCAACTGCCTACCGCAGCTATTGCCAATACTGCCAAAGTTTCCAGTGTCCTTACTGTATTTGTTGCTGGCGTCGCGCTCTTCAGCGATGGCTACAATGCCCAGATAATTGGCTACATGCAGCCATTATTTGCCGACCTGTACGTGCACTCCTCTGAGCGAAGCTCTAGTATGTTCTCTAACCCCAAAAACTAGGTATCCAAATGGCATATCTAGTGCAATTAAAACCCGCCTCTCTAACTCGTACTTAATCGGCGAAATATTCGGCATGCTATTCTTCGGCGTCCTTATTGACAAGGTTGGCCGACGCACGGGTATATTCTTCGCAACTATATTCCTAATTATTGGCATTATACTCGCTACGGCCTCGCATGGAAAAGACCAGCTTGGTCTGTTCTGGATGATGATTGTTGGCCGTGGTATTGCTGGCTTTGGCGCTGGGGGTGAATACCCCGTCTGCGCTACGACTGCTGCTGAGGCCTCGGACGAGACTTCGCATGTTCGCCGACGACGAGGGTTTCTGGTTGCTATGTCCACTGACTTTGCCGTTGATCTCGGCTTCGTTTTTGCCGGTATTGTCGCGTTGATTGTTTTGGCATGTTACAACCAGAAATCTTCAGAAGGAGTCTGGAGGGTCTGCTTTGGCTTAGGCATTGTTGTAAGTGACTATAAGCTGAGAACTATACAAACGACAAATATTAATGCAGTCAGCTCCCCATCGCCGTTGTCTTCTATCGTCTCCGCATGGCAAACTCCACTCAATTTCGAAAGCATGCCATTAAAACTAATATTCCCTACATTCATGCTTTGAAGTTGTATTGGAAGCCAATGCTTGGCACATGTGAGTTTCTACCCATATTTATGCCCCTTAATATTTCAGCGCATTACTAACCTTTCTATCTAAGCTCTCGCGTGGTTCTTCTACGACTTTGTAACCTACCCATTTGGCCTCTTCTCCTCTACCATCATCTCCCAGCTCAACCCGAACAATACCGTCGTCCAGAACATTGGCTATGGCACAGTAATCAACTGCTTCTACCTCCCCGGCTGCATCATAGGCGGCCTGCTTATGGATAAAATCGGACGCAAGCAAACTATGACCCTCGGATTCTTCCTTTGGGCCATCCTCGGCTTCGTTCTCGGCGGCGCACTCGGCCCCATCCAATCCGTGTTTCCCCTTTTCGTTGTCCTATACGGCATCTTCAACGCCCTAGGCGAAATGGGCCCCGGAGTCGCGACATTCCTGTGCGCAGCGGAATCTTTCCCTACTCCCCTTCGCGGGCACTATCTCGGTTTTGCAGCCGCAGTTGGTAAGGCGGGCGCAGCGATCGGGACGGAAGTCTTCACACCGATCCAGGACTCGTTTGCGAATACGGAGAAGGGGCAGCAGGGGGTGTTCTTGATCGGGGCTGCTTTTGCGGTTGTGGGGGGCCTAATTGCGTGGTTCTTTATCCCGGATAAAGAGAGGGATTTGGAGGCCGAGGATGCGAGGTTTAAGGCGTATCTGGAGGAGAACGGGTTTGATACAAGCTGTTATGGGGAAGTCCAGGTTAGATAACTTCGCATTATAGCGTAGCATATTGCACGGAATTTTAAATAAACTCCTCAGATAAGCTATTTCTCGATCTTCCTCGATCAGCCGCGATTTCGTCCTTAGCTGCTGCTTGCAAAGGGATTGTTCGAAGTCTCTTGTCGAGACCCTTGAGATGCATTTTCACTCTATGAATAACGTCAAGTAATATTAACTATCGAAACAGCGTTCTGTCCATAGGCCCTTTCATGCATTAAACATCATTCGTGACAAAATATCCCTCGTCATGGCTCATATACAGCAGAAGAAATGCCCCAAATCGATGTATTACATACAACCCCTGCGGAGAAACATAATTGAAACACATATCGACATGACGTTCAACCTTTAGGACCTCATCCCCATCCGACCCCTTCCCGTCGTTCTCTTTTGTCGACCGAGTAGGTAAACTGCTAACCGGTGCCGGATAATTTCAACGTTATGTTTCTTCCTCGACCTATTAACGTTAGTTAGGGACTGTCCATGAACTGTGGAAGATGATATTTTATAACTTGGGGAAGCACATACCTGATGGTCTTAGTAAGTTAGATGAGAAACCCAAGACGTGCCAATTGAACCTGTCCCGACTTTGGAAACAGGCCGGCCCGGTTATCGACTTTGAAATTTCGTAGTCTTGAGTATCTGGGACTACTCGGAGTCTCTCCTGAGCTTTCATATCCCGGCTGTGGATGGTTTATTTTCTGTCGTGGACGCAGTATGCGTTACTTTCCAACCAAGAATGTGCCTCCCCGATTCGATTGCAATCTGTTCGAGGCATCGTTGCCTCATTCTATTGCCGAGAACAAGTCAACTGACTGCGACATAGCTGGCTTCAAACAGCCCCACTGCCACGATTGTCAGTACGGCCTATTGAAAGTCTGCCCCGTCATCGTAGGTGCTTAAAACATTCATGGGATCGACGAAACGAAAGCGCTTGGAGAGAATAGCGAGCGCCTCGATGGCACTACTATTTCCGAAGCTTCGACTCCGCAAGTGAGAGACCAATGTGCGTATACCTCGCCTTGGGCCAGAGAACCTGAAATGGGTGACGTCTAGGTTCTCCTACCCTGTGCCCGATCAAACAACCCTCGTTGTTCTCAGCCTCCGCATAAGCAGATGTTTTCCAAGATCAAGACATCACAGCAAGGCCTGTCAAAGAAAACAACCACGAAACAGAGGCAGCAAGAAGCAAAGTTGTACGAATGAGAACATAAGATCACAAACACAATACCCAACGGTGTGGGTGTTACTCCACTGGGCACTCATTCATCCATAATAGCAATAAGGTTGGTAGCGATGGCTTGCCTTAGTGGTACGGAGTCGGCGTTGACAGCTGGTGGGCTTGGAACTGATGTTTGAAATAGCGTGCTCTGAGGTAAGACACTTTCAGAGCTTCATCTGGCTGGCATGGTCTCCCCGGTAAGTTACCGTCTCCATGGCGGCCAGTTGCCATGGTATTATTAGCCGCTTGTGAGCAGACATAATTATACGTGGCGGCCATGGCATTGTGCCGCGGGTCTAAGTGTCTAAACTCAAGGGCATCCATTGATTAGCCCATATCTGAAGGTGGGAAATACCAAAGTGGTGAGGTATCCTGGTATTAAATCCCGGTGCGATCCTTTGGGAGACTGTTTTTGTGACTGGCTCACATCCATATACTCCTGTGGTGCGAAGTCCTGTGGTGCGAAGTCCCGTGGTGCGAAGAATAAAAGCTACTGGTGTGGTTTGCTGGATGTTGTGTGGTAGCTGTTCGATGGGTCAATTGCCATTTGTGTTTGTGGTAGAGCTCCAGCTTGTGGCCGCTGCATATATCTGGAAGGCCCAACAGCCAGTACCATGCAGAAAGGCGACCAGGTAAGAGGCACACTTGTGGTAGCGGCATGGAATCGAAAAGCCGATATGGCCAACACCGTATGGACAGACGACTAGGTAAATGGCATGCACATCCTGGTGGATGCCGACTTTCAACGTATAAGGCCAAGTTGCTGGGAAGATTTGATAATCAGACAGGCAGTCGGCTTCCTTGGAATGGTATAGCAATGACCGAATGGAGCATATTTGCTGTCCCCGTGGAAGTTTGATTAACAAAAGTGGCTCCTGACCTGTGGCAGGTCTCATTCATTTCCACGGGGCGTTCATCTAGTAAACCACTGTTTGACGCTGGTGTGCATGTAACTGATGCCCGCCTGGATCCATTTGGAGCGTATAGTTATGCAATCGGTACCCATCAAAGGGCCCTCTCTCCCTCGGTGGGGAAGTTATGGTTCCATCGGCAAGGTTCCCATCAATACGGCCCAGGAATTCAAAAACGGACGTCCGGGGGGATTGGGATGATGTGCTCAATGGTAGGGATTCAGAGCTTCCTAGGCCGTGCTGTTTATAGTGGAAAGAGCCCTCTTGCCCGGCATGTACAGTATCCAAGGCTACCCGTTCTGGGTCTGTTTTGGGCATCCTGGGTGGTTCATTGAGTGTTTCGCCCGACATACGTGACTCCACGTCGGTCATGCCATCGCCAACTCCGTCCACCGTCAGATCCCGGGCCCTGGGATCATCAATGTGGATATACCCCTGTGCCCAGCGGTCTGCCAGTCTATCCAAAGCCTTGGCTCCTCTGGCAAGCTCCATGGTACAGAAGAGCGCGGCACACACGAACAACGGGATAGCGGCTGCAACTTTCCGGCCCTGAAACGGTGAGCAGTCCAAAAGGATCGGTGATAGGATGATGAGGACTAGTGTCGGCGGCACACCGTATCTGCGTGTGATTAGCGAGCTGACGACGGGGTTCGGTCTGTCGATGCGAGACCTACGAGGCGATGTCTGGGAGGCGGCAGAGGACGAAGGCTCGTGTGGATAAGGTGAACAAGACGATAGTTCTAGGTCATTAGATGGGCCCTGGAGTTTGTTTAGAGGGGCTTCGACACATACACGGATAACTGGGGGTTGATGGAGAAGGGCTCATAGATGGTGAACCAGATGATGGCGGTGGTGGCCATGGTTGCCTGGGGTAGCCACATCACTGCGAACATGCTGGGCAAAATGGTGGAGATATGGGACGGTGTAGATATCGGATGATGGAGATATGACTCGGAATAATTCAAACAAACGTTATAAGAGGTTGTCTTGGTATAATATGGGGTACGGACGAAGAGCCGTGGATGGATCCGTGGGGAAGAAATGATGGGGAATCCCTATTTAAAGCATTTGGTCCAGAAGACAAGTGACCATCAGCAAGCCTCAATTGTGCAGGGTAGTAAGAACGAGGCGGATAAGTGGGCAAATCGGAGCATACACCACGGAGCCAGTCACGTCGATTGGGAGATAAGTATTGTGGCTGTTCATTCATTCGCACCTTCTGCCACACCTCCATCTATCAGCCTCTCAGCAATATATCAATGCCCAACCCAACCCAATTGCTTCCCCCCTCGCAGCCCCGATAGGCAACAGGACGCCACAAGCCAAACGAGCCAATTAATATCAATAACCTAGAGAATTGTAATCAGAAATGTCCCCAACATCAAATCTCCGACCCCTCCGGACCAGACACCCTGCCGCTCGTCCTCACCGAGTGTGGCGCAAGCAGAGGGCATGTTGTGAAGTAGCATCAGAATCCCGATTTATAAGCACCGCTGGCACGTCCCACTGGGATTACCTATAGGTACGTGCCGGCCTAATACGGCTCTTCCTAAAGATATATGGGTATATGAACTCATCATTTGCTTTTTCGGGTCGTTGCGTGCGTGGATGGTGGTACGGTCGAGTGCGAGCTCAATCGTGCGTCGTCGATTGACAGTAGAAGGAGAAAAGGTATTGCTTACCTGGTAAGTTAGTTGATACACAGCTTGTGATGAACTCGACAGCGACGCCGAACCAGCTGCGCCTGTTGACGCTTCGAGCGTTGCATATTTGTAAATGGAGACAAGAGCTTGAAAACGAAGAAATACTGAATTGCTATCCGAACGCGCTAAGTTATCGCTAGCGTGGCTTGGGAGTTAATTAACCACGTGACTTCATGGTTTCAATATCACGTGATATAAGCAGGAGATATTGGCAGCTGCGTTCCCCTTGTTTAATTACAGCTATCAGCCTCACGCGATGACCGGGATAACAAAGTTGACCGGGTCCAATTACCGCGTCTGGAGCCTGCGGGCGAAGCGGCTCCTGCAATCCCGCGGGCTCTGGGATGTCGTGGAACCCCTCCCGAGGGCAGACAAGGCAGGGGAGCAGCCCCAAGCACCGGGCGGTGACGTGCCTGCCGCCGCTCCTCCCCCAGCCGCAGACTTCGAAGTCCGCGATGCCCAAGCGAGCTGTCTGATAATGGAGCTTTGCGACCCCATCTCCCTCAACCTCATCGTCTCCACCGAATGCGCGCAAATGCAATGGGTGCGTCTGCGGAGGTTCTACGGGCCCTCATTGGGGCAGTATCAGGGGCTACGGGAGGAGTTTGGGGAGTTCGCTGCGAAGGCGGGAGGAAAGGGGTGGGCGGAGATTGCGGGGGAGTTAGAAGGCCTGCAGCAGCAGATTGGGGAGGTGCCGGGAGGGGTAAAGCCGGGGGAAGAGGAGATGCTGGGGGTACTGAATGAGGTGGCGCGGGGGAAGGGGGGTGAGTATGGGAAGCTTGCTGGATATCTTAGGTTAAAAGGGGAGTATACGTATCAGAACTTTTTGATGAGCCTGGTGTCGTTGGAATGGCAAGAGGCCAGGAGCTCGGGGAAGAAGAATAAAGGAGGCGGCTGGAAGAAAGGTGGCGGAGGGCAATAGGGTTATGGAAGCAGCTGTTCGTAGAATAAATATAAAGCCGTCAACTGTTAAATGGGTCCAGGTCCGAAGCGTCTCTTGACACTTGGTGTTAGCGATAGGGACGTGCACTATATGTACGTTGGCATTTGGCTCTAAAATAGCAACTTTTCTGTATCATGGTTAGGTCTCCCGATTAGCTTTCGATATCTCCACCACCCACCACTTTTGCCGAGAGCTGAAATTTAGCTTCTCTAGCTAGCCGCCTCAAGTCTGCAAGTAATAGGTAGGCCTATGAAGCAGATATTTTATTATAACCACGCCATATACTTTATTGTTATGGACCCTCCTAAATCCATCTATTAAAGTGAGAGGTTCCCGTCACCATACCAGCCTACCTAAAGCTATACGCCTCGCACCTGGCGCTTCCAGGTAGAATATCTCCTCTGCTACAACGACGTCTGGCACGTCGTCTCACCCTCACTGTCCCCAGAAGATACAGGCAATGAAGTTGCAGCTGCGGAAGACTTAACCGACGAGCGTGAGAAGTTCAGACAAAATCTACACGCCATGGTACTCATCCAGGACCACTGCTCCAAGGAGATACGGTCAAGGATCCTAAACTGTAAGGACGCCGCAGAGGCATGGGAGGAATTGAAGAGCACGTATGGGCCGCAGCTGAGCAGGCCCCCGGATATGCTAGGGGAGTTTGTGAGTTATGTGCCACAGGCGGGAATGCGGGTGTCGGATATGGCGGAGGATCTGGCTAAGCTCCAGCACGATATTGCGGAGGTGTGTCGGGAGGAAAGGCCGTCAGATATGATGAAGACGGCTGTGTTGCTTAGGGCGGCGGATGACGTGGTAAGGGCCGCAGGGGATAAGGGTTGGGCGGTTTTATGGGCAATGAGGGGGCGGGAGTTTTTAGAGGTGCTGCGGGCGCTTGTGACGCTTGAAGAGGAGGTTACGAAGAGAAAAAGGGTGGAGGAAGGGAATAGAGGCGGTCGAAAGAGAGGTCGAAGACGGCAATAGAGATATGCAAGCAGCTATTTATAGAATGAATAGAGAGCTGTGAGATACCCCGCAATTAGTTTTGATGCTCCTGCTACCACCTTTGCCAAGAGCATAGCTAACTTCAACTCTCTGAGGATTTGGGTAGAAACATCGGAATAATTTGGCTCCTCTTCGCTAGAAGTATTATTCCTAAGATACAATTACAGAAAACCTGCTATCGATTCTGACCGAAGTACCAACCTAATAACACACAATGTCTAATACCCCCCCATGGATACAAAAAACGAGTTTCAATTGCGCTGAAAATATTGAGAGTTACCTCCAGGAAGATGGCCACCGAACTTGGGGCTTTGTCATTTATCGCTGTACCTATGTCAGCGACGTCGACTGGAATAAATTTATGGAGCTTCTGCGACGCCACATCAGGCGGAGCTTCGAGTTCTACAACAGGCTGGATATTATGGACAGCCTCAGCCTGACCATCATCCAAGATCAATCGATTTTCGACGACGCCAGTACGTCTTTCGTCCGCGAGCATTTCAAGCAATGGGCCGCCACGGCACCAGAAGAAGAGCAAGGCGAAGGCATAGGACCGGGCCTGTCTCAACGCTACAGATATTGCATACAGGTGGACGATTACGCCCTAGAGTCTATCATGGAGGATGAGAATGATGGTTACGTCAATCTCATAAAGAGGGAGTGGGATCCGCAGAGTCAGGGTGATCGAGGGCCGGTAGAAGACCCCATCGAAGACTGTACGCTACACGATGTAGGGTGGATGATGGTTGACTACCGAGACGTTATGGTGGGCTTTCATTACCAGTTACGGGGTTATAACAATTGGTACCAGGAGTATCGGCGGCCTCCAAAAGTGGCCCATGGGTGAGCTGGAGTTGGAGGAAATTGAATTGCTCAGAACTCGCATAGAGGCTTCTACGTAATTGCAAGCAACGTGACTTTCTGTTACTCTGTTTAGCTAAGACCTCTTACACCCTATGCTTACGTAGTAATTTATAGACTCACCTAACCAGGCACCCAATCCACAGGAACTAGACGGGCCTCTCCTCTAGTTTCTCACTTAATCCATCAGCCCCCAGACCGTAGATTATAAGTCGATCCATAACCTAGACCACAAGCACCCTCCCAGCGCCTAGATCGCCATCAAAACCCACGCCTTACTCTCACAACCAAGCCCTTCCTTGCCGCCATACCCTGCACCCCACCCACCGTCGCCCACAATGCCACCCATGGAGCCCCCCATCGGGCATGCAAACTACCGCACCAAGAAAATCCGAAGCCCTCCTCCGCCCCCAAGGCCTCTAAAAGGCCGTCCCAGAGTCTCTCCTCAACGACCCCGCCCTCGACTTCCACCCGCCAGCTGGGCCTAACATCCCTATTCTGCGTTTCGAGCTGTTCACAGTTCCTGACTACCGAACGTGGCACAAAGAGGTAGAGGGACGGTTGATAGGCCGCTTTAGTAGTAAGCTCCCACATCCAATGGAAACGGTTTCTCGCTCGGGTACTCCGTTAGGATGACACTTCTCGCCTCCGCTGCCTGCGCAGAATCCGTAATGACCCCTTGCGTAACCGGAATATTGTAGTCTTTTAGCCTAGTTGAAGTGTAGCTCTAACGTAACTGCACTGTACACTTTAGGAGGGGCGTGGAGCTTTGCTAGGGGGTGGTGCATTGTTTCGGTCTTATTCTAATTGGTACAACTGTAAGCCTAGAAATCCAACACAAAATACGTTTAGAAATTAAAGTCCTGTGAAAACAAAGAAGAGGAAATGCCGTGAACCCTCTTAGTCTCTCTTGTTAGTGGCTCTGTTGGTATACTCAGTCAGACAATTAATATCCACTTGCATGCATCCACAAAGCTTGTTGGGGCTAAGCACAAAGCTTGTTAGCGCCAAGGCAACAGTTGACGGGTGATGAGTTTTGCAATTCCAACTGCATTAATTACATTGCCCATAGTTTCAACTACATTAACACCTACGTGATCTTTGGCTTTCCGCCTCCCATTGGTGAGGTACTCTCCTATAACCCCACCGCTAGTACAGCTGACAGTTGGATACCACTCAATTTAGTCTGGCATGTCTGACGGTCGGAGGATATTACGGACGCAATTGATATTGCAATCAAGCTGTATGTACCTTGGATCCGAGGCTGTTCGTTGGTGATTCGTTACGCCGTTCCAAATATAGCCAACAATAGCGGCTGCCTAGCACTATCGGAGAGCGTTCTAGACGTGGTAAACGTGGGGGCGGGGAGGGGGGAATTAAATTGACCACTATGAACCAGATTATGTATGATGTATTTCGTGCTTTACAATTTCAAGCAAGCTAGGCTTGCTGTTCACCACTAACGATCCTTGACCAACTTCTCCCTCCCAATCTATCGCTGCCGACTGTACCCATTTCAAAGGAAAAGTAAGATTCCCAGCATCGCTATAGCAGTCGGCCAAGCCACACAAAGCACATAGTCAAACCACATCTCATCCTCATGCCTCCCCCAAAACACCCCAGTCGCCAATCCAGCATTTGCCGCCAGGAGAATAAGTAAAACAGAGCGTGTTAAAAAGGTATTTGAGACGTGGCTTGCATCTTCGATATAGATGAACATTCCAATAAAAAACGGGAATAGAAGAGTAAAGCCGATCAGCCCTAGCGTTTCTACAGGCCCTAGGCTAGCTGAAGGCTGGTGACGTTGGGAGGAGCCTTTCTTTTCATCCTGGTCGTCCAGCAGTGGTTGGGCTTGGAAATCGAGTTTTGAATGAAGGGATGCCATAGAAACGCTTATTTGGAGCATTGTATTTGAGAGGTCCGAAAGTGTCGATTGTATGTCGACACAGTTTATATCGCAAATCGAGACCTGGGGGGGGGCGTAGTGATGGCGATTGGGAAGCCGTGTTAGGGCTGTGAAACATAATGTTGCAGCCGGCTTGGAAGGCAAGAATGCTCAGGGTCATAATCAATAAACCCAATAGAGCTTGGGGCCGGGCTTGGAGAGCTTTGAGAAGCATTGTGGTTGCCTGAGAAGACTTCGACCTGAACAATGACTGTAGGGTTGACGCTAACAGTGATTAGGAGGAGTTCTAGGCAAGTAACAGCCGTCCGTGATAGAAAGTGCAGAATGCCAACGACGAAGTTTCTTGCAATACAATAGAGTTCGCTAAGAACCTATTGTCAGGGGATATTATCTAACCGACATCGCGGGAGACTAGCCAGGGAACCTCGTACTACCCGCATTGCCATACCAAATTTAAGTAGCCCGAAGAGTGTATGCCTTTGGGAATATATCCACAAAAGCAGTAATTGGTGTATCAATCCACATCGAATTCTTAGAATCCCTTTTCCCGTATCCGTTGGTTTCTAAATCAACCGCATGGATGTAGTTGGCAAAAATGGCCTATGTTGCGAAAGGGAAGTATGCTCTCATAGTCGATGTCACATACATATAATGGCCAACTCTGCTCCCCGAGAAACTCACATTACACCAAACAAATATCATCTTCTGAAAGCCATCAAGGGTGGTTTTCCAAACATGCTGTTTATAAAAGTTGTTACTAGCGCTGCATTTCTCGTCTCTGCTATTCTTACTCCCTCTCTATCCCGTCAAAAGATGTCGCCATCGTTTCTCGCGACGAGGTTGTTACGTCTCCCGAAACATCTCTCTCAGTACGGGTCACAACGGATCTTTCTCCTCGTTTAGCAGGTTCTCCAGCAGTTGTTCTAGCTACAATTAGCGGTACTGTTGCCGTTGGGTCTGCTGCTTGCATTTCTGGCCAAGTTGTTGGCTGTGCCGCTGCCGCGATTGCATTAGGGGTTCAGTCTGTCGTCGCGACATTCTTTTACCTTTACAAAGTCTTCCAAAAAAAAAAACGATCCATCATTGCTTCCTACGCGAAGCATTGGGGCAGGCACATTCCACCTCCACGCTGAATACGTCCCAACTTACAGCATGCGACATTCGGTGCAAGCTTAATGCTACAGCTGGATCTGGCGAGTGGACCACGCTTGGGAACATGACCACAAATGGTACCCTCCATAACATACACTACCGTCGCTCAGGAGGTATGCATGGAGTTCGAGCTGTGCCAGATACAAGCTCAAACACAGATGTGCTTAGAGCGAGGCAGAGTGATGATACAGCCAACAATAATGGATTTATTATAGCCTACTATTGGGAAGATAACAGCAACGAATACGAGTAAGTTATCAATCTATATTTCACTTTGCCATACTGACTGAATTTATAGTTGGAGTAATTGGGATCAGGTGCATGATGATGTGCCCGTCGCGAATAGTATTGCCAGGTTCATCGTTAGCTCAGACTCCGCCTTAATCTGTGCAGACCTCGAAGACAGTGATGGAGCCATTAACGCCGGAGTAATGGGTACGGACAATGATAATCAAGGGGATGTTTATACAGACACATATCTTCAGCAGGCTTTGGACTTCTGCGCCGCAGGGGATGGTTTGAAGAAGCTGTGAGGTGTTTGCGATGAGCATTAGTTCCCAGCCACACCTGGGCTCGCTGGCCTCGTAAGCCCCAAATCCAGACTATATTCATTTCTTCCATTCATTAAGATCGAAGTCTATTACGCATCGCTCTTGTTTGAGTGGTATTGACCTTCTGTTTCTTCTATATAAGCCTCAGTTGATTCTCCTTCGATTAGAAGAATTAAAGCACTACTTTGGTACCACTTTAGAGTATGTTGATGATATTGCAATGAACACATGATGAAACTAAGTCGGCACCTTCTCCCTCCTTAACAACTTCGTACACTGCACATACGCGCTCTTCATCTTCTTCTCTTCCTATCGTTGGTCAGCTCTCTCGTTCACTCGCCGCCCGCGGTCCTCAACTCACCGGGTATAATCGGATCTGATAACACATTCTACTTAATAATTTATGCAGAGATGAATGTGCATAGTAATTACCTTAGAAATAAGTAACTTTACATAGAAACTATTCTAAGAAACTACCTTGAGTTGGCGGTTGGGCTGCCTAGTTAGGCAACCACCAATATTACCCATTCGTGAATGGGCCGGCCCAACCATCAATATTGCGATTTACGGTTGGGCCGGCCCAACCGTAAATAGGAGTAATTGATCAATTGAACTATACTATATAGTATTGCCTATAGTGTCTGCTCTTGCCCGCTTCCGCTTTGGCCGCTCAACTAAAGCTATTTCCGTACGAGTAGTAAGACCTGATAAATTGCCACAGTTGTGGTCATCGTTATGGCAGTGTACACTACACTCCTTTGCTTCCTTATAACACCTACACCTCTTCGTACTACACAGCCCTTTGCACTGACAGGATATTCCAACCCGAGCACTTGTAGAAGCCTCTCTAGCTGCAAGCCCTAGGCCTACTTCCTTAGTAGAAGTAGGAATTACTATATCACCCTATATAGCTCGCTCTACAACTCTAAGTGATTTAGTAGGAATAAGGCGTTGTATAATACTAGAAGCTGTAAGAATCCGATACCTATGAGGGTAAGGCTCTTCTAGAATTCTTGCAAATAGCCTCTTATTATCAGTTGAAGTTCTATCCTCTCGAGGAACCTTAATAGAGACTATTTCTCCTATATCAAAGTGCTGAATATCATGCTTCTTTGTATACTTCCGCACCATAGAAATCCTTGCTCGTTGAGTAGCTACTATAGCTCTCTCAATTACAGGATCTGGTGTAAGCCGAAGCTCAGTTCTAAGCTGAGCTGGAACTCGGGCCCGGCTCCCACGCCGGAGCTCTGGCTCAGAGCTAGGGCTAGGCTCGGAATTGAGTTCTAAGCCAGAGCTCTTAATTCTAGGCTTTGGCGCTCGAGCCTGAAGCCTTGAGCTCTCGAGCTCAGAACGGAACTCTGGCTCAGCCTGGAGCTGGGCTAGTTCTCGAGCCTGAGCTCGAGTAGGAACTTGTCGTGAGAGCTCAGAATTGAGCTCTCGCTCAGAGCCAGAGCGGAGCTCCGAACTGAGCTCGGAATTGAGCTCAATTCCGAGCTCAATTCCAAGCTCTGAGCTAGAGAGCTCAATTCTAAGCTCTGACTCGAGCTAGAGCTGGGCTGTAGATCGAACTCTAGCTCTAGTTCGGAGCTTAGAATTGAGCTCAATTCGGAGCTCTGGCTCAGAACCAGAGCTAGGCTCATAATTAAGCTCTGGCTCTCGCTGCCGAAGCCGTGGGTCGATTAGAGCTTCCGTCTCAGACTCAAGCTCAGACTAGAGCTCGCTCTCAAATATCGGGCCCATGGTTGGGTCTTCTTGCTCAATTCCAATTGACAGATCCTTCTGGGCCTAACTATTAAGCCAGTTAATGTGTGAGCTCCGCTCTCGGAATAGAAGTGTAGCTGGCGCACACCCAATTGTAGAGTGGATTTGGGTGTTCATAGCAAGCACCACTTCAAGTAGCCCATTCTTCCATTCTATAGACCCATGATCCATTTTCCATGCCTAGAGCTTATTCTCAACAACTCCATTTGCCTGCTCAACTAGGCCTTGCGTTTGTAGTGATTGTGGTGCTCCATTTACCACCTGTATTCCATACTTCCGTAGTAAGAGTAAGAGAGCCCCCTTAAATTCCTTCCCATTATTAGCCTACATAATCTTCAGAGGTAGGAAAGCTGCAATGAATTGAGCAAAGCAGTCTGCAATTGGCTCTGCATGCTTGCTTTTTAATGGGTATAGCTGTGTATACTTTGAGAAGTGATCCTTTATATAAAGAATCCACTTATACTGTCCTGAAGGCTTGTGGCGCATATCAATTAGGTCGATTTGAACCCTCTCCCACGCCTGTCCACTTATAATAGGGACTAATGGAGCTTTAGTTGTGTTTAGCCGATTTAGAGTACAGTTCTTGCAACGCTTAAGTATAAACTCGACATCCTGACGCTTAATCCCATAGTACTGTTGCTCAATAACAGGCCAGAACTTATTACGGCCTGCATGTAGAAGCTTTAGATGCTCTTGCGCAATAACATCGAATACCTCTGCTTTCTAAACTATAAACCTAGGAGTTAGATGTCGTATATCACTCTTCTTATGGAGCTTCTCATCTATAAGCTCAAACTGAGACTGCGTACGGTGCTTTAGGTTGCTACTCTCTTGATCAAATAGTGTAAACGTTGTAATATTCTGTAGTATAGTGCGCATTTAGTGCCATTTTGTATATGGAAGTTGCTCTCGATTATAGTAAGTAGGATTACTTATATATGCTTCAAAAGCAGTACGTACGTCGTTTAGGAACGGGTTGATTGAAGTAATAGTAGCCATAATTACTATAGTTGTAGGATGTAGGATTTGAGTTTTCTATAATACTATTTACCCCGCAGTTAGGCTGCATTTACGGTTGGGCCGGAACATTGGTGAATGGGCCGGCCCATTCACGAATGGGTAATATTGGTGGTTGGGCCGGAACATATATAAAACAGCAACTCCCGTCTCAGATGGTAAGATATCTATTATCATCAACTTATATATCTACTATATCGATATTTATCCGCTTCATTACGCTTCTCACATCTACGACACCTCTTCAATTTTATATAAATTCGCTACTCCGCCCATCTCAAAAATGAACTACACACCACCACCCTTCCAATCCATCCACTTCGTCCCCGCAAACGAGGAAGTCGACATCCGAAGCCGCCCAGTCAAAGCAATCCACGTCGTCACCCATGATCCCCTCCCCGACGGAGCCAACCACTGGTGCTTCTATCTCCAACTCTCCTCGGGTGCATCAATATGCGTCAACATGGTGCTAACCTACAGCTCCCCCAGCACCATACTCCCGGGTGGCTCAAAAGGCAATATAATCCTATCCGCCCTCCCAAGTATCTATCCGTCCTCAGCAACCAAAACGATCTGCCTCAGAGTCTGCGCCAACCTGACTGTAGGCCGTGTTCTGGATCTCCTTGTCCAGTCAGGTCGCGATAAGTACGATTTCAATTCGGAGGGACGTGGGTGTCGGATGTGGACGACTGATCAGATTGCACTGCATAGAGCAACAGCACAGACTCCCTCCCAGCAGGGGACCAGACACCACTAATGTGCAGATTGTGCGGCATTGAAGCTGTGCGTTATTTACATTTACCCTGCTGTGTTAGATCTCTTACCAAGGGGTCTGAGAGATTGCTCCAACAGTGGACTAAGTGTAGGTCTAAGCATCCATCTATCCACCCCATGCCACCCGATGGTCTCAGTGATCCCTCCGCCCCGTCCACACTACATGGCCCCGCCCAACGGATCCCCGCGCTCCGCTTCGCCGCAGCTAAAAACCCGCAGTGGCACATGAATGCTTCGCAGAGCCAACTTCGAGTTACGCCCTCCGATGACTGCGCCTTCCATGCCACCGAGCTCCTCGGGATGGTGGAGGGAGTGGCTGAATACACAGTATTTTGTAGATACCCAAGAGCTTTAGAAGATAAGCGGTTATAGCGAGGTTGACCTAGCTTCCGAAGTCAGAATTCGTCCTATGTACAGAACTTATAATAAAATCTGACGTATATTGTGCACAAACGCATCATCCAAATGATATACAGAATGCAACCCTCAATGTCTCTCACATTAGCCCGTGGCGCTTCGGCGCTAAGGGTTATGTAATATAATACAGTAACGAGTCGCTGTGAGCTCTTCCAAGACGGGCTGCAGCCGCCGAATTGACTCTGATGTGGAATTCCGCAATCAAATCATCAGATAAAAATATATATCGCAGTTCAAATCATCAGATAAAAATATATATCGCAGTGCCCAAGCCTACCATCAGGTGTCCCATCCAGGGTAACCGTAAGGGTTATACTATAACATAAAGAGTTAGTGGGCTGCTGTGGGTATTCTTATCCCAACCAGACAAAAGCTAACCAAAGACATTTCCAATGTTTGCAGCAGCATTCACTAAGCCACGCAGACCAGACGGACTATGCCAGTACTCATATTCGGCATCTTAAATTCATGTGCAATTGAGGGGACGAGTACCTCTGATGCTTTGATTAGTGATCAATCTAACTTACCAAAATTTCGTGACTTGTGATCGTTCTATTCAGTGAACTGAAGAGGCTCCTCATTCTCGGATATTACCATTTTACCTTTTCAGTTCACTAATCCGAGAATGAGGAGCCCCTTTAGTTCACTAATCCGAGAATGAGGAGCCTCTTCAGTTCACTAATCAGAGAATGAGGATTTACCTTTTCAGTTCACTAATTTTTTCGGTTCACTAATCTTTTCAGTTCACTAATCTTTTCAGTTCACTAATCCGAGAATGTGGTGCGTCATGGGGGACGGACGGTTCCAAAGCGCCGGTCTGAAGATTTTCCAACCTAGCCCACGGTCTGGGTTACAAAATCATGGCAAACCGCCTAGACTGCTATGGTCCCCTAACGGTCTGCTAAGAAACCGTTCAAAATATAGCAAATGTACTACTACACCTATTTTATAAGCAAAGGTACTTTATCATGTAATAATATGTTATAGTAATATATTTAGTCTATCACATAATTAAGGACCTTTACCTATTAAATAGGTGTAGTAGTACATTTGCTATATTTTGAACGGTTTTTTAGCAGAACGGTGGGGGACCGTGGGTTATTACCTATAGACCGGACCACGGTCTAGGTTGAAGATTGGAACCAGACCGCCCCATGACGCACATTCCCTATATACCTTAAAGGTATTACCTTTAAGGTATATAGAGAAAGAGCAATAGTCGTCTCGATATGGATAAACTATTACCTTCGAACAAACTCCAACATTTTCTAAATTTCAATTCCATTTATCATGTCGAAGGTTTCCAAAATCTTTGTTGTCGGTGCCACTGGAGCCCAAGGCATTCCAGTCGTGCGCGGCTTGGTTAAAGACAAGGCATACTTTGTCCGAGCCTTAACACGCAATGCACAGTCCCAACGAGCCAAAGATCTTGTCGCGCTCGGCAACGTCGAGCTGGTGGAAGGGACGTTCGCGAGCGAGGATGATCTCCGAAACGGCTTCCGAGGTTGCGATGGAGCATTCGTCAACATCGACGGGTTCAACTGCGGGGAGAAGACCGAGACCATCTGGGCTATACGCTCCTATGAGATCGCACTGGAGGAAGGGGTCAAATTCTTCGTATACGGAAATCTAGACTTTGTGTACAAAAAGGCTGGGTACAATCCGATCTTCCGCACTGGGCACTACGATGGCAAGGGCCGCATCGGAGAATGGATCCTACAGCAAAACAAGGATAACGGGCCCAGGATGGCTGCGGCGCTGTTCACGACTGGCCCGTACATTGAGATGTGCATATCTAGCCAGACCATTATGACTCCAACAGTGGAGGATGGCGTCGTCACTTGGCGCGTGCCACTTGGTGACGGCGCGGTCGTGCATGTGGCCCTCGATGATTGCGAGCACTACGTCCGCTGGCTGTTTGACAATCCAGAGAGAGCCAACGGGCTGGACCTCGAGGTTGCCATCGATCATATCCCTTACTCTGAATTGGCCCGGGCTTTTGAGAAGGTGACGGGTCATCCAGCAAGATACATTGACACGGACATCGGTACGTATTGGACGGACGGCCCTATGGCCGCTGTCGCCAGCATGAGCAGTGGGTACAATTCCGATCTAAATGATCCTGCTGCCATGACATTCAGGCAGAACTTCACTGGTTTTTGGACAATGTGGACACACTCAAGGGATAACAAGGGCGTCATTAAGAGGGACTATGGCCTTCTGAACGAGATACTCCCGGATCGCATTAAGACAGCGGAGGAATGGTTCAGGAAGGAAGACGCGAAAGGTAGGAAATTGGGACTGGGTAGTTTATGGGAACGAGTGCAGCCAGATCGTTTAAAGCCCATCTTGAAAATTGGAGAGGACGGAAGAAGAGGGAAATTGTAGCTTTATAACGCCCTCGGCAATAATCGATGGCAGAAAGCTGTCCCGTAATATTCAACTGCGGACCCACTTGTGCATGTCCACGCCTGAATATTGCTGATACCCTCATGCTGGGCACAAATATAACTAGTATATCACTACTACTTTGGCTGATTGTGTCGAGATATCTCTTGCCGCTCTACTGGTTCGCACTATACCCGGACCAGGTTGTAGCATTCCCAGGAGTCCTCGGCCATGCAGTCGGCGGACGCGGATCTTGAAGTTGCGGTTCTCACTTCTAGCAAGTGAGAATAATATTCATACATATATGCCTTTCTGTCGCACCTCACACACATTTTACAGCTACTTTACGTAGGGATTTCCACCTAGCATAGGCATAGGGAAGCTGTGTGTATAGCTATTTAGAACCCTAATTTAGAGTATAACAGGAAGCCTATTATGTTCCTAAAGCAAGTCTACGCCATCGACGCATAAGACGACAATCACGGCGCATATTCCTCCCAACTTGAGAAAGTTAACTGATCTAGAGGAATCGGTAATTCTTCGACGTATACTTGATCTAGATTCACAAGGAATTCAGCCCTAGCAAAGCGATATTCAAGAAATGGCCAATTGTCTTCGTACGGACTGAAACACGTCACCCATTAGACCACGATAGGCAGAGAACTTTTTCAAGTGCTACCCTGAGCTTACTATGGCTTTTCGATGACAAGTTGACTACTAGAGGGCTAAATGCGAAGATCCTAATATCGTACGAGCCTGCTCCGCGTGTCGAATTTTTAACGTCAAAATTTAGAAAACTGAAGCATCTAACAGAACACATATGTCTCCTGCGGAATGCTCTGCCTACACTGACACAAGGCCTATCATCTTCAGTATACGTCTTTCTTTAAGTATCACGCAGATAAGCAGCCACAACACCACCCCAACCTCCACTATTAGCACTCTCCGTCGCCACCACAGTAGTGCCCTCGAGGAAAATATTCGTAACGGCCTTGACATTCTGCCCGTAGATATACAGCCTAGAGGAGCTTGTAATCTCAACTGCATTCTTCTGGCAATCCCCATTGCAACCGCCCCCATTGTTAAAGAAGGCCCAAACCATTCCGTTGTACAAGAATAGGTCAGAGGATCCGCTAATCCTCTCAAAGAAGGCCATGCGACAGGTTGAGTCAGCAGCGGCGCAATTAGAGAAGTCTGGGTCGCTAGCAATGAGGTTGCTGGCCCACGGTGCAGGGGCTAGGTCGTTGCCGGGGCCTTGCCAGTAGGGAGTTTCACTAAAGAAGTCTGTTAAACAAGCAGTCTCAAGGGTTAGTCATAAGGAAACTATTTACATACCTCTGCTGGAACGCGGAGAAAACGTTTTTTGCGTTGTTGTAGTTGTACTGGTACAACGTGTGGTGTTCCATGGCCGTTCCAACGAGCCAGGTTGCCTTCGTAGCTTCAACGAGAAGGCCTCGACCACTCGAGATGGTGGCACCGTTTCCACCATCAAGATCATGATCGGCTGTCCAGCCCCACATGTTTTCGATATAGGCAGAGGAGGTGCTCGTCAGATGGATAAGGCCCCAAGCAGCCTTGCACTGATCGGGGGTGCCACCGCAATTAGTCTCAACCTTGCTGCCTGCCGCGCCACCAATTCGGAAGTGAGTGTTGAAGAAGCCAACATCGCCGGGGTTGGATCCGGCAATATTAACTTCCACCTATGACAAATGTTAGAGAGATGGCTAGGAAACTAACAGGTATGGGATAGACTAACCAACTTGCAACCCTGCAGGACGTCTGCAACAGTAAAGAGCATATCAGTTATTTGAGCTACGCCTACATCTCCTGCATTTCCAACTTTTACCATTGTCGCCGGCGCCGCGGGATTATAGAAGTTTCCTCCAAGTGCGGATATAGCTGTTCCAAAGGCGTCTCCATAAATTCGAGAGCCAGCAGGGACATTGATGGTGTTGGTCACGATGTAGGTTCCTGCCGGGAAGTAGATAATTTTGCAGCCCGCATACTGCGATAGGATGGCATTGATATTGTTCGTTTCGTCGGTAGCACCGTCACCATAAACTGGAAGGCCTGCCACGTTTTTGATATTGAGCACCTGATCCACCGAGTATTTCTGGTAGGTTGGCGGAGCCATTGTAAAGTATTTGCCGTTAGAGAGGAGGGCTGCCGCCCGAGGAGTTGTCACTGACTGTCCATTAACGTGTTGAGGGCTGTTGCTGCCACGTGCGTACTAAGTTGCTTCGTTAACTAACCCGCCCCCTTGTTTCCATTTCAGTGTAACTTTAATAAAACGCCATGATTTCACTCACCATGTTACCGTAAACCCAAGTGTCAGCCACGTTGCCGCTCAGAACAGTGACCCCACTCAATTTAACCGTCGTACCACTGTTCTGAATATTCTCCAGAATGATGGAATTTCCAGCTCCGCCATTGTTAGTGCCACTAACAAAAGTTCCAATGCTAGTTCCGCTCGAGTCGATGACCACCAGGGAGGCAGAGACTCCAGTAGCATCGATACCAGTAGCTGCGTTTGTGAAGGAGCAAGCAAGGCAGACGAGATTAAACCCACCAACTTGGATACCCGTGGTGGTACCGCTAGTCTTGATATTCTTAAGAATCCATTGTTGACCCGACAACTTCAGGCCGTATGCACCACCGTTAAAGGTCAGGTCATTCAGGATGACGTTGCTATTGTATCCATATTGTGAAGTGACACCGACATGTCCTGTAGAGTAATTTGGCATGTTAAATACCACGTTTGCCAATTGGGTAGCCTGGCTGACGGTCCAATCCAGCAGCGCAATATTTTGGGATGGGCTTACGGCGGTCGAATCGATAATGACATTCTTAAGGCCGATATAGAAGTTGATCGTACCGTCATGGTTGGGGTCCTTGCCGTAGATGATGTGATCGCTGGGAAAATTGGCGGCGGCTTTCAGGACTGGTGGATTGATAGGATCACCCACGAGAACGGTCCCAACATAGAGTTGGAGACTTCCCGTTAGCAGATATGTTCCTGATGGAATGTAGATGACTGCTGGCTGGCCAGTAGTCCCCATCGAGTTGCTGGCCCGGTTAGGACCGTTAGAGGCTCCAGCTATATGGTGTCAATTAAACGCCATTCAGCGGAGTCTGATTCACTGGCTCTTACCTTGGATGGCATTCTGGATAGCCACATTAGCAGAGGTGGCGCCAGTACGGTCAGCACCATAATCGGTGACGACATTACGGAAGACTTTGTAGTTGCTCTTGTACGAGGAGGACATAAACGACGATTGGCCGTTATGAGTGATAGACTCATACCACCAGCTACTGGGATTATTAGCGGTGAGAGGCGTGCAGGCTCGGGAGGTGAGTTTCGTTGCCTGTCGGGCTGGTGGCTGGTTCAGATGCTCCCATGGCTTGGCGGACTGGTTCAAGATTGTGTAGGGAATCCCACTTTGTATAAAATCAGTTTAGTCTGGCAAAATATCTTGGGAGGGATGATAACTCCGCGAGGTGAGACCGTAACGCCTGAAGAGGCGAAGAAAAACAAGAATAGGGACATAACTGAGAATCAGTTCAAGCGTTAAGATAAATGGTGCTCTTACTGTGATTTAGGGGCGTAGTCCGTAGGTAGAACATAAGTATAAGGTGGGGACAATTCAGTTTCATTCGCCGGCAGGTTATCAGGAATCTCAAAGGAATTGATTGCAGGAACTCCAACCACCGAAGTGGTCAAAGCGATCAGCGCAAGACAGGCTGACTTTAACATGGCTATGTGACGCTCCTAGAGGCCAGAGGCGGAATAATCAAGAATTTAAAATACGATTCAGGTAATTAGATACGTCTTTATATATAGTAGATATCGTTACATGGACTAGCATGTGCTGGCTCTTAGTCCTCTAAGAACAAGACAAAATGTAAAGGCTGGCGTCTATATTTCCGTATGCCCCACGAGAATTTCTGCTTTGTATAAATTGAGATTTGTACATTTCGAAAAGCCATCTCCATGGTATGTACCGCAGAATGGTCCCCGAACAGCAGAAGGTGACGTTGAAAGGAGGAAATGTATAAAAATCAACGCTAATACGGCCGTGCGCGGGACAATTACCGGCAAAGTGGACTCTTTTGGACAAGATCAGCAAAATAAAGCTAGAGTTATTAACGTCGGACCGATACCCAGAAGTCAGTATTGGCCCGACGTGAATTTTGCTCAAGCTTTATTCAGAAAATGCGTGTGTGATCTACAGGCATCTATAAATCCGCTATCTGAGTCTGGCAACGTTGCATTACAACCGAAACTTTGCTAGGCCTTATTATAGATTCTGATGAGAATATACTTGCTAGTCTATACTTATAGACATCAACTACAGAAGGGAGGCATCCGCTTTGTTTAATCAAGTAGTTTTACGTAGTCCCACGGTCTGCTACGATAGCTTATCGACAACTCGGCGTCTCAAACTTCCACTAATGGAGGAACAACAAGATTTGCGTGCGGCAATACCTTCTATATCGCGGTGTGGAAGGATGGATAGCGCCATTCTGCATTGTCCATGTAAGTATCTGGTAGTATATTCATTCCCAGCTTACACGTGTCTGCTGCGCCCTGCCTTGGTTTAATGAATTGTCCCGCTCTCTCCCGAGTATAGCGACGGCCACTAGTCCTTGGTTCTAACCCCTCTTATTTAGTTGGTAGGCCATAATGGCGAGCTACAAAGGCATATATTGTGACTATCCATAGACCTAGATTGTTGTGCTATGGCGTCGCATCCTATTAGGAGGCATCGTCCAGGCGCTTTGATCTATTACAATGTTGTATCTCTGTTAACCTTCGCGTTAATGCCACGATAGTGTTACAACAGCACGAGATTAACATGAAGATAACGTAGATGTTTACACGTCTAGATTCAGTCTTATTTTATAATTATGCTTCAGCTGATTAACTGATTACTTAAAATCTTTCTAAACTTCCTCCGCGGAATCACCCTCCTCTTCTCATATATTCTTTGCTCGCCTGCTTAATCTGTTACGAATATTTGTTATCCATCACGATGAGACTGTCCTTGCTCACAATACTGGCCCTTGGCGCTGCCATGATCAACGCAGGGGTGATCAAGAATCGTGTTAGCAGCAGTACGACTGATCTTCCGAAGCTCGTTAGTCAGTACAAATTCCATGCGCAATTTGGTGGAATTATGCTCTGGGATGCCGCAAGCTCGGATACCGTTAGCTTGAATGGGTGTACTTATGCCCAGGAGGTCCATAGTGTGTTGACGACCGGTTTAGCGTGTTAAATGTCAGAGGACAGGCGCATGTGACGAGTTTTTTGAATTGATATAATAGGACACCAATAAGTCGCGTAATGAAAAAGGATTATGCGGAGTTTCGGATCACCCCCCCGTATGAAAGGGCGCTAGATAGGGGTAGATCTACCTAATCTGTATGTCATAATTTTCCTCTTTCACTAGAAAAGGAAGCTCATATAAACTTACGGCAGGGTATTGAACTACCGGGATTGCACTAACCCAAAGACTCCTAGCGCTAGGATCATAGAAGGGCAGGCTACTTTGGGCGAGCACAACGAGTCCCTTAAGATTACAAAAATATATAATTTTGCAGCCAATAAAATGCCGGTTCTATTGAGATGGTCCTTCGCTAAGCTTTTCTAGGAAGTAAAGTAGCCGGCTCGGCCCCTTTTTCGTTACCAATCTCATGCCGTTAAAGGCGGGGTATGTAACGTCCCTGCAGTTTAGCGAGTAAAAGGCCCTATTGTTAGTACGCGCGTTCAAAGGTTTATCTCAACCCTCGACTGATCCTTCGACCTTTCTGGAGAAGGCCCTTCTGGCCCTTCTATGCTGAAAGTTTTCTAGGGACTGCCCGCCTCAATTCCCAGACCATCAAATAGAAGGCCGCGCCGCTTTAGGGTTCGCAAGGGTAGGTGTACTCGAGACTGCTTGTGCTAGCTGGCCAATGTAGAATATATACGAAATACCGACCCACCTACCCCTTCAACACTAATACTACATATCCGCATCCGGTTTCACATGACTAGAATATATAAGATTAGCTGATGGTTGGCAAGTCAGTATCCCAGAGTTCGTTGCAGTTGCCATCGTCTACATCTCTTCTGAATTTTGGTCATCATGAAGATTCTCCTTAATAAAAATGTGTTACCTCTGGTTGCTCTGTTGCCATTTGCCTTAGGAGATTGTATTAGCTCTGGTGATCAGAACAATATCAACAACGCCTTGGCTGCTGGAGGATCTAACACCATAGTCCAGCTCTGTGCGAGTGCCTTTATTCAGGTCACTGGCCAGATCACCTTCACTGCGGCGAACCAGGAAATCTCCACCGCGGGTTATCCGACGGGAAGTACCAGAGCCACGCTCCAGATTGCACCTGGCAGCACGGTAAGCACAATAATCGCCGGCGGAAACCATAACGGCGTCCGCATCCTCAACATCCAAATCGACGGCAACCGGGCAAACACAGGCTTTGATCACACCGGGAGCGCTAACATCGAGCTTGGTGGCAGCGGCTCCGGTCAGGTGGTTTCGCATGTAGCATCAAGGAACCCGCGCGGGTGGAGCTGTCTACATGTCATTGGCTCTGGAAACGCCGCGGCGCCTTGCACCAACGCCACGATAGTCAACAACGACATTGGCCCTTGTGGCCAGTCAGGGACCGACTCAGCCGGCAATGGCTTGTGGGCGGATGGCATATCGCTTGACTGCACCAAATCGCTTGTGCAGGATAACACGGTTAGTGACCGTGTGTAACTTCGTCTGTATAGTCCACTGGCTCATATTTCACAGATCACAGGTAGCACGGACGGTGGAATTGTCATCTTCGGCTCTCCTGGCAGCACCATCACTGGCAACACCATCATCTCCTCCGCTACGTACCTAGGCTTTGGCGCCATCAATATGGTTGACGGCCAGTATTCCGGTAGCTACGCGGGTGTTACCGTGTCGAATAACAAGATTGTAGGCCAGAAGATGTTCAACTTGGGCATCGGAATCGGGTCTAATGTCTGGTCATTCAACAACCGCTATATGCTCCAGGGTCCCGTGTCGATCACGGGGAACACCATTAGTGGCAGCGTCAGCTTCCCAATCGCTATAAATGGCTGGACTAATGGCATTACGGTGCGTGGTGATGCTCTATTCTCATAATAAAATATATGACAATAGTTACTGATATATCATAGGTATCAGGTAACACTGTTTCAGGAGTAACCTCACCAAAGTCAAGTTTTGCCGATGCCTCGCACTGCTCCCAAGCTATTCAGACTCTTTTCAACGAGAACGCCGACTTGATCTACTACCCACCAGGAGTGACGGGTACTCAATCCCTCCAGAGTGGCTTCGTGGCTGCCTCCTCGAACGTGACCAACTTCTTGTGCTCAACGTTGCCCCTGCCGAATTCCGTCAGCTACACTAAAAACTCCCTTAATATTGTGTCCGACTCGGCCCCCTTCGCGAACTTGCACGGCGTTGTCATGCAGTATCAAGGCGACAATAACGTTGTCGTTTACACCACTATCAACGGACAGACGGTGGTGTGGGCCAGTGGACATACTCTGAGCAGCGGCTGCGGCAGCCCAAGCCTTTGCCATATGAGCTTCCAGGGAGATGGAAATTTAGTGACGTACTATAACAATGTACCGAAGTGGAGCTCGGGAACTTCAGGGACAGGTAACACCATGGTGTGTCTAAACAAAGCGCCATGGATTCAGATCTTGGATACGTCGGGTAATGTTATTTGGGACACAACTAAGTCAATCTAAGACTGCAGTGTACACACTCCTGCCATTGTAAGGAAACCGACACTGTAGTTTCGCACGTAGAATAGCTTTCGGAGCCACGGCATAAGTAAAGGCCGTAGCCCCATAGAATTCTACAAGTTTAGTTCGCGCTCGGAAATCACAAAATCGTCTAAATCGTGGCGTTAAATTGAGAATCTGCACATAATCCTAACCGCTATTAGGTGGGGGCACGGGCCATTCATTACTGTTGGGGGGGAAACCGACATTCCCATGGGATATGGCAGGCTTTTACAGCCAAAATGGCTGTTTTCCCTGTGGGATTGTGCTGGGCAGTAATTACGCTCAACGTCTCACTTCAGCTGGGGGGGCCAGAAGAAGCAAATTCTTCGGGGTTTTGGGGGTTTCCCCCAGGCCTACAAATACTGTACGTAGCCCGTAGATTAGGTAGTAATTCAATTGACTCTATTATTCTACATACTGTATTCTACTGTTGAAGCCTCTGCCTCGCTGCCCGTAGGAGCTTATTATGGGAACCGGAGATTATCACACGATTTTGTGTGTAATTCCCCAATTCCCGCAATTACTCCTAACAATTACTTGGTAAATCTAGGTCGTTGTGTTAGGTCTCATGGTTTGGCGTCCGCCTAATTAGGGAAGGTGCGTGCACGGGCTAGTTGCCGCTTTTGAGTTCTATACCTAGAACTCATTAGGGTAATCGAGTATCAATAGAAAAGGCCCTTAAGTTCAAACCAAACGCTCCCGGGCCATAAAACGAGGTGCGGGGTACCCTAATTTGGAGATATTCGCAGGTTAGAGAAGATTGTCGCCGATTTTAGCTCTCATAGAAAAAAATAGCAAAGCTCAGCCTTTCTCGTAATCTCCTCTCTCACTCATGCTACTAATAAAAAATATATAATTCACATACATCATAGACCGTATTCAGGATATGATTTATCACATATACCATAGTATATCGCAACGCAATCAATTAATTAACTAAACTATCTAATGGGCTACGTCACGTAACCCATACTAACTAATTAACAATTATGCATATACCACGTAGGCTACGTGCTATATGCATAATTGCTAATTAGTATCCACACCATAACGAATATGGTAGTAAGGATACGTAAGCTAATGATATGATCTGCAGGCCTGATCGGCGCATTAACATTACCACGTTACCACTGTCAAAGTGTTCAGTCCGATGAAACTAGTCTGATGAAACTACCTCTAATCCTAGAGGTAACCTTCACCCGTCGTGGGGCTGGGATGGGCCACATTAAAACATCGCATTCCCCGCTGCGACGTGATATGCGCTAGCGAAATAACAGTGTGGGCATATCCAAAGACACACTAAATTAAGCTGTGGTGAAGTGGTATGTCTTGGTCGGCCCGAACCTGATACTTTGGTTAACTAGAACGACGAACAGTTGGCTGGTAAGCTTTTGGCCTAGGCTTAGTCGGGTAGTTCTAATCCGGATGGCGTTCTAATCCGGATGGCACCCCTTTGGTGGTATGATCGTGCTATCTAAATCAGTTAAGATCAGTATTGTCTTAATAGCAGTCAGTCTAGGAACTGAGATGATTTGTTAAGCTTTCGCCTGTATTCATTCTCAGGTTGCTACGTTTGGCCGGGCGATCGTTAAGCCTTCTGCCCGAGAAGTGGCCACAATAGCCCATTTTGTGTCAGAAGACATGCAGGAAGGCAAGCAAGCTTGATGGTATAGCAACTGTAGGTACTGGAGCCAGTCCGCCAGGTGGTACTTGGTAAATTTACGCAAAGGATTAACGTGGGACATAAGCGAAGTTGTACCATAAATAACTCCCTATCATGTGTCATACATGCTTATAAAAGGACGACAATTCCTTCGAACTTCAACATCACCAGTCCTCACTCATTGACTTTTCAACATCTAGCTAGGAATTACTATTCTCTATTATTTCCTTCCTGGTATTATGCGCTTTTCAGTCACACTATGGCTGCTCGCAGCTACTATCAGCTGGGCTGCTCCTCCCTCGAATATTGATAACCTCCAAGGGACGCAGTCTGCCGATAGGCTGGTCTTTTGCCACTTCATGGTGGGTGGTCAACAGGTTGATAGAACCCCATAGAAAGCTAAAACTTTATTAGATTGGCATTGTAGGTGACCGGACAAGTACCGCAGATTACGACGACGATATGCTGAGAGCTAAATCCCTTGGGATTGACGCCTTTGCGTTGAACATTGGAGTCGACAGCTACACAGACGCGCAACTTAACCTTGCCTACCAGTCTGCCGCTAACAATGACATGAAAGTTTTCATTTCTTTTGACTTCAATTGGTACAGCCCAACAAGTGGTGCAAGTGCTGTCGGTTCTAAGATCGCTCAGTATGCAAATCATCCTGCTCAGCTGATGGTTGATGGCAAAGTCTTCGCTTCGTCGTTTGCTGGAGATGCTTTAGACGTCGCTAGTATGAAATCTGCTGCTGGTGTCCCTGTTTTCTGGGCTCCCAACTTCCATCCTGGCGAGAGTGATTTCAGCAAAATTGATGGAGCTTTGAACTGGATGGTAAGCGTTTCTTGTTATTATCGTGAAGAACTAGAGTGATAACGTGTTAATGATAGGCCTGGCCAAATAATGGTAACAATAAAGCACCAACTCCTGGTGCAAATGTTACTGTCCAAGCTGGAGATGAAGCTTATATCTCTGCCCTTGCTGGGAAACCATATATTGCACCTGTCTCTCCCTGGTTCAGCACTCACTTTGGTCCTGAAGTCTCTTACAGCAAGAACTGGATTTTTCCATCGGATCTTCTGTGGTTCAATCGGTGGAACGAGGTCCTCACCTTAGGTTCGCGGTTCTTGGAAATCATTACCTGGAATGACTATGGCGAATCACATTACATCGGCCCGCTAAAGTCCCTTCATTATGATGATGGAAACTCGAAATGGGTGAATGATATGTAAGTTAAGGCCACCTGGTCAAATTTAGTAGCATGGACCTAACGTTACAGGCCCCACAATGGCTGGCTTGATATGGCTAAGCCATTCATCGCAGCTTATCATGCTGGTGCAGAGTCTGTGGACTCTTACATTACCACTGATCAACTCATCTACTGGTATCGCCCAACACTACGAGGGCTTGACTGCGACGCCACCGATACGACTATGGTCCCAGCAAGTAATTCTAGCGGGAACTATTTCGAAGGACGACCAGACGGCTGGGAGGATATGCAAGACTCTGTCTTTGTTGTTTCCTTGCTCACAGCCCCTGGTACGGTCACAATAATCTCCGGGGAAAATCACCAAACCTTTGATGCTCCTGCTGGAGCCTCATCTTTCCAAGTTGATATGCAAGTCGGAATACAGTCGTTCGCACTTACCCGTGGGCCAAATGTCGTCTTGAGTGGCTCATCTCTCAAAGAAGTCTCATCAATCTGCATCTGTGGAATCTACAATTTCAATGCATTTGTCGGAACACTTCCCCCGGGTCCCTCTGACCCTCTACAACATGATGGCCTCGCATCACTAACAGCAGGTCTGCATGTTAGCACCTGCTTTCCATCGCCTTCTCTTCCAGCCACACCACCACCACCACCCACTGCTTTACCTACCACAAGTTAAAATCACTTCTGCAGTGTCGCCGACTACCAGCATTCCGGTGCCGGTAACAACTAAAACTGTTAGCGAGAAACGGGGAATACGGCGTTCCACGGCCAAAATCGGGTGATAATATCTAGTCTCCCTTAAGGTCCCACAGCGCAGACGGTATCAGGGAGTATCACAAGTAATACAGTATATAGAACATATCAAATCGATTGAATTATCTACCTATCTTACTGGGCTACATGGCTATATACTCGATTCCTAGGGGGTGGCCAAAACTCTGAGTCTTAGCCTGTCTCACATCAGCTAGTCAGCTGAAATCAGTGAGCTAAAGGGATAGGCCTGGGAAACGCCCATATCCAGGGCTATTTCTTGGCAAATCCCTGATCATTCCCTAGAATCTCTAACAAAAACCACCCCTCCGGCTTCTACCAGCTCTAGCAATCCCGCCGGCAGCTCAACATGTATTGCTGGTACAGGGCCCGGGAATTACGTAGGCCTTTGCGTTTTCTCCTGCCAGTATGGCTACTGTCCACTTGGCCCATGCACCTGTACTGCTTGCGGTGCAGGTGTTCCAACCAGTGACTGCTAATTCTAGATGTCCGTTACCGGGCGAAGACAATTCCTCCTTAGGACTCTGCAGCTTCTGCTGCTCTCATGGCTATTGCCCTCCTACCGCTTGTGCTCAGGGTTAAGTAAGGGGTTGACTCTAGTTAGGTAGGTGACTACTAGCGAATACCTACTGTTGTATGTTTCTGCTTATTTTTTTTTTTTTTTTTTTTTTGCCATTTCCTAGCTACGTATGAAGCTACCTACTACCATGAGTTGGTAGTTTGGCTAGAACATATATACACACATAATCACGCGCCCAACCCCCCACGCGCGGGAATTGGACGGACCTCACCTCTAATTTCTCACTTAATCCATCACTCTCTAAATCCAGTCCCTATATTATAAACCCAGCCCCTAACTACCTGGAAAATCCGCATTTAAGCCCTCCTCCGCTCCCAAAGCCTCTGGGGCGCCATCTCCGGACCTCCCCCTCGACTCCGCCGACTGCGACGCCTACCTCGACCTCGAAGCTGACTCCGTTTTCGGGGCCCCTTTGCCGCGCCTCGGGCTGTCCACGGGTCCTAACTACCGCACGTGGCGGAAAGAGGTTGAGCTGGTTTTGCGCGGCGAGGGGGTGTGGGGTGTTGTTTGCCCGCCTGAGGGGGAGGTGGTTGAGGAAGTGGGAGGCGAGGAAGCTGTCGGTGGAGAGGGGAGAGGGGAGAGTAGGAGGAGCGCAAGGGCCAGCGTGATTATCTTCGAGTACTGCGATAAAGCATCCCTATCTCGGATCCTTCACTGCAAAGACGCCTTAGCGCGCTGGGTCTGTTTGAAGACCACATACGGCCCGCGCCTAAGCCAGCTCGATAGTCTAAGGAGGAGTTTTACACGCGGACGAAGTCGGAAGGGGGCGGGGGTGGGAGGTAAAGACAGGTTGATATTTCAGGATAGGTGGTGGGTGTATTTGGCGTTTAACGGCTTTGAGTGGCCACAGTGGGGAAGGGGGTTATCATACCATACCATATTATCTTTCCGCGAATATCAAATCCGCTTTCCAATCAAAGTTATCAGATCCATCATTCCATACATGATTGCCTGTACGTATCTGCGTCTTCGCTCTCGGATTGACTTTGCGGGCGGAGAAAATAATAGTCGATGGGCTTTATACATACGATTCTCACTTGTGCATGTAGTATGGTTTTAAGGCAATGGATTGTATTTCATTTTAGCTGTTTAGAGCTGGGGTATCATGGTATACCATCCCCTCCCCTCCCCACGGCATTCATAGATGATAAATCATCCTCATCTTCGTTTCATCCATCTATCAATCTATCTATCTACCTATCTATCAATTGCTTCCCCCCCCCTTTCTCCTCAATAATCGCAGCAAATCCAGTTCTCGACCAGACACACCTAACCATGGGGCGCCCGCCCCATGTAACATGTTAGATCTACATGACCTCCCCACGATATCCGCACAACCACCACGGCCGCGCCTAACAACCCTCACCCTTCTCCCACCACGCATCCCCATACACAAACCAAGATATCAAACCCATTACATCACAGAACAATAATAACCAGAACACCACCCCAGCGCCCCAACCCACAAAGAAAAAAAACACCACACAACCCCACCTACGCCAGCGCCGCAGTAGTAAGTCCATACGCAATACTCAACCTCTGCATCTCTACCTCCGGATAACTTGAAATCCTCTCGCAGACCTCGTCGCAAAACTCCTTAAACTGATCCTCGCACTGCCTCACCAGCGCCGCCCTCTCAAATCCCGGTGGATAAGCGCCCGCATACGCCCAAATCAATCAGCCATGCCTTTCCCTCCGCATCGAGAATGATATTGCGCGGCGCGATATCCTGGTGCGTCAACACCAGCTCATCATCGCGGAACGAGAAGCGAGGCGTACCGGGGATGACATGTTTGAATCTTGAGCAGATATCGAATTTATGATTAAACCACGCCTCCATCTCCCCCACCGTCTCGCAGCTCGCAGCGGCCATAATCCGAGAACCACGGGCCCATCCAGCGTCTGACGCCGCCGATCGGCCACGGTACCAGCGGTAGGGTGAGGTTTCCCATCTCCCCAATCATTGCAGCGACCTGGCTGGCGACATCCGCGCGCTTATCCGCATCAAGGCCCTCCCAGCTCACATCCAGACCGACGCCGTCAATGTAGTCCATGACGATATAACATCTCTCGCCGAAAAACCCGTCGTCTGGCTTACCGGGGATGATGCGGTGGACGGCCGGTAGACGGATCTGCGTCTTCTCGCGCGCGAGGGTTATGGCGTGGGCTTCGGCGGGAAAGGCGGTGGAGCCGCCCTTGAGGACGAGGGAGCGGGAGAGACGCACGATTTGGGTGCCGCCGAAGCGGTGGAGGATGGGGGCTGTGGAGAAGAGCGCAAGGATGGCCTCATCGGGGACTTTTGACAAGTCGATGTTATCGAGGGGGAAGGGGATGGTGGGGTCTTTGCTAGATGGCTGGGGGGGGGGGAGGTGGGTGTGGTTAGTCTACGATGGTTTGAGAGCATGTAGGGGGGGGTGGGATGGGGGACATACGTCGACGAAGGGGCGGAAGCCGAAAATATCACCCATGATTTGGTATAGATATCAAAAGCAGAGATGGGGAGGAAAGGTTATGATGTAGACATATAGTGTAATATCTAAACAAACTACGGTTTTAGTCGGTATTGAAGTATCATCTGATATTCTAGGCAGTCACTGCTGCTGTTGTTATTTTACCTATTCCAGCACCTGATGTTGGTTGGATGGTGAAGTCAGGTGACTTATCACTTCTCAGTTGGAGTAGTGGGATAACGACGGCAGCAGGTATGTCTCACATTGCACGATCTCTCACGCACGCACGATCAAGATTAGCACACATCAAGATTAAAATAAATGCCATGCATTTTCATTCCAGCTCTCTCTCTCTTTCCGAGCCTAGCTATCGTAGTATCGATGGTATTCATCCTCATCCTCACTCATTTCATCCATCCATCCCATAATTTTCATCTCCTCCCCTCTCATAATCGCAGTAAAATCCAGCAGTACTCGAACAGCAAAAGCCAGCAGTAGTACTCGAACAAAACCCATCCACCTGCCATCCACCTCCACCTCTGCCTCCCCATCTATAAGCGAAAAGAGTGTGTTGCCCGCAAAAAAAAACGTGGCTGGTATAAAGAAAGTAATCCGAGTGAGCCTCCCCATCCCCAGCCCACGAGACGTGGTAGCAATAACTCCCCCACCACCCCACTGCCTGTTTCAACGGCAGACAAAAATTCAACCCATTCTGAACTCCATTTCCCAGTATGCGATGCGATGCGATGCGATGCGCGACGCTAGCCCAGCCAAACCCAAAGTATATACAACGAAAAATCTCCCCCGTGAATCATCCACCCACCGCGGCTCACCACCCCAACGAAACCAGTTCGTCCAGAATGACAAGGCGCGGCGCTGTTAGATCCACATCATCGTCGAAGACTGCTGCTGCGCCGGCACCGGCTTCCCAACCATCTCGCAATACAAGTCCTGGATCTCCATCACGTAATCCTCCGCGCTGAACTTGCACAGTCCCCTACTATACAAATCCTGCTCCTCTTCGCTCATCATCGCGCGGCGCGTGGCACCACCGCTGTACTCCTCAGCCAACTCGCGCACCTGCGCTAGCTCGTTGGTGAATGGGTTTGCTGTGGTGTCGAATGCTGGTGCAGGGCTGAAGAAGTCGGCGCTGGTGCGGGGGTGGGAGATGGATGGTTTGCGAGTTGATGTTGAGATTGAGGAGTGCGAGGAGTTCTGGGACGATTGGCGGGTAGAGCGCTGGCGCGAGAGGATCTCGTGGGATTTCTTGGTGTGGCTCAATGCGCGCTGTGGGATGGAAGGCGCCGTGCTGTCGGTGGATGCGCTGATGCTGTGGGTGGGCTGCTTGTTATTGGCGTTGTCGAAGTAGGAAGATAGGTGGTTGGGGGAGGGAGAGATGGGCGTGCTGCTGCTGGATCCGGAGCCGCGGACGGAGGAGTCGGGTGTGGTGGTGGTGGAGTGCGACATGGAGGGGAGGTCGGACTCGTCGCCGGAGGAGGTGGGCGAGGCGGTGGAGATGGGGTACAGGTCCGGCGCGTTGTAGGAGATCATGTTGGTTGTTGAGAGGAGCTCCATGGGGCCCGAGATCTTGTTGCGGATGGTGCCGGCGGAGAAGGAGTGCTTGGTTGTTAGGCTGCGGGAGGGGACTGGCGCGGTGTTCTGGGATTTGGAGCCCTTGCGGGTGGTGAAGGCGCGGGAGAGTGCCATTGTGTTGGTTCACGGCGCGATGTGGTGGAAGGTAGTATGGATAGTCGTTGGTCGACTGTGGAATCAGGAAAGTTCGTCTCTTTCGACTTGTTCTTGTTTCTTGTTGCTATAGTTGTATCTTATTGTTGTAGATGCGCAGACACAGTCCAGCGCGTAATGAATCTGATCAGATGTGTTGTTTGTATGGTGCTGTGTACTCGTAGTGAGCTGGTTGTTGGTGGAACAGTTTAGTCAGTTCTGTAAGGAGCGAACAGATGTTGATATTGTTCCCTGTGCGAAGTCCAAGTTGTCGAGTAGATCGAGTAAATGAAGGCGTTATGGACAACGACGATGTATGTGTGTATGCTTTTTCGACCTGCGACGGATAAATGGGAAAGTAGTAGAGAATGATCAAAGAAGGGAAGAAACGTTTCGTTGCACAGATGCAGGCGACATGGGGGAAGGGAAGGGGAAGGGAGGAAGAAGAAACAAAGATGGGAGGGAAGGGGAGGGAAAGGGAGGGAGAAAAAGGAAGGTGTGTGTGTGAGTCTGTGTGGTGGTAGTGGTTGATAGTGCGTGCATGAGTTGTGTGTGTGTGATGGGGAGTAAAGTTGAGGAGTGGAGGGAGGGGAGAGGGGGGATCGACTAGGGAGATCCACCCGTCGTTGGTTGACTTATAGCGCCAAGCCGGTGGTACTGTGTTAGTGGGAAAGTATATGCTAGACAAAGAAGAAGTACCTTTTCTAGTTAACCACACACAACCTTGCAGACAACACGTTCAAAACGCGCAGGGGACCCGCTAATAGAGTACTTGCAGGATGTATAGTAGGTACATGTCGCAGGTATTTTTGGGTGTGTCCTATGTGATTTCTGTGTGATCTGTGTGTTCTGTGTGAATTCTGTCTGTTCTATGTGATTTCTGTGTGGTGTATGGTGTGTTCTGTGTGTTCTAGTATGTGTGTTCTATCTAATATGTGTGTCTTCTATTCTATTCTATCCTATGTGTAGTTCTAATCTGCTCTGTTTCTCACCTGTCCCACCACAAAATACAGTAAGAAGAAAAGAAGAGGCTGGAAGAATCTAACTGACTGACTGACTATATGACTGATGAGCACAGCAGAAGCTGATCAGACATTATAGACATTACAAACCTCATCTTGTACAACACGACCGTCCATTAATCATCTCAGCCGCCGTCACCATCGAATAGGGCCTCATCAACAAAGACCGCCGAAGCCACACTCTACGCGCCACGCCCACGATTTGTCCCACAACCACCACCACTAAAAACACCTCGAGAGAAGACCTATAGCCTTCCTTTTCTTCTGTTAGCTGTTGGCTTGTTGGCTGTTGCCACTTTACCTCACGCCTTTTAAGCCATCCTTTCTTTCACTCCAAAAATACATCCTTCACCACCGCAACAAGTACCCTTTCTCCCCCGTTACAGATCGGCGCCGAGTTTCTTTTCCCCCTTCCCCCCGCTGATTGGACGGAGCATAAAACCTCAAGACTCGACTCCCACCTCACTGGCCCACCGTTCCACGTCCATCATCCGTTCTCGCCCACGTCCACACACGTCCACACGGCTCCTGTCTCGCCCTGTTGCTGGATCAGATCGTTTGGTTTGGTTCCGAAGAAGCGGATCGAACGAATGACTCGTCGCGACGCGAGCGACCCGATTCTTTTTTTATCTCTTTTCTCTTTTTCTTCGGTACAGGAACAAGGAAAACGCGGGACGGGAATAGGAACAGGAATAATCGGGAAGCCGGCGCCGTTGCGAACCATGGTTGACCCGAAGACCCTGACCCTCCCACCATGAACGAACGAACCTTCCTATGCGCAACTTTCTCATCGTTCGCCCGTCTATCCCTCGCTTGTCCCCCGTCCTCCGAAGGATCGCCATGTCAGTCTCCATTCCTGCGCGCACACACACACACACAACTCCCCATCACAGCACAGACCACACCACACATCCAGAACCCATGCGCCAACCAGATCAACACAATCCGACCAGTTCTTCCGGCCCTAGTCCCCCCATCTCCCTCCACTCGCCAGGATCACCAGTTCTGGCCATGCCACTCCCTCTCCCGGCCGTCCAATCACACCTCCCCACCCCTGACCTCGAAACACACACCCAACCCCACCGAGTAAAACCCCGCTACAGGGGCAGGGCTCAAAGACGGAGGATCTGATTGGTTGGACGAGGCGTTTGGGGGTTTCAGGTTCATGCGGTTTTAGTTGTTTCGGCGGGAAGGGAGGGGGGAGCGGACCGGAGGAGGAGGAGGTTTATGCGGCCGCATGCAGGCGATACCGATGCTGTGATGGAGTGGGAAATGTGATCGTTGCGATGGGTGATGATGCAGCTGTCAGGCAAGGAGTCAAGGCCGCGCTGTTGGGTGTTGGGCCGCGGCCTGTTGTGTTGGTTGGTGGGTGCGGTTTGGTGTGGGCGGGCGGGGGGGACGTTGCTGTCAGGTTGGTATACCTGGCAGGAATCGCGCTGTTCCTGCATCCGCTGCGTTGGAGGGGGGAGTGAGTACTTAGGCTGGCTGTATGGTTTGTTGGTTGTACAGGAGGGAGATGCAGTGTGAACTGTACTACGGGGTGTGCTTACTGGACAGGACTCTTTACTGGAGTATGTACTCTATGTGGTATGAAAGAAGGGTACATACAGCCGTTCGTCCAGCTGGCTGACCGAATCGTGGCTACACATGGCGCTACGCTCACAACTCACGCTCACACGGTCCGTCTTCGGTCACAACCCCCAATACCGGCGGTTCCCCGGTCACGGGACACCACTACGGTCGAAAATACACCACCACACTTAATAATAAGACCGTCACTCTCCCATACCCATCAAAAGGCGGTATATAATTCAACAAATATAATTCAACAACTAATACAACTACACCTCAACATCATGTAAGTCGTCAAGTGACAAAAAAAAAGATCAAACTATCATTCACCCCATCTGTGCCGTCCCGGGCCTGCAACCCGACGGCTGGGGGGCTATCTATTTCAGACGCTATACACATCACATCACTATCCCGACCCTATATGGCGCGCACGCTCCGCCGAGGTGCTTTGACATATAGTACTCTACTCTAGGCACCCCGCACTTTTGAACGCGATCACCCGCACGACCCCGATGATGCGGGCAGGTAGACATGTGTCAACACCCCATCCCTCATCCCCGCGACACATCTTTGTCCTATCCCCCCCTTCCCCATCCTGCCACTGACTGCCGACGCCCATCACACCCGGCAGTCCCCTCAATCCTCATCCATGCTCTCCCACCCCTGCTCACCATCCTTCTTTCCCCCCTCCCCCTCCTCCTCCTCCTCATCACTACTCTCCTCCTCATCCGCATTAACCCCCACCAACCTCTCCTTGACCTCCCCCTCCACCGGCGCCATACGATGCGCAAACGCCTTGCGCACCGCAGCATTCGTGCTCGTATCCCAGATATGCACGCTCCCCTTGCTTCCCGCGACAGCGAGGCGGAACCCGACCTCCTCGTCCGGCGCGAAGACGGTGGAGAAGACTTTGCCGACTTCGAGGTTGCGACTCACTACCATGGTAGGGCCGGAGGCTTGGATGTTCCACAGTTTCACGGTGCGGTCTGTAGACCCTGTGGCCATGAAGCCGGGGATCACGGGGTTGATATCGAAAGCTGACACGGACTCGTCGTGTGCGTGCAGCGTCCAGACGGGCTTGGTTTTCGAGGGGTCCGTAGGCGCGGCCCGCACGTCGTGGTAGTGGATCACCCCCGCCTCGGTGGAGATGTAGAAGTAATTCCCATCATGAGGATCCCACCTCACGGTCTCGACATCGCTCTCTACGCCCCATCGAGGGACGGTCGCGTCGGGGGCTCGCATGTCTGCCGCTACGACGGTGCGGTCGTAGGATCCGGAGAGGAGGATGGTGGATTCCTTCGGGTGCCAGGCGAGTGTGCATACCTTGTCCGTGTGGTGCGCGTAGGACTTCGCGCAGGAGGTGGTGTACAGGTCCCATAGCTTGACTGTCTTGTCTGCGGAGGAGGAGGCGAGGAGGTTGCGGTGGTGACGGTTCGCGGCGAGGGAGAGGACGGCGTCGACATGGTAGTCTGCGTTGGGCTTGTTGGACTTCTTGCGCTTTTTCTTCTTCTGCGTGCCGTCGGCCGGAGGGGCGCCGGTGTCGTCGAGTCCGCCCTGCCCGAGGATCGCGTTGGGGTACATGCAATCCACCGTGTCGAGGTCCCAGATTTCAATGTCCGGCTCGAAAGTACCGACGGCGACGAAGTTGGCGCGGGCGTCGCGGGCGGCGGAGGTTTTGCCAACGGGGAGGTCGAGCCATTCGAGGCAGAGGGGGATGGCGGGGAGCATGATGTCGTGGTGGACGTAGAGGTTATCTGCTGAGTCTTCGTAGACGTATACCTCGAGGTGGGCGACCTCGTCTTCCACCTTGGCGGCGAGGACCATGTTGTCTGTGGCGAGGATCTGGAGCTCTTCGCGGTCTTCGTCGTCCTCGTCGTTCTCTTTCATTGTGATGTACGGGTCGTCGGCGTTGGATTCGTGGTAGGCGAGGGACTTGACGTTGCCGAACATGCCCATTCCCTCCCCTTCAGTGTCTTTGGCGACGTCGGAGTCGTAGTGCTCTAGGTCGTATTCGGCGAGGTCATCGTCTTCGTCTCTGCGGATTGTTAGAATCCCTAATCCCGTATATTGTAAAACCACCCCACCACCAAATAACTCACCCCTTCGATTTCACCTTCGCGCCACCAGTCCCATCCTCAATATCCGAGTCCGAATCACTCTCTCCCTCACCCCCAGCCCTCGCGGCTTCCTCAGCCTCTTCTAAATCCTCCTGCGCGTCATCGAGCTGCAATTTCGCCAGCTTGGCGATCCTATCGAACTCCGCCTCGTCGAACTCGTATTTCGTGGGGAACGGCGCCGCGAAGCCCCGCGGCACCCACGCCGTCGCTGTGACCATAGACATCTTCGGTTATGCTAACGAAGTTGTCTTAAAGGTTGTTTGGGGGGGGGACAGCTGTTCGCTCGGTGAGTGAGGGGAACTTTTTTCTCACTGTTACGATTATTTGGAAATCTTATACGCTAGTGTTATCTAATCTTAGCGCGGATTTATTTTGCGGTTGGTCCGTGCGGGTGTCGTCCTGGTGGTGGAGACGACGACGCGACGGTATATTTTGACGGCTGGCCTTGCTGGATTTACACTCACGAAGCTCACCCTACGAGCTACGCAAGACAGCACCGCGCCTTCCACTCGTTTTCTTCCTTGCCTTGCCTTGCATAGTTACCCGATCATGGCAGGAGAAGATGGCTTCCAAAGCCCCAAGAGGCGGAAGATAGACTTCAACCCCCTCCGCAACGATGACCGCTTCGCCATCCCCTCCCGCCCAACCTCACGCTCCCAATCCCTCGCCCCTCCGCGCTCACAATCCCAAGCCCCCTCCCGCTCGCAAAGCCGCTTCGGCCCCTCCTCCTCCCGCGCCTCAACACCTCGCGGACAATCCCAATACCCTGGAACCCCAAAGCAGCATGAATTCGACGGCCCCGAACCCGCCGTCGACATCGAGGACTCGAACGCCCTCGACCGCGACTGGTACGCCGGCGACGAGAGCGGCCACGTGTTCGGCGACGAAATGCACAATCCCTTCGGCTCGTACGATACCTCGTGGGAGGAGCGACAGAAGGAGGCTGCGCTGGTGGAGAAGAAGACTGCGAAGCGGGTTACGGCGCGGGCGGCGCAGAAGCAGCGGGATGTGGATGCGTGGGAGACGAATCGGATGTTGACGTCTGGGGTGGCGCAGCGGAGGGATTTCGGGGACGATTTTGAGGACGATGAGGAGCAGACGAGGGTGCATTTGTTGATTCATGATCTCAGGCCGCCGTTTTTGGATGGGAGAACGGTGTTTACGAAGCAGGTTGATCCGGTGCCGGCGATTAGGGATAATCAGAGCGATATGGCGGTGTTTAGTAGGAAGGGGAGCAGGGTTGTCAAAGAGAGGAGACAGCAGAAGGAGAGGCAGAAGCAGGCGCAGGAGGCGACGAATATGGCCGGCACGGCGTTGGGGAATCTGATGGGGGTTAAGGAGGATGAGGGGGATAGTGCGGCGCCGGTGCCTGGGGAGGAGGGGGGGGGGAAGGGGGATAGCAAGTTTGCGGAGCATATGGCGAAGAAGAGTGAGGGGGCGAGTAACTTTAGTCAGAGCAAGACGCTGAGGGAGCAGAGGGAGTATTTGCCAGCGTTTGCGGTGAGGGAGGATCTGCTGAGGGTTATTAGGGATAATCAGGTTGTTATTGTGGTGGGTGAGACGGGGTCGGGGAAGACGACGCAGTTGACTCAGTTCCTTTATGAGGATGGGTATGGGAAGAGGGGGATGATTGGGTGCACGCAGCCGCGGCGTGTGGCGGCGATGAGTGTGGCGAAGCGGGTGAGCGAGGAGATGGAGTGTAAGCTTGGCAGCACGGTTGGGTATGCGATCCGTTTTGAGGATTGCACGAGCAAGGAGACGGTTATCAAGTATATGACGGACGGTGTCTTGCTGCGCGAGTCTCTCAATGAGCCGGATCTCGACAGGTATTCGTGCGTCATCATGGACGAGGCCCACGAGAGGGCTCTCAACACCGATGTGCTCATGGGCCTTTTCAAGAAGGTTCTGGCGCGCCGACGAGACTTGAAGTTGATCGTCACATCGGCTACTATGAACTCGAAGCGCTTCTCGGACTTTTATGGTGGAGCGCCGGAATTTTTCATCCCTGGCCGAACGTTTCCTGTGGATGTCATGTTCCATCGCTCTCCGGTCGAGGATTACGTCGACCAGGCTGTGCAACAAGTTCTCGCTATCCATGTTTCTATGGGCGCAGGCGATATCTTGGTGTTCATGACTGGACAAGAGGATATCGAGTGCACCTGTGAACTTATCCAGGACCGTTTGAACGCGCTCAATGACCCTCCTAAGCTTAGCATTCTACCGATTTACAGTCAAATGCCGGCAGATCTGCAGGCCAAGATTTTCGACAGAGCAGCGCCAGGTGTGAGGAAGGTCATTGTTGCGACCAATATCGCCGAGACGAGTTTGACAGTCGACGGTATCATGTACGTGGTGGACGCTGGATATTCCAAGCTCAAAGTGTATAACCCGCGAATGGGCATGGATACCCTTCAGATCACGCCCATATCGCAAGCCAACGCATCTCAACGATCCGGGCGCGCAGGTCGTACTGGCCCAGGAAAGGCATTCCGCCTCTTCACCGAAGCCGCATACAAAGACGAGTTGTACATCCAGACCATTCCCGAAATCCAGCGCACGAACCTCAGTAACACCGTTCTCCTCCTCAAATCCCTCGGCGTCAAAGACTTGCTCGATTTCGACTTCATGGACCCGCCACCACAGGATACCATTACCACATCACTCTTCGACCTATGGGCCCTCGGCGCGCTGAACAACATCGGCGACCTCACCGACGTCGGCCTAAAGATGACACCCTTCCCCATGGACCCCTCCCTCGCCAAACTCCTCATCACATCCGAAGAATACGGCTGCAGCGAAGAAATGCTCACCATAGTCTCCATGCTCTCCGTCCCCTCGATTTTCTACCGCCCCAAAGAGCGACAAGAAGAATCCGACGCCGCGCGCGAGAAGTTCTTCGTCCCCGAATCCGACCACCTCACCTACCTGCACGTGTACTCGCAGTGGAAGAGCAACGGCTACAGCGACGCGTGGTGCACGCGGCACTTCCTGCATCCGAAGTCGCTGCGTCGCGCGAAGGAGATTAGGGAGCAGATCGGGGATATTATGAAGATGCAGAAGATGACGATGGTGAGCTGTGGCACGGATTGGGATGTTATCCGCAAGTGTATTTGCTCGGGGTATTATCATCAGGCTGCGAAGGTGAAGGGGATTGGGGAGTATGTGAATTTGCGTACCAGTGTGGCGATTCAGTTGCATCCGACGAGCGCGCTGTATGGGCTGGGGTACTTGCCGGATTATGTGGTGTATCACGAGCTCATCTTGACGTCGAAGGAGTACATGTCTACCGTGACGTCTGTGGATCCGAAGTGGCTGGCTGAGCTTGGGGGGGTCTTCTACAGCGTGAAGGAGAAGGGGTACTCGGCACGTGAGAAGAGGGTGACGGAGGTGGAGTTTAATCGCAAGATGGAGATTGAGACGCAGATGGCGGAGGATAAGAAGAATGAGGAGGAGAGGTTGGAGAGGGAGAAGGGGAGGGGCGAAGCGCAGAAGGAGGGGGTGGTGGTGAAGAAGGTTGCGCAGAGGGGGGCGGTGAGGAGGCCGGTGGTGAAGAGGAGTGGGAGGGGGTTCTAGGGAGGGGAGCTGGGAGGACAGATGTACATAGTTGGGGATGGGGTTGTTAGAAAATTTACATCCCGCTTGCCTCATGCTTGTTTCGACCAGAAAGGGCAAGGCCGAGGAGTAAGCAATGTGAGTGGCTAAAAAGGCCATTGGCCGACCGGTAAGCAAGGGTGTTCGGTATTCGGCCTTAGGCAGCAGTGTCTGTCTGCTCTAGTAATAACATTTCAAATCTGAGAGACTTCCGTCGGACTGACATGTATAACAGTATGGCCAGAAATGGGATTGTTTAATGGGCGCCCTTGTTTTATTACTCGATTTGTTTGATTGCTTCATATGATTCGTACCCCAGACAAGGTGCTAACGGTAGCGGTAACGGTAGTGCCTCGGGGCCGTGGATCTGCATAGCCCCGAATCAAGGTCCCAGAGATAATTCGTAGGTTCGCATTATCTGGGTTTCCGGGCAGGTGATGTGGCATGCATACATGTAACATTAGTAGATGCGCGATTCCAAAACAGGCATTGTTTACTATTGCTACCAGGTGCTCGGTTGGTTTTGTTGGGGTTATGACGCTCCCACAATCCCGTGCGTCTGGGTCGAAAAAGCCTTGTGCAAACACCTGCATGATAGGCGACGACCTGTGCGCCTTCCGTCGTCTATCATTCCGCTCGGACGTTCCATTTCGCTCGGACGGCAGCATTTTCGAATGACTTAGCCGCTTGGGGTCTTGTCTTGGGCTGGACCCCGGCTTCCCAAGAGGCACGGAATACGATTGCCGCATTGCCTTTCGCACGATGCAGATATCCTGAGTCTATGTAGATTATTGTATCAAATAGGTAGTAGCTGGACTAGGATTGACATCTAGTGCACGTACTGTAGGTCTGGCTCGTTGCGAACCACCGCGGTAAGTCAGTCACCGCCCACACGGCGGTCGTCGCGCCACACGGCGGTCGTCGCGCCACACGACGCATCTCACGATGAACCGTCGCTGGCAAGATCCATGCTGATCACAAACTGTGCACGTACTGTAGGTCTGGCTCGTTGCGAACCACCGCGGTAAGTCACCGCCCACACGGCGGTCGTCGCGCCACACGACGCATTCACGATGAACCGTCGCTGGCAAGATCCATGCTGATCACAAACTGTACAGTCGCTCACACGATGATGCATGCTGGCCCTGCACCATTAACCAAGTAGTATATATATATATCTTTCCCTCCTTCTGCGTTTTAATCAAGTACTCAAGCAATTCAAACACCTTACACTATAAGACTTGGGCATTCTGACAAACTTTGACCTGCTCTCATCTTTATCACGAACTACAATGTCTTCGACGGACGCTGTAAAAGGGTCTGACCCTCAGAATATCAGGTAGAACTTCGTTTCATTCGTTACTCTATCTCCCTTCCCAAATGTCCTACTATACAAGACAAGATTCGTTGAACCTTTTACAGCATTGAATTTGCATAAACTAACGTCTACTTGGATAGTGCTCGACCATATGAGAGCAAATCAGCTATCGGCATCATGGTCGCCAACGGAAAATCGACAAAGGAAAAGACGCTGAAGACAAGCCAGGCCCGTCTTGAAGAGTGCCTGTCTTCGCCAGACCAGCCATTCTCTGGCTATACTATGCGACCATACGTGGTGCCGCGTAATGATAAGAAATGACATGCCAAGCAGCGCCAAGAAGGTGAGAACATAGCTTCCGCGGCTTTCTAACATTGCTAACAAAGGGCACAAGAGATATCCAGAGAACGAATACATGGAACACCCAACTCATTGCCGCATTTTTTAGAAACATTTTTAGAACTTAGAAATAAAACTGTATTTTTACTACGTACACGCTATCTCGGTGAGTAGCTTAGGGGTCGTATATGCTTTTCAAAAAACAAAAAAACTGCCACGTGAGTAAGTTCGGCGCCATGAGACCTGATTAAACCGTAAGCTTCGTTGCAAACATGAAGTGGACGAAGGGCGGGCGGGTGATACCCGCACCCCATATTCGAGGTAAACCAATAAAAAGCGTTTAAATTCATGTCATATTAAAATCTTGCGAGGCACCAATAGATAAGTAGGATCTTATATGGATCCCTTGCTTACCGGTTTGCAAAATCTCTAGGTATAATGTACAAAGGTCTACTTGTGGCTTTCGCCGTCGTCTACTTAAAAGAGCTAGCATTTCTTTGAAGCCGTACTATACAAACGAAGCGGCAAGTCAGCAGGCGTACCATCAAGTATACGGTACAACGAAACTCCCGATTAACTACTGCTGCGCCATATAAGGTCTAATTGCCTCACAATATTTTGCCGTGCTCCGGGATTGACACCTACATACAGTAGAAGCTTGAAATCTTATAAATAAAAGTTATTTTTATAAAACTAACAGCGCGATATTCAGCAATAGGTAATAGGCAGTAGGCAGTCCACGCCATAAAGGCCCATAATTCCAGCTTTTTACTTCTAGTAATCTCCGTGAAAGACCTACATATGGCTAATGGGGTCCTACCAGCATCGCCCAGACATGGTGGTCAAACCAGTCACGACCGGAATAGGAAATGGGCATCTTACACCGCCGTTCATTACGGACAACCCCACAACACTCTCGGTGAGAGATTTCGGATGCCCATACGATATATCAAAGCGCGTGAGCGTGACTGTCGCGGTCGTGGCGACGAGGTGTTGGGCGAATCAGTTGAGAAGTTGGGCCCGACGGCTCGAAGATTCCAACACTGCATATATCATTTTATCTCGCATGCACGTCCGGATGAGGGGTGACGATGGCAGAGCGTAGTAGCGGGGTTGGCGTTCTGGTAAGGAAGGAGATTGTGGATCTCTGACGTAGGAATCCCTATTAGAAACGTTTAAAATATGGGCTCGAGGCTACCGAAAATGACAGCGAAGGCCTGTTAGAAAGCCTATCAGCCGTCGCCAAACAAGCGAGGAATATGCTAGGTTTCTCAGCCTTGTTCCCTAATGAGAACTGCCAATTACACCTCACAAATCCACACACGAAACAAGTGTTATCCGTTGGCCTTAGATTATTGGTGCGGTCGTATCTTATTCGACGTCGTTTAGATTACCCCCTTGTTGAATCAGCGAAGCAGGCAAAAGTGGAGCGCCTAACTTTGACAGGGCAAAGCTGGTCTATATTTTACAACACCCGTCCACACCGGCCAGTCGCTCGACACTTACAAGGTATCAGACGGGAAGAATTGCGATGCTGATAAGACACAGATGCTTGGTTTCCATCACGCACCTCCGTAAACATTCGCCACCTCAACATTCATTCATTTATTCCTTCATTTATCGGATATACTCTCTAGAAGAAGCAAGGGCCAGCTGAAAAGCTGCATGGATGCCTTTCGAGAAGGTCACGCCAAATCTAAGACACGTCTACCGCCTCCAACGCCCACAGATCCGCAGAAATCACAACTACAGCTCCTCCTAGAAAGAAGTGCCCTGCGCTATCGAACCCTCTCCCTACAACATCCCGATTTTGGGGGATTCATTCATCTCGGCATAAAAGGCGGCCTCGACAACCCATGTAAGGCACATTTATACCCTGCATCGTCCCATCATCCGTATCATCAACAAATGCGGGGCCGAAGAAAAACAGCCCCTCCTCTCTGACCCGGTGCCATTCATCCCGACCTCGGAAGCGGTCTCACCCCAGCTAGCGCTATCCACGCCATTTCTTCGGCGAATTCAGAGGTACGGGACTGAAGATAAAAATAATGGATGTGGCCCGCCTACGGAGTACTCAATTCCCACCCCCAGCTCCCCCTTATCCCCGTGCACAATCACCCCCTGAAAACTGAAAATACCCCACACGGTTACGAAATGTACGCGCGAGAGCTAAAAAGCGGTGTGCCTACGACTCTTCTCTCCTCTCCTCTCCTCTCTAAGCAATTGCCATTCATCCCAGCTTCAGAGGTAGCTTGTAGTACAGAGTCCAGCCTAAGCCGTTTCGAAGACATTTCCGTATGCGCAAAACCCCGCGTTCCGGCGTCTGACATCACTCTGTAGTCGCATAAATCTTCCCATGCCCCATAACCTAGTGATCTGGGCCCACGTTGTGGTCTGGTCTGGCAGTACAGCCACCACTAAAACGGGTCGGTGCCATTCCCGAATGCCAATGCAGCTTTGAAGCTTCATTTCTAATTTCAGATTTTGTCTCCTAATCGTAGTCGGAAGCAGAGTGCGTCTGTGAGAACGGGTGGAATGTTACGGCGGGTTTCCGCAACCCCTGCACCGACACATCGATTAATAGGGTAATCTAGGTTGTGGTGTTTTGAACGCGGATTACAGGGATATGGATTCGCTTGGAAGAACGCTCCTGGGAGAAGTCTCCCAGAAGAGCTCTCCCAGAAGCGATAGGCTCCTAGAAGAGTTCTCCCAGAAGAGTTAGTCTTCTAGAAGAACTCTCCCAGGAGGGGAACTCTCCTAGAAGAGAATTCACGTGATGGATATATTGGATATATGGATATGTTATTATATCCATCGATATCCCTATACCCACTAGGCACGACGCCACTATATAAGTAGATAGTTAGTTCTTAGATAGGAGCTTCGTGCTCAACTCAATATAGTATTTGTTATATACTGTAACGTGTTTTACGAAAGCCTTTGTGTCTGATCCCCTGCCTCCCCTGTTAAGTAAACCAACGCAACGAAACCTCTGTAAGTCTTATAGTTTAAGACCCAGCGTTACATGGAAGCGAAGTGCGTCTGCAACTACTAAATATTACAAGTGCCTTTACATAGTAAATTATACGCAACGAGACTTAAGGTTATAAAAATTCAAAAATGTAATTAAATTATTTTATTTAAAATATATATAAACTAACGTATTTCACATGCGAGTGGCCACCCTAAGCGAGTAGCCATAGAAAACGCAAAAACGTGTAGACTAAGAATAAACATATTATATTGCAACAATGCAAGCTTAAAGCGCTTTAAAAGAAGATAGAACACTTTTAGCTATCAAGGCTATTAAACAAGGCTACATTTAGAATGTTCAGAGTGCTGCAGAAACGTACGATATCCCTTAAACAACACTATAGCGACAAATTCAAGGAACGGCTTCTTAACGTGACTATACCCCTAACTTACGTAAGTTGACTCCACCGTCAAAGCTCCCGGTGGCAAAGGCACCTCTCCTACCTATTATAGGAAAATAAAACAACTACAATGCTTCTTCTATATTCTCTTTACACTACTATCGCTATATTTAGCTCTCTATTACTCACACATATTATCATGAACTATTTATCTCGATTTTTTAGGCGCTGGATATTGTAAGTACTTTAGGAAGAAACTATAGAGATTAACTTCCACATCTTATTATAAGTTATAGCTAATCAAAAAACTTTAATCATAAGGAGAAATCCAATCGCATGCGAAAACGAGTCACAAATACAAAAAGAACCAGTGCAGCCGCCTGGATCATCTAGGCCTGCAAGAGTTGGTGACTTGAATTGGAAAGAAGCAAGTCACTACCTCGCGCAGTCTCAGGGATTTCATAAGATGATACAATGGAGTGAAGATGTAATTCTATTAGTTGATGCACAGGGGCTCACCTGTGGCTACGGCAACTTGCGCTGCAGGGCAAGGCGACAGACAGGATGAGACAAGATAAGAAAGGCGAGAAGGACGAGATAGGACGACAAATATGACAAGACGTGGTCGGATGGTGGAGGAAGTGGGCTGTTTTGGTTCCATATAATCCCGGCTCCTCGTGTTGAGCTACGATCACACGACATTTCATATACACATTCATTACAATTGCTTACAATTTTGCAGGAAAGACATGGTTTCAAAGGACAATTGGCTGGCAGGGACAGGAGCAGATAGACTGGCGCCCATTGAGGAATTGGAATTTGCAATTAGTTAGCTGATTCAAAAGGTGGCAATGGGTTGGGCACTACAACAAATATAATACATGTTTCACTTAAAGAGCTTTCAGAAAAGCATACGCCATGCCGTCCAGAAGTATAAGGGGGGATGTGCATCCAGAAGTGCTTATAGAATCTGTATTGGAAGTAAATGCATTCAATCAGCAGGGTGAGTGAGGTGAACAAGCTGAGGTTGAGGGACGACTTGATTCTGTGGCTCCGAGATTCCGCTTGTATGGTATGAACCACAACCCCTGGCCGTTCTTTAGCTTCGGATAAACAGCCATGTGGGGTGGCGCACGACCCTTCTTCCCCTTTTCGCCTGCAACCTTATTCTGTAACAACGCGGGGCAGCCACAATCCCCATTCCGCTATTCCCCGCGCAAATGATGAGAAGTCTATGGTGCCAGCTGCACCAGAAGCACTACGCCAAGGTCTAATAAATGTGCCAGCGCTGAGACCAACTCTATTTTGCACGATGTCTCTCTACCCCAGAAATGTGTATTCGGCCCGATCGGCATTTGACAAAATATCCTCGTTCGTGGGCATTCTTGTGCTCAGTCATCTTCAAATGATCGGCGAAAAACCTTCATCTCAAGGTAGGTGTCATAACTAGAAGAACCGAAATAGGCCCTATTGTTTGTGGTCTTCTAAATGACCGAGATAGGTCATTCTGTTCAAGAAGCACGAAATATTTCCGAGTAGAGCTTGTCTGGATCCTGGTACGCTGCTCTATATAAGGATGGCTGCTCATATGAGAATAATGGCCTTCGAAATCGGAGGTAGCCATCTCGCCTTGTCTATTGAGCTCTCCTGCTATTGCAAGCATGTTCGGTTCTCTCCTGTTCCTCCTCGTCGCCTCTACGGCCGTCACGGTTGCCCTTCCGGCACCAAACCTTCCACATGGCAGCTCTGACGATGCTCTGTTCCACATCCTTAAGGGACGCGGTATATTAGGCCCTATCTCGACTGGATCACCCGCCGGTATTTCTGGCGGTCAGGTCGCCTCCGGAGCTCCCCCACTTAGCTCGTTCTTTGCTGGCCTCAAAGCTCCTGTACGTAGAGTGTCTGGCAATCAAAACAAGTCTGACTTATACATAGTACCCAACAAATACGTGGTGGGCCTCATATGCAGCCTCTCCTGGAAATGGTACTGCTGCTGGTCCATTCCCATACGAGTCCGCTCTACACAACAATGGTGTTGTGTATGGTATCAGCGGCAATCGGGAATTTGATGGAACGTCTATTAAGCAGCCAACGCAGATCGATTGGTGTACATCCTTCTCCGAGCACCAAGGTGACTTTGCAAACCACAAGGCGACTGGTTTTGATACCCAGGCCGTCACTGTCCAGTATTTCCAAGATGCTGCGACCATGACGGCATATCTTGTCCCTGGGTCACCGTACATGACATTCGAATATTTCGGTGCCACTCCACTGTTGACGTCTATGAATGGTGGGATTAAGTCGTTTAACGGGCAGACGCTCGAAGTTGGTGGAAGTGGTATGTGTGACTCTATATCTTCCATGGCATGTCAGTGCTGATACAAGTATACAGCAAGTATCACTGACACAGAATTTTCTGTGCTTGATTCCGGCGGTTCCACATACCTGATCTATGCCCTGTCTTCGATCACTCTAAAGGCCACTGCTGTCTCCTCGTCCTCCGGCACGATCCAGGCCAGTGGCGCTTTCTCTGGAGTCCTTCGCATCGTCAAGCTTGCCGATCCCAACCACAAGGACCTTCTAGACCAGCATTATCAGGTCTACCCGACTGCTGTCACTCTTGACTATACACTGACCGACACATCTGGCACTCTAATTTTTGACTGGACAACTGTCGGCGATGGCAGCAACCTGTTAATGCTCACATATCCCCACCACCGTATAAAGCTGCAGGACCCGAACTTCCCTGACACATCAGCACTTGGTTATCTCACAACAAAGGTTTCTCTTACCTTCTGCTTCCCATTCGCATTTACTAACAAGAGTAATAATAGGGGTGGATGTATCCCGCCGTTGGTAGCAAATGGAGCATGCTCTACGACCTCACTTCGATAACTTGGGACGCGCCTCGCGCATTAGACTCTTCTTGCTCAGATGCTGTCCTTCAAGGCCTCGAGTACGAGGTTGGCCAGCTTGACGTTTCTAAGGCACCTATTCCCGGAGACTTTTATTACTGGGGTGGAACGCTCGCTGCCCAGGGGCGGCTAGCCCTCATCGCGTTCGTTCAAGCCCCTCCTCGATTAACAAATAGGTTAATCCGTTAACGTATATTTCCTCAACAGTGAGAACCTCGACCGCTCAGATCTCGTGACCCCAGTTATCGATTATCTCAAGGCTTCCTTTGCATACTGGTTTGATTCTTCGTCATCCACAGTACCTGCGTACGAGACCGCATGGGGCGGCGTAATCAACAAGGCCGGCGCCACGAATGTTTACGTCGACTTTGGGAATGGGTACTATAATGACCACCATTTCCACTACGGGTACTTCCTCTCAGTGGCGGCTATTATCGCCAAGTTTGATGGAAGCTGGTTAAACGAGCATAAAGAGTTCATCAACTGGTTCGCTCGGTAGGTATTCCTCTGCCAAGGTTGCTAAGAGAAGCGGTACTGATCATTCGCTGTTCCCAGGGATATCATCAACCCATCACCAGAAGACCCTTTCTTCCCAGTCACCCGCTGCCGTGATTGGTTTGCGGGCCACTCTTGGGCATCTGGAATCGCCAACGGGGCCGGCAGCCGCGACCAAGAGTCCACCGGCGAGGCAGTGAACGGATACTATGGCGCGCTCCTTTGGGCCTCTGTCGCACTGTCTACAGACTACATCAACTATGCCAAGCTCCTCCTTGCTACTGAGCAACATGGCGCTCAGGTTTATTGGCATTTGTATCCGCAGGATGACCCAGCGGGCCGCGATAACCCATATCCTGAAGCGGATTTAAGAGCCCTGACCACGATAGGTAATGTAGAGGACTGGCAGTCTGGCGCGTGGTTGTTCTGGGGTGACCAGAAGACTGAGATCGCGGCTATTCAGATATTACCCGTGATTCCTGTTAATGAAGTAGGTCATTTCTTAGTTTCATATCAACCTGCAAGAGAGAGTAGAGACTAATGATATACGCAGGTCCTGTATGATACCCAGTGGGTTGAGAACATGTGGTCATACACCATGCCCGAGCTGGTCGACCCAACCATTGGCGATGAATGGAAAGCCGTCATCATCAATGCATATTCAAATGCACACCCGCAAGTCGCTGCCGAATGGAGTGCCAATCTCACGGCCTGGGGTATGTTTTCCCCCCTCTTCTTTTCAGTCTAGATGGGTACTCACTGATAGATAAATAGGTAGCGGGCAAACGTTCACAAACGAGCTCTACTTCATCGGAACCCGCCCAAACCCAAGCAATGCCCCGATTTGCGGATCTCTTCCACAGAATCCATATGGCAGCTTCCAGATCCAGCTCGATTCTAATGGCAACTACGTTGCCGCTTCCAGCGTGGACACAAACTTGAAGGCCTCTGCCACCTCCACCAGCTCTGCTGCGACATTTAGCAGCGCCTACGTCCCAAATTCTGGCACGCTCCAGCTTGTCAGTACGAGCCAGTTTGTGACAGCTGGCCAGACTGGGGACGCTGCACTCGCTGCAGGCGCCGCAGTAGCATCAACTTGGGAGCGCTTTACGATCCGTCAAAAGAATGGCGCTGCGTCTGGGGTCTACTCAATTAAGGCAACCAGTAATGGGTTGTACATCACTGTGGGCGCTGATGGTGCACTCATTAACAATGGTGCAAATGAGGCCTCAAGCGCAGGGTTCAAATTCGTTCCGGTGTAACTTGGCTATTAGTTGAGGCGAGTTGCGTTGTGAAAGCAAGGATACTTGTTGACAACTATGTACATAATGGTAGCTCGCAGAGAAAATTGTTACCAGATTGTAATCTACGTCGCAGTATGCATTGTAAGCTTGCGTATGGCAGAGCGGATGGGGTGCCCAATTCTCTGTCAGCCATGGTCGGCATATGTTGAGTAATAAATTGTATGTATCGCTGTCTTCTCTAATTGATGCCTGAAATTACGGTAAGGGGAAGCTGAGATCACGCGACCATTTACAACAGCATATCCTCCGAGGTGGCATTGCATCTCACGTGATTATAGTTTACACGTGACACTGCTCGTGACACTCCACTGTTCGAAAAAAACGCACTTCTATCTTCGATATTTAGACATGAACTCTATTTACAAACTACTAATGACAAGGTACTTATAGAAGCATGCTTTAAAGTATCAACCTGCGCCTTTAATATGGCCGCCATATTGACTGAAAAGAGGGACAAGACGTGAATATAGATAGCGTTGGCAGGTTTGGTGGGTAACCGCTGAAAATTATGGGGAGAGGGTCATACAGGACCGAATTAGCGCCATGCCAGATAGGTTGGCTAGGATGTATCGCACAGAATCGTAATTAGTAGGAACACAGACCTCCGGAGGAAGGGCAGCGTTCGGCTGGCTGTCTAGAGATACAGTAAAGCCTCCTTAAGACGATACCCCTTAAGCTGATATCCTCGGTAGTGCGATTTTTTTTTCCGGAACTAAATAAATTCTCATATAACGTACGATATCCATGATATTAGTCCATAACGTAGAAATATCCTGATCTAGCACGTACTTTGTCGCCGTTATTTGCAGAATATCTTACAGCACTCTCGGTGAGTGGTTTGGGGGTCGTATATGCCCTTTTAAAAATGCGATATGTGAGTAAACTTGGTCTGCGCCGAGGGCACAATCACCCCTTCCTGATACAGTACAGCCTTGTTGACCCACCCGAACACAGTGAAGCCTCGTTAACCCCACCCTAAATACAGTTCAGCCTTGTTAAAACCCCTTCCCGAATGCAATGCAGCTTTGAAGCTTCATTTCTAATTTCAGATTTTGTCTCCTACCTCTTTCCACCTTTGTCCCTGTAACATTCATATGCCCAATGGCAAAACAAAGGACGTGTTGCCGTTGACCCGACGTGACATGGCCCGGATGCGTCAATTCCCCTTTCCCATATAGATCCGTTCACAACACACACTGCTGCCTGCAGTACTAACATTCACATAATTCACAAGTACAGTCCTAAAAACGCATCCTGTGCCACCGACTCTCCTCACCATGTCCCCATTTCTCAGATCTCATTTGTCTTAGTATCCCATTAGCGAGTGTCTTATCTAGCATGCGTGACGGGGGACCGACGGATTCAAACCGCCGGTCTGAAGATTTTCCAACCCGGAACGTGGCCTGGGTTAGAAAACCAGGCCGAACCGCCCAGGCCGGTGTGGTCCCCTAACGGTTTCTTGGCAGACCGTTGGGGGACCGTGGGTTTTTACTTTTAGACCAGACCGTGGACTGCGTTGAAGATTTGGAACCGGACCCCCCCATGGTCCGGTCTGGGGTCGGTCCCCCGATGGGTCGGTTCCCCGTCACGCAGGCTAGACTTATCCACCCATCTATGCAAGGCAGGCTTACAACCCGCATCATCTAAGTCATTCACTAAATTCACAAGTTACATAGCAGAAGAAAGCGGCTCACATGCTTAATTCCTATCCTACCCTAGCTTCCCTCTCATCCGCATATAACTCTCTTGCGGTGAGGTTGTAGTTGGGATCAGATTATATTCGTGAATCGTGCCTACTTTTCTCAACACGCGAGATCCTAACATTTATGCGCTACCATGCGTCCCCTAGACTCCTCCCTATGCGATACTTTCACATATGTAAGAGGCAGGAGGTCACCTTCCAAGATGCACAAAGAGAATTTGTGATGAATAATCCCCCCCAACAATACAGTCGAACCCCCGTTATAGCGATGATCCATTAGCCGATGTCGTTATAATTTCAAGGCCACGCGGGCTTTTTATTGGTCAATTTAATGGTTATGTAATCAAATATACTCCCATAAACCGATATTATCGTTATAACGATACAAATGTCTGGTCAAAATTACATCGTTATAACGGGGGTTCGACTGTAGTCATACACGTGCCCGTGACAAGCACGGCCCGAACACCACGTGATGTAGTTTCAAATCTCCAGGCAACTATCTTGGCTCACCAGGGCTTACAGCGACTGGTTGGTGAAGTAGCCGCTGTCAACTAAATTAGGCTAAGTGAGTATGGTAATCCCCCATTCACGTGCTGGCTGACCCCAAATCTACGCGGTTGATCCCCCCAGTAAACAGATTTCTGGGGGCTATTTTTTCCGGCGGCGGTGGAAATTGGAACCTCTACTCTCGCATGAAGGAGATTCTTCAAGAAGCGCAGAACGACCCAGACATGGCGGATTAGATGCGCCAGGATTACTATAATACCAATCGCTCCTCAAATGGGTTCCGACTGCGGCTTAATGAATCTCAATAATTATTCCGGGCCTGTCTCAAATTCTTGTCGAGAAGGCACCGCGAAGCTGGGGCTGACTGTGCCATGAAATCACGTGTTGAGTATTTTTCGGTTATTACATTACAGCACAATCTTAGAGATACCCTTAGTAGTTTAGCCAAAATCAAAAATCAATACCTCGCCGCCGACCTGCATTAGTGTGGCTAGAAGGGGCTGCCGAAGAAAACTAGTCAGGAACGAAGGATTGAATTCGAGACAACCGAGGGAATTAAAGTCATCCTCTGCACGGATCTCATGCCAAATGTGTGTGTGCAGGCATCAGTGTCTCGCTTCTCGCCGCTGATTGGCAGTGTCAGTTAATTTTAACCTCTTTCTTCCCTGTTCAACAACAGCCACGCCAACCCCTTGCAATCTAGTGCTCACGTTGTCAGATCTCGCTCAGCCTTCATCCTGTTGGACTTTCATGCCATTGGGCTTTCACCATCTTTAACTATCATCCTACTGGACAAACCCCTCGTCCTTCTACCCTCCGCCTGGTGCGGGAGATTACCACTCGGCCCTACTCTTTCCACGAATGTGCAAGCTCGACTTCAGTCCCTGAACCCCCAACCCCGCTACAGTATTAGCAGCGAATCTAGTGAGTCTAGAGGCCTAATGGGCTCTACTCTCATCCTCCTCCCTCTTTCGCCCTACTTCCGATATCCCCGCCATGCCAACATACACCTACCGCCCACACAACTACACCGGCACCACCATCCGCTCACCGACGCCAATGTGGCGTAGCAGTGACTCCATGCGCCCGTTTTATCGCCCTCGCCTGTGGCCCCTGTAAGTTGGTGCGCGATGCTTTTCTAATTCATTTCATCCTCTCTCTATTTCTTTTCCTTTCCCTTCATCCCCATACTCCACAGCCTTTCCTTCCTGGCGTGGTATCGTCACCATAACTCGTTGCAGACTTTGATTTGCGTCCTTTCGTTGGCGATCGAGTCAACATCACATTCTTTTGAACCGGCCTAGGCCATACTACTATCTTTAAGCACCCTCGTTACTTCGCATCTTTATCATGGGTTTCTCCAAGACTTTTGCAGCTGTCGCTGCCCTCGCAACCGTAGCGAGTGCGGCTAGTTCGGCAAGAAGCTCCGTGGCCGCGTACTGGGTAGAACTTCAAAATAATGGCGGCGAACGGAGTAGAAATGCTGACGATGAGATAGGGCCAATCTGGCGGCTCGCTTCGCGACTACTGTGATACAGCTGACACGGATTACATTCCCATCGGCTTCATCAACTACTTTCCGGCACAGGCGAACGGGTGGCCAGGATCCAACTACGCAAGCTCATGTTGGGCGGAGTATTATAATGCCCCCGGCTACCAAGGCGTCGACGATGACAGCAAGAACCTGCTCCTAAGTTATTGCCCCGGAATGGCCCAGGATATGCAGTACTGCCAGTCCAAGGGGAAGAAGATACTTCTGTCCCTTGGTGGCGGATACGACACTTATCATCTCTCCGGCAAGGTGGATGGAGAGGCCTTTGCTGATTTCTTGTGGGGAGCGTACGGTCCTAATACGACCGCGTGGGCTGGTCCGCGTCCCTTCGATCCTATCCCAGGATCCGTCGGTGACGGAATTGCGACGGTCGTCGATGGTTACGATTTTGATATTGAGTTCCCGGACACTGGTAAGAATCTTGTTTCCAAATGCAGAGACCGCCCCACTAATTGTCCTAGACAATTCTGTCGGGTACATTGCGATGATCAACAAGCTTCGCGGCTACTTCCCTGCGGGAAGCAACTACCTCATCACCGGTGCCCCGCAGTGCGTCGTGAATGATGCAAACATGGACTTGATGATCCAAGGCGCGCAGTTCGATATCATCTGGGTCCAGTTCTACAACACATGGGGATGCTCCGTTCGCGACTGGGTTACCAATAACCCTAACTACGCTTCGACCGGCATTGAGAGCCCTGTTGACCCTAATAACAAACTCGGGGGTTTCTCCTTCGAGAAGTGGTACAACCGTCTCCAGGCACCTAACTCCAAGAGCAAGAACGCCAAACTCGCAATTGGTGTTCTTGGACAGGCCACCGAGACCGGAGTAGTAGACTTTCGAGTTTCTGCGGACCAGCTTAAGCCGCTAATCGACGCGTATTTCTGCCACGCGAACTTCGGTGGGTTCATGATCTGGGACCTCGTTGCTTCCAGTAACAACCTCAAGAATGGAGTTACTTTCCAGGCGCAAATCAAAAATCTCCTGAACGCCAAAGAGGCCAAGGGATGCCCTACTGTCACAACTACGAGCTCTGTACCCACGCCCACGACTACTCAGCCTCCGAACACTACAATCATTGACGGGACAGCGTACCCTAATCCTCCTGCTCCCACTGTTCTTGGGTCGACTCCGAAATGCAAGAAGTGGTATGTTGTTCAGAATGGAGATACCTGCGCGGCAATAGCATCTAAGAACGACATTACGAGAACGGACATCAACCTTTGGAATACCTACATCACCTCGACCTGCACTAATATCTGGGCTACCTATGCTATCTGCGTTTCTAGCCCCTTGGCAGAGGACTACTGGAGTTCAGTTGGCTGCTTAACTGATAGCCAAAGTGCTCGTGCATTAGCAAACAAAATAACGCTCACTGACGCGAAATCTATTATGACACCGAAGGCTTGCAGCGATGCCTGCGCTGCGGCAGGATACCGCCTTTCCGGTCTCGAGTATGGGTTTGAATGTTACTGTGATAATGCTATCCGCAACGGCCACGGCTTGACCCAGTCAGGCTGCACGACTCCCTGCCCCGGTGCACCATCAATTACGTGCGGCGGACCCGACAGGATCAATCTCTACCGCCTCGATAAATACAAAGACCTCGGCTGCTACACCGACATCGCCACGTCGCGCACGCTAGAGAAGCAGATCATCATTACGAACCAGAATACTATTCTCACACGCGAGATCTGTCAGACCGCCTGCGAAAAGGCGGGGTACATCTACTCGGGCGTCGAGTATGCACATCAGTGCTGGTGCGGCAACACCATCCGGGGTAGCCCGGCATCGAGCGGGTGCTCGTCAGCGTGTCCAGGTAATACGGCCCAGACATGTGGAGGCTCGGATCGGATTAATGTGATGATGCGGCCGCAATCCAGATCTCTCGGGTGCTATTCCGATGATGTGAATAAGAGGACGCTCAGGTACCAGCTCACTATTACGAATGCGGCGACGTTGATGACAGTTGAGTTGTGTAGAACCACGTGTTTGACGAAGGGCTTCATTTATTCTGGGGTTGAGTATGGGCATCAGTGTTTCTGTGACGATGAGCTCTATGGTACTGGGGTGCCATCGACTGGGTGTGCAATGGCTTGTCCAGGGGGTGGTTCTGCAGTTTGCGGTGGCAGCTCGAGGATTAATATCTATTCCTTGTAAATGGTGCAGTCACCTATATCTTCAAGAAGGATCTATAACTTATATTTGTTCCGGCCGAACGGCGAATAAAAGGAGTAGCGGCGTATAATAAAATACAGTATCAATAATATGTTCGATATCACGGTATTCACTAGAAGTTACTAAAACCCACTCGGAATTGGTGTTGTTGCCCCTGTGAGGTAGCCGACGACTCTGCTGCGGAGGTCGTGGGCGAAGATGCGCTACTCTGGTAGCTTGCATGCGGCCACGAACTGGTCCACGGTGCAGGCAAAATCATGCATGACTGTCGTTCGGGTCAACCAAACCCGCCTGGGTAGCTCAATCGGTAGAGCGTGTGACTCTTACTTCCTATCTTAGGATATGAGATCATCTCAAGGTCGCGGGTTCGAGCCCCGCCTCGGGCTCAAATCCCGAGTGCTCTCTTGAGGAGTCCTCTTTTATTTTTTATTTTTCGAAGGGTGGGTCAACTCCACCATCGAAGCTACTAGTGCCAACTTCTGCCTCACGGCAATCGAAGACAACTATAATGCTTCTTTGGGTCTTGGCGTCTTTGTCGATGGCGTCGAGCTCGCCGTCTATGGTTGCTGCTACGTTGTGTCTGGTGGGTGCGCTTTTACCTACGTTGAGACGAGGAGGAGATACAGTATTGATACTGTGCGTATGGTGCTGTGTTTTGGATGTGCGATTGCTGATAGATGGTGATTATGGCTCCTCGGGGCGTTTGTGAAGCTGGGCGCCTGTAACCGGGCGCTGGGGGGTAGAGGCCTCGATATCGGCCTAAACCTGCCCGTATTAAGCAAGAGGGGGTCCGGATAGGAATTAGAATTGCGTGTTTGACTGTAGGTACGGCCCTAGGGGTCCAGAGTGGAATGTTGTGGGCAGTTTGTCGATTTGTCGATCTGTAGAATGTGCGGGTTAATATGAGATTATAGCTTATGCACTAACTATAAGTTACTAGCACTCTGCCGCCAGAAATAAGTCTGTATTTCGAAACTATTACCTAGTTATCATCCTCTATTGATATTGGGGTTTCGAAGCTATGGCAAAGCCATATATAGTTTTAGCAACTTCTCAAAATTAGGCGTCCCAAGTCCAGTCACAGGATCCCACCCGATATCAGCATGAAATGCTTCAACATCACAGCCATAATTAAACCCTTCTACCACATCGTTAAATGCCCACTCATTTTCATAAAATACGGGATTCAAGAACCCGACCGATTTTTTTCCCGCACTTAGTCTCCTATCATTGATTTTCGTAATAATGGAAGCAAGAACTGGTGTGGAGCAAGAAGTTCCATATGCTCCATATAAAAGCTGGTCGACTGCTATGATATAATTTGCTGCATTGGCCGATACATCCGGGTAGCCTCTAGCAAAGCCAGACGAGTTGAAGAGATGACTGACATTATGAAGATGAGACTTTTGTCGAGAGAAATACCGGTCGATGTGGTGGGATTGATAACTAGGCCTTTGAAAAACATTGCTGAATCCGCCACCGGAAGTTACAACTTGGGCAAGAGTCGTATTTGGAAAACGGTGGTAGATAGCAACCTCATCGTCTGTCACTGTTCCATTGATTGGAAGTTGCGTACCACCGACTGACGTCACCCATGGACAGGTGGATGGGAAAGAAGGATTGAATAATCCGACCGTTTCGTTTGTAATATTGCCATTGTTTGGGTCGAGACAAACACCATCTTGCCCAGCAACTCCGTAGTCCCCGGAGGAAAAAATTATGGAAACGCCTTGTAATCCAAGTTTTAGGTACTCAAAGCATTGACGCTGGAGGTATGCCGGAGAATATGCTGCTTCGCGCCAGGCAAATGACACGGAGATAACTTTCGTCGGACTATGGTTTCCGCAATCAGAGCTGTTGTAACCTCCAGGCCAGCCGGGAATTGGAGAAATAATTGGATCTGGGTAGATAGGGTCGTATGTTGAATCCAAAGCACCACAATAGGAGGCATCGAGAGCAGCGAGGAAGTTGTTCATATCCCCTTGCATCCAAAGATCGCCAACTGAATATAGCGTCACATTCTGAGGATGAACGAGCGCCATGCTGTACTCTAAATCAAGACTCACTTCTCCGTTAAAAGCAAATTGCTTTGAAAAGTTTTGCAAGAATCCTCCGTCGATAGATTCAAAGACCGGTTCCTTTCCAACCGCCTCGGGCATGAATAATTGAAAAAATGAATTTAAATCATCTTGGAAATATGATCCCCAGGCAAACTCCACCAACCCAAGTGAATTATTGGAGTTAGATGTGTCGCCGGCGGGGATGTTGTATAGGGCGCGGACACACTCGGGCGTTGTCTGTTGAGCACAGGTTGTTATTGTCGATTTCAACGACGCAGCAAATGATGCAGCTTTTGAAAATTTAGATTGGTCATCTTTCAATGGGGCTATAGAGCGTGTGGCCCTTCTCTGTTGCTGAACTTGAAGTTCAAATTGTATTGTCGGCATTATAAAGTCAATATGGCGCTGAATGGATTTGGAAACGCTGTATTCGTCACAAGCTGCTCTAGATTCTCCTGTTCGTATATTCTGATAGATGTAATATCTTGCGTTTAGCAGCTTCTCTGCCTCTTGGACAGTGGCGTTTATTTGAAGCCAACCTCCGCAATGGGATCGAAATATCCTTGCTTCTGGAATGCCGGAATCTCTAACCCAAGCTGCCACGTCAGAAATCGCTTCTGGAGATGGAGCAAACATCCGTGCTACATCTTTTGGCGTCCAGTGCTGAGAGAAATTTGACGAAGCTGGATGTGAAATATTCAGGAGCAGATCTTCGGCTTTATCTAAGTTGCTCTGGGTCAAAGCTATTTTCAATGGGAGGATTAGATCGAGGTCTAATGTCGATGATCTGGTCCACAACTCTGCATGTGGTACTCGCTTTTCGTGGATAGCAAATTCATTGTTGTGAGATCCTGTAGTAGCCAAAGCAAAAGCCATTTGGCATAATAACTCGAGGGAAATAAAAAGCTTCATTGTGAACTGGAATTGGATCATGTAGTTTTAGAGCGGTGTCAACGTGTGAGAGAGGGATTCACTCACCCCCATGTAATCTTCATATTATTCCAGATATACCCTCACGGCTATGTTGACACCATTGAAATGGTCAAGAGGATTTCTGGCTCTCGTATCTTCATGACCGAGGAGATATCTATCGCACTTTCTTACCTGCTGCTCGTTGATGTAGTGACACTGCATATGCGATGCAGTTGGACATCATGCTGTTAGAAATCGTTTACCACTTACCATTTACCATGGAGGCAAAGCTTAGGCAAAGCTTAGGCTGCGCTCGGACACTAACATTTCAATTTATCCAAATACACTCAGGGCCTATTAACGACGCCGGTTTGCGCATCTATTTGAAGGAGGCTCCACTAACTGCCCGAAATATTTAAAGGAAGTATTGATAACGGGCTTCTAGATTAGGGCGTGGGGTGGAATGCAGAATCCTTTGACAAATGGAGACCAACCAAGTTGCACGAATAAATTGTAAGACTGAGGCATTATCATGAGTTTTAAATTACATGGGTGGTAGTAGGATGGTCTTGCACGGATAAACCGGCAACGGTTATATTCCACGTACAAACGGTATTATACCGCCTCGATTGTTGAAAATTGAAGCTGACTTACAAGGCCTAAAGCTGGTCTACATACTTTTTCTTTGCGCAAGATCCATGACCAAAATCTATTCCATCTTAACAGCAGCTTGGAAGAAAAGAAGCTGAGTTGTAGTAGAAGTATAAAGTCTTTGTGAATGCGCCTACATCTATCTTCCTGTTACTCAAGCTCTCCTCTGACAACTTGATACTCACCTTGAAAAAGTTTTATATTGTTCACTACATAACGTACCAAGATGGTTTTCGCACTCAAATCAATCGTGCTTGTCACAATGCTTGCAGCCGCCCAGGCTCTTCCCTCTCCTGCTCCTGCCTCCTCGGAATTGGAAAAACGAGTAAGTTAACCCTATCCTTCTAATATTGAACCGACAACCGACACTGATGATTATGTAGGCAGCCATTGTAAGACCCTTTTTATACTGAGATTCGTTTTGTTATACTCGAGGTGTATTAATATGACTGTCTCTAGCCCGTGTGTCTTGCGGCTTGTACGCTCGCATGCTTGAGCCTACCACCTCCAGCAGACCTAGCGTGCGAGGTCTCTTGTCTGGCTTTCTGCCTCGGAAGTGTTGAAACCGGAGGAAGTATTGGGAGCGTCGATTCCGCTAAAGGAGTCATTGTTGCTGGGAATGGAGATGTCATCTTCACAGCCAGCAGCACCTAAGCGGACGCTATTTTGATGCGAGGCGAGCATCATATAGAGCGTTTAAGGTAGTGTGACTGGTGAAGTTTTGACAAAGTTGGTTGGTTTAGGATGGCAGAGTCATTCCACCTGCTGTGTCCGAGTCTATCTTTCTTTCATCTTAGTAGCTAAAATACAATAAAACCCTTTGGCCAAGGAACCTATTCTACACTATACTCCGTTTCCTACTTAAATTGTAAATTGAACTTAATTCGAGTGAGTCCACTCAGAGCGAAAGGTGTAGGTAGCAGGTAGCTCTATGTAGTAGACTGCATAAAAAGTGTTAACTATATGTTCCTTTTCACTCATTTTATAAGTAAAGATACGTGCACTTTTCCCCCGTCTAAGGCGACCACCCCGCTTCTGGGTAAATTGCTTCCAACGTCTGGAAGGTGGTAAGCGAAGCGAATAGATAGATAGTCCAACATGTAAGCATTATAAAGCCCCTCATTCCATGATCTCCAAAACGCTCCTCACCTCCTTGCTTATCTCAACTTTGCAAACGATACCATCTTGCAAACGATATCATCACTCCGACATGGCCGATCCACAAGCGCCAGCCGATTTTACCGTTGCCATGAACTATGTCAAAGAATTAAAGGTAAGTTACTTCAACTATCCGAATGTTGCAGCCTAGTTTGGCTGGACGTTGATCCAACCCACCCCCCCCCACCGGCCTTCTCCCTACTACAGGCAAAAGAAACCCTTAAATCGCTAATGTTGGATCTTCTTAAGGAACACCGTCCGGATCTATGGCCGCAGTTCGAGGAATACATCACCGAATATCGAACTCCACCTCGCGACCTCGACAGATTTCATGCCCAAGTCAAGGAGCTCTTAAAAGATGAGCCGGACCTCTACGCTAGGTTCGAGGAATTTTTCCCCAAGAAGAGTGGTGGGCAGGAGACGGAAGGACAAGGAGAAAACAATGCCACTTGAAGTCTTTAACCTTGGAGAGGTTAGATGTAATACAGACTGGAGATGGGAATACTAGGGTTTTAATCAAAATGACGATGGGTTTGAGTTGAGAACTGTCTAGAGTTGGAACATCAGCTCTGAAGAAACTGGCATATCATCGTCTTAACCCTCGTCACCCTTCTATTTATTCATATGGTGATTTGAGCCTACCTACCCCCGACAAATAACGCCTTCCGTATTGTCGTTTGCCTCGTATACGTAGCACTGACAGCGCACTACGAACTGGGTAGATCGCCAGATGGTCCCGACTGCTGATCCTGATGATCCCCCGCCAGATATCCACTGTGCCATGCGGCCCGTGCTGCTTAGGGCCACTTAAACTCGGTCACATCACTAGCCTTCTCTCCGGACGGCAAGGTGTCGCATTAGGCTCAAGAGACAAGATTTGGGAAAGTGTTACAGGGGTGGTGCTACACAAGCTGGTCGCGTCAAGCTTAGACGATAAGACAGTGGTCTGTAGCCTGGTCTGGGAAGAGGTGATCAACGCAGCTCGGCGCATCTACGACAGCCTGCATCACCATTCCACATCAATCACACGATTGCCATTATCATTACAGCCCCAAAGGTGTATATATCGCTCCGTTAACCACACCTACCAGACTTGATGAGCCTCAAATTTTCCAACTTCCAATTTCCGTCTCTCACCCAACATATACATCTACCCCTATAACCTCCATCCACCTTCATCATTCACCACACCTAACATAGACGTGATGCTGACCCTCCGCGTCAAAAAGACGCAGCTTAGGTGCTTCATTTCTAATTTCCGAGTTATTTTCTCCTCTTAGCTCTACACATTTACCCTCATAACATGCATACATACACCCACATTATTCATGGCCAAAAAATGACATGTTGCCGCCGACCCCTCCCCGACGTGACGTGGCCTAGATGCTTCAATTCACCCTTACCCTTTTGACTCGCCGAGATACACATTTCCTCACTACATCATCCTGATATCCGCACTATCCTCACCATTCATCCACAGGTACCTACCAAAAAAAGGTAGGGTGTGCCGCCAACTTTCCCTAGCGAGTCCTCCCGCCTTATTTCCCCCCTTCCCTCAGCTACGCCTCATACTTATTTACCGCCTAGACACCACACACTACTCAGCTTCCAAAGCCGCCTCGCCCATCGACCCGCGCCACATCCGCCGCCTACGGCATTAACATTCACATAATTCACCAGTACAGTCCCAAATCCGCATCATGTGCCGTCAACTCTCACCGAGGCCCTACCTCCTAGGGTTCATTTGTCTCAGTACTCCATTAGACAGTGTCTCACCCGCCTGTCTATGCAAGGTAGGTTTACAAACCGCGTCATCCAAGGTATTCACTGAATTTACAAGTTACACAGCAGCCGAAGAAAGCGGCTTAGACCTCAATTCCTATCTCCCTTTTCCTTTTTTACCAGTATGCACAATCAGGCCCCGAGAATATACACGCTCACGGGATGTACAGTACAGTCAACAGCCGAGCAGCGTTATGTCGTTGACATCTGTCCTCTCCGAGCCATTGTCATTTCATCTCGACTTCGGAAGCAGTTTCGACCAGCCTGCTAGGTGTTGAAGGTATATATGTATGGTGCCGTCGACTCCCCATGGGATGCGGTTCTCATCCCCCTCCTCCGAGCTACGCCCTATACACATCTACTACCCCCAACACCCCATCATTTCACAGCATTCACATCACACAAGTGCAGTTAAACAAAAAGTATAGTGTGCCACAGGCTCCCCCCCGGATTTTTCCCGAGAGGGTCCTCAAAAAAATGAGGGTATCCATTTCTATCTAAGACAACATCCCCTCCTTCCCCGCCCCTCCCCCTTCCAAAAAAATTACAGCCTCCTTGACGGGCTGACCAAATGGGTGCCAGCCAGACTGAACAATCAAAACAAATAAGTTATCCCAGATAACGCCTTCCTTTCCTTCCTTTCCTTCTGTAACCCTTTTTTTCCGGTTTAACCCGGATGTGTGTGTGGGCTGGAATTGGTTTTGGTGTACACAGGCATGCTGTAGCAGTAGCTCAGTCGTGCCTTCCTCCTCCCCCCATGTTCATCCATCCCCCATCTAAGCAGCCAACTCCCCATCCCCCCCCGTATTCCCCGGCACAATCAGCTCCTCCACCTGCCCACTCTCATCCACAAACTTCCTCTCACTAACATGTTTCCCCTCCTCCCCCGCAACCCACACCTTATCCTCAAACTTCCCCCGTCTCTGCCCCTCCTCATGCCTAAACGCACACTGCGGATTCAAGCACGGATTAAACTTACACATCGTCTTCACATGCGTAAACGTGCACCCCTCATCCTTGCAATCCGCACCATTCCTACACAACGGCGCCGTCGGATGTCTGAAGGGACAGCGCGCGTTCGTGCAGTTGGGGAAGAACTTGCAGTCCTGCTCCGCGTTATGTGCGACCTTCTGCGCGGGCGAGGGGTGGCGAGCAGTGCACTTGCGGTTCTTGCAGGCGGCTCCAAAAGCGCAGGTGTCGGTTATGTCGATGGCGGTCCCCGGGGGAGCAGCGGGGGATTGATGCGCGAATTTGCAAGAGCTGTTGGTGCAGGAGAGGTTGAATTTGCAGGTTGTGTCGGGGGAGGCGGGTTCGTGGGCGGGGGTGAGGACCATGTCCATTGGGGAGATGGGGGAGGCTTGCTGTTGTTGTTGGTGTTGCTGGTGTTGTTGTTGTGGGTGTTGCTGGAATGGAGGGCGGTTATTGAATTGTTGCTGCCTTTGCCCTCGTCCAGGCTGCACGCGGTCGAATAGTGAGCGTCCGGTATTACGGCCTTGTTGCTGCTGCTGGTACGATGGCATGCCGCCCATAGGCATCTGGCCACCATTCCCTGCCATCATGGAGGCGTGCTGTTCGGGTGTGAACATCTGCTGCATCATGCGGAACATCTCCATCTGCTGCGCGGGGGTGATCATGTTCCCCCCCGCCGGTCCACCCTGCATGCCTCCTCCCATGGCGCCGAATCGGCCGCCTCGCTGCTGCATGTTCCCCCGCGGCCCGGTGGGGGCGCCGCGGCCGCCGATGCGCTCGTTTCCGCCGTGGGCGCGGACGCGGTGGAGCACGGAGTCTTTGCCGTCGAGGTTCTTTTGCAGTTGGCCTAGCATGCGCCTATCTCTTCCGCGGTTCATGCCGGCGCCGCCGGTGCGCATCGATTTGGGGCCTGTTGGTCTGGGTTCTGTTAGTTGAAGCTCTTGAAGCGAGTAGGGTAAGGTATGGTGCTGTACATACACATTTGGATCTCCTGCTTCGGATGCATCTCCCATCACTTCGTCATTGCCACCTTCCGCCGCCTCAGCTTGAGGGGCGCCATTTTGGTGAACAGCACCGCCGCTCTGCTGCTGGGTAAGATGCGCCACCTGCTCAAACAGCCAGTGCGCAAACTCCTTCGCTCCCGGGTCGTCCGGGCCAAGGTTCAACAGGTCCCCCGATAACTCAGCCGCAATCTGGTCTTGTGTCTTTCCATTTGCTAGCATGAGGATGATGTATTCCGCCAGCGCCGAGTCGTCGGTTCCGCCTGTGCTCCAGCCTATCTCGGCCAGCTTGGGTTGTATCGCGTCATTGAGAGCGGCTGTGATGGACTCGTTGAGGATGGCGACAGACATGGTGACGGCGGTGGTAGGGTGGCGCGGAGGGTGGTGAAGTTGGGCGCGCGCGTCGAGTCTCGAGAGAAACGGAGTCGGAGTCGATCGCGGGTGAATGGGTCGTCTCTCTGGGTCCTTGAGCGTGCTATGGTGACAATCGGTTGTATAGCTGCGCCGGTTGTGGGTTGGAAGCAAAGGAAGTTTGTGGAAGTTGGTTCTTCGACGCCTTCAATTATTCCCAGCTAAGGTAACAAGAAAGGCTAGCGTGGTGGTGAGCACGTGACTACTTTGACGTTGGCTGGCTCGTGATGGCCAATGAGATCGTGCTGACTAAGAACAGATCTATCTAGAACGTCGGTGAATGAAGTTGGATCTTGCTGATTCACCATCATCAGGTTCTGGACTCGCATCTTATGTAGGCAGTGGGTGGGCGTGAATATTCGTTTCAGCCTCGAGCATTTCGTTTTAATCATTCATTTGCCTTCATTCGTTTCATCTATTTCTAGTGAAATGACTTGATTTTCTGTACAAGTGAGAGGACTCGAAACGTCATACAACTGTGTGAGTGTAAACTCTATAAAGAGTTCCTTTGCTCGGCAACAAGGAGGCTGTTGTATGGGTATTTGAGGACTGGAAACGTCACACGATGGTTAGAGTGTAATCACCTTCATAGGATTCCCTTCTTTATCGGCAACAAAGCTATCGTATGGGTATTGGAGGATTCGACCGACCATACGATGATCAGAGTGTAAACTCTTTCAGTGACTCCTTTACTCGGCAACAAAAGAAAGCCGCTCGATGCATATCGGAGGATTCTTAACCCCCGAATGTGAACTCTCTCGCAAAAGATGTTTCTTCAGGCCCACATCAACGGAGGAAAATTATGCCGCATTGGTGAGATGGACTCGGCCAGTGTGTAAACTGTCCACAGAGATCCCTTTGCTCGCGGAGCCTCATTCGTCATCAAGGGAATCAAAATCTACAAACAGCTCCTTTGGTCTTGGGCCTCATTCGTCATCAATGAACCTGGGATCTCTTCAACCTCCTCGGTACCACCTAAAAGATCTCCCGCATCAAGGGTCTCGGAACCAGTTATACCGTGGAATGCCTCAGAGACCAATAGCCCCAAATATCAGGAACCAAAGTCATCCGCACGCTCCATCAGTCCACCACGAACCGCCCAACTCACCTCCACAATGCCTAAAGTGTAACATTCAATGCGCTGTCTCTTCATCACCGCACACATCGTCCCTAGTATGCACATACCATGCATCAGTCCACCATTAGACCACGGGAAATGTCCCTGTGAAAATCCAGCGCATGTACAGTCGTACTGTGCGCCGAGTGCATGCTGCAGGTAATGAAGATGTGTCGCCATTACATCCGCACATACGCACGCACGTACTGCTCCCCTGGCGCCTAATGTGCCACCACCAGGTGTGATGGGAACGATGCGTCAACGGACGGGGGAGGTCGGTGTTAAAAATGCCCGACTGCCGATGCGCGCTTGTGGGTATGATGGGCGTCTAGCGTTAGAAAGGGGATGAGGTGGGAATGCGGGGGATGAGGGGGCTTAGTCATGGTGTTTGTGTGGTTGTCCCGTTGTCTGTCCCGTTTGTGCTGTCTGTCTATTGAAGTAAAGGGATGATGCCACGTGATTGTCATATGCTGGATATCTGCAGATAAAAGAGAGGGTTGCATTGGGCACGTAAAGTGAAACAAACACCTAGGCCGTGAGACAGGTATCTCAACAGTATCAATATCTGACCAGTATCGCACTGTATATTGAAACAGTCTCATGCTGAAGGTGTCTGACTTCACATGTCAAGCCGGTAACACACATCCCATCCCATGGCGTTTATGTACAGTCCTCTCTCACTCACTCTATATGAATCGATCGTAAAGAGTAATCAGGACTTGGCTTTTTCTCAACAGAAAGGGCGAAAAATAAAAATAAAACTCCGAAGCTTGCATTTGCATAGCGTTGAGGTGAGGGGAGAGAGAGGGTGACGATTATGAAAGGCCAAGCTTACCACACGTAAAAGGAAAAAAAAGAGAGAGAAACCCGACAGTAAGACACCCGACGCATCTCTAGTGAAGCAAATATGTAACTAAACACGCACAACTGACGCACCTGTCACCACGCACACAGCATAACCGTTGCATTGCCCTACTAGCCTAGCCGCCAAGCCTATTTTGACATCGCGAACACTGACGCAAGTAAATACCAGCAGATAGCAGATACCCCGCAGTGCCCGCCACAGCCGTAACAACCGAAGAGTACCTGGCTACTAAGGCTGTACTAAGCTACCAACACGTACCACATTTACCAAGGCTGCCGTTCCCCCGCCTTATCAGAGTGTATTGGACGAGTCAGAGCTAGCTATTTTTCCCAGGGTCCGGGAGTCGTAGCCTTACCAGCCCTTCACACACAATTTTGGACAGGCACATGTGAAGGAGAGTGGAAATACCGAGGAGGAGTGGAGCAACATGTGAACCTCTCTAGAAGTCAACAGTATGCCATTGTTCACCCAATTAGACGGCGGTAATAACATATTGCGCCCTGTTATAACCCAATAGAAGCCCAGTAACGCTCTTCTAGCTTGTTTTCCCCGGATTCCCATTCGTGGAGAGGGAGGACAGGAGGTACGTGTTCTACTGTCGCGCGTCGTACTTTTTTATACGAATACGTGCGTTTGCTTTGCCCGAATGTCCATATCACAGTACCACAGCATAACCGTTGGCCCTTGTTCTCTCTCTGTACGCTACTAATCTACAGCACTGTGCTGTGCTCTGGGAATCTGTGATGGGGAAGGGAAGTACTCTCCCATACAACCACAGCCCGTGCGCTACTTCCACCTCCCCACAATCCCACACCCATCCCATCCCAACCGCCGCCAAACATCGCGTACCCACCAACCACCCCCCCCCCCTTCTCTCCCCCCTCCCCCGCCATTTCATCGGGACCGCGGAACATAAACTTTGCGTGCAGGTCCAACGTTGTCCCGACTCGGGTTATATATGTAGCGTCATTGTATGCAGACGACAGGTCGACCCTTCCGATAATAATACATACTGCGGCTTGAGTCACTCGAATGGAGTGAGCGCGATCGCGATTTTTCTTAACTGTTAAAGAGCGAAGCCATATACCACCAACCACCACTACCACTACCACCATATATATCCTGTACATATTTGTACATACTATACTGTTTACTACATACAGTATTTCTCAAGTCTCGTGAAGAGAGAGACAGTTACACCAACCAACGCGTTATCAATCGAGAAACCGCGACCATGATTGAAGATATTTTAAACGACCTCACCAAGACTAACATCGCGGTGGGTGTCTTCTGCCTCTGGGTGCTATGGAATATCGTCACGCGTATCGATGAGGAGAGGAGAATCGCTGCGTACGGAAAACATGCCCCCGCCGTCAGATGCTGGTTGCCATACAGTAAGTCTCGTCCCTATATCCCCAATGGCGGCGCGTCCATTGCACCCTCGCGCCGCTCAATACGGATCCAAGTATCTATCTTTCCTGTCTGAACTCCACTAACCCCCCCCCCCAGACCTCGACATGGTGGTCCGAGCAATCTACAACTCCCTCCACGACAACAACTTCGAAGGCTGGCGCTCCCTCTTCGCCAAGAACGGCCGCGGCCGCTACACCGTCGAAGCCCGCCCCGCCAGCCAGCGCGTAATCCTCACCTCAGACCCCGAGAACATCAAAGCCATCCTCGCCACTCAATTCAGCGATTTTGGCAAAGGCAAGCCCTTCCACAACGACTGGAAAGCCTTCTTGGGGGACAGCATCTTCACGACCGACGGGGACGCGTGGCACGCTTCTCGCCAGCTCATTCGCCCGCAGTTCATCAAGGATCGGGTCAGCGATTTGCATACGTTCGAGAAGCACGTGCAGACGCTTATGACGGCTATTGCGAATGGGGGCGTGGAGGGCATGCCGGGGGTGGCGACGGATGGGGTGGCGCAGGGGAGGGTGGTGGATGTAAGTGATTTGTTCTTCAGGTATACGCTGGATTCGTCGACGGATTTCTTGTTGGGGCATAGTGTGGATAGTTTGAGGACGCCGATTCAGGAGTTTGCGGAGGCGTTTGGGGAGGTGCAGAGGGTGCAGAGTATTATTGCTCGTGCTGGGTGAGTTTCCTTCGCCGTCACATACAAAGTGGCACCCACCCCTGAAAACTGAACTAGCAAACTAACCCCCCCACCCCAAGACTCCTCAACTGGCTCGTCCCCCGCCGCTCCTTCAACGCCGGCCTCAAAGTAATGAACACCTTCATCGACCAATACATCGACCGCACCCTCGCCTTCACCCCCGCCGAGCTCGACTCCAAATCCACCTCCTCCTCCTACAACTTCCTCCACGCCCTCGGCGGGTTCACTCGCGACCGGAAAATGCTCCGCGACCAACTCACCGCTGTCCTCCTCGCCGGCCGCGACACCACCGCCTCCACCCTCTCCTGGACATTCTACGAGCTCGCGCGTCACCCCGCTGCGTTCAAGAAGCTGAGACAGGAGATCATCGATGCGATTGGAGAGACGGATGCGCCGACTTATGAGGATTTGAAGAATATGAAGTATTTACAGCATACGATGAATGAGGTTCTCCGCCTTTACCCGGTCGTCCCGTTTAATATGCGCATGTCCCTCAAAGACACCACCCTCCCCTTCGGCGGCGGCCCCGACGGAAAATCCCCCATCGGCGTTCTCAAAGACACACCCATCGGCTACTCCACCCTCGTCATGCAGCGCCGCAAAGACCTCTACCCCATCAACGATGACCCGAACATGGGCGTAGAATTCTTCAACCCCGATCGCTGGTTCGGGTGGCAGCCGAAACCCTGGACGTATATCCCCTTCAATGGAGGACCGAGACTGTGTATCGGACAGCAGTTTGCGCTGACGAATATGGGGTATACGATTGTGAGGATGCTGCAGAGGTTTGATAGGGTGGATAGCTTTATGCCCGAGGGGCCGATGGGGGTGCCCGTTATGAAGGCGGATATTGTGTTGCAGCCTGGGGCGGGGGTGGCGACGGCGTTTTATGAGGCGGGGAGGGAGATGGTTTAAGGGGTGGGTTGAGAGTGAGAGAGATACCTGTGGTGGGGGGAGGGGAAAGGGGAGGAAAGGAAGTGTGGTGTCTGGCGCGGAGGGTGGGGTTGTTATTTGGTCACGACTCGATGATGAGGTAAGAAGATGGCTTGACGAAATTGCGAGGGATGTGCAAATTCCAAAAAGCAAAGATATTGTACTGAAAGGAAATGTTCTATACAAGTCTCTCTCTCCTCTCATGTTTTTTTTATCCTCGCGGATAGGTAGATGTAGTAGTCATTGGGAGAGAAAAGACAAATTTAAGCTCGAATTATTTCAAGATCTGGGGTTTGGTGTCTTGTGTGTGTGTTGTGTGTGTGTGTGAGAGAGGGGAGGTGAGGCTTTTGTTGCAGGGATGCAAGTTCTATAAATATTGTCAGTGGCGGCCACTACGAAGTTGTCACATCGCTAGCGCCAAAGCGGGTGGCCTAAGCTCCGTGCCGTGGGTGGGGTCCAAGCTTCTAATACGAGCCACCGTCGTATAGAATTATGGGTAAGAGATCGATGTACATGGCGAGCGTGGAGAAGCATGCGTTTGACACCGCTGGTGTGGTGCGTCCATTTTTGGGGGGTTTTTCTTGGGGGGAGGGACGGTTTGTGGGTTTTGCGGATGGGGTGTGGGGTTACTAGATGTTGGCGGTCAGTTGTGGTGGTTTGTTGGATTATCTAGGGTTTTGTTGTGATGAGTTGGTGAGATGTGAGATGTTTCGGTGTGTTTATAGGGGTTTTGTGATATCTCTTTTCACTTATACTATAAAGCTTAATATGTAGCTTGTTATTATATAGTATATAGAGAAAATGCATTTAATTTTATATAAATACATAAAAAAAATGGTTGTTAGCTTAAGACCTAGGCAGAGCGATCTGGGGGAAAGTTCCTTTAAGACATGGGATTAAATATGCAATTATATCCTCTCATGGAGATTTCTTCCACTGGCTCTAGCACAGCTCAGCTTGGTGGTATCTTACTATCTCACAGATCCATGCGCCATATCGTCCTTACTCTCCCTCAACTCTCATTTCTCCCCAACTCAATCAATTCTCCCCAACTCAATTCTCCCCAACTCATTTCCCCCCAAACACCTTCCTCAACTCCGATTCCTCCCTCTCACTCATCCCAATCTCCACCGGCCCCTCGCCCACCCCCGGGCCCGGGCCCGCGACTGTACCCGCATCCAGTTCCCCCGGCACCTCCGTCCCGCCAATCTCCACACGCTGCGTATCCTCCAACTCCGCCCCGAAAACCTTCCCCTCATCGCCCTTGACTTTCTGATCATCCTTGACTTCCTCGTCACCCTTGGCTTCCCCATCCGCAACTTTCTCAGCCGGGCCTTCTTCGGTTTTATGACCATCACCGCCGCCACCACCTTCACCGCCACCACCGCCGCCGCTGCCACCTCCCAGCTTTCCGGCGCGGTAGAAGTAGAATACTACTGAGCCTATGAGTAAGATACCGATGACAGCGCAGCCGGCGCCGATGCCGGCTTTGGCGCCTGTGCTTAGGCCGCCTGATGAGTCGGAGGGGGGGTTTGGGTCGGAAGGGGGGGGTGAAGTCGGATCCGGGGTCGATGACGTATCAGAAGATGGTGTCGACGTCGGCGACGGCAGTACAGTCACGGGTGTGTAAGCAGTGCTGTCTAGAGTTCCGCATTTATCCTTGATAGAGGATACGCAGTCGATCTGGGGCGTGCTGGCGTTGTTTGAGTTCACCCCGATGCAGTCGGCGTAGTTTTGGGCGCATATCATGGACGGCAGCGAGTCCTTGTAGTATTCCAGGCCTGGCGCGGAGCTGTTCGATTTGCAGGTGCAGTCGAAATCGAGGGTGGTCTAGGGGCAGAGGGGCGTTAATTGAGTGGATTTGAAGAAAGTGCTAGGGGGGGGGGGCGTACGGAGTTGCAGAGGTTGCTGTTGGTTGCGAGGTCGCAGAGCCTTTCACACATGGAGTTTTGGTCTTTGCACAGTCCCGCTAGATCTCTGGGTTAATGGTTGGTGAAGCAGATGGGGGAGGGGGTTCTTACCACGTTCAGTGGAGGAAAACGCGGTAGGGTCGACGGCATAGGGGTCGATCGTGGATTGGGCGGTAGAGAGGCCGAGGAGTGTGGCTATGAGAATAGCCTTCATGTTCCTGTGGTCCATCATTGTTCTTGAACGATGGTGAGAGAGGGTTTGATCGTGTTAATAGGATTTCTTGCAAAAACACAGCCTGCAGCGGGACATTCCCAGACGTGAACTTGCGTTGAGATTTAGGTAGGAGGATTTTGAGCCAAAATCGCCTTCCCACCACACGTTCGACCACAGTCCTTAAGTATCAGCCCTTTACAACCTGTCCCTGCACACGGGGGGGGGGGCGCGTTTGCCGCCCTGCCATTACCTAATCTCCCAATTCCCAAATATCCCAAATATAGCCCCTTTGGCACATCCTCGGTTGAAATTGCGGGTTTACATACAATATTGGAGAAGTAAGGATCCGAATGTCTAACATTTGTTAGGGGTTTGTGACGGACGTGGTCGCGGGGCCTATCACAGTGCGGCTGAGGTGCAGCTTGGCGGGCTCGGCTTCCACGTAAGGAGCCACACCATGATCGTTCACTGGATGGCGCTGAAGGATGAGATTGGAAACAGATCCTTCGGGAGGGTAATGCCTGTACGGGCCGCCTGTCAAGTGTATAGCGCCAAGCGCCAAGTGCATTCCCTCGCGATTAAGTGGAGATAAATGTGGTGGTGCGACCTCTTCTCCGCGGCTTGGGGGATATTGTCATACCTTTAAGTTTTGTGTATGTGCATACCGTAGTTTTCACAAAATAGTCTCGTTTATGCAGTAGAGGAATGTGATCTTTGTGAGTAAGGGGTTTGTGACCCATAATATAGGGATATGGAGGAAGCCTCAATTGTTGGGTCCACGTTTTCTCTAATATTATAACTTGCGAATCCCCATAGGATTAGACAATATATATTAATACGGAGGTCCATATTTCAACATAAAAAAGAAAAGAGACGCTGATGTGAATAGAGGATTGGGACATGTGAAAACAGGGAGTAGCTGCTTATAACGTTTTTTGCTTTAGCTTAATTAATACTTATAGTGTGTCGTAGCGTAGGGGACCCGTGGTCTCGAACCGCCGATTTGATATATTTACAACTCAGACCACTATCTAGATCGGAAATACAGGGCATACCGCTCAGACTGACGTTGTCCTCCAATGATTTTATTTAGCAAACCGATCATGATTATAATTATTCACGTGACACAGGTAACCATGTCACAGAAGGCATCGAGAGATACTAGCGCGTGACATTTAGGCAGAAGCCTGCGCATGTTTTCCCTTCAGCTGGCTGGTCTCTCCTCATGCTGGTTTTTTCTGCGACCTATCTAGGATGTTCAGCTGTTGCTACGGATCACGAAAGAAATGATGAAGCGTAAAATGGAAGAATGTGATTAATACCCCTTGTTGGCATATCTGGAAATCCATATGTAATTCTAACTGTCGTCGAGATGCCGATCGCAGTAACGATCAGTTACCTCAACGGTCCTCTAAAACGGCGGAACCTCAGCATGCAGGAGTAAATAACGGTAACATCACCTGTCTCCTCCCTTTACAACCTCTAACATCTCCATAGATGGAGCACCATGGACTCCCCAGCCCTCCCTCCTGCTCTCCCTTCCCCTCGAAATCCGACTCCAGATATGGAAGGAAGCGACCTACGCCCCCTCTTCCATCATACGTTTGATATATCCGTCATTCTCTGGCGTTAGAGAATCTCGTGTTCCCAAACTCCATCTCATCCCTCTCCCCATATCCCACCAAAACACTCCCTGCACCTCAGGCCACCGAGGCAGCCCCTTGACTCCCGGCACCTCCCACAACCCACGCGTCTGGCTCTTCACCTGCCGCCAGATCTACGCCGAAGCGCGTCCTCTCGTAAACATCCACCCGCCTGGCCTGCACTTCTGCTTTGCTACCTCGATGAATAAGTACCTCAATCGTGCTCTCTCTTCATCTCTTGGGAACCCCTCCATCCCGGATCCGCGGGAACTGCGCTCTCTGTCACTATGTCTGTTCGTCGGGGTTAAGCAGGCTAGTGTCGTAGGGAGCACGTCGGGCGGGCGTTATGCGCTTGCTATGAGTGACGATACGGGGTGGGAGGGTGGGCATGGAGATGAGTTTTGCGACAAGGGATGTATGTATTGTTCAGCTGTGAGGGGTATACCGACGGACCTAGGGACGTGTTTTCCGGAGTTGAGGACGCTGAAACTGAGTATAAGTTTTAAGTGCGTGGAGGAGAGGGTAATGAGGTGGGGGAGCTATAAGACTATGGAGGAGAATCGCATGGAGGATAAGAGCATGTATGAGAATCGCATGTATGAGAAGAGTAAGGAGGAGGAGAGCATGGGGGAAGAGAGAATAGAGGAGAAGAGCATTGAGGAGAAGAGCACGGCGAAGAAAAGCATGAAAGAGCGATTATCAAAGAACCCGTTGCTTGGGCGAATATTAGGTAATACGTCGGCTGACGGGGTGAAGAAGAGTGCAGGAGAGTTTGTCGATGACGATGAGAGAGTAGAATGGATTGTGGAGTGGATTTGCAAGCAGCTGCCATTATGGGGGTTTGTGGGAAAGAGATTCGAGAGTGTAGAGGTGATATTTAAGGCAGGGATTGTGCATGATCTTACAAAGATGCTTCCGCCGGTCGATGGGTGTTGGTGTGCTGGAAGAGAGATCGATGAGGAGGACGAGATAAGGGGAAGGCTTAGCATGGCGATTAAAAGAACCTTGATGAAGGGGAAGCTCCGAGACGATCCGACGATTAAGCCCCAGGGCTACCCGTTCTGAATTGTTGGGTGATGGATCGAGCGGACGGCCACGGTTACCATCTGTATGTATGGATGTTTTGGGGATAAATGTATCGTGGATGAATGAACGAAACCGCCTCCGAAGTCGAGATGATTAACAATGGCTCGGAGACTCGTGAACGGCAAACTGTTTGTCGTCCGGCACTTGCTTGTCCTCGAGTGTATCCCATAAACGAATGAATAAATATATAGGAAGCGAGTGCGTAGTGAGGTAGGTGAATGTCTAGGCCAATATGGAGAAGTGTGGGGAGGTGGGTGAATGTTGGAAAAGGTAGGTGAGGGAAGAAAACAGTTGGAAATCAACCATTCGAGTCACATTACGCCAGGCAGGACTCAACTGCACCAAATTCCCTTTCAGCCTGTGCTTGTGGACTCAGTGAATACCGTGGATGGCGGAGCCTGTAAATGTGTCTTAGGTAGGCGCCTGGAACGCCTCCGAGGCGTCGATGAATAACAACAGCTCACCTCAGAGAGGGGAGCCGCCAACGGCACACCGCTTTTTGGCTTTTGCCTGTCTATTCCGTGAGCGACCAATGTTTTCATTGGAGTAATTGGGTATGAGAGTACGAAAGGAGCGGGAAACCGGAATTAAGTATCTGAGTGAGCCATCGCGTGCAGGAGGAGTTGATATCGCCACATTCTTTGTTTTCTTTAGCCCCGCACTCGTTAATGATGCGGATGATGCGATGATGCAGGTTGTAGATGTGTTTGGAATCGGATGGGTGAGGGAGCCTCTTTGTGCCAGGTACCTGAAAATGGAGCTCGGTGAGGACACGAGTCGGCGGAAGATCATACCTTTCTTGGCTCGTGATTGCAAATTTGGCTGTTGTGTGAATGCTAGTAACAAACGAAAATATGCAGCTGTGAGCGCGAACAGTATAGACGCGGGTACAGGTCTCAGATCAAAAAGAGGGAGGGCGCCACCTTTGGTTGAGGGAGTGGGTAATCCTGGGGGCGGGATCGGGATGTACCCCGAGAGACGTGCGCAGGGGTGAGCGAAGGGGTGAGCGAAGGGGGAGGGTTGGCTCTGAGACAGCCAACGCCACGCCCCCCTCCGGCTGAACGTTTGACTCAGAGGAAGTAGAAGGCGAAAGACGAGGAACATACCCACCCCGGCGCGTGCCGCCTGTCATGGTGGATCGTATAGCCTTACCTGATGAACGTGCCAACCTGGCACGGAGTGGCAATATGTACGGATATGCAACCGTGAGCACGAACAGTATAGACGCGGGTACCAGTCTCAGGTCAAGAAGAGAGGGTGCGCCGCCCTTGGTCGTGGGTAATCCTAGGGGCGGGATCGGCTCCGTATGTTTCCATTTTTTTTTGGTTGACCTGGTCGTCGCCTCATCTCTAGCTGGTGTTACAGGGGAAATGCGCGTTAGGGAATAACCCGAACGTTGTTCAGCTGAGTTCGACTTGCTGTAGCCCCTTGTCCTGACTCGAAAATTGCGGGTATTCAACGACGCCATTGCGGCTTAGAGCTCATGTCCAGAGCTGCCCAGAGCTGCCTTCCCGTTGGGAGCTATATAACGCTAATCCCAAGCAGGAGATACCTTTTTTTCTGTAAAAAAAGGTATCTCCTACTTAGGATTAGCTTAGGATTAGCTCTAAATTGACACCTTGGCTCGATCGCTCGAAAGCAACGAAGTTGCAACTGCAATTAATGGACCCTTACAATCCCCATTCTCGATAAGGCGTCGTAGCACATCATTGTTTATTCGTCGTGGCAGGCACGGCTCCTTCGTCCGACGTATGCTCGTCTTATGGTGTAGAACGACGTATCACCTGCTGGCGTTGATTCTTAGGCCTGCCACTGTCTATCCACTAGATTACGTTCCTGGTCGCCACGCGGGCGGATGCTGATGAGCAAGGAAAAAATCGTGGTGTTCGTGAAGTAAATGTCTTCGCTACCCGCTTCTTGATCGTCATATGTCAAGGGTGATCTATATGTCTTTGGTGATAATGGTATCTCTATATGACATAGGCCTTCTGAAGATACAACTGTCTACCTCGAGCCTACAGTAAGTGCAATGGTGCTACTGGGAGGGAATACGTCCCGAATCACTAGAAACTGAGAAATCTCGTAGATTTTTACAGATTGTGGATGGTGAAACACGTTTTTATTTATGAGTTCTAAAAATCTATCTAAAACGCAGAAATAAGCCGAATTTTTTATATATAATTCTCTGTGTTCGTCCTGTAGCTTTTGTTAACATTATTTGAAAGTTGAGGATTGTGCTGCGATCGTACTTTCTCACCTTCTTTTTTAGATTCTCGCCTCCCCGCCTTCCCAACATCGTCTAGGATATTATTTTGTGGTGGTGCTTCTCTCAATGTATGTTCGAGCAGTATAGCTAGCCAATGGGTGGTCTGGTGAAGAAAACCATTCTTCGACTTGGGCTTGATATCTCTTCAACTTTTCGTCCTTGGTCGTGGTGTTGTTGGCGATGTTGATGCCGATGCCCGACGTGCTCTGGTATGGCCTATCACTAGCCACGCAGATGTTAGCTGCCATGAACCCTGCTTTATATCGTAGAGCTTTCAGGAAAGGAGGGAAAAATGGATGAAACTGGGTCCTACCTAATATACCGCGTGCTAGACCCTTTAACGGCCTCTGTCGAAGACATTGCAGTGAGTGGTAATTGTAAAAGTAGTTGGGTTGAAGTTCGTCCAAGTCTCCCGCTGAAAGGTGCTTATGCCGATTGAATCCATGATCAAAAGGCGGGCGGGGAGAAAGATTTTATATTTGAAGGGAAAACTATGTGGGATGTGAGTATGCCACTCCGCCTCGTCTTAAACTATGTCTTCGTTACTACTGCCAACAAGTACCAGTGTCAATCCCATAGGTTAATGATGTACGCTAATGCTACACACGGCCATGTTATACGGGTACTAATTAGTACTGTATGTATATACTCGTAATGGATAGGTCGGCAGGAAGTGGGTTGGACTAGGGGGCAGGAGTTGCAATAGAAATGTGGTTGATTTGGGCAGATTAGAGATAGTGGAGTTCAGTTGAAGAGCATGGGAACTATGCACTGGTTAATATGTATGGAGTAGTGTAGTATGTGGTGTGTTATGTGGTCAAGTAGGTGCTATTGTATGGTATTACCTTACTCTATTGGCTGTCCTGTTACTTACTTTTTATTTTGTTGGGTGAAGTTAAAGAGGCCGGGCTCAATCGTGCACACTTCCCCATCCTGTACCCATATTAATGTGATACATTAAATTTGGAAGATACACGCGCATACACTATGATTTGCTACTGCATACATTATAATTTGCTAGTGCATACACTATGATTTGCTACTGCATACATTACGATTTGCTACCACACGTCCCCTTTGCCCTTACTGTGACTTCTTCTTGACCTTATCCCCCTGCTAGCGTATACGCCACAAATGGCCCAAACGGCCGGGCTAGTTGGACCGGTGAGCAAAACCCATGCGGCGGCGGTGGGGTTGTGTTTGGAATTTTTTATTGGAGGTTATTGCTGTAGGTGCCGCGGAAGGGAAGTAAGTGGCTTGTCGTCAGCGACATATGCGATGCGAGGCGGAATATGAGAATCGGTTGAAGCAAGCTATGTAAGTTAGCACTGTATTGTAATGGGGTGATGCGTGATGTTAGTGGGCAATGGATCATTGGATTAGATCCATGTAGCTGGGCCTCGAACAGGACTGCGCGCAACTCGATGCTGTATCTCTCCTTGCTCGGTATATCCAATATGAGATCGATACATGCGTGCCATCTTGGAGCACGCATGTCCCATGTTTGATCTGGTACTACAGTAACCCAGCATAGTTAGAGAGTCCACTTTGGGCCAGGACCCTAGAAGAGGGGGTCCACGGATTATGCATACGGCAATGCCCAAGAACCACCGCATCCATGACCGGTACTCCAAGGATAGCCACACACGCCACAGCCCACCATCAGGCTCTGTCTCATCCCAGCTCCCCAGCGAGTTCGAGGGCTCGCTTTAATACCAGTAGTTAGGTCATCCGTACTCGCGTGGAGAGCTAGCCCTGTGAACCTTTCTAAACATAATACTAATACTTCCCAAGGCTATGGTTGAGCTGATGCCTTTTATCCGACATGTAGATCTGTATATATCTACGTCTGCAGCCGTATCAACTGAACTTAATTGCGAACCGTGCAATAGAATGCACGGAGTTGAAAGATAGCTGCGGTTGATGGGTCGTACCCTAGCCTTGTAGAGTATTTTGCGTCTCTTTTCCTTGCCACTGTTGACGGGCGCCTTACCACTCCCCATGTAATGCCGCGCAGCTACTCAGCCTCCCCCAGGCCGCTAGGCCCACTTGCCAACACACCAGTATGTTCCTGCATTTTAAAAGGCGTGTAAGAGATTTGTTTGCATACCAAGGAACCATTTGACTTACTGAGCAAATGTATTCCTCGTAGCTACTCCCTTCGCTCCCTGCTTTATTGCATATTCGGTTAGTAATGTGATTTAGTACTGGGCATTCATTTTCATCAATACTAGCGCTGGTACCACCTGAGTCTTCTAAGAAACCTACCAATTGTAACTCTAGTATGGAGCCTAAGCATATTACTATTCCCCCCACCCCTATGTGACGGTACCTACCCGCTATTTTGACTGCCTCACCTCACGCTCACCGCACCTAAGTTATGTGGGTTGAGTTCAGTTTTGGTAAGCAAACCTGCGAAGGTCCGGTTATACAGCTATTACAGATCGTCGTCATGTGCACACAAGAGGCGGGGTTTTCAGCCATTCAGGGCGAGAAACATATACATGCAGGGTTTACAGATGTGGTGCATGATCTGGTCAGATCACGGTGATGTGATTATCGCACCTGCGTACCTGCAAGGTGAACCACAGGCGGCTAGCCTTTGGACATCCATTTTTTTGGCCAATGCCACAGGCTTCTTGTGAGGACTGGACCTTTCGGGTGTGGTCCCCTATCCTGCAACTAGACACCACATCTCAAGTTCCTACATTGGAAGTTGGTCGCATCGCTGCTAATCGGTTCAGCTATTCTCAGTCAGACTGAGAATAGCTGAACCGAAAGAATCTATGACTGAGTCAGTCATAGATTTTTTCTTCGGTCGATCGCTTCTTGCTACGATTGCAGACGTCGTAGCTGCATGTGGTATTTTGTCACAGCATTGAATATTTCACTAATGAAGAAGCCATCAATGCGGTGTGTTTTCACACCCACTGTTATATGTTTTATTTTATTTCATTTTTGCCTCTTCTAACCCTTTTACCACCACTTACACCCCCGAAGCTGCCAGAGTGGAGCTTTGAAAGCGGATCTTCGGGATGTAGTGGTTGTCCGTGCACGACCCGATAAGCGAAAGTTGGGGATACAACCGCGTCTAACACTCCCCAGATTTTCTTGAGCGACACGCAACAATCCGCGTCCTACAGCGCCAATGCTTCTCCACGCCCCCGAGGCACGGCTGGTGATGCTCCTCCGACAATGCTACAGGTCACCACGTTGTCTGTCCACCCGCCGCGGCAAGCGACTCTACACCACGATGCGGGTCCCGAGCACCTCCGCCCCCCGACCACGAGCTGGGCAGTCGAGCTGTAAGACCGGGAATTCAGCGCGCAGCTTGACGAGTACAACCGGTGGCGCACCGGAGCACGTTGCTGTCCTCGGCGGTGGCATCACCGGGCTCGTTGCAGCGGCCATGGCGGCCCGATTAAACCCCGATACCAAAGTCACAGTATACGAATCCAGCGACCGGCTCGGGGGATACGTGCACAGCGAGATGGTGCAGAGTTCAGATGGGCCGGTTGTGTTTGAGCTGGGCCCGCGGTCGCTGAGGCCTGCCACGGCGAGGGGGTATCATGGGTTGTCCATGGCACAGAATTTGGGGCTGGAGGATAATATGGTGTTTACGTCCAAGGATAGCCCGGCGGGGTCGAATCGGTTTATTTACTACCCTGATAAGTTGGTGAGGGTGCCGAGTCCAAATGATGGGCGGTTACGGGTGTTTTATAAGCTTTTGACAGACCCATTGTTTGAGGGGGTCGCCGGAGCGCTGTGGGCGGAGTCACAGGTACCGAGGCGCCCTGATAGCCTTGTGGATGAGTCGATTGGAGGGTTTATAACGAGGCGTACTGGCGGGAACCCAAAACTCGTGGATAATATTTTTAGTGCGGTGATTCATGGCATATTCGCGGGTGATATAAACAAGTTGAGCGTGAGAAGTTTGATGCCTCGCTTGTGGGAGGCGGAAGGGCGATTCGGAAGCCTCTCGATGGGGATGGTTAGGAACAAGCCAGAGGGGTATGGGCCTAACGGGATATCTGATTTGCATAAGTGGGGAGATCAGGTATTATTTGGCCAGGCACTGGGTGAGAAAGCGCGACAGGCGAGTATATACACGTTTACGAATGGGATGCAGACGCTACCGGATGCTTTGGGGAGGGTTATTAAGGAATCGAAGAATGCGAATATTAGGGGTGGGACGAGCGTTTCGGGGATTTCGAGCAGCTCAGACGGGAAAACCATACGAGTGAGCACCCCTTTTCCCCTTATTCAATGATCCTTCCACCAAGCTCATCAGCCCTCGCCTTTCTCCATTCCTCGCACACCTCCAAACCGTGTAAGCTAACACACCCCAGATCAAAACCTCCAACAACCAACCCGCCCAATCCTACAGCCACGTCATCTCCACGCTCCCCGCCCACAACCTTTGCCACCTCATCAACATCCCCGCCCTATCCCTCATACCCTACACCACCGTCATGGTCGTGAACCTCTACTACAAAAACCCCCACCTTGTCCCTCAACCCGGATTCGGCTACCTGATCCCGCAATCTGTTCCCTTCAAGCAGAATCCCGAGTTCGCACTCGGCGTCGTCTTCGATTCCCACGCTACTCCCCACATCGACGGCGCCCCGGGAACAAAACTCACCGTTATGCTAGGAGGTCACTACTGGGACGGGCGGTCGGCGGATGAGCTGCCAACGCCGGAGGAGGGGCAGCGGATGGCAGAGCTGGTGCTGGCGAGGCATTTGAAGATCACCGATAAGCCTGATCAGGTGCTGGCGACGCTGCATAAGAATTGCATCCCGCAGTACACGGTCGGGCATAAGGAGCGCCTCCAGAGTGTTGATGCGGGGATTAGGAGGATGTTTGGGAATAGGTTGAGTGTGGGGGGAGCGTGGGTGGATGGGGTGGGTGTGAATGACTGTGTATTCAGTGGGGCGTTTCAGGGGCTTTCGGTGGGTAAGGGGTATACAGGGCTGGAGCTGGCGTTGGAGGATAAGGAGAAGCTGAGGACGATGATGCCGCCGGGGTTGACGCTGTAGAGGGGGTGGTGGATATAGAGGTATGGATGTTGCGTGAGGCGTGTGGTATTTTTTACCCTCCTGTATTTTTAGTACGTCGAATAAATATAAATATAAATTATTTTCGTCTATAGGCGGTATTTTTAAAAATTCCTATGAGTATATGTTTATTATATTTTTACTCTCATCTTTCTCTCTCAAAACTTTTTAACCAAGCGATAACAAGCTCGTCACGATGATCTTTTCACCCCAAGACTCCGTCAGTGCCAGTCCTCCGACACACCGCCACCGCCCTTCGAGACAGTGTTCGGCACGGGTAGGTATATACCCAGCGTATCCGGGTATATACCCGGGTATATACCTACCCTTTTATATGAGAAAACTACCCGG